CAGCCGGCGTTCGCGATACATTTAAATAGGCAGAGCAGCTGGTGGCGCTAGCATCACATGCGCTTCTACAACTTTTAAGAGGACGAAGAAGAAGCCCGTGGTGCATTTTGGGTCAGTAGCATGCCCGTAGGATGCACCGAGACCAACCTACAATGTGGGCGTGTCTAGTATCTGAAGTAGTATCTGAAGTAGCATGCTACTCGCTCCGGTGGCCAATTCGGACATGCTAGATACTACTTCGACTTCTACTTCGACTACTACTTGGCAATTCGGACGCAGCTAAAGTCACCGGTGTCCCTCCACGGCGGCCATCTTACTTCACAACACCGTACTGGTACACTCTATGCTAGCTGACGGGAGGTGAGTAATCTGCATGATCAAAAATACTCTTGACTCGCTGAAATCTTGACAGATTTACAAACGGTTTTGTTTATTACAAACCTTAATAACGTGGCTATAAGTCGAGATGTTTGGACTTACTGAAATGACAGATTTTCTTTGAGAAAAAAAGACTTAATCATGAAGTTGTTTCACAGCTGTTTGCGTGCAATGCCTAACTGTAAGTCGCTTTGTCAAGGCTGAGACCACAATCGAGATGTTAGTTTCTTGTGTGACAGCCTATTTTCTTGTTTTTATATTTATGTATTCTAAGTGACAGTCTTTTATGATGTGCTCGTCTCTATCAGCTGTCTAACTTCGCTCACAGGCAAAAGACCAAGCGCATATTAAAAAGTTGACCCAGCAACTTTACATCAGCTGGAGAGGCAACAATACTCTTTCGATTAACCATAACTGAAGTTGCGCATGATCTCTGCTGATTGGTTTGTTAGAAACGTCTAAAATGGCAACATGAGGCAGAAATTTATGTTTAAAATAAATATTTATATCTGTCCCGTAGCAAAATGGCCACCATGCGCAGATGTCGGTCTCCATTGGCTCATAGTGTGTGTAAGGCATCTAGCATATGTATATATATATATCACTAGCTGCGTTTCCATTACCCATAGATTTGCGCAAAACCTAAATATCGCAATAGAAAACTGGTAATGGAAACAGCTAAATTTCGATGGTCACAGAAATATCTGCTCCAAAACGCAAAATGTTTTGTGTCTCGTCCATGTTGGTGTGCAAAAAGGCTTAAGGAATACGAGCTCGCAAGGGCAGGAAGTTTACCTCGTTGCTAGGCAACGGCCATTCAAACACGGCTCGCGAGAGGCAGACGGCTCGCTTATGCACTGAACACCATTCAGTGGAAACACCCGCAAATCGCAATTGTACTTTGTCGAAATATGATAAACATCGCTTTTATTTTGCGAAAAAATGTAATGGAAACGCAGCTTATGCCTTGTTGTACGTCCTTTCACAAAAACAAATATCCACAAGGTGGCGCTGAAATGCAGATTTTCAAAAAGAAAGGGTTTGGAGTTTCTCCTTGGATTTGGGTGGTTTTTTAATTACGTATAAAAAATGGAAAAGCAACCACGAAACTATAACGGTCCTGAAATACATGAAATTTTCAGGCTTTTCAATAAACAATTTATTTTCCTTTCGGGAGAATTTCAAAGCTGGTTTCATGATTTTGATCCTTTACCTCTTCAAGACATTACATACAGGTGCATCTCAATAAATTATAATATAATAAAAAAAAATATTTCTTTCTGTTATTCAGTTAAAAACGCGAAACTAGCGTATTATATGGATTTATCGCCAGACTGATATATCTTAAGTGTTAATTTCTTTTCATTTTGATGATTGTAACTTACAGCCTATAAAAAACCCCAAATTCAGTCCCTCAGAAAATTAGTATATTATGAAGATATTAAATATTGAAGACTCAGGATGTCACAAATTAATCAGATAATTAACTCAAAACGCCTGCAAAGGTGTCCTGGGCCTCTGGAATACATTCCCCAAACCCATCCGAGACTGTACAGACCCCCATACATTCAAATCACTTCTAAAACACACCTTTTTAAATTGGCTCTCAACCTGTCAACTGTTCTTATTGTCTCTTTATATGTCTTTTTGACCTTTTACATTGTTGGTCTCACTACTTAAAATTTTGTGGATTTTAAATAGTTTTTTTAGTAAAGCGTCTTTAAGGACCTGTCAAAGTGTGTTATGAATAACATTTATTATTATTATTATTGTTATTGTTGTTGTTAAATGGTCCACCAGTCTGGATCAGTAGGCCACACAATTATGGGGAAGGCTGGGACTTCTGCTAGAGTCAGTGCTTCAGGAGCCACCATGCACAGACAGATCCAGAACATGGGCCACTCTTGAACCAGAGACAACATCTGAGGCGTCTTACCTGGGCTAAGGACAAAAAGAACTGGACTGCTGCTCAGTGGCCCAGAGTCCTTTTTTCAAATCAAAGTAAATTTGACATTTCTTTTGAAAATCAGGGTCCCAGAGTCTGGAGGAGGTGAGAGAAGAGGCACAGAATCCAAGTCGCTTGAGGTCAAGTGTAGTTTCCCCAGTCAGTGGTGGTTTGGGGAACCCTGTGATCTGCTGGTGTTGGTCCACTCTGTTTTATCTGGTCCAAGGTCAGCGCAGCTGTCTACCAAGACGTTTAAGAGTACTTCATGTTTCCCTCTGCTGACCACAGACTTTAGTACCTGCTCACATGCAAAGGGAGCCCCAACCAAGTATTCATACTTTTCAGTAGTCCAACATTTTTTTGTTGAAAATCCTCCTTTTTCTTTTTTTTACAAATAGACATAAACTACAAGTCAAATAGAAACAAATAAGTATATAATTTTAAAGTAATATGTCCATGTGATATAATAATAATATTTCTATTTATAATGTGCTTTACACCTGAGAAATCAGACCTCAAAGTGCACACAGTCGAAGGCAATAGTAAAAACAACAAATAGTAATAAAACAACAACATTCAGAATATATAAAATCTGCCCGGAAAAGCTTTCCTGCAAAAGAAGGTCTCAAGTACTTTTTTAAAAGCATCTACCGTCTGACGAGCTCTGAAGAGGACAGACAGAGCAGGGAGCAGCAGCCTCAAAGGCCCCATCACCCATGGTCTTAAGCTGAGTCCCGGGCGGGTGCAGACGGTGCAATTGGCCTGACCGGGTTCTGGCTGAGGTGTGAGGAGTCCGGTGAGGTAGGTGGAGGCTGCACTGTTAAGACAGTGGTGGGTATGGAGGAGGATTTTGAACTCGATGTGGAGGTGGACAGGGAGCCGGTGCAAAACATTTGTTTTATCATATATCAGTCTGCTTTTAAATGAAACTGAGAAATGGTGTTGATTCAGAATAACTTCAGTAACAATACTTTTTCTCACCACTGGAGTTGTTTGGAGTTCAATCAAGTGTTAACAGTTGGAACAGATGTTGTTTAAGGATTAAAACTATCCGTGTGGGTAGGGGGCCCATTTGAAGATGTGTGAACTTGTGTGTTTATGTATAAGAGTATTTATGCATGTACATATCTTTTTGTACTTAACTTTATTTATGCCTCAGTTCTGGCATGGCAGTGAAAAATAGTTTCATTGTATTTGTACCTGTACAAGAACCAATTAAAAATTTATTTTGATGATCAACTCATTTGTAGCTGCTACTTATGTGTTTATATATATTTATTTAACTAGAGAACTTTGAACTCCTCATAGCACATAAGCCTCACAAGCTAGAAATGTCTTTGCAGTCTGGTTGGGACAGTATTATGTTAAGTGTAATAACAGTACTTACCTTTATTAATATATGAGCATTTTTATCTATTCACAAAACAGCGCATTTCTGCCTTTCCTTTTCTCTTTTTTGTTTTTCTTACAGTGGATTTACAAAAAAAGCTGTTGGATCATGACCCTCTTGGGTGAAAGCAGTTCAAATACAACAGTAAATTCAGGGTCTTAATAATATGATATAATATAATATATAATAATATAATTACATAACATATGTAATTAATATAATAGTTATTATTTAATAACTATTGAGAGCCCAAATCTGATACACAGAAACCATGACTTTTTGATTAGTAATAAGCAGAGTAACATTTGGAAAAAGTAATAATGATATTTTTAAAAGTAAACTCAAGACCTACCTTTTGAGTCTGGCTTTTATTTCAATTTTGCCTTAATCTTTTAATCTGCATTATCTGATTTTACCCTATTTTAGTTGTAGAGTAACAATTCTATTTTTTATTACCTCTTTTTCTTTCATTTAATTTTCATGCTTTATAACCTTTATTATATTTTATTATAGTTTTGTTGTTTTAGTCCTGGATTCAGTGTTTCTTCATCTTTCTGAACTCAAGATACCGTTTCCTCAGTCATCTGTGGCATCTGTGGAAGAGTCCTGGTCTTTTGTGTGTGTCTCTGTGTGTGAAAGTGTGTACTCACACACTCTCACACACAGATGCACGCACAAAAGATGAATGTGTATGTGATGAATGGGGGTTAGGAGGGTGGGGTTTGCTATTTGTATTTTTTATTTATTTTATTTCATTGTTTTTAATATCCTGCTCGAATGGACAGCACTTTGTGCTAAATCATATATATGAAAAGTGCTTTAAAAATAAAGTTTGATTGATTAATTGACAGCCAAAACCCATGTTGTGGTTAACAGGAGACTGGCAGCTGGATTTGCAGCTGGACTATTTCAAAATCAAGTTTTTTTTTGTCAAATACTCTGAAGTTTCCATTTGCCGCGAGACGATTTTGATTGACAGGTTTCACTGAAAAGGGGGCGGGTCCACAGCTTAACGGCACACATGGATGGAACGTCGAGGGGATTCCCGTCAGTGCGCTGCGTGACGTCACCGATCTCTCAGTGACGTCACGGCTATTTCCCGCGGAATGTGAGGTCACCACTTTTTATCAAAGGCTTCCACAGATGCTTTGAATAAAAGATGGTGACGTCACCGCCTTTCATCAGAAAGGTGGCTAATTCCTGAGACAACCTCATACTGAGAGACAACCTCAGAGTTTAAACAGACAACAGCGATTTTAATCCGAGATAAACACAAGACAATCGAAAATGTGTGCAGAAAGACTGGTAAGTTTATGAATGCTTTATGAAAATAATTAATTTTATGTTAGTTTAAAAGTGAAACCATTTGTCTGATAGGATTTTTTAAAAACTTAGGTTGTTTTTACTTTTTAAAAAAATGACATTTATAGTGTAAATCTGTGGTTTAGTGAGATGAATTGATGCTTATCCTCCCTGCCTTACACAAAAGGAAAAAATCTTTTATTTTTAAAATGTTATAATAGTCTGAGGATAAGGCGATTTAATTTAGAAACATTACATTCAAACATTGTTCTCAACTGCCAAACAAAAATATTTAATAACAGAAGCAAGGCAAAAATAGTAAAATGTGTTAATAGTTGCAACCCAAGCAAAAAAAAGAAAAAAAAAATCTGATTCAGGACCTACAGTATGCTTCGTTCAAGTTACCTTGGAAGTCAGCATTGAAAATGATGTCAAAAGTTCCCAGCGTTTCAGTCGGAAAAAAGCAAAATGGGAGGCGGTAACAGGATGGCTCGCCTTGTCCAAATATAAGGCAAGCGCTAAAATAACTCATGTAGGTGTAGCCATCTTGTTTTAGGCCTCTGATTTTGCCTTTTTCCGACTTGGTAACTGAAACACTGGGAACTTGGGTGTGACGTCATTTTCAGCTCCGACATCTGACTTTCGAGGTAACTCGAATGCAGCATTAGACATGACTTATGACATGATATGAAAAAGTAAATATTTTTATTTGATGAAAGGGTTTCAGTGTTTAAAACATTGTTTGTGTTTCTTCTCTAGGCTACAACTTCAAGCCCACACAGACTCTTTGAAATAGACACAATGTCTGCAAAACATGTTGAAGATGTCCAAACACCGGTGAAAAACCCAGCTGGCCAGTCGTTCTTCAAGAGGGTAAAGAAAGCTTTCAAGAAAACATTTTGCAGATATACGAGCAGTTCTTCCTCAGCGGGCTCATCAGAAGAGAAAGAGTTGAGAAGATCCTCATTTGAACCTTCTGCTTGCTCCACCCCATCACTTAATGTGGTGGATGAACATGCTCAGCTGGAGGACCAACTGCCAGCAGAAATCCCCCCTGAAGAGAAAAAGAAAGCTTCAACAAAACCTGACCAGTGCCTGGAAGAAGCTAAAGCAGAGGGACAAAAAATTCCCCAATTGGTTCAGCCACAAACAGGGACAGATGAAGTCACCCAGTCAGAGGAAGTGAAGTTTTCTTCTCCAACCATCCTGCGAATTCAAGTCTCACCCTACAAAGCGGAAGGAAGTGAGGAGTCCAAAGCTGGAGGACAGCCAACAAAGAGGGCCTTGGATTCAGATACTGTAAAAAAAAGTCAGCAAGGATGAAAGACTCTCCTCTAACAAAGAGTTTCAGAGGACCTGCATTGGCAAGAAGAATGTGGATGCTCAGAAGGAAGTTAATCCTGCCCCGGTGAAAAACAAATCCCCTTGGAAACTATTCTACAAAGGGGATCAGAAGACCTGCATTGGCGAGAAGAAGAAAATTGTCCCTCAATCCAAGGGGGAAGCTTCAACCAAACCTGACCAGCGCTGTGCCCACGTGGGAAAACTTAAAGGAGGCATTTCAGCTAATGACCAGGCAGGCAGAGTCACTCAGATGTTAAAGGGCCCATCACAGGCCACCAAGACAGCCAAAACCCATGTTGTGGTTAACAGGAGTGTGGAGGCTCTGCAGACCTCTGAGGATGTCAATGCTCAGAAGAAAGTTAATCCTGCCCCGGTGAAACAGAAATCTCCTTGGAAACTATTCTACAAAGGGTATCAGAAGACCTGCATTGGTGAGAAGAAGAAAATTGTCCCTCAATCTGAGGGGGAAGCCTTAACCAAACCTGACCAGGGCTATGCCCACGCGGGAAAACCTAAAGGAGGCATTTCAGCTAATGACCAGGCAGGCAGAGTCACTCAGATGTTAAAGGGCCCATCACAGGCCACCAAGACAGCCAAAACCCATGTTGTGGTTAACAGGAGTGTGGAGGCTCTGCAGACCTCTGAGGATGTCAATGCTCAGAAGAAAGTTAATCCTGCCCCGGTGAAACAGGTCTTTTGCAAACGCCATGGTTTAAGCATTGATTTCAGAAAATTAAGAAATAATTAAAAAACAAACAGGCAGTAAGAGCCATTAGGACTTCTCACAGACAGTGTGTGTGTGTGTGTGTGTGTGTGTGTGTGTACAAATGACAAAATACGCAGCCAGGTAAAATGTGACCAAACTTTGAAGTGACTTTTTAATGTCATAGAAACTGATACACTTATTCCTGACCTCAGCTCCTGTCAACTCTCTATCTTTGATTAGGATTTCACTTCAAGAAGTTCCAAGATTCTCTGAGGATGCTTCAAAGGTCAGTGTGTCTTTGAGTGTGTCCTTAGACATCTGTCTGTGTGTGTGAGTCCTGCGGTGTCTGCTCAAAGAATGACTCCAGGAAAACCTGCGCCCACATGTAAGACACAGATAAGGTCTTTCTCCCGTGTGTGTCCGCTGATGTTTTATCAGGGATTTATACCGTGTAAATGTTGCTCCACATTCGTTGCAAATGTATTTCTCGGATTTAATGTGAACATTTTGTTCATGTTCTTTCATGTTGCCTAGCTGTGAGAAACCCTTACCGCACACTGGGCAAAGATGTGGTTTCTCTCCAGAGTGCGTGAGACTGTGAACATTCAAATCATTACGGGAATAAAATCCCTTTGCACAGATTACACATTTGTACGGTCTTTCCCCCGTGTGGCTCCTCATGTGTCTTTTAAGTCCTTCAGAGCGGGAGAAACAGCTCTCACACTCGCTACATCTGAAGGGTTTCTCTCCTGTGTGAGAGCGGGCGTGCCGACGGAGCCCAGACGCCTTGAAGAAGCACATCCCACAGTCAGCACAGCGGTGAGGTTTTTCTGGCTGCTCCTCGTGTGTCTTCTCATGTGCTTTGCAGTGTCCTGACTCAGAGAAACCTTTCCCACAGATTGTGCAGGTAAAAGGCCGCTCACCCGTGTGCATTCGCTTATGACGGACGAGTTTATTGAGTTTACTAAAAGTCTTCATGCAGTATGAACACTGATGAGGCACCCTTGGTGTCTTCGAGTGTGTGCGCTTATGTCTCTCTAACTTTGAAGGCCTGTTAAACACTTTTCCACAGTCAGGACAGGGGTGCTTGTTAGTGCGATTGTGGCAATTCTGGTGTCGAATCAGCTTCTCTTGTTGGGTGAAAGTCTTTTCACAGTGCTGACACTGATGAAGAGTCTTCGGCTTCCTCTCGTGGACAGGTTTATGCCTTTCTAGCTTGGATGGTCTGTTAAAAACCTTCCCGCAGACAGAGCAGGGGTAAGACTTGTCCGCTGTGTTGCTGCCTGCCTGTTTGGAGTTCTCTGGCTCAGTGGAGGTTGATGCATCATTGGAGTCTGAATCTGTTGTCGCCTTCACAGTGATTTCTCCTGGACCTGAAAAATGATCACATCAAAAGTATACAAATCACTTCAGGGCTCGACAGTGTGATCATTTCATTCGCATTTGCAGCTAAAAATAGATGTGTGCAAATTGTAAAATATATTTAGGGGCACATGCGCGCATAAAAAATAATCAGCCGAAGCAACAAATGTTTTTCATGTAAATACCACAGTGAAGTTAGTTTTAGGTTGGATAATCAACGGACGTTCACTGTGGATCTACCGTTGTCTTCTCACTCTCAATATCGGGGAATAGCAACAGCAGCGCGGTTAAATCTACTCGGCATCCTCACTGTAAACGTTGGGTGTTGAATAAGGGACCATCAATAAATAACCGGTTGATGTTCTCACTTTTATCCCAAGAAAAAAAAAGGAAAAATAGAAATACAAAGAGTCATCAGTACTTACCTTCCTCTGAAGATACTGTTTTTGGGATAGATTGAGTGTCTGGGCCCATTACGGCAAACTATCAACACACAACAGAGAAACACGGAAAGTTTTTTAAGTGCATATCAATGTTCGGATGGAGACAAACAAACTTTTTTTTACTGAAAAACTAAAGGCCTCCTCCGAGAAAAATAGTAAGATATGAAGAGAAGAGTATCCCAGGTACATCTGCATGAACCTCTGTGAAGTGATTCTGCTGATGAAAAGGTTTTTCAACCCAGAAAAAAACGTCTTACTGTGTAAGGAAGCGTGGTGGTGCAGTGGTTCGCACTGTCACCACACAGGAAGAGTCTGCTGATCAGCTGTTGCCTTTTTGTGTGGAGTTTGTATGTTTTACTTTTGCAGGTTTTTTTTCCACACATCCAAAAACATGCAGAACCTGGTGTTGAATGTAAAATGTATAATGTATAAATCTGTTTCCAGGTTGAGCTGCAAACAGACTGTGTGATCTGTGACCATTTCAATGCTTTTGTGTATCTTACTGTGACTATCCGTTAAGTTTAGTTAAAATGTCTAGATTACCAATGAATATAGCACAACAGTGAATGAAAAAATCAATATAAAATAGTGTTATAGTATGATGTCAACATTTAGTAACCATCAACTTTTATTTTGAAATTGTAATTTTACTTCTTTTTTTTAACATTAATTAATTTACAGTGGCTGAGAACCGCCACTGCTGCAAATAAAAAAGAATGCAAAAAAAAGAAACCACAACGCAAGTTAATGATGCTGTTGTCGTTGTTTTCTTCCACTTCATCGTTACGGGTCACGGGGGCAGCAGCTTCAGGAGGGAAGCCAAGACGGCCCTCACCCCGGCCACTTCCACCAGCTCCTCTGGGAGGATTCCCAGGCCAGGTGAGATATATAATCCCTCCACCTGGTCCTGGGCCGGCCACAAGGTCTCCTCCCGGTGGGACATGTCTGGAACACCTCTAACGGGAGGCGTCCAGAAGGCATCCTAACCAGATGCCCGAGCCACCTCAGCTGACTCCTCTCGACGTGGAGGAGCAGTGGTTCTACTCTGAGTGCCTCCCAAGTGTCCGAGCTCCTTACCCTATCTCTCAGGCTGAGCCCGGCCACCCTGCGAAGGAAACCCATTTCGGCCGCTTGTATCCGCGATCTTGTTCTTTCGGTCATTACCCACAGTTCATGGCCATAGGTGAGAGTCGGCCCGTAGCTTGACGGGTAAATCGAGAGTTTCGCCTTACGGCTCAGCTCTTTCTTCACCATGACTGATCGGTTAAGCGTCCGCATCACTGCTGACGCCGTTCCGATATGCCTGTCGATCTCCTGTTCCATCCTACCCTCACTCGTGAACAAGGTCTCGAGATACTTGAACTCCTCCACTTGAGGCAGGACTGCCCCTCCGACCTGGAGAAGGCAATCTACCTTTTTCCGATGGAAAAAAAAAAAAAAAAAAAACGAAGCCCACTGCAAATCAAAAAAGAAAGGGTGCAGATTAAAAAAACAACAACAATGGAACCAAAAGACGCAAAAAACAAGTGGTGATGCAAAAAAAAAAAAAAAAGTTACTTGCTGCGAAAATAAAAGGATGCAAATAAAAAAAGCCACAATGGAAGTGAGCTGCCAAGGACCAATAATGATGATGCACCGTTTTTTTACGATCCAGGCACAGAAGACGACAGCGGGAAAACAAGTAAAAAAGTAAGTGGAAAGGTTACTGTTCAATTTTGCTTTGTAAACTTTTCAATGTGTCATTTGGTTAGGCCATGTAGCGCCTGAGTCGATATGAAGTTGGTCTGGAGGATGCTGATGTAGTGTTAACTTCAGTTCAACTATGTCCTAACCACATGACACATTGAAAAGTTTACAAAGCGAAATCAAACAATAACCTTTTCGTTACTTCTTTGCTTGTCTTCTCGTCGTCGTCTTCTGTGGCTAGATTGTAAAACACTGGTGCATCATCATTATTGGTCCCTGGCAGCTCACTTCCGTTTTGGCTTTTTTTTTTTATTTGCATCGTTTTATTTTCGCAGTGAGTAACATTTTTTTTTTTTTTTTGCATCACCATTTTTTTTTTGCATCATTATCTTCCGTTGTGGCTTTTTTTTTACTTGCAGCAAGCTTCAGTTTCTTGTTTTGGCATGAGTCACTTCCACTGTGACTTTTTTTTTTTTTGCATTCTTTTTTTATTTGCAGCAGTGGCAGTTCTCAGCCACCATATTAATCAAATCTATTGAACATCTACTTTTTGGATAGATTAGGGAGGTGCACAATGAAACAATACCTCATGTTTTTTTCTGTGTATTTTTTCTCTGATCACACAATAGTAAGAAGTTTGACTTGTTGTAAGGAACTACTGTTTATTGGCAGTCATAGCCTCATGAAATGGAATAGTAATGACAACCTAACAGGTCTTTAGCTAAGGTATTCACATTGGTGGGAATGATTTGCACAACACCATACCAACAGGATAACCACAACCACTACAACATTTGCAGAGTTTCCCCTCACACAACACACAAACCGCAATCTCAGTGTTTCTAAACCATTATGCTGCAGCTGTTTTAGTTTGGAAAAGTTGGGTTGGGTCATTGTTTATAGGAGAGGCATGCACATGCTGAAAGCAACGTTAGCTGACTAAGCTAATGCTAACATTGTTGACGGGTTAGCTTGCTAAGCCGTGTCGAACAGAGTAGTGTGTATAAGTTTGATTCCCACCTCTGTAGTAACTGTTTAAAGGAGGCTGTCACATCTTTGGTCCAAAGAGGTAGAAATGCAGCCCAGACCTTGTTTAGTTTTGGCAGCCACTGGTCTTTATCAAGCCACTATCGTATCAAGGCAAATACACAACCCGCCTCCTTCATGCTGCCTTCACTTGCCTCACGGAAAATCTGACATTTTAACAAATGACCGTCGATGATTGAACTTAAAGGGGTATTTCAGCGTAAAATTAATTTAGAGTCAAACACATAGTAACAGTTAGACTCCCCTTTGAGAGATGAATGTTGCCGACCGCTTGCTTCTCTAGTTTTAACAACTTTAGTAACGACTGCACGATAGCAATACACAGCGGTCTGAGGAGCCATAAATGAACAATAACCAAAAAGCCACTCTATAGTCACAAATAATGCTCAGAACAGCACCTAACTTAATCAAAAGTACATATAGGGTCCTAGTCACAGTACTAGCCACCAAACATCTTTTTAACTTTGTCTAATTTCTTTAGCAAAGAGACGAAACACAACTTACCCACTCTCTTCCAGCAGCCACTTGTTCGTAGCGAGACATCAGGCCAGTCCAGAACAGACTACCGATCTTTTTATGTCTTTGAAGTGATAATTACCATATTAATCATTTTGCAATGCAGGCGCGGTAGTTTTTCTGCCTTAGGGTCTTGGTCTGATTGCATTTCCATGAAGTAATGATCATAAATGTTCTTCCTTGAGCTGTCTCACCCTGCAGCAGTCCGTAATGGACTGGCCTGAGGTCTCGCTACAAACAAGCCGCTGCTGGAGGACTGTGGGTGAGTTGTGTTTAGTCTCTTTGCTAAAGAAATTAGGCAAAGCCAAAAAGATGTTTGGTGGCCAGTACTATGGCTGGGGCCCTATATGTACTGTTGATGAAGTTAGTTGCTGTTCTGAGCATTATTTGTGGCTATAGAGTGGCTTTTTGGTTAAGGTTTGCTTATGGCTCCTCAGACCGCTGTGTATTGCTATCATGTGGTCGTTACTAAAGTTTGTATAACTAGAGAAGCAAGCGGTCAGTAACATTCATCTCTCGATGGCGTGTCTAACTTGGTGTCATGGTGTGTTTGACCCTAAATTAGGTATACCCCGAAATATCCCTTTAAGGTTAATTTTTAATGTTGTTGTTACTTGTTTTTTTCCTGGTTGGGTGAACGAAACGACCTCAAATATACCTACTGTATATTTTAGGGCAAGAATTTCAAGTTGCCAATAGATGGGTAGATGCAACAAAACTTAACTTACAACTTATTAAAAACTTACACCAGTTTTTATTATTGTCTTTTATTAAATGATTTGCCCACAACGTTTTTTCTATCATAAAAACAAACACAAAAAGAAAAATAATCAAACAAATAACCAACAAGTCTTTCAAGCTCTGATGTGTCTAATACATTCCCAGGAATTTCCAACGGTACTTAAACACAGCACAGTCTTACATTAATTGCTTGATAGCCAAACCTGAGTCAATGGATTTGGCGAGATAAAGTATTCAAAACAGTCTGATAATTTAAACAAAAGGAAAGTTGAAAAAATATAGGTGTTTGGGCCAATACACTAGGCCAATAGCAGGCTCAAAAAAATATCATTTTTTACAAGTTAAAAATAAAATATCCGTCTATTCTGAAAACAAAACAGACTAATCTGATGAGAACACTTTCTATGTGATAAATAACAGTAGTTGACTAGAAAAATCTCTGCAATGTTAGTTTTACATTGTATGTATAAATTTGCATTTATGCATCAATGTGTAATTATGAATAAAACCAAATAAAATTTAAATACCCGTTACGTCCATAAAAACCACATTGGCAATTTGGGTAAAAAGCGTTTACCAAAATGCACAAGTTTCAATGCATCTCTTTCATGATGTTACGAGGACGAATACTGTGGGAAAAGGAAATAGAGTTCTGGATGCCCCACACTTCTAGTGCCTGAATCTTGAAAGGACCCTTGCAGAGTGAGATGCTCTTGAATGTGTCACAGGGTTCTGAGTATCCTCCCATTAGGCCCTCCTGTAAGCAGAGTGCATGACCGCCATCACCACCTGTGAAGAGACACATATTTTAACAAAACATTAAGAATACAAAAATAATTAAAAATTACAGTCTATTCCTTTTAGGATATCAAATTGACATACCAATAACAAGCTGAGTGTCACTTCCTGCTATGAATCTGGAGGCCTCCTGTTCCTTATGTCTCTTTGGCTCCTTAGCAGTCATGGGCTCCTCTGAGGGTGCAGTAAAGGGGATTGTCAGGTAACTCGGGTCCTGGGGGGTTCCAGCTGGACAGGTCAGAGTTGTTGTGCTCATGGTTGAGTTAGTGTGGCACCAGTTAGTTTTGGACACCTCAGAGGAAGCCGCATTGTTGGCTCGAACCTGCTGAGAAGATCTCCTGGTCATGATGTTGACCACAGCCTGCTGGTAGCGCTCCATGTTGGGACGAAGCTGAAAGGGGGGATATTGTTTACACGATTACTACTTTTTGGACAACAGACACCCGGTAAGAAGTTGACTGAATATTATTATATTTATGTAGTTTGAATTCAACTTGAGAATCACCCTCCAGGGTTAAGAAGATGAAATCAGTAAATGTATCTCACCGTGAAAACAAAGCATTCTCCAGTCCCAAAGTATGTAAGTGCAGCAGAATCGTGCTTTCTCCTTTCAATCAAATCTGTTGACAGGAAGGCACCAAAGACCTGAAGAATGGGAATATTACAGTCATACATGATTCTATTTCTTTTCCATTAAGACATTATTATTTATCATCCATCAAAAGTGTCTCATTGTACATTATTTTTCATTGTATTACCTCTTCTTCCTCAGTTTTGATAATCAACACTGCTGGTTCATGTCCTTCCACATTAGAGTAGAATCTGAATGAGAGATAAAAATAACTTTTTTAACAGAATAAGAAAAAAAAGGGAAATAAAACATTATTTGTCTAAGGTGTGAAAAAAACCCCACTGTCTATGACTTGAAAGAAAAACACAATCACAACATGGATCGCAAAAAAGACATTTAAAAATGACCAGAAGTTGCAGTTCATAGGGTTCCGGGGGATTAAACATCTCTGTTAGAATATTGTCAACAAGTCCAGAGCAAATTTGAAATTGTTCTGAATGTATTGAAGGTATTTTTCTGCATGAATTATTTTTGTAACCGGACAGCGAACTTCGGCCACTTGACTTTCATGCTCAGCGCAAACAAGTTGACAGTAAAAACAACCAGTCTGTTTCTCTTATGTAACATGACCTGAGAATGCTTTAATCTGTTGGTACGAGGCGTTCAGCAGTTATTGACCCTCAGTGACCTGACCTCATTTGATAATGTCAATTTTACAACACCTGAAAGACCAACATTTTTGAAAAGAAAGAAAGAAATGGTTCTTGAAGTAACAGGTTTGCTGTTTTTGTCTGACTGATGGTGTTTTGGATGGGTTTTTGGTGGACCAAAGTCACTTACGAGGCAAGACTTCTTCCATGCTCCGCTGTACTGAAGAGTCTAATTGGACTGAAAAGTGCAAAGCGCTCAGGTATCCAGGCCCAGACCACTCTCATCTCAGTCGCTGTCACCACACTGGAGGTGATGTTGTTAAAGTTCACCGTCTCGACCGACTGCCTTTTGGAAAATTAAAAGAACTAAGGTCATTCTCACCTGTTTTTACAGCCCTTGCACTCACAGTTTTCTACTAATCTGTGCATTATAACTCACCTCCTCTGGTGTATGCTGACTCCTTTCTGCATGAGGGAGTCTTTGTTTGCATTGAACAGGAGGTTGAGCTCTCTCCGTATGGCCATTGGGATCATGAAACCTTTCTCCAAAAGTTTCTCAGCCGTGCAGTGACGAGCTATGTTCTGCACAAACCTCTTCATATCTGTTCTGAAGTCTTCCACGTCTGCCACCCGAGATGAGACGGATACTTTGTAGAGGCCGAGCAAAGCCAGAGCCACCCTGGAAAGAGTGACAGTCGATTTATCTAAGTGCTTTGTTTCTCTTTAATCAAAGTAATCTTTCATGTCATGAGAAACTACCAATTGGGGGACATGCAGCACTAACCTATAGAGCACCTTGTAGCCCTCTAGTAGATAGACATCCAGCACTCTGATAGCATATGTGAAGGGAAGGTCAGCGAATATCCACATAATCCAATCAGAGTAGAACTCAAAAAGGTTCTGGTGAGAGCCGGCGATCAGTTTTCGGATGCCTCTGCAGCACTTGTTTGCCAGGTCACCGAATGTCATACAGGAGGCGCGGTAGGTGAGGAACGTCTGGTCGATGTAGCGCTTGTTGGGGTCTTGGTAGCAGATGAGTCGGGAGACGCTGTGGAAGCACTCAGCTTCGTCCTGGCTGAAGTGAAGGAGCAGGGAGACCAGCTCAGGCAGAATGGGGCAAAAGTTCATGTCTGGGAAGTGTTTGCCCAGGCAGAGGAGGATCTTTTTGACGGCGTTCAGGCCGGCTTTGTTGAGACAATATCTAAACAGGAGAAGAATGAGGTCACATATACAGAGCATAACAAATACTGCCTCCAGCATACCCTTATTTTCACAATCCTTTGAGCATACCTGGGTATTTCTCCTGCCTCCATGTACTCTGGTACAGGATGGCTGCTGATTTTCTGCTCTCCAAAGAGATTCTTGGACAACTCATAGTAGACCTCTCTGTCTGGAGCAACTGACCCGCTACAACAATGGCAGCAGTTAACATTAAGGTCATATGGATTAGGAGATGAAAATATACATACAGTGGTTATTCTCTTCAAATCAGGAAATCCATCATGTCTTACATGGAAGTGATGCTGTGGATGATATGATAGTAAGCTTTAGCCCTGAGCGTATGAGGCATTTCCCAAAATCCTTCTCGGCCCATGGTTTTCAGCTGCTGGTGATCACTCTGAAGGATCTGTTGGTATCTTTTCGCTGCTTCAGGATCAATCTTCTCCCAGTCCACAAACTGGCCGTACTTCATCCCTTGGTTGGCGCTTATTTCCCAGTTGTCTGACTCGGAGATGGTGATCATGGTCAGGGACTTCAGACTGCCTCTACTGCCTTAAAGAAACGTACATGTGTTAACCTTTTATTTATTTATCATAATCATAACTTGATTAAAAAACATTGTAAGTTAGTTCACGTTGCATAAAAATATTTTCAGTACCATTAGGCTCTCTTGATGGGGAGATCTTGTTCAGTTTTGGCCTGGACTTCTTATTTTCCTTTTTGTTTATTTGATACTGTGGTTGGGAACTTGCCTTCTGCTTTAGAGGACTGGACAATGTGGAGGTTCCTGTGTCATGATTAGAGACCAGGTCTGATGTGTCCATACTGTAAAAGGACCTGCAAAGCAGTGCATTCAGCATTGTAGTTATACATTTAGTCATAAGACTATGAAGCCTCTATTGGGTATTTTTTTGTGTTAGGTGTGTCTACTATTTCTGTTATTTAAATCATGACACAAATCAGCATACATTTAGAGCTTGTTGCTACTTATTGAATGATCTCTGACATCATTTAGATGGAAAACAACAGCAGAATTTCTCATGTTGAAGGTCAAACATACCTGGATCGTGGTCTTAAAAAAGGTTCCTCTGCCTGCGTTTGCACACCGTAGTTCTTACAGTCCTCCCGATTATAGTAGGAGTGGGACCTCTGCCTGCCTCTACCTCCAGCCCCAGAGCCCAGGTCTTGATCAGTAGTCGTGTGCATCGAGACTTGCATCAAATTCATGTTTCCACAATTGGAGAACTCTGGTGATCTCGAAACTTGAAGCATCTCAAATCTTATTCTTCAACAAATTTAAGCTATCTGTCACTGTGTCTCCTGCAACTCCTGCACATTCCTGGGATCAGGGCTTTATGTTTGCCTGTGTGGGCTGTACCTTTGAGGCAGGCTATGGTGGTACAGCTTGTTTGTGGTGATCTCAGCCAATGAGAGTGTAGAAAATCAACTGGTGTACTTGTTTTCTGAGAAGTAAGAGGTCATAAACAAGGAATTTTACCTCGCAGGTCACATGACAAAATGTTGTTGCTAGAAAGGACATATTTTCTATTCATATCAAGCAGTCTTTAAATAACACTCCTCACTGCAATGCATGGCTTTGTGTTACATATAGTGTAAGATTGCGTGTGACCATTTTCATATTTAGAGTATCCATCATTATACTCAATATCTGCTCAGAATAAGGTCATAGGAGAGAGCGCCAAAATTTGTACATGTTGATCTTTCTCTGAAACGGCTTCGTGCGTACCATCAAAATGCCAGATGGGTCCATTCCGAGAACTTTTCCAAAGGTTATTATTCCATACAACAGATGTATGTTTTGATCCAAACACAACTGCTGTTTGCTTATGAAACATGAAACGTCTACAAGTACTTATCGCACATGGGGGCTCCACATGTAATGCAGTTGAAAAACAAACTTGTTAGCCCCATGAAAGGAGAAAGTATGCTATTGTTTCATGGTGTTACTTTCCATGAAGGCAAAGGAAAAAATAGCCAAAGTTCTACTTGTACTTTTGGGGGGAAAGGTAAAAAAATAAAGGCAGCAAGGAACAGGTTCATAATTTCCGATCTTCACATCAGTGAGGACTTTGAAAATGTTTTTCTGATGTTCTTTTCTGGGCTGTTTTGCCTCTCTCTCTCAGGCCATCAGTGTATGAAAAATCATCTGAAAAATATAGGCCACTGTTTGACAAAAACTAACTTTAGATGCCTAAAAATTCACACCTATATTTCTTTACACTTTCTTTCACAAGGTTCATTTGTCAGTAAAGGGAGCAAATCTACTAAAAGGCATTTATTCTGGCATTTCCAGTTTGCTCCTATCAGTAAATTTTGTTGAACAGTTGAAACTTGGATTCATGTACACTCTGAGTAGTAGGCATGCGATTTCTATTACAATCATGACATAAGAAGTATGACAACGGTGTAGATGGTACCTTCTGTACCATTTACACTTCTGTACCATACCCTCTCAGGATAGATAACATTATTATCTATACTCGATGTTACGATGTGTTTGACCCTAACTTTATTTTACCCGGGAATATCCCTTTAATAACGAAATTTAAGTGGCAGACTGTACAGCTAAAGAGCACTCAATATGAAGCACACAAAGCAATATTCAAACCGAAAATATCAAAAAAAGTGAAAAAGACAAGGACAGCAAAGATAGAATAAAATAGGATATAAATATAAAAAATACAGAACATCGAGGATTAAAGTAAGAAGAGTGAAGATAGTTTTGTTTCGGTTAACTTGGTGGCAGTATACCGGCACAAACCGCCAACATCCGCCAAAATACACGAAGAAGAAGAAGAGATGGGGGCGGAGCTTACCTCAGTGACGTCAAACACAAACAAGAAGCAGTCTGCTCCTGATTACTGCCGGATGTTTCTAACTAATAATACTAATAAGTGGATTTTTCCTTCCTAGCCAAACTTTATCGTTATGTCTCAAGATCCTTGGTAAGTCATTTAGTCTACTCCTTCGATAAATGTCTCTACCGTTTTGTCAGCTTTAACTAACGACGCTTATTGCCAGACAGGTTAGCTTCTGTGTGTATCCTGTTAGATACAGAGCGAGCGCTCACCTACCAAGATAAAGAGGAACGAACACAAAATACTTCAGGTAGCATTTCCTAGAATATGTCTGCGAGATACAAACTTCGTTTTTCGCATGTCTACCATGCGAGGGTTGAGACTTTTTTAACGTTAGCACAAACGAACCAGGAAAGAGGGCAATACTGAAAGAGTCACATGACAGTTTCAGCTGATTATCAGACTTTGAATGAAACCAAAATACAGAAATACCTCAGTTATAACACAGACGAGGTGTTTGTTGAAAACGTGAGATGCAGCTCAAGTTACTCAGCCTTTTGACTCACGATGTTGAATTTACAAAACTGCATCAATTTTCACCATCAGAAATGAATAAAGAGTCATTAAAGTCTTTTTGTTACTAGTCATAACATTATGAACACCTGGACAATCTTATGCAACCCATTTGAACACTTGTGTGGCAAATTTTCAGTTTTTGATTACATGGTCTGAGAGGGGATTGTTGTGCATAAATCTTAAAGTCATGGTGGGTGGAGTGGTACTGGAGTGTGCTATACTGACAGGTGTATTTTGTCCATTTAAAGAGATATACCGGCGTAAAATTAATTTAGGGTCAAGCACACCATAACACTGAGTTAGACACCCCCTCGAGCGATGAATGTTGTTGACTGCTTGTTTCTCTAGTTATACCAACTTTAGTAACGGCCACAGAATAGCAATACACAGCAGTCTGAGGAGCCACACACAAACCTCAACCAAAAAGCCACTCTATAGCCACAAAAAATGCTCAGAACAGCACCTTACTTCATCAACAGTACATATAGGGTCCTAGTCACAGCAGTAGCCACCAAACATCTTTTTGACTTTGCCTAATTTCTTTCGCAAAGAGACTAAACACAACTCACCTACTCTCCTCCAGCAGTCGCTTGTTTGTAGCGACACCTTGGGTGCATCCATAATGGGCTACAGTGGGATGACGCAGCTCAAGGAAGAACATTTATGATCATTTCTTCATCATTTCCTTGAAGTAATAATCATCATATTAATCATTTTGCACTGGAGAAACGGTAGTTCTTCTCCCTTGGCATCTTAGTCTGATTGCATTTCCATAAAGAAATGATCATGAATGTTCTTCCTTGAGCTGCGTCACCTCGCAGCAGTCCGTAATGGACTGGCCTGAGGTCTCGCTACAAACAAGCGGCTGCTGGAGGAGAGTAGGTGAGTTGTGTTTAGTCTCTTTGCTAAAGAAATAAGGTAAAGCTAAAAAGATGTTTGGTGGCTACTGCTGTGGCTTGGGCCTTATATGTACTGTTGATGAAGTTAGGTGCTGTTCTGAGCATTATTTGTGGTTATAGAGTGATGTTTTGGTTGAGGTTTGTGTGTGGCACCTCAGACCGCTGTGTATTGCTGTCCTGTGGTCGTTACTGAAGTTGGTATAACTAGAGAAGCAAGCGGTCGTCAACATTCATCTCTCGATTGGGTGTCTAACTCAGTGTTACAGTGTGTTTGACTCTAAATTAATTTTACAGCAGAATATCCATTTAATTCACAAACATGAGGGGAGAAAAATATTGGGAAAATTGTCAAAATGATGTAGTCCAGTTTACCAACAACACCCACTATAACTTTATCAAATCAATTTCAATAAGAACAATCATCTCTGTGACCCTGTCAACAAAAACTGAAAATGTAAAGCAGATGTCTCTCTATGTTTGAGGTTACTATCTGCCAGGATGCAGTTATATCCAGGTCAATGTACATTTCATGTCTTGTTAATTCACACCTAGGGCACAGGATTATGACGCCACTTGTCGCTTGGCACAGGAAATCGCAGAAAACATCCATGAAAGGAACAGGCAGCAAAGAACAGGGGGGAACCCTGCAAAGGTATACAGAGACATTTATGGCTCAAGTAGAATTATCTAAGTGAAAAGTTTGTGTTTCTCATGTTGTTTTCCGGCACTAATATCGTCTGCTCTTTTTCAGATCAACATGACACTACGAGCATCCCTTCAGAAGCTCAAACAGAATATTGGTCATCTCAAAGATGGTGTGCTGCGAGCATCATCATCCCGGCGAATGTATCCTCTCCTCTAAGAATGTGTCATGTGGAGAAGTCATGAGATGTCGTTCACTTTTATTCCTCTGTTTGCAATTGCAGCTGCTTTCCTGAAGAGCGTGCCAGAGTGTTATGAAAATGTTTCCCTAACCTGCTAAATGTCTCCAGCAAGGTGCAAACAGAAGGGAATAGTCAGGTGCATCTGTTTTCCTCCAGTTTTCTATGTTGTTCATAAAGTGACGTTGACCTTAACATGACTTGATCAGCATGCAGGCAGAAGCTGACAGGAGGCAGAACCTCATCGACGACCTGCTGACCAGAGAGAAACAGCTCAGTGCTACCTTCAAGGGAGACATCACAGAGCCTGAGCCCTCAAGGTATTCAAAAGTAGTCTAAATATTTATCACCATATATATAATAAAAAAAAAAAAGAACAATAGTCAGTGTTTGGAACTTTTATATCTCAAGATCAAATGTTATTATTCGTTTAAAGAATGTTAAGAATTTTGAATTAGCATTTTGATGAAATTATCAGTAAACTGTTGGAGGAGATAAATGGAGCTTTTGATGAAAATTATTAGGAAATTATGACGGCTCTTCTTCGTGTGAAACAAAGGTAAATTATTACAATTGCTAAGTATTCCTGGTACATGAAAAAGTCAATCTGTTAGCTATTTTCAATTGTTTTAATCATTAAAGGGATATTCCAGGGTAAAATTAATTTAGGGTCAAACACACCATAACACCGAGTTAGACACCCTGTTGAGAGATGAATGTTGCAGACCACTTGCCTCTGTAGTAATACTAACTTTAGTTACGACCGCAGGATCGCAATACAGAGAGCCTCACGCTCAAACAAAACGCCACTCTATAGCCTCAAATACTCAGAACAGCACCTAACTTCATCAATAGTACATGTAGGGTCAAGACCATAGTACCAACCATCAAACAAGCAGCTGCTGGAGGAGAGTAGGTAAGTTGTTTTTGTCTCTTTGCTAAAGAAATTAGGCAAAGTTAAAAAGATGTTTGGTCGCTAGTACTATGGCTTGGGCCTTATATATTGATGAAGTTAGGTGCTGTTCTGAGCATTATTTGTGGCTATAGAGTGGCTTTTTGGTTGAGGTTTGTTTATGGCTCCTTAGACCTATGTGTATTGCTATCCTGCAGTCGTTACTAAAGTTGGTATAACTAGAGAAGCAAGCAGTCGGCAACATTCATCTCTCGAGGGGATGGCTAAATCTGTGTTACTGTGTGTTTGACTCTAAATTAATTTTACAGCAGAACATCCCTTAAGAGTTTCCAAGTTTCTTCAACAGCAAGATTGTCCCGACACGGCCTTGACATTTTTTTTAAGTATATGTCCTCGGTCGGTCTTTTGCGTCATTGTCAGGAAACCCAAATCAAGCATTTCTTGCCCTAATTCTCAGAAGAAGCCACTTCTTCTCTTAGACCTTTTTTTGTATATCAAAATATCAGAAGCTGGCTGTCCAATTAAAAATAATGACTCCTCATTCCCCTCTTCATGTTTTTGACCACAGAGGTCATTGGCCCTTTTCTGTTCTTTGATGGTATGTCAGCGGTCACTAACTTTCTCTGCAAGTCTTCGCACATCCGTAGTGACCCGTGTGCCGTGACCTCATCACTCCAGAGGAAGTCTGTCCGTCTGCCGTTCTGACAGGGCGCTCAGCTTCATGGCTAATTCTCCTTCATTAGGAGATGTGCTTGCTTTGCTCTGTTGATCACACATTTGGCACCTCCTGGAATGAAAACACACACACACACACACACACAGACACACACACAAACTCACATCAATATGTACAAAGATGGGAGGTGTGACTTCTCGGAGCAATTATTCTAGTACTTGTGGATCCAATCAAAGAGGTGCATGTCACAGCCTATATCCTCTTCATCACCTGATTTGACGTCGATGTGACAGTTTTGAAAACTTTACAGCAACATACAGTCATTACTGTGTGAAGAGTTTGACCTGCTCCAGCTCAGAGGATTCCTATTTGGACAGGAAGAGGAAATGGGGTCATGTTGTTACCTTAGCGAGGTTATGGGCTGTTTAAAAAATGAGTGTTTTCATACATGGGACTTCTGTGTTGTTTCTTAGAGGCCCAGTATTGACTGAAAATCTCAGCTCATGTGCAGTTGTGTATGTCTGTAAGTGACTGGGCTGAAAGCAGAAGAAGAAGAAGAAAAACACTGAACTTTTTAATTACATCAGTTGAACTTGGAGAACCACTTTTATTGATGTCTTGATAGAAGACTGCCTCTGTCTGGTGTCTTTCACAGGCTCTGGTTTGGGGACTGATCTGCTTAGTGGTGCTTTGCACAGGCTTTCATCTTTTTACAGACCACACACCCAATTACATAAAAGGCCCTGTAAAAAACCTCTAATGACATTTTCTAATACATTAGCTCGGCAAACTGTAATCATGTGGTTGTAGGGTTTTAAGTTTGCTCAGTGAGACCTAAATTTAATCGTGATGTATGGTGGGTAATTTGGATTTGTGGGTACCCACTGTGTGGTCTTTGAGGACAGATTGTGGGAGGGGGTGGATTGGCCATGCCCGGATAATCTAAGCTGCTGTTTTTTTTTGTTTTTTTTTTTGTGAGAACTTTTGGAAATAAGAAAAGAGAGTCCTAACAGAAGAGGCTTTAATCCATCCCTTTAACCGTAAAAGCATCTCCATTTCAAAATGGACACCGCGCCTATATTTGAAGGATCCGTTCACCTCGTTACCCAGCTGACCCACCTTACTTTTATTCACTAACCTCCCCTTTGTGTGCGATTGCGCTGAAAATAGCTGTAATTGGTTAAATCTCGCCTGTCTGAGTCGTTCAGTCAGGACATGGGTGCTCAGGCCACGATGGCGGCAGTCTAGTTCAAGAGATGTGCCTGACTGGTTTTGGCGCTCCCCACTGACCGGTTAATTGGATCTTCACACACCGGGCAACGGTAGGGAGGAAATGAAGGGCTGGCACACGGTCTCATAGTAATCAAACATGTCAGAGAGATTAGGGTGAATGCCTCGTCTCACCTACTTCTCTGATGGTATCAGACTCAGCTTGCCAGCTTTGTGAGTGGTCTCACAATGCTTGACTTCCCACTTCAAAAACAGCTTGAAGCAGTCATCGCACTGAAATGCACGAGCCCGGCTGAGAATTAAGTTGCTTTATGTGCATCTAATGCAGAGAACAAATGGACACAAATAGTTTTACTTTTGAGATTTTTGAACGCAGCAGCGGACAATTCACTCGCTCACAGACATGAGTTAATGTAGCCTTGCACAGAGATCCTGGACCTGTCACCCAGAGAGAGTCATGCGGGAGTCAGAAACACAGCTTTAAGTTGTTAGCAGAGAAAAAGCCTCAAACCACACAGCATTGTTAAAGAGCAGAGTAGAGTACGGCGCAGTGCAGAGGGGTCTCTGGTCTGTCAGTTTGTCTGACAGAAACCTCCCCAGCAGCTCACTGTCCTGTTACAGATTATCACAGACTGTTTACACTCTGCACAAGCTGGCCTGGTATTTTCAGCTCATTTCAAGGCAGATTGAGTCAAGAGATTTTTGTTTGAAAGTGTTAAAAAATGTTCAGAGTTAAGATTCGTAATTCAGATATGACAGGAACAGATTTCTATCCCACCACCTGTTCACTTTAGCTTTTACGCTCACTTGTAGTAAACTGTTCCCTGAGTTGAGGTATGTCTGAATTATGAAAACATTTTGAGAAGTTAACATCCTAATGGTTTTTACAGATCATCACTGATGAGTGAACGGGCAGGAGGAAGTGGAGGAGCAGCCAACCCCTGGCTGATCAATGAGACGGATGAGACCAGAGGGCTGAGCTTTGGGGAGATCAAACAGCAGCAGCAAAGAATCATTGAGGGTAATTACACGTAATTGAATGAATGGTAACAGTTATGTTCTGCTTTCTTACCTGTGTGGGTGAAGCCCACAGCTGCAGCAGGCCTGCAGGACAGTCAACAAAAGACGTAACTGAATTTTAGGCACACTTCTTGTTCATCCAAAGAAAGCTTTAAGTTTCATGTGGTTTTATCTTATCACAACAAAGTTATCATGAAAGCTGCTGTAAGGAACTTTTTGCATGTGTTGGTTCTGGTGCCCCCTTGTGGACAAAGTGTTACCCTGTATTTTCAGTCCTGTTTTTTTTTAATATCTTTTTATTGAGAACAAGGTACAAAGAGACAGTAATGTAAAGAGACCATATTTTTTGATTTGATTTTGATTTTTGATTAAAAAGAAGGGGGAAAAAAAGTGGAAGTAGATAATTTGACTGTCAAGTTTAAGAGTAAATGAGGAGGCCATGCTTGCTGAGCAAAATCCAGTCCAGTTTTTTCACCATGAAATATTTGTGTCACTTTCAGTATTTGCAATTGAAAATTTAAAAAAGGCTGTTTCTTCATCCTGTTGTCAGTCATAGGGTCTGAAACTTTCCCCACACAGCGTCTTCAGTCATTCAAAATCACAATAAAGACATTCTCTGTCTTTATTTGATGCTCATAGAGAGGCACCAGTATCAGCTTGAGTCACTTTCTCAACCAGCTGAAAACTCCTTACACTGCCTTTAGGATTATTCAGGGATGCTGAAACCATATATAGCATTAAAATGTGGTGTATTATGGTATATTTTTTCATCCTAATACTGCATACACCTTTATTAGGTGTCGATAACCGTTGTTGTGATTAAATGTGTTTCTGACATATACAGTGTTCAGCATAAATGAGTACACCTCTTCAGGGTTGTCAGAAAACCTTTAGTTTCCTTTTAAAATAAGCATTTTTTTTTATGTCAGATGATACAACAAAATACTCCCCCAAATGTAGGCCATTGATTGCAAACAAGATTTTTTAAGTTGCATACAAAAAAGTATTTTTTTTTTTCGATTTAAAATCAGGATGCAAAAATGTGGACACCCCAATCAAAGTTCTGGGAGCAAAGCTACATTTTAGTTTCCATATCATCCTTATTTTCATCTTATGGTAAATAAAACTCAGCTTTGTCAAATCTTTGGAAATTGTACTTTTGCTCATCTAGATATTGAGTAATCCATTACTTTTAATAGGGGGTGTACTGACTTATGCTGGGCACTGTGGTAACCACAGAAAATTTTGCTGACCTTTAATCAACATTAAGCTAATGTTAGCCATACCAATCTTATTTGCATTATTCCAGTCTAAAATATGTTACCTCTGCCTGTGTTTTCGTGTTTCCTGAGTGGTTTTGTCATGACAAAAACACTCAGATGTTAAATCACCTGACTCGACCTGACACGTCAGTGCTCTGTCTCTATTACCGCCCTGGTTATTGTCAAATTGGGATCAGAGATCCCTGCTTAGACAGTTCAAATCAAACCACATGGAGGTTTCTGGTCTCTCCTGGGAAATCTGGTTGATCTGGGTAATGGTGAGTGTCTGAACTTGTGGTCATAAGAAAATCCTGTGGTGAGGAGTTTGTGTAAACTCAGAAACCGAGAAAGGACAAATCTTTTCTTTCTGTTTTTCCTCTCTATTTCCTTTTTTTCCTCTTTCTTTCTCCTCCGCTACTTATTTTTTATTTTTTTCTTGACTTCATCGAGCTGCACTGTTTCTCTCTTACCCTTGGCCTGCTGCAGTTATAAAAACAGGCGTAAGGCTGAGTGGGGTAGAGAACTGAATGACTCAAATGTGGTGCTCCTTTTTCCTCAAGAGCTTAATCATTATATCACAAGTTTAACACACTGTGACTCCTTCGCTCTTGCACACAAAGGTTCCAGGATTGCAGTGTTGTTCATCCTCCCATCCAACAGATCTGGACATACTGTAAAGTTGACTCCTTACTTGCGGTCCTCTTCTTTAGCTTGTTCCCCATATTGCTCTGGGGCGTTGCATAACCCTGGTGCTCTCACACATCGTTTCTTTCTTGACTCATGTTCCAGTGTGTCATGCTTTTTGTGTTCGCTCCCCCCTTCTTCACAGCCCAGGATGCAGGCTTGGATGCACTCGCGGCTGTCATCAGCCGGCAGAAGATGATGGGCCAAGAGATCGGCAACGAGCTCGATGAACAGAACGGTGAGTTTGAATTTGCGTCTGTACATATTCGTCACGAAGAAATTCCAGACGCATTACGCCGCACCGCAATGGGAAAGCAGTCACACATACTTGTCCTGCTGTGGAACGACTTGCATCATGTAACTTTGCTGCACACTGATACTCCCTCACACCAGCGCTCAACTCTGCACACACACACACATGAACACAAGTAAACACACCCTCACACTTTCACTGTCAGAGAAACTGACTTCACATTCAGGTCAGGCTGTCTGTGACCTCTCTCTCCTTGTTACTTAAACATGACCAAAAAAAAAAGAAAACAAAGAGTTTTGGTTTCTGGAATCAGATCTGCTTCGAGATAATGGAGCTTTTAGGTTATTTTTATCAAAATGCTTCTCATCAGTGCATTAGGTGGAACGCGCCACACAGACTGGAGTACATTGCACCAGACAGTTTTTAAGCCCAGACGGGTGCTACTTGAGACTGAAGACTTCAGGACGATTATCTATCGAGTGTTGGACGATTAGATCCATTAATGCATCACTTTCACAACTCTATAGCTGTGACTACACCGAGGACTGAGAGTGTTACCTTACAAATAGGATGTACACATGTATTCCTATCCTTTTTTTAATTAAATCATGACTGCAAATGTTCACAATCAGAATATGTTCTAGTTTGTCTCTGTCCTCTTTGACAAGCAGGGTTAGAAATTCCTCTTCAGAAACTGTCTATAAAGGAGAAGAGGGAATGATAAAGCCCACTGTAATAATGGAGGTGTTTAAGTCCCACTACGATTGTTTTCATCTACTACTTAAAGTGTTCTTGGTGGTCTTTAGATTGTGATTATGAAGTTTTATGTGATTATGAAGCGCTGCTCTGCACACTCCTCTTCATGCTAGCTTGTAGCCTAATATTGCCGGTGTAGACGAAGTAGCAGGTAACAAAGGAGCTATTCAGCTCGCGGAAACGATTGTCTTTAGGGGCATGATGCAAGCTAATATCATAATTAGCTTTCTTACGATCATTGCAATCCGTTAACGCACACTCTTGTTCCGCGATCATCCTCTCTACTTTTCCGAGTGTGGCTGGTATAGCAGGGCTCTGGGGGCTGAGCTTGGATTTATGATGTAGGAAATCTCACTGAACCTGAGCCTGCCATTTGCATCTGTGAGAGATTCACAGCGATTTGAATGAAGAAAGACTCAGAATTGCAATTTCCTACTTACTTTTCTTATGATATGTCCTGTAGCATCCGAAAAATGCCATATGAACATGTAGACAACAAGAAAAACATGATTTTTATCAAAGTGGGTCTTTAAAGCTTTTGGTTGAAGTGAGTTAACTTAAGACATGGTTAGGAGGCCAATGTGGACTTAAAATACCCAGATTTAGGGCTGTATGAATTAGTGGGCTTGTTAATATAGTTATTTTAGAAGGATGGTAAATCCTAAAATGTAACAGAAGACCTGCTGGAGCTTTATAAAACAAACACTTCAGAGTTTAATTCCAGGTTTGATTGAATAAGTTGGAAAATTCTTCATGAAAGTGAAAACCATTTAGGGGTGTGTGGTTGGATCTTGTTTTATCGCCAGGATCAGTGCTCAGGATATTGGATCAGTGCTCTAACACTGCAACTGGTGTGTGTTTTTTTCAGAGTTTTTCTCTTTTTGTTCAGCTTGGTGTCATCATTTCCCCTAATAACAAACCTGAACGGCTCATGAGAGAGATGTTACAGAGAATTTCACCAAAGAGAAAATTATTTCATCCCTGGAAACAAGTGCTCCATACAACACTCTAGTTACGACTCCTCATGACAGCTGATCTGTCTGTTTCATGACTGCTTTCATGATGTCGTAATCGAAACGTTTCTTTTTGGTACGTAGTGGATGTTATGATCTAATGCCATTCAATCCTATCTGTACTGAAATCTACACCAACTGCTTTAAAGATGAAACAGCTGCTTTTTTTTCTTTGATACAAGCTGCGCACTAGAGGCAGAATTTCTCTGCATGATTTACAGCCCAGTTTGAGGTTCATGTGGCCTGCTGACACCACACAATCATTCACAGGGCCTGCAGGGCTCAGGCCTCTGACAGGTTTTCTTTACCTAACTGTGCTTCTTTCCTTTGTGCTGCTGCTGTGCTGCTTATCCATCTCTCATCACACTCTCCGTACAGTACAGTACAGTCCTCCTAATCGTGTATTACTCACTCACTGGTGAATAATACTGTCGAAGTTTACATATCACTGTCTGATGTTTTGTTCCCACAAGTATAGAGCATTGTTGTTCTCTTACTTTGGCAGTTGTGTTTCTTATCAATTGTAACTTGTGTGTGATATAATTCATTATCCCACACTTTTTAATGTATACCCTCAGGCCAGTCCTACTCGTATGTAGGGCTGAGCGATTTTGGAAAATGGTCTGATTGCAATTTTTCCTCAATATTGCGATTGTGATTTCATATGCGATTATTTTTTCAAGGTCCTCTTCTAATGTATTTTTCAACAAACAAACAACAGATCAATTCGTATTATAGTAAGAATATCAGATTAATTCTACATAAATTGTTCTTTCTGGCAATTATTATTTCTCACACACACACAGGTGCTCTCTGCTCACACACTATCACACACACTTATGCACGCGCCAGCATATATGTCATGATACTTATCTACACACCAAAGGCGAGATGTAATCGGTGCCTAAAACACTGAAGTCTATTCATTCAGCTGTCCTGCCATCACCGTATTCGACGTGTTTTCCGTCGTTATGCAGATGTGGTTTGAAGTTGAAGCTCTGGTCGCTGGTGTTTTAGCCCTTCAACTATTATACATGGCTTTGTTGCATGTTTTTAAGTGTCGATAAATGTTCATAGTGTTACCTTCTGATGTAGCAACAGTAGCATGATAGGTTCTGCACACGTTGCGCAGCGTCATCTTTTTTTGCCAAAATAAATCCACACAGCTGCCGTCCTACTCCTTTTTGGTACTAAACTCTCTGCAGTGTCAGCTTCTATAGCAGAATTAGGATATACGTAGTGCAACAGAGTGCAGTATTGACTTCTCTTTCTACCTGCTCTGCTCCGCTCTCAAGTCACGTGACCAGATCATGTGACCTGTCAAAATCGCAGCCTTTGTGGTTAGAAAATCGCTTTTTATCATATCGCCATGAAATTGCAAGTGCAATTACTCTTCAAGCCCTACTCGTGTGTAAAGATTGTAACTTTTACACGCCTGAGGTTTCCCATCCTTGCATTAAGTCTGCATACATTTTCTTGAAGATTAAACTGAGTAGGAAAGTTGAACTCTTTTTTTTTTTCTTAGGATTGTTCTTAAATGACCTGAGTTATTACATCAGCTGGATTTGTAGGTGCCGCATTTCTTACTGGAACCAAATCTCAAAATCGGCAACATAAAAAGTAAGTGGATAGTTTAATGTTTCAAGGGGAGAAAATGGATTTAAATTGGGTAGCAGGAGAGCTCCAAGGCCTGTGCTTGATCTTGTCAGTTGGTGAGTAACCTTGGCATCTGCCTGTCTTTCTGTCTGTCCCCCCCTGATCACTGTACTGAAACTGTGTTTTCCTATAAATAGATTAAGCTCTTTGTAGTTTGGCTGCCCCAGTCTAGCTCATGACCCAAGTGCAGTGGAGGTTGAAGTCACTTCCTTTAAGGGAAACAATTCCGGCTGAGGTCAGCAAGGAAAGCGACCCTTTTCAGAGGTTTGAAGATGAACCCAAGGCCCCCAGTTCCTCCCTCTCCCAGTCTCAACTGAATCAGAACAGACCGAAACGTAGAAATGAGTAAGCAGACAGATTACCTCAATTCCAGTCTGTGCTTGATGGCTCATAACATTAATCCATTGCATACTGAACACTTTTCCTTCTTACTTGCCAGTCATAACAAAATGAGAAATTCAACTGTTATTTTTAGTGTGTTAAACTTAGTTAAATGATGTGCTGTCATCACGTGTTTTCATATTTCGAACATGACGCGAGCAAAGAGCGGTATATATTTTCATTTCCAAACTAAATGTTGCAGAAAATAGCCTCACACATACCGACTGGAATGGCTTGCATCAGCACAGCAGTCGTCTCCCTTCCCAACAAGAAACAGCAACATTAATTTCACTTAATTGGTGTTGATAGTTCTCAGAGTGTGGCCCGGAGCAATGACATCAGTCCACGTCAACGTCTTGAACTTGTGAGTGACAGACAGTGGCAAAGTCGTTAAAGTTAATCCTCTTGAAGGGCGAAAAACGAGATCGACTGTCTCATTTATTTGCTTTGTAGGCCTTCTTTTAGATCAGATTTGAATTGTGGTTAGATAATGCGACTATGACATAAGATTTTCTGTAAAAGCTCCAGTGAAGGGTTAGTGTGACTGAAAACCACGTGATGGTAGACAGACGTTGCGACACAATGACATCAGTTTGAAGAAAAAAGAGGGGGTTTATAATCATTTTAGTTTATCTCCATGAAAAAGTCCAACAAATTAAAGCTCGACTAATCAAAATGAGCTAATCATACATTATTACTTTTCCACCTTATGTCACTGTCTTTGAAATTTAACAAGCTGCGCTGAGTTTACCATACATCAAATTTATAAACAAATCAAGTCACTGCTATTTGTGGCGTAATGTCTGAGCTACTAGATTGTCGTTTTGGATAAACTTCAGTCAGCTCTTGAAAGTTTGTCTAACTGAACCATTATCTTATCACGCCCTGTCAGATTTTATCCCCTGTCTTATTGTTGTGTTTTGGGATGGTTGGCATCGCCATTTAACTCCCACCTCAACTGAGTTTACGCCAATACAGATAAAGTGCGCAGTGTTCCCCGGATCTTGGGAAGAAACAGACCATCAGTTTTGATTGAGACCTTCTGGAACAAATTTTAGATAGATTTTTTTTTTCCTGTCTGCACTGCAGCAGGTCTGACCACATGTGTGCTCTTTGTTTTGTCTGAAACTTAAAGATAAGAAACTGTGGATGCCTGGTTTGAATGTTACAGAAGCAGCTTTGTCCATGTTTGGTGATGTTTTTGTTGTTACAAGCATCTGCTTTGTCAACAAACTATTCATTTTATCCTGGCTCGTTTATTTGGCGAAAAAGTCACTGCAAAAAATGAACGGCTATGACTAGTGCTGGACGATAATTCGATAACAATATATATCGATCGATAGACGTGTGCTGCGATAGAAAAAAAACGGGTCGATAAAAAGTTCGATAGAAAAACACAGTTTCCCTTTCTTTTTCATCATAGCCTATCATGTAGCTTTTACTACAGTCATTACGTCCTCCCAACCGATCACAAACGCAGACCCAGGTACGCTACGGCACCAAGCCCAGCCCCTATCAAACCACAACAGACAGCACGTGTATTAGAAAAAATGATACAGCAAGGAGAAGCGGAGGACATTGTCCCGAAAAAAGGTTTCAGTAGTTCACCAGCATGGCAATGTTTTGGTTTTTAGAAGTCTGACAAAAAGCGAACAGCGGTCGTTTGCAAAATTTGCAGAGAATTAGTAAAAACCAAGTCTGGTAACACAACCAACTTGTTCTACCATCTAAACCGATCGCACCCGCAGGAGTACGAGCTGTGTCGGCCGCGCCGCGGCTCCACGTCATCGTCGGAGGAATCCTCTGGAACCGCTGCCAGCACCAGCACAAAGCATGTGAAGCAGACCAAACTGGACTTCGTTTCTCTCCAAAAATACGACAAAGCGTCCAAGCGGCATAAGGACATCACCCATGCAGTAACATGCTCCATAGCGAGGGACATACTGCCAATAACTACCGTTGAAAAGCCTGGCTTCGACCAGCTTCTAGCCACTCTCGACCCGCGATATGAAGTGCCCGTCCGCAAATATTTCTCAAACACAGCGCTTCAGGCATGAAAATGGGTCAGGGTGTTGTGCCGTAGAATGCACCCCTGCATCCCGTCCACTCATTAGCTTCTTAAAGTGGAAGAAAATGAGCTCATGTTTTACAAAGACGCAAGTATTTGGATCATGGCTACTAGCAGGGGGTGCATTCGGCAGGGGTGCATTCTACGACACAACACCGGCGTCGATAAGTCCTGCTTCTCGTGCTTAGTTTGTGTATTAAGTCAATCACATGATAATTAAAAAAAATAAATCTCCCGACCCCGGGAGAAATATTTCAGTGTTCAGACACCAGGCTGTGGGCAGTTTCCCACACAGTTAAAACTGGTAGTATGCTATTCCCACCTAAAGCTATTCTGTTTATTTATATATTTGTTTTGTTTATTTTCATCAAAAGACTATTTAAATATTTATTTATCAGATTTTCTGGTCACTTTAGTCTTTATGTTTGTCAGTATTTACTGATGTCACTCAGGCCACTTAAGTTGATTTCTTTTTTTTTTTAGTTCTTTTTTAAAAAACTTTCAGTTGTGGTAAAATAAAAAAGGTGGTTGAATAAAGGTTTGAATTTGAATTCAGTGCTTGTGTGTTCTTTATTAAAAGTAGGTCATTAAGCAATAGCATAAAACATCCAGGGCTGCAATTAAAATATATGTTAAATAATTATAATAATTATATCGATAATTATCGATATCGATCAATATGATTTATTTTTTATCGATATGCTTTTTTTCTATATCGTCCAGGCCTAGCTATGACTAACTACTCTCCAGTTTGATTTGCTGTTAAAGGGATATTCCAGCGTAAATTTAAGTTAGGGTCAAACACACTGTTACACCAAGTTAGAAACCCCCTCAAGAGATGAGTGTTGCTGACTGCTTGCTTCTCTAGTTAAACCAACTTCAGTAACAACCGCACGATAGCAATACACATCGGTCTATATCTCCATGCGCAAACCTCAACCAAAACTCAACTCTATAGCCACAAATAATGCTCAGAACAGCACCTAACTTCATCAACAGTACATATAGGGTCCCAGCCACAGCACTAGCCACCAAACATCTTTTTAACTTTGACTAATTTCTTTAGCAGAGAGAGACCAAACACAACTCACCCAGTCTCCTCCAGCAGCGGCTGGGGAGCCCTGACAAGTTGATCACCAAGTGCAGCGGAGTTTCGCAGCTCAAGGAAGAACATTTCTGATTATTACTTCACGGAAATGCAATCAGACCAAGACGCTAAGGCAGAAGAACTACCGCGACTACAGTGTCAAATGATTATTATGATGATTATTACTTAAAGGAAATGATCTGCTGTACTCAGTGAGCGACTCATCAGGGCTCCCCCCACAAACAAGCAGCTGCTGGAGGAGAGTAGGTGAGTTGTGTTTAGTCTCTTTGCTAAAGAAATCAGGCAAAGCTAAAAAGATGTTTGATGGCTAGTACTATGGCTGGGACCCTTTATGTACTATTGATGAAGTTAGATCACTGTGTATTGCTATCGTGCGGTCGTTACTAAAGTTGGTATAACTAGAGAAGCAAGCGGTCAGCAACATTTATCTCTTGAAGGGGTGTCTAACTTGGTGTTATGGTGTGTTTGACCCTAACTTAATTTTACGCCGAAATATCCCTTTAAAGCTCCACTGTGGGGTCTTTTGGAATAAACTAAAAGTCATAGTAATGTGTTAAAAGCAAACAAGACCAGGAGGGATAGGATTGATGATTTTAATGGTGAAGTATGAGCAGTAGTAGCTTCAGTCTTTCTCTATCAGGTAAGTGTTGAATGTCAAAGGATGGAGGCTGAAAAAGTGAAGAAAATAATCATCTATCTCTAAAATAATAAGCTTAAAATGTTTCTATTGCACTGCCAGTAGGGGCAGTATGAAGCAAAAACTGTTTCTTCAGTAAGTAATATTCTCTGGCTGACTTATGTTGTGTGGTTTTTCACTTTTCATATGTTGTTTCCATTATTTTGCCCTTCCCACTCAGGGATTTGATGTGTCATTCATGGATCTCTTTAGCAGAGCACATGTGTAGCTGCTGCTGTGACTCAGCTATGACCTTTTGCTAATGGGAGTGTTTTTAAAGCACTTTGTCACCCAGCCTGATTATCCTTAAGCTTGCGTTCCAAGATTTCTGTCTATCAGTGCGCCAGCCGCTCGAGAACTAGAATCGGCTCCGCTCAAATGATGGACTGGCTAATAATTTGATCACTGATGGGATTTTGCGTCAGTACGCGCAGGGCCCAGGTTGGACAGCGGTAATGACTTCCAAATAAACAGAGTAGTGAAAAGAGAGAGGCACTAACCACTGCAGCATGGTGACATCAGCCGCTGCCACATAAAACACAGCCTGCTGCCTTTTTCTGCTTTTAGAAAGAGCTCAGCGAGCAAATAAACCACGCTAATGATGGCACTCGGCACAGAATCAGTGTGCTGAAAGTAGTAGATTGATTTATTTATATCGTTTGTTTCGCACCGTTTCGCTGTCAGACAGGTTGTAGCGAGTGGCGGTTTCCAGACGTGATATGATGTTCGAATGAGTTTTGTCACTAGCTTGCAATGAGCCGTGAAAAAAAGCATCTTTTAGTGTAACGACCGGATTGGCTGACTGATGTTTGACGTTATGAATTACTGAGGATTTTAAGATGACAGAGGAAAAACATGTCTACACTAGAATCTGTTTATTTTTAAGTGTATAAGTAATGAAAAAAGGCACTCTGACATTGTGCAGTTGATTGTTCTAGTACAAAGCAAGTTAAAGAAAGAGATTTGACAATATAAAGTCCTCTGGAAGTGTGTGACTATACTTTACTCCTTGACTGTTCCTCCAGTGCCTGCGCAGAAGTGAAGGGAATTACGGCTCTTTTTAGTGAGCCAGATCATTCGGCTCAGCTCACCAAGAAGAGCCGGCTCCTTTGGCTCCCAAACGGCTCTTCATTTTACCATTTATACATTTTCTAATTCAGCCAAATTCAATGGCTCACAGACGGGTGCCGGCTTCCATCGTTCATATTAAAGAGTCGTCTCTTTGAACCGGTTCGTTCGTGACCGACACATCACCTCTGCACAGTGGGTACCAGCTTCCAGAGCCTGCCTGCTCCACTAACCAAAACAAACATCTAGCTTTTATGTATTCAACAGATAAGGATCCTTCAAAACAACAGTTTCTTGTATGTGTTAAGGCCGTGCAATGAATCAAATTTCTGTTTCAGTTATGATTTTGGCTTCCCAGGATCATGAAAACAAGATAATAAAAGAAAGACGACTTTGTTTGTAATCTTTTCTTTTGCCGTTTCTGTGCTCTGCCAGCCCAGTGAACACAGCACTGCTGGAGCTACACCTGTCAATCAACCCAGCGATTATCATATAAAAGAACAAAGTAAAGCTTTATTTGACCATGACTGAGAAAATTTCTCAATTTTTGGTCTTTAAAGTTGACACGTACCGTCCTTTAGCATGGAGGAAATAGGCTTCATAACCTTCATCCATGCAGCTACAGTATCCTGTGCCTGTGGATTTGTTTGTGACACCACATTTGTATTTTAAACACATACTAGAGGAACTATAAGGCAGCTCATTGACAGTAGCTGCGTTTACTTTTGAAAGAAACTGTATCCCGATCGAGAGGGGTGGTTTATGCCAATTGCTATTCCGAAATTTCCGCCTTTACTGACAAGACGTAAACATGGTGGGATCCTAAAGCAATTGGTCCATTTCTAACTCAACTTTTTGGCTCGATACAGTCTTCTCATGTAACGCAGGGTCAGTATGTGCTGCTGGGCCCGCTTGATGATCATGTATGCGAGGAGCAATACCACTGGTCTCAGAACCTGGTTCAGGTCCATTCTGAGTGGAGGGAAAAATCGTGGATTGGAGTAATCCACTACCGCGTTTCTTGGTTTGTTGACAGCACAGGCGTAAATACAACTCCTCTTCTTCTGCAGTTGTTTTAGCTAAATTAGACAACTCTGCGCATGTACAAATGCTTCTAATCTAAATAAAGCTTGGTGCATGTATACGCATGTCATGATCGGATTATTTGCTTTTGCGCCCATATAAACAGTGGATTCAGATTTTCAGATCCCTCAAATTTTTAATTGGATCAAGGAATTGACTAGTGAACAATAATATAAAGTAATCTTTAAGTAGAGTGTTAAAGATTGATTCCAGACACATCACCGACGGCGCTAAAAACTTACCACAGGGACCAAGAACGCTTCTCTGAGGTATAGCCATGATGAGTTGTGTGACAGAATGACAAAACATGGCCATGGATGGAGGATGCACCCCAAGTCACCGGGCCAGACTCCTTTTGCAATGCATCCAGAAAACAATCAATCAAGAGTTTCTGTATCCTTATTTCTCAATCTATCCATCCTGACATCCATCTCTGTCTGGACCCTGTTGATGCCGGGCTGATAAAGTTGTGGAGAAGTGGAGGAGAAACAATAACATCAGGGATTCGGGTCACATCAATCTCCACCAAATGATGAATAATCCAGTTTAGTGGGAGCAGAGAGATTAACATTTTGGGGCACCAAAGAGAAAGGTCTCAAGACACTTCATCAATCAAGCCTTCTTTTTTTCTCCCTCACTGACTTGATACCGTTTATCACTCAGAAAGCCCGGATTTTGACTTTGCTTTTCTTCACAGTATTGAATGAAAAGCCGTCTGTTGTTCATTTTTTGTAGTATATTTTTTGCCCCTTGATGGTTTTTGTGTTTCTCTTCTCTAGAGTTAGATTGGTGGTATGACATGAAGTGATTCCTCAGTGGTTCTGATGGCTTTCATTGTGTAACATTTCTTCAGGCTCATGTAATGGTGTGAAAATCATTGATTAAGTGCGAAAATCCCGGGGAGTCCTTTGGTGTTGAATTTAATGAAAAATTCATACATGTAAGGTTGTCTGAACGTTTCCTTATGGAGCTTTCTGACAGAATGGTTCAGTGCTATTAAATACCATGTTGTTGCTTGATGCAAATACATATGGGAAATTCTAAGATCTGCAAGCTGCAAGGTTGGTTGCAGGATAATGTCTTTCAACTTGTCTTGAACAAACCTGTTTTAATTCAAAGTTGAACTAAATCCGCACTTGTTTCCTTGACATCAGCTCTCTCAGTCCAGGTGGTCTTGAACTTCAGCAGGAAGATTGCTGCTGCAATTAGTTCAGGGTCTTCCATCATGCCACCTCGTGTGTTTTGGTCTCTTACTTAAAGATGTTTAAAACCATCACAGAAACCTTCATCACAATGCAGTACCTGATCACAAAATTGACTTTCCTTCATTACACATCATTATCTTTCTATGGGTAGCGAGCAGAAAGAAGGCCAGCACTCTGTAGGTTGCGGCGGTGAGGTGTGGTGACCGCTCAGCTCATCTACAGTCACGGATCACATCCAGATGTCCAACAACACGTCTGTGTAGAGACAGGGCGAGGTTGTTCCCCTTTAACTCCCAACTCCATCCATCCTCAACAACACGCAGAGCCACCATTCTGGCAGCTGGAAGCCTTTTCACAAACTATCAATCATGAGTTATCCGTGAAAAAAAACACAGGATAATAAAAATGAGGGAAAAATGAGGGTGGGACGATTTCACTGGTTCTGTCCTGAACGCCATCTTTCAGGCAGAGGGTGACAACACTTGGAAAAGAAACTCCTATTGAGAAGTGAGTGTTTTTTAGAGGGTTTGGTCTCATTACTGCGACTGCAAGTATGTGTCTTTGAATACTATGGAGGGTGGACTTCAGAGAGTTGTAGCTAGCATTGAGACCCTACTGCCTATAATATATAATATACACCATGTAATATACTATATACTACAATCTGTTCAGTGTTTTATTCATAATGTAAGTCTCAATACACTTGATGAAACAAAGCCAGAGCTCTACCTGGTGACCGGCTGCAGAATAGCTCTTGCAGTATAGATGTGGTCAGTCAGCCTCCTCTTTTAACTGATGGGACATGGGTCAGACTAAAAAATACATCAGAGCATCAGGGCCACATTGAGATGATTCCGACAATAAAGTCATAAATTTATGAGAATAAAGTTGTAAATTTATGAGAATAAAGTAATAAATTTAGGAGAGTAAAGTCGTTAATTTATGAGAATCAAGTCATTGATTTATGAGAATAAAGTCATTAATTTATGAGAATAAAGTCCTTACTTTATGAGTATAAAGTTGTGAATTTATGAGAATCAAGTTGTTAATTTATAAGAATAAGGTTGTTAACTCATGAGATTAAAGTTTTAAACTAATGAGAATAAAGTTGTAAACTTCAAAGAATGTAGTTGTTAATTTATGAGAATAAATTTGTAAATTTAGGAGAGGAAAGTCATTAATTTTTTGAAATAAGGTTATAAATTTATGAGAATAAAGTTGTTAATTTGTGAGAATAGTGAATAAAGTTGTAAACCTTGAAGAAAGAGGTCTCAATATTTTAACCTGTTGTTTGAGAGGAGGGTTGTGAAAATGAGGGCTGTGGAGCGTGTTGAGGAATTGCACTTTGTTATATGTTTTACAAACAAGGAGATACTTAATCCTTTGGCATATCGGCATTACATTGTCATAAGTATCAGGACTTTAATAAGAATATACAACAAATTCATCTTTTCTGCAGAAAGAACCAGGCGGACTTGGAGGAAATCGTGCAGAGGCCAAATTCGTCAATGCAGCCGTTAAGAGCATTGGCATAGGGCTTCATATGCCATGAGGCGTTTGGGCCTCTGCATGTGTAGGTTACTGTCGGTGTCACCGACGTGGTGCTTGTTGGAGCTTGACTCCCTCTGGAACACAAATGTTGACTATCAGTTGGATTGTTTCTTGAGAAACCACAGAAGCTCTCTGAATTCCAACTGAACAATTGATCGACAGCTCTATTGACCAATGCAACTCCTGCAGCGCTCAGATCAGCAGATTAGAGAAGGAACAGTGAGAAAAAATGTCAGTAAGTATTTCAGTGGGGTCATTAAACTCTTCATAACGTTGAGGGTCCACTTCAAAACCCTCACAAGAACCCGATCTGCTGTAGACCGAAGCAACTGAAGTATCTTTGATGTATTATTAGCAAGTCAAATGCATATTTTGGTCGGCTGAAGGGGGAATGACGTCAGTTCTGCAGCTCCACCAGCCAGGTCACTTCTATGCATGCCTTGGCTCCATTAGCACAATATGTCAGCACTCATCAGGGCGGTATTATGGCTTCACATCTTACAATAGGAAGAAATGGGGGGCAGGTGGTCCATATTTAATATACAGTCAATGATACACACACACACACACACACACACACACACACACTTGTAACAGTCACTGCCATCGTAAATACTTCCTGGACTTATAAAACCTAAAACTGATGTCGGACACATGTTCACCCAAAGTACTGACTGTTCTGGATTTTTGTAACTTCTATATAAGTTAGCTTTCAGTGGTGGAAGCTAATAACGTACTGAAACAATATTGTGCTGCTCTGCCAATTATATATCATTGATTAGTTGTCTCTAATTACTTATTATCATATCTTTCTGATAAGTATTTTTAGGGATGCTATCATTTATCTTTTTCGTTATTCAGCTTCTCCACAGTACAATGATCCATGAAGTCGTTCATGAAAACATTTTTCTTTGCTTGTTTTTCCTCACTGCTTAACTGTACTGAAATAATAATAGAAATCACTTGGAGAATACATACAACTTTACCACTGGCTGCACTGCACACATGCACACGTACACACAGAGAGTCATTAGTCAGCATTACCTCACTGTATTACCTGCTCAAAATGAGGATGTTATGATTTCACCATATTTTGTTTGCACAGCCAAGCCACAGACATGTTTTATTTCTTTTATTTGGAGCGTTGCTTAATACGTGTGGTATGTGTACAATTTAACGGCAAACTGATGTTGATCCTGTGTTGTTAGTCCTCCCTAGAGGGTTTTTGTGGGCAGATTGTCCAGGGAAAGCATATTAGCTGCATGTGTTGGTGGTATTGGTGGTTGGGAACCTCTACAATTTGAGCTGCCAGTTCCTTTGGCTCCAGGCGAAGGATTCCCTGCCATTTAATGGTACCTTACGCTGACTCTGGCTTGGCTCGGCAGGTTCTTTTTTGGCTTGCACAAGTGACAGCGGGAACAAATCTCCTCCTCTGTTTATTTAATTGCTAACCGCTCCGGTTTGGAGACCGGGTTCAAAGGGCCGTCGAGCAGAGGGCTGCCTCGCGCTCCCCTCGGCCTCGGGGTAGCATGGGTCATCCCACATAATGAGTGGAAGGACTTACTTTACCTAGCCTGTCTCAGACCAAAACCAGCACGTGGTTCCCATTTAAGCACAGAGGGGGAAAGATTGCACCTTCATCTGCCCGGCATTTTTATGTGTTTATGTATGTGTGCAAGTGCACAGTTTTACATCTGTTCTTCACAGCCCGCATTGTGTGAGTTTGTGTGCGTATTTTGGAGAGTTTAAGTGCCTCGTCTGAGTGTGAGGTCATTGTGTTTGCTCTGAAAGCCTACACCACATGTCCAGCACATGAAGTCGGGTTGTGATTGGCACACGGGCCATATTTATAACCGCATGAAGAGCTCAGAGGCCACTGGCCAGCCTGAGACCGAATGGAGTTCATGGTAGTCGATAGTGCAGAACTTAAGACACAAGTGGAAACCTCCACCATCCTTAGAGATTTTAATATTCAGGCCTGTTTCACAGACCAGGGTGGTGAATGTTACAAATATTATAGCATTCACTCGATCACTCCTGCTTTCTGTGTTGTTGGATTTGTATTAGTCGGCATTGAGCAGCATTGACGATATAAACTGGAACTCAAACAAAGACGATATTTATCTTTTTTTTGACATTTTTCACCTCGTTTGAATGTGTTCCTCTTGAAGATCAGTTATTGGCTTCGTCCCAGGGTATCTTGAGGCCATTGTTGAGAGGAGGACCAGGTCTAAATCAAACTTAATCCTAGGCTACAAAGATCATCCATTGCACTATGTCTTCAAAGGTCTTGAAAGCGCTTTCACTTGTGATTCCTCGGTGCTCCACTAAATGACTAAGAAGGTCTTTTGTTCCAGCAGCAGTGAGATTTTTTAACAGTGTATGTTAGGGTCTGACTTGGCACTGCTGCATACTTTGTAGAGATATTTTAGTATTTAATCAAGTCCTTATCTTTTATTGTACCACTTTGAAATCATGTTTCATTGGCCTTTACTGTGTTTATTGTGTATCTGGTATTACTCTAAGTTTTTCTGATGTCTCCATGCTGTTTGTTGTCTGAATGAGTCTTCTTGTCCTGGTGGTGAAATAGTTTCCCCCCATGCGGGATCAATACAGTCTACCTTGCCTTAAAGATACAGTGTCCTAAACAACAAAGCATTGAGTATCTTTATGATGAAAACTCTTCACAGGGAGATTTTGAGTGGGTTCCCTCGGTAGTCGTTGTTGATCGGTTAAGGTTTGAGATTTCACCAAAACTTTAAACTCTAAAAACTGTATCTACACTGTCCAAGATTCTGGATCAGTGGCTTATTTTGAGGCTTCTGTTGATGGTGCCAGCAGCCAAAAAGTAAAAATACATATGTAATACAAAAGATCTGTTTTTGCACTGATTCAAAATAACATTCAGAAAAGTTATTATTGTAAAACATGTACTTTTGATTGAATTATTAAGTATCTGAATTTGAAAAGAAGAGCCTTTTCCTTTCTCTCACTTATGCAGCACACTGTAAATCCACTAGTGGGCAGTAGAGGCAGTGGCGGGACACTAGTGAAAACCTCCACCATCCTTAGTGACGCTCTTTCTGTTTACACCGTCCACCTTAAGTGATTCAGAGCCGTGTGCTCTCTCTTCCGTGAGATGGATGTGTTATGGTGATGGAGTGATCCGAGTTTAGGGCGGATGAAGAGAGAGTCACGGGATCTCCCACAGGATTTGTTAATTTTTTTAATCTCTCCGAGGAGGTTTTTTTTTTTTTCCTCTCCTCTATTAATCAGCACCTCCTCCTTTTTTTCTGCTCATCAGCTGAAGGAGCTGGGTAATTACATGACAGCTGTGGATGCAGCTGTTTCAGTGACTGCAGCTTGTAGCGCACCGAGTCAGACTTCACTGTGGAGAGACTCTAGTCTTGGTGTGTGTCATTCATTCATGGGTCCTGTGTAAGTGTGGGTGTGTTTGAGTACTACTAGGACTGCAGTCACATGTGCGACAGAGTGTATGCATGTGGTTTTAGTCTAACTGTCTGTGCATCCAGCCCTGTTTTTCAGTGCATGAGGGCCGACAGTAGAGCATGCGGTCTGGTTGCGTCACGTTTCTGCTGTTTGCTCAGTGTCCTGCACCACTCTTAGCTGTCCACAAACTACGTGGGAGGCTGTTTCCTCTCAAGATGGGAAGTTGTTTTAGCCGCAGTGTTAGGCAAACACTGGTCCTGGCCTCAATGAGTGCAGTGAAATTACCCTGAATTAACCACATACTACGATTTTCGACAATTGCACGAATCTCGTCTGCCACCCTGGTATGCCCAGAGTCCTAGACCCTGTCTTTGTCAATTTCATACTCGATGGGAATCAGAGGGTTTTCAAACAATATCCCAGCAGAAAATATAATCAGTATTAGGCACAGACAATTGAGCACAACCCATGGGCGTAATTGTTGCTACTTCAGTTGAATAGAGGGTAATGAAAACTCCCAACATGTGTGTAGTTAACTCAAAGCCCTGAGAAGGGAGGCCATGGGTTTATTTTCACAAATGAGCTCAATGTGCAAAGAAATACACTTTAAGCTTTTGGTGTTTATCCCTCCCTCTACTTCATGAATTTTCATCTCTGAGTTTTTGGCTCTGGTTGCCTTTTGTCAAAACAAATAAAAGCCATTTGGATATTTCTTACTTAAAATATATATATACTACAAATTCTAGGGCTGGGCGATATGGTCTCAAATCAAAATCACGATATGTTGAGCAGTTTAGCTCGATAACAATAAATGGACGATAACTACTCCACAACCTGCTCACCCCCTCCCACATCAACTTCGTCTACTTCAGCCGCTACAACTTTTGAACCGTCCTCCATCTCCTCACCTGTCTCTCCCTCTTTGTTACGGACTGGATGGGGTGGAGCATCTTAAAGGGACATGAGACCATAGCCTACCTACACACATCCAAAACCAACTTTTATTTGTTTATTTATTTGTTTTGACACGGAATATACCAATATGGGCAAAATGACGTTGGTTATTGTCATAAATTTCTATATTGGTAAATTTTCAGTTTATCGACCAGCCCTAGAGAATGCAGTCTTATTAGAAACATAAGATAAACTGAACTGAGAACCTCGATATGAAAATATTTAAAAGTGAAGCTGAAACCATTTCTTATTCAGTCCAAGCTTTAATTCCCTCCTTAAGTTGCCTTTATTTGAACTTTAAACAGCAGATCCACGTCAAATAAGTTTCGAAATGACACTTGTGTACAGTTCACAATCCAAAGTAAACTCCTCTGACAGCCACAAACCTAGTCTGGATCACATCTTCTCTGAGATTTTTCCAGGCTGAACTGAACAACAACTCAGTGAAGTTTCATGCTCTGCATCTTTCACACAATAAAACATTCAATCGTACATTGTCCCATTCTGCTCTACTGCCCCTGTTTTCCCACTGAACAGCTTTGTGGGCTAACTTTGAAGGATAAATCCCCCTCACACAAATGTTGGTCAGCGGCGTTTCACATCCTGGAAATGAGTGTGAGTGAGTAAATTCCTCTGTTTGCGAGTCTGTTTGGGTGTGTCTGTCTTTATGATGCTCACAGATATGCATGCATGTGTGCCTGTGTCAGCGTCTGTGCATGGGAGCATATGCGTCTTCATGTGTGTGAGCGCGTTATGAGCGAAACACAGTCTGGCATGAAGATCAAAGTCTCTCCATAACTCCTCAGTCAATCAGTCAGTCAGCCAGCTCACTGTCAGGAAGCTCCACACAGTATGAGTTAGACTCAGATCATTTCAATTAGACATACTTGTTCAGTTAGTGAAATATTTCGATGACTATCTCAAAGAAAACTACTTTGTGAGGTTACTGAAAAACATGTGTGTACAAACTGTGGGAAAAGATCATTGCATCACAACTTCTGTCTGAGACCTGGCGAGCCTGAGCTTTTTCATAATTTATCCTCGTTCTGATTTATGTTGGTATCTTATAATGTAAAGTAGGGCTCCAAAGCATAACAAGAACCCAATTTTGGTTGTTTTCAACCACTGGGTCGAATGAGGACCACCTACATACAGAATTCATTTTACCCAACCAAGATGGGTCGCTGATTTAACTCAGCGGGATGTGTCAAAGGTACGACATGTAGAAATGGGATGGCGATATCTTGCAGTAAGATTCTCCACTGAAAGGCCCCCTTGCTCAACCTTCCTGTTAATGAAGCGCTAAAGGCAATGGTGGCTTACAAGGACAGAAATGTCATCAACAATTCCTTTTGGACACAAAAAAACACTTTTTTTTCCTCATTAACCGAAGTGCGTATTTTGGGTAGCCACTTACTTAACACAAATTTGGCTGTTACTAGTGCTGCATTCCAGTTGTACTCAGAAGTTAGGATTTTTAACAAAGGCTAACGACAGCTGACAATGTAAACAACAGCTAACAGTGGCTAACAGTAGGCGTCCATCTTGCTTTTCTGACTAGTTTACTGGAACGCCATCAAATCAGGTGTATCATTCCCAGCTCCGACATTCCACTTCCGAGGTAACTGGAATGCAACATAGTTTTTTCTGTACTTTTGTAGAAACTTGAGAGTGCTAGATGCTAGCCTACAGGGAAGGGGACCCACTCATTATGCAGTTATCAAAGGCGAATTCTAAGTTAACCAATCTAAGTTTACCAAAAACAGAACAACGCTATCTAAATAGCTAACTCATTAGCTAGCTTACGCTAAAATAGACTAACTCCCTTGAAATAAGGCCGAAATATGACCCATCAAGCTTAACTCAACATATGTGTTATTAAAATAGCCCAGCATTCTTCTAAGTGTCCAAAGGAGGATGCAGGCTTTTTGACCAATACTGCAGCCAGTCACTAGGGGGAGCTCTATAAGATTTGGTTTCACTTCAGGGAAGCCATTGAGCCGTTTATGTTTCATACAGCCTATATGCAGAATGGATCTCATCGGTCAGAGCTCAGTTCTCATGTGGTCAAAGTAAAGCATGACACCTGCTTGATGCACAAGAGTCTCCATTTGGAAACATGATCAGTTTTGTAATACACCACCCAAACTCCTTTTGTGGATGAGTGATCAGATGGTAGTGGAAGGTAAATGTGTCAAAAACCAGTAGGAAAAATTACTTTCATGTCCTTCAATATAAATGTCATCCATTTATTTTTAAATTGAATTTATTGTTTCCCAGTATGCCCCCTCCCCCCCTTGTTTCGGGTGTCCTTGCTAATGAAGTGTGATGCTAGTGATGAAGTGTAACAGCGGCTGGTTTTGTAGGTGCCGTGCCAATGACAGGGGTGGTCCCTGCCTCACACTGCTGCTGCTGCTGGCACCCTCATGCTCATCACGCACACATTGTTCAGTGGCACCTGGCCATAAGAAAGGCTGATGGTGAAAAGCCTGGTAAAGATCAGACTCTCCTCGTTGCTATTAGTTTTACACTTTAAAATCCTTGTTTTTACGGATCCTAAAATGACAGGTCCCTCGTTAATATTTTCACTGTTAACAGACACTGAAAGCTGCATATAATTTAAAAAGCAGATAACCTCAAATTAACGCAAGGTCTGCTCATTGCACTTGCTCCTTTTTTGTTTTTTGGAAACATTATATGAGATTTAATATTTTGGAGCTGTTTTAAATGTCTCATATTTGCTTAAGCCCATTAAGGTAGACACTTGTGTAAAGTTGTGCTGAAGTCTTTGTGTGTATTTGAGTCATTATCAAAAGATAACAGCATGACTCACTTGTTTTTATTGTTCTGTGCACAGTGCTGGTCATTTCCAGCTTTTCCAGGTTCAAACAGCTCAGGTTGCTTAGGAAAGCTTCTCCGGTATTTCAGTCACGCTATGCTTCTAAAAAAGCCCAGGTTTCCTTTTGTCCAAGAGTCGTCTGAAAAATTCTTTCCGAGGAATGTATGAGGTGAGTTGATAAGAGGAGAAATCTGGAAATAGACTGAATTTAGAAGAAATGTAAAATGATGAGTTTTAACTTTGCATCACAAAACTTTTAAGTTATTTCTCAAATTAATTATTGGATAGAAGGACGTCATGCTAGGGACTAGAGTCCTGACTCAAAGTTGGGTGAAGCACTGATGACTTGGACTTGGACTCTGAATAGAAAATTTGAAAAAGGGAGAGGACGACTCTGATTGTTTATACTGATTATGAAAGTTTTGTTGTTTTAGTTAATTTTTTTGTATTCAAACTCTGCTCTTTCATCGAAAAAGAAAGCCAAATAAATCATGACAGGATGCTTGGAGTGGTCCACGAATTGTGCAAAAGCAAAAGCAGTGCAAACATGTGTTTTAAGAAACACAGAGAAGAAGACCGACCCAAACTCAAACCTTAAAGAGTCATCTGTCCGTACCACAGTAAGCCCTTTTGGCTTTCATATGGTAATGTTAGCAACTAATGTAACTCATCAGTTGGGTCCAAGATGTTTCATCGGTCAAAAACCTGATGGAAATCGGTTGGGTTCCTCACCTGTAGTGATAACTGGTGTGTCCTTCCTTAAAAGAGCTTCAGTGCTCATATACAAACACAACATAGTGCTTTTAATTTATTCGTAATTTAACTCACTAGACACGTCAACTAATGATAATCAGAGAAAAGTGCTTACACGTCCTACATGGTTTACCGTAAATAGTTTGGAGTCAAACAGCAGACTTCTTTATAATAAATGGATGTACAGTATAGAGAATAGGGAGAAACAGGGACTGGACTCCAGCTTGGCTTAGATTCTTCTGTAATGACTCCAACTTGACTCAGACTTGAGAACTTGGGACTGAACTGGGACTTGAGGTTTGATGACATGACTGTTCTTTCCCCCCACGCTCTTATTGACTGTCCTTTGGCATTTTCTCAGTTGGCATAATCCCCTCACTAAATCTGAGTCTTGTAGTAACATGTGTATCTGTATGCATGTACTATGTGTGTATGGAAGAAACCCAGTAGACCTCTCTGACAGACCATCTTTCCATAATTCACATGTACCTTGTCTGTAGAGTCTAGAGAACAGAAACCCAATGACCTGAACTAACTTGGAGGTTTTGTGCAAATGTACGTGCTTTTCTCTTCAGTGTGTTCGTGGAGGTTCCACTTTTGTAAATGCATTTATCAGGCAGTCAACCTTTTCTGTGTTGGTCATGTTTGATGATGGATCTCATGGTGAACGTCAAAGGGTTAGGGAGGTGAAACTGTCCGTGGACACACAGCCGGTTCCAGTTTCAAACTGGCACACAAATGGTTAGGATTAAGCCCAGAAGTGTGGAGGCCACGTAAGTAATTGTCATCGCAGTTAAGGGTCAAGGCTAACTGGAGGATATTTGCCCCTTCAGACTCTTAACCGTCAGCTATACTTGTGATTGTCTTCCACGATATGATTTTGAGTAACGAATTGTCAGACACCCTGCGAGGATTGTCATATTTGTGCTTACTTGACTCTCTGCATATGTTTCTCTTTTTGCACAGACATTATAATGTACAGTTCATTTATACTATTATCAGAGAGTCTCATTCATTGTGTGCATAGAACACCAATGCTATTTGACATTAACATCCAGAGGTGAAGTCTTGCTTCGAACAGCTGTCAATGGCCTACAACTTGTTCTGCTGGACTAGTGGAGATACAACTTTTCCAAAGTTCACAACAATGTTGCCATCACAAAGTTTTTATTGAAAGACTGTGTTGCACCTCAGTATGAATAAACAAAACTTAATCTTCATCATTGGCAAGTTCAGACATGATGTAAGTTGCATAGAGCAAGACATCTATCAACACTCAGCAAGATGTTACCATGGCGGGAATAAAGGAGACCCCCAACATGTTGACCGGGGGAGCCTGCCAGTCCGTTTGGAGGGAGTCAGAGATTCATGGGGGGGCTGATGGTGTCCAACAGTGAGACGAATCTCTGCACATGTGGTTGTTCACTTCAGAAGGCCAGATGTTGAAATGGGTGAGTTGTGTGCACAGAGATGCCTTAACAAAACCCACCAGCTTATGTGTGCATGTTCTGTTGGAGGGACACAGAAAAGTAAGGTAAAGGGGGTGTGCATCTCTTTCTTAAGCGGTGATCTGATACTAATCTAGATACACGGGTTATGATACGATTCACTAAGGGTGCAATTTGATGCGATGCATTTTGAATCTATTAGTTGGTTGAAAGAGAAATGTATCAGGTCAGGACAGTGTCATTATGTTTGTTTTTCAAATAGACACAGAAAAAACAGAAAAAATCTTCATCCAGTATCTCTGTCTTTGCTAGCACTAGCATCCACAGATCCCTCGTCGCCCGTATAGGTTTCTCAGTGCCGGCTCAACAAACCAGTGCTCAGACTAGTCATGCTACCGCTTTATGTAATCACCATCTTACACCCTTTACAAATGCCCAGACTTGTATCCAACTTTCCTTCCTTCTTTAAAAATCCCAAGGTCTTCCACACTTGAGATATATAAGATTTGAGGGTTCATTCTAAACTCTGCTGGTGCTGTCGGCCATGTTGTTGTGTTGTTGTTACTCACAAATACATTGAGAGAAAGTAACTCTCGTATACGTCACCGTGGTAGTCTCACGAGACGGGAGCAGCCATATTTAGTAGCAGAGCTCCAATCAAGTGATTCACAACTTAAAAATTGGACACAGTAGATATAAATTGATCCAGAGGCCCGTTGATTGATGTCGTCATGTCTTTTTTTAAGGTGGAATCCGATAACCGGTTCGTATCGATGAATCTTTCCACAGGTATTACTAATTGTGTTATTCAGGTCTTCGCTGACATTCCTCGGTCTAATTTGTTCCATAATTTGGGATTTGATTTATGTGGTCAAGAATCTGTAACCCACCTTTCCTACCCGTTTGCTTGAGTGTGCAGCTCTTTACTTCAAATCCCTGATGCTGTCGACAGAAATGGTTCTCGGTACCAACTGAATCCTAAAAAACTTTGATGATAGCTGTGTATCAGGTCAGGGATTGCACAGACCAGTTGCTGCACATTGACGGCTGCTCCATTTCCTTTACAAGTGGTCAATGAATGTGTTCCACTAATGCCTTTTCTTTTTTATGCAAACATTGAAATAATTTGTTTGGTCTGGCACGCTACAGAAACTGGTAAAACTCCGAGATTTCGAGTTAAACTCCTCCTAATCCCTCACTCACCACGGACCCTCGGGGTGAGTTTGTTTACAATAAGCATCGGAGAGCAGGAAAAAAAAAGGCAGAACTTGAAAGAAACCCCTCCAAGACTGTGCAACTTCTTGTAAATACTATAATTACCCTGAGTTTTATCATCATGCTGGGTGCCTGAGAGTGTGCCAAGTGAAGTTCCAGTTACATCTAGAGATGTGTGTGTTTTGGTTGGCAACAAAGCACTACCCTCCATACACACTCCGTCACACCAGGGCCAATTGGTACCAGTTGTGGTAAGACCCCCCCTGCATTACAACAAGAGGATACAAGAGGAGGGTTGATTGAAAAAGTGTCCGTTTCTACTCGTCTTTCTCCCCATCCTCAGAAGAAATCAACCCCTGAATAAAAACAACAAAATGAGTCCCACCAGGTCAGATTGTGTCTAAAAACGCCAAGAGAAAATAAGCTTTTTCCCCGTGCGCCGTGCCCGCTCCGGGAATGAGTCCTGCAATAACACCCAGACTTAATACAGCACATCCTGCAGCCACACTGGGGTGTCACTGTTTATGGCAGTGCCTCCACCACCTACACACACACAAACCACTGCTGAAGATGAGTCAGCAAATCTAAGGCTTGGAGCGGATATGGATCTGGGATGCGGGAATCTAATCATTAAAACGGGCCGTCTCCCAAACATCTCCCCTCGCCCCTGCGTGTGAGTGTCATATTTGCTGTCTGACTCGAATTAGGTTTATAACGTGATGATTTGTTTGAAAATGAGTGTTAAAGCCTCATGCTAGGGTTGTATTTATTCAACGTGTTATCCAATCACTATCTGTAGAGGAACAGGCGACGAGCCTTTATTGTCTTTACACTGTATTCTTTACTGTCTTTCAATCTGTGATTGTTTTTCCTCCTTTCTGCTTCTTGTGTCTTTGCATTCCTCTGTCTCTCTGTTCAGTAAACAATAATTAAAACCTAATGAGCAACATACTTCCAAGAGTGTTATCTTGGCCTGCTTGTTTTCCGTGCTTTGGCTTGATCATTCTTTTTCCATTTTCCTCATCCCACTTGGCCTCAGAAGGTCTGGATAATGTATCATAGCCCTTCAGCTTGAATGTGCCCGTTGATCTCGCTTGCTTTAACTTTGCTTTAGTTGAATCAAATCATCTACTCATTTCTAAATGAGGCAGGGTATTATCATTGAGAGCTGTGATAAAGAGTCTGACCTGAAGGAAAGGGTTTCCTCATGAAAGAAGCACCAGATTGAGAAGTTACCGCAAGATGAGAGGGTCAGGTAGGTGTTCAGGTAGATGTTCAGTAAGGGTACGATGAAGCATGAGATCAGCAAGAATTCCTTGAGATATAGGTCTGAGGTGTAAGGACCTCATACATCCAGATGGAGCTCTGAGTGGAACTGTTGGTCTGTTGTATCCAGAGGAATGAGGACTGCATGCCAAATCAGGTCTGTGAATGCCCTGTGGTTTCTCAGGATGAACTTCAGAACCACAGCAAGATATGTGTGTGTTTGCTATCTTGCTTAGCCTGATGACATGAACCCAAATAAGTTGATAAAGTCGTACGGAGCTCTAAGGGGACTGTCTTAATCATCAGTGTAATGAGGTCTAGACACACACAAGTTCTGTTTTTAGTACACGTTTTGTTTAGAGACTAAAAAAAGAGGTCTTGAATACAAATTTTCAAAATGAATGTTGAACACTTGTTGGCTGGGAGCCCTTTCAGGAATTTGAGAAGAGTTTGGAGGAATCCAGCGTCATCATCCTTTGCATTGAAGGACGTGTTTGGCATCTGATGTTGAGCCTATCTTATGGTCTCCGTACCAAACTTGGAGGAGATCTCAGGACAGATCCAGAGCATGTTAGAGTAATTGCTTATTCAATCCATCCTTCTTCATCTTCTTCTCCTTCTTCATCTCCTTCTTGGTCTTCTTCTTTGTCTTCTACGTCTTCTTCTTCGTCTTTCCTTCTCTATCGTTGTATTCTTCTTCTTTTGCTTCTTCTTCTGCTTCTGCTTCTTCTTCTTTTCCTACTTCTTCGACTTCTTCGTTTCACATGGCCTGCTGTTGTCAAGCAGAGCTAAACAGCCATTACACAGTACAAACATATTATGTGATCCTTCATTAACCGATGAAACGTTTGTGTTGAGTGATATCAACATGTCAACATACTTTGTTGACAGATCAGACTTTAATCTATTATCTTCAGGTCCAGCAGCTGATAAAAACCTGTTTCAGTCACACACAAATAGCTGTGTGTAAGCCGGTGTTTTGATCTGATGAGGTACCCTGTAAACTGGAGACTTTCTGCCAGTGTGTCAGTGATTGTAGTTGTCATAACTGTGGAAAATAGAGCAAGTGTTTGTGAACGTCTCTTTGTTAGTAATTTATTGAAGACAGAGCTATTGTGTAAATTTTGACACACTCAGTCTCTTGTCCACAGACCCAGTGTCAACATCGTTGGAGTAGATTAAAATATGGACAACTCTTTCACTGACCAGTACCTCTGGTTTCAACTGGTGACGATGACGATTAAGTCGACTTAACGTCTATAACCTGAATCAAGACTGTCTACATGCTTATGAAATCCATTTTTGTAAGAACTTAATAGGGACAGCAGCTCGAGGGGTTGTTTCTTTTTTGTGCGACCTCTCTAGAGTAACAACCGTGCAAAAACATAATATGCAACCCCTACTTGTGTGCACCCTGGATTAATATAATACTAATCCAATAAAATTTGGAAAAAAAGCCATCGAGTAGCCCTTGAATATTGTCTTCTGTGTTGTTGATCCTGTGGATGTGAAGGGGCCATGGTCCCAGATGACACTAAAAGCAGGGATGGAAACAGATCCATGAAGTACAGTAGTTGATGGAGTAGAGGCAGATTTAGTCAAAGGAATCGCACTCACACAAAAAGTGTGTAGTGATCGCACATTGAGAGTCAGCAGGTGACGTCATATGAAAGCAACATCTGTCTCTTATTGGTGTGTTCGCTCCAGGGTCCTTACTCCTCTACACACAAGAATCATGCTTTGCGTACCGAGTGTTTTACATCAATAAAAGACACTGTTGGTAGCAAAGAAACAAAATAGAGAGCAGGCATTTGTTTCTCTCTCAGCCGGCGTACATGCTCTGTAAGCACCCTCTTCCTATCCTCGATGGGATTCAGAGCTTTACATGGTCTCTGAATTTATCCATCTAAGGCAATAACTCTTTTTTTCAGACTTGAAACTCTGGTTAATATGCTCATATGGGTATAGTTTTATAGCAAGCAGCCTACAATTTACAGGGCTTTCGCTCAAAGCCTAATTTTATGTGCCAGAACGTTCGTGGACTTCGCCCAGCTCTCTGAAAGTATTTTGAATTTCTGATTCAAGACAAAATCATTAATTTTACTGAATTAATCAAATTCATGCTGAAGGATAGTTTTCAAAATGAACCTTTTAAAATCATATTTCAACTTTAATGGGAAGAATTCTTACATTTTCAGTTTTAGACCATGTAGCTTGTTTATTTTCCATAAACTGGCTTCATGGAAAATTTTATCGTTTAGAGCTGTAAAGCTGTTGTCAGTCATTTCTCTAAAAACTTTGCCTACTGTCTTCTCCTAGTCCCACTATCCCAAAAACCATCTACAAAGCCCCCTCTGACTGTGAGTGGTTTTGTTTGCTTCTGACCAAGTACTAGAGAGGCTAGAGTCAGGAGTCCCGAGGACATAAGAGCTATTGTTGATAAGTGTAGACAAAGAGGGCATCATCAAGCTCTTCCAGGGAAAACCAGTCGCCTCACTGAAAACTTAATTTAGATTCAGTTGCATTTTATAAAAGACTGAGCACTGAGGGAGACTTCAGTTTGATTTGATTTACCTACCGAGATGCTGCACACATATTCTCACTCCATTACTCGTTCTGCAAGGCATCACAAATCGCAAGGACGCATCAGCTATAACAGACAGCAACAAAGCAGCTAGCAAAGAAAAATGTGTGGGGTACGGTTACGCAGGTTCCATACGCTCTCACAGCGTGGCTTTGGAGGTTTACCCAGTGTAATAGTATTTTAAACAAACAGACCCCGGTTGTGTAAAGCCTTCTTTGTGGTCTGGCAGATCTAGTCCAGGCCGGCAACTGTCACCCACAGAAGAAACAGTTTCAAGAGGAAATTGCGAATTATGCTGTCAGAAATATGACTGGAGGTGAACTAAAGGACTGGAAAAAAACTGTACCCTGTGCCCAACCTTTCAACCTTTCTGAACGGTTTGTTGCACATTTTATTGAGAATTCGTAAGTAAATTTAAACGTCACATAAGACTTGTTGAAGTTGCATGCTCACTAAAAGTTCGGTGTCTCTTCATCGGCCCTGCTCGTGAAGAGAGGCTTTCTTTCTTCCAAATTGTTGCCTGATGCGTCGATGATGATGACGTGGAAGTCTCCAGGGACCCTGTGCATACGGCACACTCACGTCTCCAAACACCTCGTCCTTGGTTCCTCACAGCCCAGCCCTTCAAACTGACAGGCTTTACTTTCCATGCGACTTAATTATCTGATGTCAGCCAAATAAGACGCTGCCTTGTTGAGCAATGACACATCTCAGTTGATGAAATAGTCTCCTCAAAGTGGAGCTGGAGACAGTTGTGCTGTCTGAATATTATTGATCGTATATAATAATCATGAAATTTGATCTCTTCTATGGATAAGACGGTCTGTTTGACTTGGCACCGAGCTGTGGATTGTGGATGAGTCGAGCTTCCCACTGTAAAACTTCTATTTATTATAAGATGACGGGAGTTTTTTAACGACTTCCTTTTCCTCCGATAAACCTTGGATGTCTTTTAGCGGCGTCTTTGTTGTTTGCCTACGTTTCTGCAATATTTTACTCCTCCTGGAGACTACCTGTCATCAAATTGGGGGTAGACATAAAAACAGGCCTTGAGTTCTTTAAACAAGCAGATTTCAGATAAAACAGGAAGTTGATTTATTATTTTAAAGATTTCTCTACTCACTTTTTTAACTCCCTCCTCCTATTTGTACCTTTGCATCAATGGTCATTGTTCTGTTTAAGTTAACAGTTCACGTTAGGGATACTAACCTCATTATAACCCTGTAGTTATCTGTTTTAATTGTCATGTCAAACCTCTGAAGATGCCACGTCAACATAACGTTTAACTCTAACAAATCAAACAGGCTTCCATCGGGGTGACCTTCAAGTCAGGAAACCCTATTCAAGGACCCCAGCCACCACACACACACACACAAACACACACTCATACACAAATCACACGCTCTCTTACTTTGGACGCCCAGGCACAACCCCTGAAGTCTGGGCTTGAGTCTTTAAAAGCCATGAACAATAAGGGCCTGATTAAATCCAGAATGGATTCAGGAAGTAGTGAAGCGGTTTGAAAGCGTGAGGAGTGCTTTCACACAACCCTCTGCATCAACAACACCACTCGTGTGTATGCAGCCTCTGTCTTTTGAAGTTGATGACTGGGAGAAAGTCCTGCAGAACCCGTCACTAGTTTATATCATACTGGGAGGTCTCTTCTGCATTAAAATCAAGTCTCTTTTACAGCAGCTGGTAGCGTAATATGCAGAACTATAACACACTTTATGTCATTGGCTTTGTCTTTCAGAAATCATCGATGACCTTGCACACCTAGTGGACAAGACGGACGACAGGATTCGAAATGAAACACGGAGGGTGAAACTGGTGGAGACAAAGTCCGCCTCCTGTGGTGAGTTTTCAAACATGTTGGAGCTCCTTGGTCATGACAGTCTCTGTAAAATAGCTGTTTGCGTTGCTTGTGAAGCACAAGTGATGGAAGGAGGAGAAAGATGCCACAAACCTTCAACATTACATATTTATCTCTACATCTGAAAAGCACAAAAAGTGTAAGGATTGAATTGATAATGACACCTGTGAAAACTTAAATAGCTTCTTCAGTCATTCAGATGAGAAATACAGCAGCCATACGATACAATATTATCACGATACTTGGGCCACGATACGATAATATTGCGATTTTAACATTTTGTAATACAGTGAGTATTGCGATACAATATATAGCGATTTATACAATTTTTTCAGCTGTTTAGCTAATTTAGCATTTGTCTTTTCTTTATATTTGTCTTATTTACACAGTGTTTTATTTTCTCGTAGCACATCTTGCAAAGTTTTTATATATTTGTTGCACTAACTTTCTCCTGCTCTATGATGTCCCCTCTGCCAACATCACTGGACAAACAGTTTTTATTTTTCCATCATCTTAGATTTGACTTCATATTAGCAATTAATTTGAAAAGTCGATACTTGGTAAATGAGACAATACAATATATCACCAGACAAAATATCACGAGACTATGCTGTATCGATTTATTCTCCCACCACTAACAACAACCACCCAAAGGTTCAGCATCATGGGACGTCCACAGACTAATAATATGCTTGGATTGATATCTGTATCATTATCTGCCTGAATAATATTCATACATATTGGAAAACTGCGAAAATCCAGTTTGGTGCACCCCCTTATAGAAACCAAGATCTCTTCTTATAAGCATATTAACTTAAATTTCTAACACCAGAGGCTGCTGCTAGGTTTACTTGAAGGAGTTATGAGCAAGCATCAGGCCTGTCTTTGCAGTTCACAAAGCATGTGCCTAACAGCCTATCACTTTTATAGAGGAAGTTACCCAGCTGTTGTGAGACAGAGGGTTTGAAATAAGCATCGCACTTTACTTTGAAATTGTTTTATGAGACATATACAGTCAATCATGCTGGGTACAAAGTTATCCGTATGCAGTTCAAAGTTCTTGTCTTTGCAGCTCATTAGTGTTTTTGCTATTGCTGCCTCAGTCTACATCTACAGACACATTAGTGCTTATGTGAAAAGACAAAAAAACTGGACTGACTGTCACAACTGCTGACAAAGTGTTTTGGTCCTCCTCATGCTGGTCCTTTTAGGGATCAGAAGTTCCCTGTGGCTTGGTTTGTATAACCAAGCCACAGGGATAATGTAATGTATAATTTCAGAAAATGATAATCGTAATTCATGATTAAGATAATGCAGTGAAGCGAAAAAACTTTCACAGTGCTCTTAGTTTGATGGCAAGGAAACTCTGTTTAATTGTCAACAACCCTGTACTATATAGACAAAGTAAAACCAGCCCCTAGTGTTGCTTTACAGCAGGAATCACAGCTGTGATGCATTTTAATTATGAGCTGTCCATACTAGGGCTGGGCGATATTGCCTCAAATCAATATCACGATATATTGATCAGTTCACCTCGATAACGATAAATGGACGATAACTACTCCACAAGCTGCTCACCCCCTCCCACAACTAACTTCATCTACTTCAGCCGCTACAACTTTTGAACCGTCCTCCATCTCCTCACCTGTCTTTCCCTCTTTGTTACGGACTGGATGGGGTGGAGTCACATCTCTGACGTGGGACAGCGTCTTAAAGGGACATGAGACCATAGCCTACCTACACACACATTCAAAACCAACTTTTATTCCTTTATTTATTTTGACACTGAATATACAGATATGGGCAAAATTACATCGGTTATTGACGTAAATTTCGGTCTATGTAAATTTTCAGTTTATCGCCCAGCCCTAATGTATACAGAGGCTGACAAATACAAATATGCTGCCAAGGCCAATGTGTTTTTCCTTTGGAGAAACTCAATAGAAGAAAATAATTCAAGGAAATATTCAAAAGTAGAAAATGTTGTTATAGAAACCTTTTGCAAATAAGACATGCTGCAAAAAAAGCAAAAACAAATGCATTACCTGAAAAAAAAAAAACTCCTTAAATGATCTAAAATGTAAAATTCTGAAGTCACAACCCTGAAGAAGCTTCATTCCCATTCAACATCCCACCCCTGCCTCAATTCATTTAACTTTGTTTCAAGTCTTGTTCAGTCACAAAAGACTTAATTTCTTCTTTGGGGATAAAAGGAAACTGGCAACAATGAGAGGTGAGATAGTGTCCAGAGCCAATCAGCCAATCACCAGACAGTATCACTATGGAGGAGGCTACATTTTTGTGCTAGGAGACCCCGCAAACAGGCGGTCTGTGACAGAAGCAGAGGAGGCAACAGGAAGGTCAGACCCCAGAATGCTTCATTCTGTCAGCCGGGTCCCCATGGTGCCCGAGCGTGAGTTTGTTTGAAGATCCCAGAGCTCATATTGTGTTGGAATCAGGACTCTTTTCTGTCTTTTTTTGTCTGACTCGGTCTTTTGCCAACTGTGTGCTCAGCTCCAGGCTTTAAGAACAGTCATGGAGCGTGTGTTTCCCCGTGCACACCTGCATACCAAGCATCAAACGTATTTTCATGTATCGTGCGTGTTTTTTAGAGGAGTTCGACTAAATGTGTGCGACCATATTTGCACTGTATGGTCTTGTGCACACTTGTAAATAATAGAGTGTTAGTGTGCATGATTGTGTTTCTCCAACCTTTTCTGTGAATGGAAATTTCCTCCATGGTCTTCTTCACTCTCACCTCAATGCTCTCTTTTTTTCCATTCCTCTCTGTCATCCCCCTGTTCGTCTCCTCGGTTGTTTGACACTCGTCTTTGTGTCGAGCAGAGAAAGAATTGAAAATACTACATGCCACAAATTGTTCCGAGGGCTCTCCCTCTTTCTCCATGGCAGCGTGTTTATAATTCCTCAGCTTTAAGGCTTTATTTATTTTTGAAGCCACCTCTCATCCGAAGCCGGCATTTGGTGTTATGTCTCAACAGAGTCCTTGTAAAGCTACAAAGGTCTGGTTCAGACAGGCAAAAGCATACTTAACATAACTATTAAAATCTGCCTTATAGTAAAAGATGCATTTAGTGTTTCTAACACAACCTGCAAAATTCGTAGAAATGTAAAAAACACTGTTTACTCAACAATTTACTGTATAAATCACGAGACTTGCACATAATAGCGAGGGGCAAAACATCCTGCATTAAAGATCTGAAACAGTTGGAGCTGAACTATAAGAAAAATCATCTAACCTAAAGGGATGAACCCACCAAGGTTTCTGCAGGGAGAGTTTCTGCAAGAGTAGGGCCCTAAGAGTAGTAAAACCACTGCGATGCTCAACTCAGACTGGGAAGGGACATAAATCTTATAAATCTGCAAAAAAATCTGGACCCGATTTGAACATTTTAGAGCAGTTTCTCATGATTTTACACTCAGCAGAAATTACCAATGATTTTACTAAAAGATGTTCATTGATCAACGACAATACATGAGCACACAGGAGGCAAATAAATGCACAAAGATTTAAGAAGACAAAACTGTAAAGGTTGTTTTTCTCTTTGCTTTTGAACCATTTTGAAGATAAAAACAAACCTCAACCAAAACGCCACTCTATAGCCACAAATAATGTTCAGAACAGCACCTAACTTCATCATCAGTACATATAGGGTCCCAGCCATAGTACTAGCCATCAAACATCTTTTTAACTTTGCCTAATTTCTTTAACAAAGAGACCAAACACAACTCACCTACTCTCTTCAAGCATCCACTTGTTTGTTGGGGGAGCCCTGACGAGTCAATCACAGAGTGCAGCAGATCATTTCCTTGGAGTAATAATCATCATAATAATCATTTTGCACCGCAGATGCGGTAGTTCTTCTTGGTCTGATTGCATTTCCATAAAGTAATAATCATAAATGTTCTTCCTTGAGCTGGGAAACTCCACTGCACTCGTTGATCGACTAGTCAGGGCTCAGGGAGTGTCTAACTCGGTTTTACGGTGTGTTTGACCCTAACTTAATTTTACGCCGGAATATTCCTTTAACACATTTTTGTCAAACATTAAAAAGGTTATTCACTTTGTCCACAGGGGGCGCAAGAATCAACATAGAAAGTTACTAATAGGGGCTTTACAGTTAACAAGTCTAATATTAGCCTTTTCAATGATAATGATGTTGATAATAGAGGTCAGAATGATAAAATCACAGTTGATGTCAAGCTGTTCTGGAAATTAACATAAGCATTGTAATTGTGATGATAACGGTGTTATAGGAAGACCTTCTAGAAGGAACAACAGGAGCCCCCAGAAAGATCTAACCTAGTAAATGACACCAGAAGAAAAACGCTTCTGTCTATGTCTGTCCAATGTTTACACACATCCATCCTGAACTCATTCATAAATCTTAACCATATATCCAGGTTTTCAAATATAACCATGTTTTTTAGACACATTGACACACTCTCACACTGTTAGTGGATAAACTCGGCCTAGCATTAAAGTCATTACTTTCCTCCCACTTGTTCGATGCTGTCACTTTAACAAGCTAAGCCTGATTCACAGAGTCATTACCACTTGTTGGGGAGAATTTAGGAGTGGAGGCTTTGACTTTGGCGGGATTAGTGTGGAAGATTAGTTTACGGCACCAAAGGGTCTCTTGGAGAGTAGTGTGTGTAGCCCCCTGAGCTTAAACGTCACCAGCAGGCAACTCCAGTACTAATCCCCCGGTTTGTAGAGGACCACTTGTGTGACCCCACACATCCTGCAGGTGGCTGGCATCTCAAGTAGGTTTGCACTTTGGACTGAGAAGGGGATCGAGAGAGGCTGTGGGTGAGGAGAAGGACCATATCAGAGGAGAAGTATTCAGAGATGGAAACTACACTAGTGAAGGAAACATTAATTTTGTCCCATAGGATGCAGAACTGTAAAGACGTCGGTTTTAATCAGCCGTCTTTATTGTAAGCTCTTATTCCTCTCACTGCCTTCACATGTTTTACTGTTGGAAACCTGAAATTCAATATATATGAAAAGCTCGACAAAGAATTCCTCTTGGTAAAACATCTTGCTAATGATTTTCCCACATTTGAGATTCCTTTTCAGTGCGTGACAAGTGAAATTAAACTTTTCTCGAAAAATCTATAAATATTTAAACTCTTTTCTCATCGTGTCTGCCAGCCTTTTCTGTGAGAGCAATTTAGCTCGAGTTTAAGTGCTCACGCCCTGAAACGGCCCCACAGTGCATATGGTTCCATCTACCAGCTGAATGCCTGTAATCACATTTATATTACCTCAACAAGGTAATTTATCAGCAGACCTGTGAGTTAAATCCCACAGCTGGAGGAGGAAATCACGGAGATGGAGCTGTACTTAGTCCTGCTGACTATATATGTTGGACAAATTGATCACTCTACTTTGGATTTTATTAGAAAGGAGTCGTCTTGTCGCTTTCTGTTGGCAAAAGGAAAATGGCCAAAAGCTGCTATTTAGGGGACTGAACAAACAACTCAGCAGAGACCACAAAACTTTACTGTCCTAAGTCCCAGAATTAGAAAACTGAACCTTAAATGGGACAAAATGTGAATCCAAAGTGCTGTAGTGAAAGATCTTCATGCTTGAGATATTTAAGCCAAGCTATGAATTTTGTTAAATACGGTTAAATAACTGTCTTAGATATTTCGTAAAATATTTGGAAACATCCAAGAATCCAACCTCAAGGGGGTCTGTGGTGGATCTAACCTCAGAATTGCAAACCAAAATGGGGCATCGAGATGGAGCCACGATCTTGAGTTTGTCATTATACAGTTTTCTTTAAAGTAGGGGTGGAAATAAAGCTGAAATTATCCTTTCATATGTTAAAATGGTAGCTTTTAGCATACTGCTGATATTTTTGGTATTTAAAGCCCTTGGCTGCATATGTTGGGACCCTATAGTGACTTTAAGAGTATGGACCTTTGAAGTCTGTCTGTGTGAAATTAAAAAATAAAAACTAAAAAATAGAAGCGACTTTCTTTAAAATTCTTTCTATTGAGTTTTCCATGGTTGTATTTCAACAGCGAATGCCAGGACGCACTTCAAAACCTAAAAAAAAGATAAATAACAATTAAATAAATAAATAAATAAATAAATAAGATGAATAAATCTGTAAATATCAAAGAAAAATAAATAAATAAAAACATGCCAAGATCATACAGAATCAGATCCTACCAAAACAATGCAAATTAAATAAAGTTAAATAAACATATAGAGGAAATAGAGAGGGGAAAAAATAATAAAGTAAAGTAAAACAAACAAAAAAACAGTAGAAAATACTAAAATAAAATAAAAAAAAAAGAAGCGACTTCAGCTGAGATATCTTAACAACTACTGTGGTATTTGAAATAAACATTTATTGTCTCTAGAGGATAGAACCCTATGACTGTCAGGGGAAAAACAAATAAAAAAACTAACTGTGTTGGCATTTCTGAGTTTCCCCCAACTCAAAAGTTACACTTCGACTGTAGTACAGAAGCTTGATTCTGATTGGTCAGTACCGGTGTTTTATTTTTGTATGGCAAAGTGTTGCTAAAGACATCCAATCCTAACATGTCGATTAAAAAAAGAAAACTTAAATTGCAGAGTCAGTCACCTCTGCCTGTTGACACTGTGGCCAAAACTTTAACATTAGTTCAGTTTTGCTGGGACACTAAATCAGTAAACAACACTGAGGATATGTTTTAAACTAAGCACAAAACTTTTGACTCAGGGTAAACGGCTGATTAGTCTCCTCATAGAAAGTAAAATATAAGACAGAAGAAAGAAAACTGAAAGCTGCTAAATCATAACCCGATTAGTTAATTAATCTTTAAACTCATCAATGGCTTTAAAGTAGCTGTACGATAATAGATAAATTGCTGCCCAGGACAGAACAAACTATTTATAATTACTGGATATAACTTTAAATCGATTGATTGTTATTTAATTCGAATGAGATCTTAAAACCATGAGTATAGTTTAGTGTCCTCTTTAGATTTGCTGTGAGAAAAAGACGCTGTCACACTAACCTTGTTAACATAAAATTAGTCCCTCTTCCTTAAAGGTCATTCTCCTCTTTTGTGGTCCAAAAAGATCTTTGAACCATAAGCAGTGGGGGCGCAGAGGGAGCAGGGAGGGAGGTTCAGAGGTTGTCTCAGCCTGTCCGGGACTCTCACCAATTATTCGTTTTCTCTGCGATCTGTCTTATTGATGTGTCTGAAAATTGCCAAGATGGGATGGACCCAGACTCTGGCCCCCCAAAAAACTTCTGGGTGGTCAGTCTATCAGCAAACACCAACTATCTCCCTCTGCATCAGTGTCACCCCACAAGCCTAATCTATTTGGCAAGCAAACGACATTATTGTCATTAGTCTCTGGAGGGAATCTGAGGGTCAGGAGAGGCTTGTTTAGTTACTGTGGCAGGCAGGAGGGTGAGGGTCAGTGCAGGGGTCCAATGTGGCTCCATGACTGACTGTTATTTGACATTAGAGGGTGTGAGAGAGTTTCACTCCATACCAACACATGCTTATGTTTATAGCTAAGCCTTTACCTCTATTGTTGTTATGTCGTTGCAAAGTGAAGTTGCGCGCAGATGTTGGAATAATATTCTGATGTTTGAACGCGATTTGAATCGGCCGCTGCTTCGGTATCATTTACCACCCAAACAAAGATAATTGCTGGAAACTTGTGTGCATGTGTGTTTGCTTTAAGTACCAGGCTTTTCAAAGAGCCATCAAAAAGCTGTTTGAACGTATGTTTCTACTTTGACGTTTATATGATAGCCACATGTGAAAGTTATAAGGAGGAATGGTCTTGTTAAGATAGAGCTCCAAACTAAACGGCTGAGTAATGGACCCAATGAAGGGGTCATTTAGGGAATGCATTTCCAAGTGTGGCCACTAGAGGCCACAGTATTAAAGTACCTGCTGGATTAGGGCCCGTGTCCAGTAGCAGCGTTTTATTTCTTTGCACTGGCAGCACCCACCAGACCACAACTTTGTGGCTTCTCATTTGTCTGTACTGTTGCGAGTTGAAAACTTAGTTAAAACAGTTATTTAATAAAATTCAACAAAAGCAACATAAAACCAATGGATTGGTCCTGTTTTAGTTTATGTAGCAGGTCCGACCTTGAAGTTTTATCCAAAAAGTTGAAGGTGTTTAGTTTCTGGTCCTGTCCCTCCTTGATTTTGATTGGTCTTTGACAGAGACAAGCCATCAACAAGTTCAAAAAGTTGAAAAGTTCTGAGTAAGGATCGACCATAGACTGTATGGCAACTTGGTTCCGCCTTCCGCCAGTATATGGATTTAAAACCAAAAAGCTCTCAGTATTTCCGCGTTTTTTTCTTCGTTTCCTGAAACCAACATTGCGCAGTAGCGTTGTACGCATTTGGTGAAAGAGTCACGGAGAGTCGCTGTGATGACGGTCGGCTCAAACAGCGTACCCCCGGAGTGAGCTACGTAATCCTTGTAGGCTGTATCAAGTGTCAGTCATAAAAAACATGAACCCCCTTAAAACTTTTAAAAACGGAGCTGTACAGAAAAATGAGGAGCACAAACAAGTCTTACGTTAACTACATGTCAACATCAAAAGCAGGGGGAAAAAGATTTACGCTCTGTGTAATAAACTTCTAAAGTTTGTCCACAGCCCCATAAGCTTTGCTGGCGGAGGCGGGATTTATGATCTATACTGCAGCCCGTCACCAGAGGGTGCTGTTTTCAGGGTGGCTTCACCCAGCGAGGAGGCAGACGCTGTCCATTCTATATAGAGTCTATGGGATCGACTGATATGTTTTTTTTAGGGCCAATACCAAAACCGATTGTAAGTAACCAAGGAAACTGATAACAAATATTTAGAACCAGTTTTCATTTGCAGTAAAAATGTGTATTTTGGTGTCAAAATTTTAGATAACACACCTGGGATTAGTCTGAACTGTACACAGTTTCTTTTATACACTGTAAAAATCTGTAATAAAAAGACCTTGAACTGTCGTATGTAAGATGCAGCTGTCCTAGAGGGCGTCTTTGCACTTACACTGCTTAACACGGAAAACAAGGAACTGCATTGATTCTTACAGAGTTTGGGTGCTGCCCATGCAAAAACACTGTCAGTGGACACAGGCCCTTGATATATTACTATTACCATATTTTCCAGACTATTAATCGCACTTTTTTGTCATAGTTTGGCTGGGTTTGCGACTTATACTCAGGTACGACTTATATATATATGATTTCACAGTTTGTTATTTTTTAAGTCGCACTTTTTTTTCATAGTTTGACTGGTGCGACTTATTCTACGGAGCGACTTATAGTCCAGAAAATACGGTACTTAGTTTTGGTTAATTTCAAATTGCAGACCTTTGTTTACTTGTCACCCTTTTCACTAGAAGAAGCGTAAATGGTATACACTCTCTTTAAGCAATTTTGCGCTGCTACCAGCATAAATTCTGTAAAGTTGTACTATTATTAAATGTTCTGACTTCACTCCTTTCTGGCTCCATCCTCTATCGTCCAAATTTGGTCACTCCTGGCAGCTGAGCAATACGCATTAAGCCATAAACACCAAGATGGAAAATAAAGCGAAAAGATGACAGTTGTGACACAAGGAGACAAAGTGTCAAAAAGAGACATCTGGACTCTTGAAAGCAAAGAAAACCAGCATCAGCTCCACATTTCATCAGACTGCCGCTCCACCACGACCACCGCAAGCAATTAGTTCAGCATGGCTTTCTTTCTCGGCCCTTCTCTTCCCCCTGTGGGAAAGACGACCAATTAGGCGGTGGAGGAGAGCGAAGGCGGAGAGAGCCGAAGAATGAGAGAAATGTAAACCCAAAGTGAAAGGCAGGGGAAAATACCAGCCCCACACTAAATAACAGTGGACAACTTGAGTCAGTGAGGGGACCGTCGACAGCTCTTAAGACCAGTCAGATATGCAGTTGTTTGAATTCATCACTCCTGGAAAAAAAAAAACAAGAACCGAGGGGAAAAGTAGTGTATGAATGTGGGCTTAAAGAGTTCAAAGTTTTCTTATCAGTCAAATTAACCTGTATGATTTTCAGCTTGTGGAGGTGTTGACTTAATATGTCTGTAATATTTAGTCAAATGTTAATTTCTGGTGTGAAAGTAAGTTGATACTACAGTGTGAAAGTTGGAGTTTTCTTTAAACTCCCTCTTCAAAGTCATTTATAAAGGAAATACCCTGAGAAATAAGGTGCGTATGACTTTGATTAACAAGCTACATCAAACCAGATTCACAAAGGTAATCAAAATGATTCATATTCAATAAAATGCGATTGTAAAGTTCCTTAAAGACGTTCGTCTTTTTACGAAGGGTGAAATTCCCTGAAGTGGGTTTTACACACTTTTTTCCCTGGGTGGTGGCGATCATAAAAAACTGTAATATTTTCAGGTCCTGGGGGTTTAGCGCTTTGATGAAGTGTGAGTGAGCTTTTGCACATTTTTCTCTGCTTCCATGGTATCAGTGAAAAACAATGATTATCCTCTCAAGGCACAATCAGAAACATATGCCTATCACAGTGTGCAATCTGCGGCAATAAAGCTTTTGTGGCTGTTGAACGCATGTAAATTGCATTAAGTCATCAAGGGAGAGAACGGTGATATGCTGTGAGGGCATACTCACTCGGGACTCGCCTCAGATCAAGGTCTTTGAAAATTAGCAGTGAGGTATGCAGGCTTCTTACCTCTTCCAAGTGTATTCCCCTGTGTCTGCTCGGAGACCCGCCTCCTCTTTGAGCCTGTCTCACATCAGGATTGGACTCCTCAGCTGCTTAACATTTGAATTTTCCAACATCCAAGTACGAGGGCGTTTGTTGAACCGCAAAGGACTATTAAAGGGATATTCTGGCGTTAAATTCATTTAGGGTCAAACACACTGGAACACCGAGTTAGACAACCCCCTCGAGAGATGAATGTTGCTGACTGCTTGCTTCTCTAGTGATACCAACTTTAGTAATGACCGCACGATAGCAATACACAGAGGTCTGATGAGTCATACACAAACCTCAACCAAAACGCCACTTTATAACCACAAATAATGCTCAGAACAGCACCTAACTTCATCAACAGTATCACCATTTTAAAAATTTAGCAAAGATTTCTTTAGCAAAGAGACTAAAAACAACTCACCTACTCTCTTCCAGCAGCCACTTGTTTGTAGTGAGACCTCGGTGGGGTGACGCAGCTCAAGGAAGAACATTTATGATCATTTCTTTATAATTCCCCATAAGTAATAATCACCATATTAATCATTTTGCACTGCAGACGCAGTAGTTCTTCTGCCTTAGTGTCTCGGTCTGATTGTATTTCCATGAAGTAATGATCATAAATGTTCTTCCTTGAGCTGCGTCACCCCGCTGTTGTCCGTAATGGACTCGCTACAAACAAGCGGCTGCTGGAAGAGAGTAGGTGAGTTGTGTTTAACTTGAGGGGGTGTCTAACTCAGTGTTACGGTGTGTTTGACCCTAAATTAATTTTGCACCGGAATATCCCTTTAAGGAATATTTGAATATTTAGATAATCTGAATTTTACAGCTCATTGGACGACATTGTTTCTCACTAATCTTATTTTTAAACACAGTTTAGACTTTGCAGAAATTGTAGAAAATGTCAAAAGCATCCAAGGTTGATTAAAGAGACTCATTTGAAGATGTCCGCACTGCTCTTTGCTTACACGCTCTGATTTAAATACATGAAAAATAGCTCCTATCTTCTCATATGTGTTTTTTCTTCTCCTTCAGGGATGATGGTGGTGATCGTTCTGCTTCTCATAGCCATCGTAGTGGTGGCTGTATGGCCGGTGTAGCTGAAGAGGACGGGGATCATGGAGCTGTGCTGAAAGACCTCTATGACAGTACTAGTTTTAAACTTGAAGATGCACATTTACAAACACCTGATCGCTCATCAGATTTTATTTCTTACTCTAAAGACGTCCTTTAGCAGCTCAGTTAAAACAGCTGATTGGATTACAGGTAAATATCCTGCTACTGTGCAGATTATCCTTTTGAATGATTGCGCCGGTCCGACTCAGTAAACTGAAAATGTATGAAGAAGTTAAAATATGTGAATGTTTTTAACCTCATGAAACATTTGAAGCTTGGATTGTGGTGGTTGTTAGTAGGACCCCCCGCAGGCGGCAGGATCTTTCCTCTCATAACTCTGTCTGTGGTCTGGCTGAGGTTCACACTGCATACAGTCATTCCACAAGCTTCGCAATATTCACACTCACTTATATTTACCCACACATTACTGTAGCAGCTGTAATGTTATCATTTGTCTTGGGATTTTATAATGTTTATAGAAAAACTCCCGGCCAAAGCAAGCAGCTCGGCTGTGTTCCTAACATGGCTCTTTTCCTTTCTTGTAAATCAAATCAACTTGTAATTTCTAATAAATGACATTTACTGTTACCAGTCCCCCGACTCCTGTCTACCTGCGTTCATGCTGAGGTCTCTCTCTCTCTCTGTGAGGCTGTAGTGTTTTGTTACATGATATTTAGCTGAGCTGAACCTTTACCAAAGTTTGAACAAATAAGTTCTTCTATATTTCCATTGTAAAATCTGCAGGATTTCTGTTCACTGTTTTGTGCTGAGTACTCAATTCTGATTGATCTGACGTGGTATTCTGAGGCATTCTGGGTAATTTTAGCTGTAACGTTGACCATGTCGGTGCGCTGAGAGGAGACCAGCAGAAAAACAAGAGACCAACAAAGTTAAAGAAGTCAATTTCAGAGCGGACTAACTGGGATGAGGCAGAAGATTTTTGCCCATCATTTCTCACTTTATCTTTACAGGAAACTGATGCAGAGTTCAGCCCATAAAGATGCGTTTAATTAGGCTTCAAAGTCCAGTCATCACCTGTAAGGGACCATTTCTCCAGTCGAAGAAGGCTAACCAGTCAAAAGAGGAGGTGTTATGCTGTTTGGATATAAAAAATATATATTTGTTGAAGTGTGGGATATCAGAAGTACAGAAGAGAACAGCCATGGATTTTTCTTTTTTTATGCAGTTATCTCTTGATTACGACTTTTTACCTTATCTCAATATAACAAAGCTCATTTTCTCGTGATAATGGCGCTTTAGCCGACTTAAAATGGAAACTTTTAAAAACACCCTCCAGAGTGGGATATTTCTAAAACGCCACAGTCACTGTTGTCAACAATGAAAACACTGGTGTCATGTTCCACTTTTTTCATGTACATCATACTGTCAAAGTGGGACATTTAACTGCCATGGGTGAATTGGACAACAGTAACAATGGGGAACACATTATTAATTAATTTGTTGACACAAGAAGATGATCTTTGTTAGGTCCAGATAACGAAAATAAAATAATTAATCACGAGAAAACCATCTTTTTTATGTTGAGATAACAAGATAATAAGTCGTTATTGCGAGATAACAGTGCATTTAAAAAAAATCCATGGCCGTTCTCGTCTTTCGTAGAAAAGGAAACGACTGACTCAGATTCTGACGCTGCTAATCACTGAATATTTTTTAAAGAGCACAATAAACTGAACGCTTACCAAACACTAGGGTTCAAAATATATCGATATTTCATAATTTGTCACATTTGATTGTCAAACAACAAACTTTAGATGATCATTTTGTAACATGGCAACAGTGGAGGAGGCATCTGGAGAGCTGGCCAATCAAAAGAGGAGGGAGGGTCCTAAAAAGACCGCAGTGGAAATTAAGTTTTTTTTTCTTTTTTTACAGACAACAGCCAAAAAGAGTTTCTAGCAACAGCATAGATAACAGCAGAACAGTCTTAAGCCTGAACACGACCGTAAAACCCTTTCCTTATAACAAAACAATACTGGCAATTATCCCAACACATCAAAGCTAATGATAGAATTCAACGGAGGCAGATGTATTTTCAATGTAACAAGAGTTTATTTCAACTGAAAATCTGAATTTAGTTCTACCAGGTTGGTGTGTTCAGTAGTTATTATTTCCTTCTTTAATGGCAACAATCTAAACGACCACAAACAAAGTACAAAAAAAGTTGAAAAAGACAATAAAATCCACAATGTCTTGTGTCATTAAATATATTCATATATAATAACCATAATATATTAGTACGCATCGTAAAACAACATTGCAAAAGTCTTGGCAATGGTGACAACTAAACAACATTTACAATTCATAGTATGAACACAAAGCAATGCTTTGACAGGTCTAAGTGTGTGTGTCTGTGTGTGTGTAGCGATTCAACAGGAAGCTTGTCAAACCATTGCTCAGGAGATAGATGTAAAATTTACAGCATGAGGCTACACAGATTATAGAGGTGAGATTACAGATTACACTGTGCCGAACATAAAACACTGACATCGAAGCTGTTTCGTAAATTCAAAATGAGAGACAGGAACATGGAGATCGATTATTTCTGTGAACATGATGTCAGTGATGGTGGGGAAGCGTGATGATAGACATAAAATAACCTTTTGATTAACTTTGTGGTGAAAAATAAACAACAAAATCAAAAACAAGTCATCTTGAGTGGTTTAGATTTCTCGTTTCCTGGAATCAGAAATTATTGTCACCTCAACAGAGGAAGTCGAGCATCCGCCAGATGAAAACCACGTGTCTCGAACGGCTCTTCAAACCCTTTTCCGACTCACTTAAAGGTGTTAAATATAATCTTGTAAAACAGCAAACACCAGCAGCATCAAACAGATGTTTCAGGATGGATTGAAGGAAGGAACCCCACTTAATGATACAGAACAAACACTGCGGGCCGCCACAAACCTGAGCTGTGTGTGTGTGTGTGTGTGTGTGTGTGTGTGTTTTTTTTTAAGACCACGCATTCCTCAGGGAAATCCAAACTGAACTGCTCACAAATGAAATGAGTAATGTGGTTTGAGTCAAGCAGCACCAAGTGATTGCAATTCAGCGCATTTCCCTCAGTGCGATTGTGGAAGTGAAGAGAATTAGGGTGACAGGTCAATGGGACACTGCGGCTCCCGAGTGTCCTTTTTCAGGGAATGTACAGTCGTGCATTGTGTTTGTGTGTGGACTCTGACAGTATTTAACTGCTATCTTGTAGGACTGTAGGATCTATTCTGGGTGAAAATGAGGCAGCGTGAGGTGGACTCAATAAATGTATGAACAGAACTATTTGTTTGCATGTAGGAGTAACTGCTGCACCACATGAGGTAAGGAGATAACTTTCTTTTTATTCTTTACTTCAATCTGCGCCGAGTTTAAATAACGTCTCTAACTTCACAAAGAAAGTGTGTGCCGCCATGAGACACAGAGTCCTGATGAAGAGGTTTTTCTCTCTCTTTAAGGTACATTTTCATACATGGTATTAAAATCAAGATTTGTAATGACAGGAAATTTGTTATCTACCCCGGGTTACTTTTGCAGATTGCATCATTTTGTGGCAGAGCAAAGTCAACGTCGTCAAAAATGTAGCTCTAGTAAAATAAAGCATACTGACTTTTAAAACTTTATTTTAAAGCCACTTATAAATTCATATTAATGTTTAGATTTTCATCTCTATTGGAGAAGATTTCATGATTTTTTTTTACAGTTTCAAACTCTTCCTATAACAATCAGTAATACTAGTGTTATATCATTTTGTGAGCTGGTAGTAGACTCCTGCTGTGAGTACTGAACTTTTAAAAAAGTCGTTCTAGATGTTTGTCTGTCTTTCCCAAAGATGTAGTAATTTTAACTACATAAGTCCTCATGCAGGTTTGTTTTTAATACTGAAGCACCAAAATTTGACCTGTTAAGATAGAACGAGACTGAAGAAAGGCTGAAACGTTTCAGCCAATACTTTGTTTATCCTCCATGATGTTTCAAAAGTGTAAAAGCTTAAAAGTAGGACAACACTTTCATGTTTTTGGGGTTGCAGATAGACCTGAATTTGTCAAGAGGGAGAGAAAAAAGGGGGAAAGCAGTGACAGAGAAATACGCTGTGAAAAAAATAAAAAAAGGAGGTTTTATGAAACATTTTTGAACCGAGGAAACATTCGTGTCTCAATCTGACCCACGATGAAACAAGCGTGCTTCTAAGCTCAATCAACAAAAAAGGAAATCAAAACTGCAGTGGTTACTGAGTGGCTTTTTTCTCTGTCGTTTTTGAACCAGTAGTAAATGTCCATAAAATTAAAACCATAAAAATATAATGATGTCATACTGAGATAAAGAAACACAAATAACTTTATATGCTGGTAATAGGTGCAAATTCGGCAAATCCACAAGAGAGACAAAGAAGTAAAATAAACCGTAAAACCAAATCTGCAAGGTGAGCTCCTTCAACAAAAGTTCACTAAAGAAAAAAAAAGTCATCCTAAATAATTCTCTTCATGCTTCTAAACAAAAAGCAGCGACATAAACAGTCTCTTGTCTGTCCATGGTCCTCCATCGGCCTCTCTTCTATCACTCTTTTTTTTTTTTTTTTTTCAAATGACCCGCTCAGCTTTTCCTCTCCTTCTCTGCCATCCTCTCCGTCTGTTTCTCCTCCTATGGCTTCTTGCACTTGCCTTTCTTCTCGCGCTGCTGGAACTTCCTGAGCCTGCGCGCCCATGTGTCCCTCCACTGGATAACCAGGCTGCCTTTGTCTGCCACCACCCCGCTCTGCCCGGGGGAGTCCTCATCGTTCCCCAGTAGCAGGTACTTCTTCCCCGGCTTGATCTTGGGACACTTGCAGGCCACGTCTTTGGCGCGCACCCACAGGAACTGGTCCCCGCGGCGGATGCGGCTCTCGCCCTGCTTGTAGACGGAGATGATGTTGACGGTGAACTTCCACCACTCGCCGGCTTTGTCTGCCTTCAGGATGTGCACCTGCACGGCTGCAACAGAAATGACACATTATCACTTAATGAGAGATTTATTACATTCCACTGACATGCAATCAGCGTGTCCGCAATAGGTAATTTTCTTAACAAGACGATGAGTCTGCAGTCATTTAAACAACTTAATGAGGCTGTAATTACACACAGCAGTTTTTTTGAGCTTCACAATAACAGGCTACCAATGAAAACAAGCTAATGTTTAAGACGTCTGATACAAAACGTAGCGTAACTAAGTGGACTCAAGTGGTAAACAGCACCCACAGCGCTAAAAACAAAAAACAATCAACAGTCAACAAAGATACAGAGGTGCCATGGCAATAACAGCCACAAACAACACATTACCCTTCATGTATAACAGCATTAAAGAGGATACAACCAAGAGTCCAAAATAGATGTGTAATAAAATCACATTGTGACACCATGTGGTAAAACTGATTAAGAATAAGAAAAATAAGAATAACTTTATTGATCCCCGAAGGGAAATTCAATTGTCCGTCGTCTCATTTGTCATGTGAAGGTTTTGAAACTCTCTCTCTGACTGGAAATGGTGCAAAGACGACAATTTAAATGTTTAATTACAGTTAAAATGGTCTATATTCTCCTTTTAATTTTGATACCCAGGTCAAAAAGGTTGGACAAGATCAACAAACACTGAAAAAGTTGTGTAGCGCTACAAAAAACCTCCAATGACATTTCCCACACTCTGAAAACAACCCAACTTGGGTTATTTTGACCCAGAATGTTGGGTTATTCAAATTAACTCAAATTTTGAATTGACTCAATGACTCTTTTTAAGGGTAAAGTTAACCCAATCTTTGAGTTAATTTGACTCATGATCTTGGGTAAAATTGATATATGCATCTGGGGAGCTTTTTTTGGGAGCTCTGCTTTTACAACCTGGACTGTCTGAGCTTATGTGGCTTTTAATGGTACACACTCGTGTTTATGAGGTAGGCCATAGTGCTAAGGGTCTTGCCTATATCATATTGTATATAAAATCAAGGTAAAAGTTCACAAGGTCACCAGGTCACTTTAATTGCCATTAGGCCTAGAAACCACACAGAGTCAATCAAACCCAACGTTCTGACCCAATTATTGGGTTACTCTCACAAAAATAACCCATAATTATTAACCCATTCAAATCATCCTCAGATTGGATTACAATAGAATCCATATGACCCAAGAAATGGGGATGGATCTGAAAATTGACCCAGAAATTTAACTCAACATGTAATACCCAGGAATTAGTTTTTAGAGGTTTTAGAGTGCAACTAATCCAGTTAAAGCTCCAGTTAGGATTTTTTTTTAACTTTAGTAAAATAGACTTAAATTCATGTTAATGCCTTTTTAGACAAAAGCAAACAAAACCACCAGGGACACAATTCACAATTTTTTATTGTGATTTTTTACACCTGAAACTGGTGTGAGGAAGTAGGTGTCAGTCAAACAGCTGTTTTGCCAATTTCCACACAACTTTCAAAAAAATGAGATTTTTTTTTTTTGTTAGAGGCTACTACTTAAATATGTATAAGACAAGATAAGCAAAGACTGATGTGTACACAGAGGGCCAAAACTGACACAAACAAAAGTTACTCACAGGAGCTTTAATCTTCACCTGGTTGGTAACGTGACTTGGTATAAAAAGGGTTTTTAAGAGAGGCTGAGTCTATCAGAAGTAAAGATAGAAAGAAGTCTGACACTCTGTGAGGAGATAGTTTTTTAAATTGTAGCTAGTTTATCATCTACATTTCAAAATATCATTAAAAGACTCAGCGAATCTGGAGGGTTAATGACTGCATGAGTTAGAAATCACGTCTAAAAAGATGTCTACCTTTTTTGTAACCGTGTTGTGTCAAATTTTGCACGAGCATATAATCTTATTTAATCATTTGAATATTTTATTTGTCTTTGCGCTGTATACAATTTAACTCAGTCTTTAAATTCATTTTCCATGTGGATCTATCAATGCGATTAAATCAGACATGTTAGTTCACCCAGCCTCCACTCCCCTGTATGAAGATATGCAGATATTTCAATTGGTTTAATGAAGACTTGCACTTTGTTCCAATTTTGCTGCATTAGCTGTCAACTGTAGAAATAACCACCACATCCAAACATCTCTGTCACAGTGAATCCAGGAAAGGATCGTTTTCTGCCAAACACACTGTCTCTTTTTCCAGCTGTGGCCATTATTCAAACGTCAGGATATTCTGTCTACATAAAACCACAAGTGTGGAGTTGGCAATTAAAATCCAACAGGGCACAGTGTGGAGAGAAGCTTGCAGTGAGTTTTGACCCCTACAGAGGCCACGAGGGATCATTACACATTCGGAGGAATTTTGAGAGGACTGGCTGATCGGCCTCACTAACCCCAAATGGCTCTTATATTAAAGATTTTTGGGACTGCATTGCATAATTTCAAAAGAGAGTCTGTTTGCTCAGTCCAAATGCACGTCAGTCGGTGGAACAGCTTCTCTGAGCCACAGTTCATCTTTGGGAAAATGGCGGTCTTACACTTACACATGAAAGCATATCACTCTTTTTACCGGAGTGAAAGGAGTGATAAGAGATTGCAGAAAAAAATGGCAAAAAAAAAAAAGATTAATAATTACACCCTAGTGGGATTGACTGCAGTGGTCTAATAGTGGTATAAAGCCTCACATGCATAATGTCCATTACCACTGACAGAGCGCAGTGCCTTATAATGTGATTTATAGGGTAGTGAGGGCTATTAGAGACTTGAGCTGGAAGTCTCAGGGTGATATCACATGATGAATCAGCTGGATTGGTCCTTCAGAGAGTGTTCTCTGATTGATCCAAATGCAGCATGTATCAATATGTATTATATTAATCGGATCGCTGTAAAGTCCCATGATACTTTTTCCTGTTAGGCACTTGATTCTGGTTCCTTTACAAGACTTCTTTTGAAATAAACCTTACAGGGTCTGTATGCATGGAAGCACTTGAACTAAGAGGCACTCCGACTACAGCAGCAGTGGGTCTTTTAACTTTGTGTATCTCCTGAATATGTATATAGCCTGGTGCATTATAGCAGAAAGGCTGTGTCTGGATTGATTGAGCAGGAGACTTCAAATCAGGCGCCCAGAGAAACAGTCAACAGATTTCAACTAGAGATTGTAAGATGAATCTATTATATGTAATTATCACTTAACTAGCTTATGACCCGGCTGTTTTATACACTTGATTCTGATTGGTCAAAACCCAACAATAATGGCAATTAATTCTCAACAACAAAAGTCTTACTAGGAACAACATGATTACACACCACATATCAGATCAATTTGTAGGAAAAGACTTTTTGCATATTTAGTAAGGCTGGGCGATAAACCTAAAATTTACTGATACCGAAATTTATGACAATAACTGACGTCATTTTGCCCATGTTGGTATATTCTGTGTCAAAATAAATAAATCAAAGTTGGTTTTGGATGTGTGTAGGTAGGCTATGGTCTCATGTCCCTTTAAGACGCTGTCCTATGTCAGAGACGTGACTCCACCCCATCCAGTCCATAACAAAGAAGGAAAGACAGGTGAGGAGATGGAGGACGGTTTAAAAGTTGTAGCGGCTGAAGTTGACGAAGTTAATGTGGGAGTAGTTGTGGAGTAGTTATCGTTCATTTATCGTTATCGAGGTAAACTGCTCAATATATCGTGATATTGATTTGAGGCCATATCGCCTAGCTCTAATATTTAGCCAAGCAATACCTGTTGACACTCTGGCAAAGTTGATGTTTAATTAGCAAATATTCTGAGGAAAAGATCCATTGTTTCTCTGTCAGGTTGGTCTTGAAAGGAGGTACTGTCTGTGTTACCCAAAAGTAGGTCTTGATCTTGTCCTGTAATCCATGCAACAGCAGTGTCTCCTCCATGAATTCTGTTGTTTTCATATTTCCAATCCTGTTGTCTCTCTTCTGCTGTGTCAAAAAGGCCCCACTGTGTGACCTGACAGTGACCTCAGCTTTACCTCGTACCAATCACCTGTTTTTATTCTCTGTGTTCATTCCAGTCAATGCTCACTGTACTCTGAAATGCATGACGTAATTATAACCAGGGATTATTGTGAGATCAGACATTTCCCCCCTCCTCCCCCGCTCCCTCCTGTGATTCTTTATGTGCGTCTGTATGTCGACCGCAGAAGCTTGTAGCATCGTTTCTCTACGCAGCATGGAGCCCCGCTCCCCTGCTGATCTTTTCACCGCAACCCACAGCCATGGCTCGCTCTACTCATTCTGTAGATTCACATTGTGTTTGACTTTTCGATCCACTTCGCTGAGCTATTACGCGGTTTTAACTCTCTGGGAATCTTGTTCCAGTTCGTATAAATTTTGAATGTGCTGCTGGATATGACAAGGAGCTGAATGCTTCTCATGTACAAAGCCCGCTGATGGCGAGGTAGCAAGGAAAACAACCCTGAGTGGATGGTTTCTTGAAATGTTTGAACCTGATAGTTAAAATCTTTAAAATGAATAATGGGGAAATAACCATTATGACCCCATTTCTGACAAAAGTAATAAAAAATGTTAACACGTCTTATAACTGACCTCCAGTGAACTACAACGTTTTTAAGGAAATAAAACCGCCAGTGTTTTTGTTGGTTACTTCTTTTACGTTAGTGTTAACTGTGATCTCAATCCTGCAAATTAAACTATCCTTCCTCTTCAAACAAAAACTTTAAAGCAAAAGAATCTATTTGTCTTTTACATCGCACTATCTCAACCATCGCTACCAGCAGACCCCCTACACTCCAGACAAACACAACGTACACATGGCAAACCGGTCGGGCCCCCCTCGGCTTCACTTTTTGGGGGATGTACATACATGAGGGTACTCAGTAATGTGATGAGTGATTGTCTCTTCACCACAACATCCTGATGTCTCTTTTTATCTCTCCACCTCTCCGCCCTTGAACGTACGGAGCCTGCGGTTATCACTCATGCGTGACATAAAGGTCCTGCTGATGAAACTGTCTGTCATCTATCACGTCAGGTTTGAAGTTAAAAACAGTCCCGCTAATGAAAGATTTCTTTAAGTTATAATCAAAACACTTCTTAGTTAATTCTACGCCTAATGCTCAAGGCAGTAAACCTTTACAAAAGGTTCTGATCACAAATGTTTTAACTGTCTCTGCAGATAAAGCATCATGGTGTGATTTCCAAAAGCACCATTATGGCTGTTCTACAAGGCCGTGCTGCCGTAAATAAGATATAAGTAAGATAACATGGGTTTATTATCCATCTGACAACAGTGCTGACTCACATTTATAAAAAAGCTACTGACTGGCAGCAGGCATGGGTCAAGGGCCTTTTGAATGAGATTGGCCACCCAGGTGGGTCCAACTATGATTATCTATTTGCCTTGTCAAATGTGGGACTTGGGTTAAATCAACTACCCTGGCTTTTTAAAAAATATAATTTCAGTTAGCTACATCCCTCTGAGTTTAAGGTGGCTATTGGACATCTAGGATTTTTTAGACCTAATTTCAACCAAAAAGCAACTGTGAGTTGCATAATTGATCTCCAAGTACTTGACCAATATAATTACGATAACCATTGAGCAATATACAGTGTAGTATAGATACAGCCCACATTTAGACTTGGTCTAATTTTGGCATCTAAAACACTTTCATTCTTAGACCTGTCGTAGCCTGATTTTGACCAGTTGTCTAGGCTACATTTAGACGTCTATTAGACCTCTTTTACACCAAAAAATGCTCAGTGGGATCCTTTTATTTGTCTTTGACAAACATCTGTTATTTAAGTCCCTATAGATTTCAATTTGTATGACTCCAGGATTCTCACTGTGTTGTGTTTCTTTCTAATGTAAAATGTACATATAGGAGTATAACACGCTCTGGTAGTAGAGCTGGGCGAAATGGCCTCAAATCAATATCACAATATATTGAGCAGTTCACCTCGGATGATAACTATTCCACAAGCTGATGGGGTGGAGTCACATCTCTGACATAGGACAGCGTCTTAAAGGGACATGAGACCATAGCCTACATAATCCAAAACCAACTTTTATTTATTTATTTTCATGACATCGAATATATTGACATGGGCAAAATGACGTCGGTTATTGTCGTTAATTTCGGTTTTGTTAAATTTTCGGTTTATTGCCCAGCCCTATCTAGTAGCATTAATAACAGAGGCTGAGGCAGACATGGTTATTGGAGACAGATATGCTCGTTTGAGCACACAGACTTAATGCCAGCTCAGCAATTGTAGAAAAAAAACCTGGGAACACCCCTGATTGGTGGAAAGTCAGAAACAGTCTCTGATAGGTTGACGTCTTGATGAATCACAGGTATTGTGGGATTGCAAAGTGGCCAACAGTTCTAACACCAACTTTAACAAAGCAAATCAGTAATTCACTCTATATGACTCTAAATATTTGATTTTCTTTGATGGGTTTATTGTAAAGGGTCTCAGTAAAGATACTTTATTTAAGCCTAGCTACTTCATATTAAAAAGTTATTAACGAAATTGGAAATGATCCCCTCTGAGGTTATAAATGACAAAGCCAACCTAAGAGGATTTACATTCTTATTCAACAATAAATAAGTAAATATCTGCAAGATTAAAAAAAAAAAACCTTGCATCAAATGTTGCGATTGTGGTATTGCACCTCTCCAAAGGGACCAATAACTGATATATTCATGCTTAAACTGATTTATATTTCTGTTGCGAAGTCTTCTCACCACATCAGCGGTGAGATAGTCCCCGGTGGAAGAGGAGGTGTCAATAAGCTGACCTCCTAACTCCTCCAAATCCCTGCGGAACAAAGTCTGCGCCTGTCCATCAAGCCGCCGCGGTATGCATCAGGATACCGCTGATCTGTTGACCAGTTCAACAGACTGACTTCAATCGGGGGGGAGGGGGTGGAGGGAGGGCCAGAGGGGAGAGGTCATACGTCTTATCCTCACCTTGAATGGCGTGGCGGACGGGCGCTCACAGGAATGCAGCGAGAAGAGCGGGGGAAATGGTCCAGCTTAATGAGGATCTCTTAGAGAGCGCCCACTGTCCGTCACACTGTCTGTGCTTTATCCGGCCGGGTCTTCAATGCAAACTCAAAAAGCCACCCCCTCTGCCTAATTCTTCATCCTGCCCTTTCTCTCTTTCTGTTTGTCTGCTCCTCTCTCTTCCTCCTTGAAGATCCTCTGTTTGATGCTTTGTCTCTGGCCTCAGAAAGCTGGAGTAAGCCATCAGTAAGATCAGCCTCATCTGTGAACTATAGCCGCTCCCCGGCAACAAGCTGCACCAAGTTAGGCAGTTTTCTGAGGAGCTCTGATGCACAGTGACTCTAATGATCCCCAAAAGTTTGACACATGATTTGTCCTCTGAGGATATGAAACTTGTTTCTCATCGAGCGCCAGGACAGAGAAAAGAAAACTGTGTGTTTTTCCCATCAGGCCACATGTTTTTAAACTCTCCTGTAGAAACAAATATTGGTCCAAGTCATAAAAGGGATTGTGTGTTGCTTACTGACTCACCGTAATCTTTCTTGCAGTACTTCTTCATGTTGATCTTCAATTTGCCTTTAGATGCCTTGCAGTAAGAGTCACAATCTGGAAATATAAGAAGAGACAAAATACAGTTTAAAATAAGGGAAAAAAATGTGAATTTGCTTTTACATCCAATTTCAAATAATATTAAAATAAATAAACTGTCCGGTCCACATGCCACAGAGTGTTACAAAGCTGTAGCATACATGGCTTATTGGAAAAAAAGTTTTAATTATGATCGTCAAACTTTTTTTAAAAGTTTATAAAATAAATCTGATAAAAAAAAAAAACTCTTGAGAATTTTAGTTTTAAGAAAATACATAGTAACAGTAACAGATACCAAAAACTATCATTTCTTGATTACACTGCTGAACGAAGAAATATCTTCTATGTAGTCTTTTATGGCAACATTTTTTTTTTCATTTTTTAACATTTTCTATCCCTGAATTTTTCAAAATTGTTTTTTCACTAGGAGGTATCATAAAATATACAATTCTAATGCAGTAGTATTGGTATTAATAGTAGTAGATTTAGTAGTATCTTTGACCATTTTTTGCCAAAACCAACTTTTATCCATTTTTACTCTTGTTTATCATCTGTTCTTTGAGATGTTTTTATCATTTTTTTTATCATGTTTGAATAAAGCTGAATTAAGATTAGATGCAGTAAGAGTAAAGCTAAACCATCTTCCAATACATGAGCATATTCAGGTACATGTAGTAAAACTACAGCATTTGAATTCACAGTGTTAATCATTAGTTACACTTTCTATGTGTGGTACAGTTTAGAATTATAAATTGTACATGTAAAAGTTTGTTAAAACTGCAGCACAGTGTGTTTATCTACAAGTAGCTAGATTTCTTTCATTTGCAGTACCGTTAAAAAATGGATAAATATTTCCAACAGGTTGTTAAATTTGCTTTAGAAAGAAAATATGTGAGAAAAACTCACTTTCATGTCCAAGTTGAGTTCGATTGTAAATTAATTTGACTTTACAGGACATCTCCTCTGTGTTTTCTTGTCAGTCTGTGATATTTATATTCTTAAAAATCTCTAAAAAGGGTTCAGTTGGTAGAAGTTTTTCGGCTGACTGGTCGACACACTCATCAGTCTGGTTTCATTGTGTTGGCTGACGGGGGACCGCCACTGTAAGATTTATGGAAAGTGCTTGTTTTGTTGTGCTAGTGCCTCTTTAGACTCTTACAACCTCCTGATGATAAGGACCTGCAGAAGGAGCTGATGGTACCAGCAGCAGCAGCAGCAGCAACTCAGCAGAAATACAAATCACCTCGGCCTTCTACCCACTCACTCCCTGTCAGACTGTGGGAATGATTCAAGCCTCTGTAGACCACCTTCCATCCACTTCAACCCCCCATACCCTCCCTCCAAATCTCACCTCGTTTGTCACCTCAGGCCCCCCGACCTCCAGAAAAAGAAAAAAAACCGAGATCACTTCAAGGCATGGGGAGGACCATGTCAAGCTTTTGCATTTATTGCAGTGTGGATGAGGGGGGGAAAGAGCGCGGAGGGTTAGCAGCTTTTCGATGGAGTAGAAGGCAGGGGTGTGAAGGGGGTCATTGCCACACAAAGGGAGGTCAGGAAGGGAGAATTAGCCATCCATGAAGAACTAGGCAGAGGAGGCTTTCTGCAGAGGGGGCGCAAGAACAAATAAATACCTCATGCTGGCAGAGGGGTCACCCAAATTGCCTCATAGCTCTCTGCCGCAGGGAAACACACATACAAACCCGTGTGTGCAAAGAAATAAACTCAAGGGCAGCTCTTTATGACCGTTACAGCAGGGTGACCTTTTTCCTTTGGTGGGAACTCAAAATGTAAAGCTGTACGAGATTTGTCCAGGTTATAAGTTCCAAAAATTAGTTCATTAGGTTTTCACGTCAACACTATTCATGAGCAACTGAAGACACGATGCAGAGTTAGATTCTGGCGAGGGAACTTGACTCTTTGCTAACTTGGATGTTTGTTAGCAGCTGAAGTTAGCATCTAAGCTAGTATCAAGAATCAGCTTGTATCAGCATTTAACCAACTTCCTGCTGACCTAGAATTTCTAACCCTTTCTAACTGTATCTTACAACACCTTTAATAAGTGATTTTAGCATTGAGCTGCTTCCTAGCTAATGGTAATATTAGGTGACAAGTAGCAGCATGCTAGCATTAGCTTGGTTAGCTAGAAGTTAGGTAAGTTTCCTTTCTAAATGTGAAATATGGTCCTTTGGTAATTCTCTATCGGTTTGTCTTTCAGACAGTGAAATACTGACAGTTTGTTTACCAATGCTCACAACAAGATGACAATGTAAAAGAATTAAAACTGGGTGAACATATTCTGAATCCCCAAAATGAGGACGCAACTACACAGGGGCGGAGTCACGGAGTCGCGCGTAGTAAATTTGAGAGTTTTGAGTGTTTTTCACGCGCTTCTAACTCAGTAAGTCCACGCGACACAAACTCAAAACTTCCATACAAAACCCCGGACATTTGAAGGATTTTATAAACTTCCCTGGACAAAGTCGGACAAAGTCAGACAGCCCCCCAAAAAGAGGACGTGTTCGGGTAAAAGAGGACGTATGGTCACCCTATTAAAGCTCCTAACTACAGCCGCCACAATCTCAGATTTTCACCAAAATATTTCAAGCAATGATTATCAACTGAGACCACATTCATGTTTTATAAAGTCCATGACGGCAACTAACATGTAGGAGCACTATTGCTCCTCTCTGTGAACTAGCTAGTTATATGCTGTATACCCGTGTATTACTTTATTACTTTTTTATTTACTTTCAGGTATTTTATTAAAAGACTGCAATAATCAATGACTACATTGTTACAGCCCCACTTCCTAACCTGATGGTTACGCCTAAGAAAAATGGCTGCTGAGTGAATTTGTTTGGTGACCGGTGAATGCACATGTATACTCTTAAAAAATAGTCCTTGTCTACGTCATCGTATTTCATCCCCATTTGATCATGTGTTTTAAGGAGTTAAATATGATTTCTTTCACATTGACCACACATGCACTGCAGATCCCAAATGACTCGGCTCCTTGTCCAAGTAGATCTATGAAGAAGTGCAAATGCCTCCATTTTCTATGATAGATTACCGGGAGGTGAAGAAGGCATAGACCATACATCCCTCCCTCCGCTTTGAAAGGCCCCTGCAATCCACAGAGTTCATAGCTGCAGTGATTGCCCCATGCTATGCCGTCACACGGCCAGACACTTACAGAAAGACGTGACATGAGGCCATATCATGAAAAAGAAAAAAAAAAGACTTCTTTTTTTCTTTGCTTTTAGCTCTCTCTCCAACGGGCATAAATTGGTTCCAGAGTCTTCTTTGGTTCACACTTCAGGGAAGCATTAAGTTGCAATTACTTAAGTAAAAGATGACGAAGAAGAAGAAGGAGGAAGAGAGGAAGAGATGGATGGACAGCGAGTTGTAGTGGAGGAGAGTGATGGGCCGGTGGAAGAAGGATTGGAGCTTTCAGGCAGCCTGAATATGAACAAACTTCATTGTTGTGCACGGATCTTTGCTCCATGCTTTTACTCTCCTTTATACTCTGTGTGAATGAGGTTGCCGGGGGAACACCGGGACATGAAAAAATGCAGGGAAAGGAGGCGGGAGAATGGATACTGGTAGAGAGCAAAGAGGTGGAGTGGTTGACACACACAAAAAAAAAGAAGACAGGAGTGAAGTTTGTCGGAGGGGGTGGGAGGAAAAGGACGAGGATTTTAAGTAAAATCAGCGAAAAAACAAAGATGCACGGCCACAAAGCTGGAGCTGGTGGTAGTAAATAGAGTGAGTAACAAAAATAGACAAAGTAAATGAAACAGAGGAGTCTATATGAGCTGCGCCTGATTACCATGTAAATGATGGAAGGGGGAACTCAGGAAAGGAATCTTTGTTTTCTCATAACCCCCCTTGATGCCATCGTGATACTTCCCTTTGATAGCCTTTCGTTCCCCATTAGTGTACCCCTGAGACGGAGCTCCAGGCCCCGCTGAGAGCACCCCAAGATCCCCATTTAGGCCCAGGCAGTCCCCTACGGTGAGGACAAATGTTCCCTTTGTGCGCGTGTTACAGGCAAGGGAAGTGGGAGCAGTCCTCTAGCACTGAGCTAAAATGTGCTCTGGGTGTTCTGAGTAGATGTAGTTACTACAGCGCTTTGTTTCCTGCCTTTCAGAGCACTGAGAAGTGCGTAACTGAGAGGTGGACCTTTGCCCCTTCCATCAAAGTGCTGTACAGCCCTCTAAGCTAATCGTTTCATTTGGGATGCTTCGAACCAAAGGTGCTTCAAGGTAGAATACAGGGTTGTACAGTTTGATGTACTTGAGCCAAAGACTTGAACAGAAAGAAGCCGAAGTAGGCGGGGGTCATGTTTGAGCGCCGGTGTCTGATCCATAGTGCAGAATAATTCTTAACCCTCCTCCTGTGTTAGGGTCTGCACCGACCCGTTTTTTATTTTAAAAGCTTAAAAGAACCACTTAAATGAGCTTTTGTGCATTTAGACTTTTTGACTTTGTCAGGAACAAAAAAATTTAATTGACTAAATTATAAAATGCTCTTCTTAAAATTCCTCTTCCATACATGTGAGATTAATTCAGTATAGATGTCTGTGTGAGGGGTACACTGACAAAGAAAGGCCCAGAGGACCACTACAAGAAATATTCTATGAAATATTTTCATGGATAATGAAGCTTAACAAGTTAACCTAGAGATGAGAACCAAATTGGATGATAGAGAATTGTTTTTAGTGTAATTTACAGCTGATTTATGATGCGGGTCAAAACCAACCCTTAACATGGTGGTTGTGTAGTAAAAGCTAACGCAGGAAGAAGGTTAAAACATGCAGCAAATACAAAATACTTTTAGAATGAGTGGTACAGCTTGTGTTTAGGGCTTTTAATCAAAGATAAAAAAAGGATGGTTTAAAGGATGGCTCTACCTGGCATGTCACTGAGATTCCCTGCTTTTTCAAGGATGTTCAGACTATTGAAACTTCAAAAAAAAGTTTCTTCAGACTTATTTAGTCTCATTTAGACTCAGCCGTAGGGATAAAAAACAGGTGTGCCAAAAAAAATAAAAAATCACCATAAATCATCACAATATAACACCATTTTCATCCTGTTTTTATTTTCAGGGGTACTTTGTATAAAAACCTGCAATTGTCAGCTAAACACCAATCCAACAGTCAAACAGCTTTAAAGTCACGAATGTCCCTTCATTTTCAGGTCACCTCGACAGGGCTTGAAAACTATTTTGATTATCAGCCACTAGTTGTTGAACATTGTCATTAACCACAAACTATACCAACAAAAACACCAGAGAGTGTTTTACTGTTTTCCACGAAGCAACTTTAGGCAGCATCTAACGCCTCTGAAATGTGGCCACTTTGGGAACACGTTACATAGACAAACATAAAGGAAAGACAAATGCTAAACTCACTAAACAGTCAAGAAAACTGTATAAATTGCAATACTCACTGTACTGCAAAGTGTTAAGAATCGCAATAATATCTTACCGTGGCCCAAGTATTGTAATAATATCGTATTGTGGGGCCACTGTTGATTCCCACCCCTAATAAACATGGGCTACTGGCCTGACCCCACAATTAAGGTACGTGGATCCTACTTGACTGAGTTGGTTGAGAAGGAAACCTGGTAAACTTTAGCACAAGTAATGTACGATAAGGCTCTATTTCTCTTAATGGAACGGTAAAGGGATGTTAATAATCAAGTTTACAACAAATATTTGATTCCCTTCAAACATACAAATATGTACAAATATGTAAATGTTCCTTTACTGTAGTGAAATCAAATAAACCTCAGGTGTGACCAGCTTTCTACATTGAGTGAATCTACCCCGAGACTTGGGTTAGATTCACAGCCACAGAGGCAGAGTAGGGCAGCGGTGACAGGGAGGTGTAAATGACGGCCCAGGAGGAGGGCTTTTTTTCCTCAAGCAGACTGATTGAGAAACAAATTGAGGCAAATAAAGCATGTAATTAGATTATGAAGCCCAGTGTGGTGCCCTCTGTCTGCTGAGCTGATCGCACCAGGGTAGTGAGTTTGGATCGTGTCCAGAATAAGACACAGGGAGAAAAACGCCTCGATTCTTTTCCTCTGGTATTTTCAAGGAGATGTAGACGATGGTCCGTCATGGGCGGACAGCAGCAGGTAAAGAAGCTTTCAGAGTTCTTGACCTGATTTTGCTTTTGGGTGGCTTGCGATCACTTCTGATGAATTGGGTCAACCTCTTTTACCATAATTAATGAGTTTCAGATGAGCCATAAGGGACGGCGGCTGAATTTTACTCAAATTACAGACACAGAGGTGAGCCGAGCCAAGATTTCCAAGTTAAAAAAAGAACCGCGAGCAACAGATTTATCACGATTAAAGTATCTTCTTCTATATTTGTCCCTGCGTATCAAAAATCACGGCATTTCTTCTCTCACTCTTGTACAGCGAAGTGGCAAAACAAGATCCCACGTTGACATGACTGTACAGCACGACTGAAACTAAGACAGGGTGTGTGAGGCAAGACTCATGTCCAAAACATCCAAGGAGGGGTTTACGTAGACGCTGATCGCTTCCAGCCCCATACAACACACACACACACACACACACACACACACACACACACACACACACACACACACACACACACACACACACACACACGTAAGACCAAATCTCATTACCCTTATGAGCCTCATCATCCCTACTCCAATTTTCTTTCTCCTCATCATCATCAGTTACTTTCACATCCTGTGTATCCTTACAGGCCTAGGCGACCATCGCAGGTCATCAGCAGTTAATCTCCTCCATATTTTCGTTCGCAGCGCGCAGACGTCTCTGTCACGACCCATGGGAGTGGCAACTCACACCATCCGTGACCTACCAGCACAATGTGTGTTTTGTCTGGGCCACACCATCAGAGGTATTCTCCATGCATTCCAGCCCTCCGTGTGGTCGAGAGGGGGAGAGCCTCTGCTGCAGGAGACAAATCAATATCCACCCCCCCCACACCCTTCCTTACGCCCCTCATTCACCCTCTCCTCAAAATACATCCCCCTCTTAGTCAGAGTGAGGCGCAACACGGCACCTGCCTCACAGCTGTCAGCTCAACAGCCCCCCACACACACATGGAACATATGAAGGTTTTATTCTTATTAGTTATCTCAATTTCTTTGCGTTTTTCAAATCTTCTTATCCTACCAAGTCAATCTGTGTCATTTCTATTCTAATATCTCACCACAATTAGCATTAGCCATCATAACCTGAGAGGTCTGAATGTACATCATGTATGACAAGACATTAGTATCTAGAATCTAGGGCTGGGCAATAAACCGAAAATATACGGATAAAGAAATTTACGACAACAAAGGTCCTTTCACAGCGGGACCGTTATTGTCGTGCGATTATTTCAGACGTCAATATTTTTTTTCAAACCCATATCCTGTCAATACAAGCGTTCACATCAGTGACGTTTTCCCGTCCTGCGATATTGCGGCATTTTTTTTTGCCGATCATGGTAGATTTTTTAAAGTTTCGCAGACTGTGTGTTCCACTTCTGACCAATCATATTGCGTGTTGTTGCGACGTCAGATTCACCGGTATATCCAACATGGCCGACCGGCTGATTGTTTCATGTGCTTATCTTATCACCTCTGATTGGCTATAAGTGCTGACCATCTGGCTTGAACCTGTAATGACGTTTCCAGCTTTTCTAGTCAATCAGAGGCGAAGGAGGCGGGACTTTCCCCGGCAAAAAGTCTTTTTCCCCCGGAAAGTCGCAAAATCACATCGGGCTTGATGTGTCAAAATTCACCTCCGAAAATTTTTACTTTCGCGCTCTATATTCGTGTCGGCCCCTGCGTGTAAGGACCTTAACCAATGTCATTTTGCCCATATCGATATATTTGATGTCAGAAAAACGAATAAAAGTTGGTTTTGAATGTGTGTAGGTAGGCTATGGTCTCATGTCCCTTTAAAACGCTGTCCTACATCGGAGACGTGACTCCACCCCTTCCAGTCTGTAACAAAGTGGGAAAGACAGGTGAGGAGATGGAGGACAGAGAGAAAGTTGTAGCAGCGGCTGAAATAGACAAAGTTAATGTGGGAGGGGGTGAGCAGCTTGTGGAGTAGTTATCGAGGTGCACTGCTCAATATATTGTGATATTGATTTGAGGCCATATCGCCCAGCCCTAGTAGAATTTATTTAAAAATCTGTTACTTGACATAACAGCCAAGATTGAGCCAATGGTAATCTTGACATTTTTTCTTTATGAAAGCTATGAGTTTGCGTGTACCTAATCCAACAATGCTACTTTACAACCGCCAGAATAAAAGTAATAAAATCTTAAAAATATATGATTTTATTTGCAGCAAAACAGGTAGTGTTTGTGGGTTAGAAAGTATTGTTTGATCCTCTGATAAAACCCCACATCTGTTTGTGATCAGAACTCAGATGATATCACCGCTGTTCAACAACACTGGCCCAACAAGAGGTACAGTTCCATTTCACACTTCTGTAAAATGAAACTTCTGCGTTCAGTCTTTGGGTTTTGAGCTCTTCTGTTCATGGCGGACTATATTAGTTCAGTGTAGCAGATACTGGATGTCCTTCAAGTCCACCTGAGAGGGAATTCCCAGAGCTCTCTGCTGATTAGATTAGCTGTATGAATACATGATCTCAGTCATTACAGAGTCTCCTTCAGGTTGTGCTTACATTTGTTCAATGACACGGTCTGATGAAGAGGATTATTTGGATATCGAGTTGCTCTACTTGAATAAACTGCATGAACACAGTGAACTGGAATAGGGTATGGCTTTTAAAAGCGTCAAAATACACTTCTTAATATCAATCGCAAGACTCTGAAAAAAAAAAGCACTACAGTAAACAAGCCTGATGTTGATAAAGCAATGCAGGCTTTTCTCTCCTCTTACTTATCCAGTAATCCATGACTGAAGTGAGGAAAATGTCCCCCGCCCCAAAACTGGACAGATTCATGACAAGGGGGCCCAGAGAAACTCCAGATATTCCGGCTCAACACCACCCACAGTGCTATGTGAAGACAAAGCGTGAAACAGAGGGAGACGAAGGAAGTGGAGGAGAGAGCGTAAAGAGACCAGAAAGGAAAAAAGGTGGAGGAAGGTTTGGGGGGGAGGGCGGTGAGTATCCCTGACTGTGCCGTCAATCGAAGCTGTCTGGAGAATGCAAGGGAACTCAGAGGGCCCAATAACAGCTGCAGGAGCCTCTCTCACACACACTCTCACATACACATAATACGCACACCATGGGCCTCCTGCAACTTCATGGTTGAGACAGAGCAAACATGCGGTGCCAGATGACTCAATTGTTTCCACCGGGAGGTCAAAAAACCAAACGTGGAAGTTATTCTGATGTGGTTTGTCGACGAATGTCTCTGTGTTTCCAGGTTACAACAAGTTTTGTGATTCACATTAGCACTCACACTATGACTTGCATATTTTATCTGGGTAAATTTGCATCAAATAATGCAATTAGATCAATGATATTAGTCATAGATATAATGATGTGCGCAATGGACATTCTCGGACAGATGAAACAGTGGTATGTGTTGTATTGTAAACATATACTGTAGGTAAATGTAAGCAAAATAGCAGCACTTATTTGTAAATACACAAGTGTTTATAGATATTATACACTGGGGAAAAAATTAATGTCGGAAAATACTTAGAATCAACAAATACATATTTGGGATATTGCCTTTTCCAAATATAGTTAAAAGAAAAAGATTAACATTTAATTTTAATTTGTCTTAAAAATTGGAATAAAAGATCCCGCAATAAACTTAAAATATCTAAAACATCTTTTAAGTTTAAAAAAGCTTTATTTCTCTTATTTTACTTGATAATTTACAACCACTATAATGATGGTACAGTAAATCAGCACTGTTTCAAACATGAGTCATTTCCTGTATTCGTGAGTGACGGTACAGTTGCAACCTGAGATGAGATACAAGATCCAGATTCCTCCGTCCGATATTCCCTAACTTCACTACCTCAGACTGAGACTCAGAGAGTTTGGACGGATGAGAAATCTTCAAATCAAACGGCCGAGTCCCAGACCAACACCAACACCCCACTGTGCCGCAGTTAGACTGATTAATTGTGAAAGTGTGAGAGATTAAAGGAGGCCCATCCCAGGGCTGCTGCTAATGGGTTTAATATTCATGAACCACTAATAAGGAGGAGGAAGGCATGAGGGATCCAATTTATCTAGCCGGCTGTTTTTACACTAGTGGAAAAATATCAATCTGAGGTGTGGAAAAAAAAAAAGTCCCATAGCTATGTCCTCACTCTGCTGTGATTTTCCCCTCAATGTGCGGCAGAACACAGATGAAAATAAAGCCTATAAATGGGATCAATGTTGGACCCGTATATGTACTCACCTGATGGCTCCTCTGTACTGCTGGACGGGGTCGTAGGAGGTGCAACAGGAATCTCTACTCGCAGAGGAAACAAAACATACACACAAGGAAAGATCAGTTTTATCATCAGGCGTACCTGTACAAACTTGTGAAATAATACATGATGACTTGAATTACCCACAGGTGGATTTTTCAACAGACAAGCTTTGGTGTAAACGCACGATTAGATTAAGACACCAACTGTTACGTTGGGTCCATAACTCAGGTGCTTTGTGTCTGTTTCACTGTCAGTTCTCTGCTGTCGATAATAACGCCCGATGCTAATGCTAAAATATCCTTATTTTTAATATCATTTTAGTATGTGTGAAAACTTTTCATTTCCTCCGTTTAAAAATCTCTTTTTTAAAGTATTTTCACTGTAGAAGAAAACATTCCTCTTTTTCCTTTACTCGACAAACCAATCGCACGTCATGTTTTTAATCAATAGTTAATGATGCTCTTTCGGTTTCGGCATTTAAAGTGAATTTCTGCTGATATTTTGCGCCTCTCTTCTACCATCAGTCTAATGAAAGAACAACATTTTCCAATAATAATTTATAAATCTTAAAACAGGATCTGTTTTATAATTTTCAGCTCTGAAATTCTCACTGTGATATCTGTTTTATGCCTCACAAAAACTCAATGTAATGTAATCTTTTTTCGCTGTCATGAATCCTTTAACAAACATATCATAAAAATTAAAGTTTTTTTCTGACATTCATCTCCGTCAGTCGTACCATCTTGTTTTAGAAAAGCTAAAAGAGCTGTGTGATGGTCCAAAGACTTCTACTTTTATACTCTGTGGGTAGGAAGCTGACACTCGGAGAAATCATGCGTGTAGATCTGCCGCCTTATCTCCAAAGGAGCAGGATGGCAACAGAAGATATAAAACTCACAAAATGCTTTTTATTGTTACTGTGGGCAGGAGAGAAGGGGCTCTCCTCTCATAAAAGAGGAATACGAGGACAAAAGGTAAAACCGCAGAGACGTATCAAAGACACATGCAAAGAAAGAGGTGCTCCATAGTGGTGGTTTCAGAGGTGAACACTGTGAGGAAAGACAGGAGGAATCAAGTCTTTGATAAAAGTAAAACCAGACTTTCTTAGCCGGGTCTGAGCGAACCTGCTCCCCTCTTTCTTTCATTTATGGTGCAAAGTAAATCAGAGTCTTGAAATGAAGTGCACGCCTTGTAGACATAATGAGGCCTTCTCCCGTGACAAATTGGTCCTTATAATGACAAGAAAAACAATGGCGTTGAAAGCCCAGAGGTCACTTTGCTGATGTTGTTGTTGATCAGATTCTCCCATCAGTATTCAGCCGCCACACGTGCCAGTTTAAGTAATGAGCCTGTTTCTCATTATGCTGGCGTGATTTGTTTCTGAAGAGCTCGGAGGTGTACACAAATCAAAGATAAAGCAAAAAGAAAGCTGGCAAGCGTGGACGCTAAATCTAAAAGACGGCTGTAAAAGATTTAAGTTGATTAGATAGTTATCATCAGGGAGAGATTTGATTTCCATCTCACAGGGATCAGCGCTTCGACACCTTAGCTTTTACCTCGCATTCCCACGAATCAAAGATATCTGATTAGTTGATTTGATTTATTTCTTAATTGGACCTCAGCCGAGCATCTCCGTGTGGAGCGTCTAATTCCTCGTATCTAATCCCGAAAGCAGAGCGCTGATTATAATGGGTTTTAGAGTAAGATAAAGGAGCCAATAAATATAAAAAATTGATACTTGGTGAGCAGCTTTAAGCCCTCAGTTATCCTTCTGCTAAAACTATCTTTTTATCATTTTGAATAAATACAAAATCAGCTTTTTAATGGTCACAGGATGCTGAGAAAAAGAGTTATCTTATACTTTTACCTCAGATACTTTGGGGTTAAGGGATGCTGGTGTTAACAGCTTTAGAAGACTACACTCCTCGAACCTTGAGATTCACTTTAATGATGTGTTTATCTAAGCTTGCAGATTTACTGATCAGAAAACCGACAGTCAGACACAAAGCGCTTGTCTGAAGAAAAGGACAAGGATGTTTCTCTGTTAAATGTGTGTCTCTTAACATGTACATAATGTGTCTTAAATAGTATAGTGTCTGGTGTGTCCGTCCCTCTGTGGTAAAGAGTCCACGTACTTATGCAGGGGGCAATGGGCGAGCGGCTCTGCTGGTAGCCTTTTGCGCAGCGGTTGCACGTGATACCAGTCACACCGTCTTTACAGGGACATTGTCCTGTGGTTTGGTTACAGGTTTTGCCAGCAGCACCCACGGGATGGCAATCACATGCTGTGAGGAAACAGAGGAAGAAAGAGAGGCACAGTGAGTGGTCACACACACACACAGAGACACACACGGACACACATATATTCTATCTACAGAGAGTGCAGGTGAGCACACAGCAGCAGAGACAGCAGTGGTGGCAACTACTCACTATATTCACACAGTTGCTATTTTCTGGGGTGGTAAAAAGCTCAGATGTGGTACAACTATAATAATACTGCCATGTTTTTGAATGCAGAGGATAAAAAGTCAAATATTGCCTCATTTCCTCCTTTTCCCAGGGAGAAATGAGGCTCTAATTCAAGCCGAAACTAGACACCTGAAACACTTTTGGCAAGCAGCTATTTTAAGCATCCAACCGCTACTTGCTAACACTAGCATTAGCTAGTGTTTTCTTAACCGTTGGCTAGTTTTAGAGTTGAAGCCTGAGAGAAACTGTCAAACTGAATAGTTAGCATTCAACCTCATCCTGACAGTTACTGTCTCAGGACATAGTCAAAGTTTTACTGAAAAGTATATTTCAGCGTAAAATTAATTCAGGGTCAAACACACCGTAACACCCAGTCAGACACCTCTTCGAGAGATGAATGTTGCCGACTGCTTGCTTCTCTAGTTATACCAACTTGTCAGTCCAGTCCATTATAGACTGCTGCGGGGTGACGCAGCTCATGAACATTTATGATCATTACTTTATAATTTCCCAAAAGTAATAATCACCATATTAATAATTTTTCACTGCAGACGCGGTAGTTCTTCAAGCCTTAGTGTCTCGGTCTGATTGCAAAGAAATGATCACAAATGTTCTTTCTTGAGCTGCGTCACCCCGCAGCAATCCTTAATGGACTGGCCTGAGTTCTCGCTACAAACAAGCGGCTGCTGGAAGAGAGTAGGTGAGTTGTGTTTAGTCTCTTTGCTGAAGAAATCAGGTAAAGTTTTAAAGATATTTGGTGGCTAGTACTATGGCTGTGACCCTGTATGTACTGTTGATGAAGTTAGGTGCTGTTCTGAACATTATTTGTGGCTATAGAGTGGCGTTTTGGTTGAGGTTTGTGTCTGGCTTCTAAGACCGCTGTGTACTGCTATCATGCGGTTGTTACTAAAGTTGGTATAACTGGAGAAGCAAGCAGTCAGCAACATTGATCTTTCAAGGGGTTGTCTAACTCGGTGTTATGGTGTCTTTGACCATTAATTAATTTTATGTTGTAATATCCCAATAAAGTTATACAAGCTAGGAAGCAGCCGAACGCTAAAATTAGCTGTTGATGGTTGGTTTTAAATGTCTTAACTTGAATTTGGCTCCAAGTTCCTTTGCCTTCTCACTATTAAGTGTCTTAAGATTCTGATTTGCTAATCGATTAGGAATTGGGTCGCAGCAGGGAAATGTCACACCAGCATTTAAGCCTTGCTAAGCTAGACATTAGAGGAAAACGGCAGCTGTGTGAATATGGTCAACAACAGAGTGGTGAGAGTGCAAGTGGAGGGATGCACAGAGACAGCAGACCGTTTTTTCACATCTGACACCAGAGCACCTGTTGTGAGGCGACTGTAGCATCGAGACTTAAACAGCGGCATATCCTCGAAACGACAGCATTGTTTGCGAATTAGCTCATTAGCATTAAAAGATCACATATACCAACATTAGAAGCTGCTGAAAAAAACAGTTTCATCATAATCACAAACATGTGTGTTTGTGATCTCTGCATGTGAGTCTGGGTCTTTGTCCTTGGTGTGTGGGTAGTGTGGGAAGGCCGTTATGCGTCTGAGCTTAAGAGAAAGGGTTGTGCATGTTTACCAAATGATAAAATAATGGAGGATAATCCTAATTGCCTGCTTTTGATTTCTGCCGGGCTTTGAACACAAGCCCAAAACGTCTGTCACACTTCCTCCCAAACTGGGGGGTCTATCAAACACATGTGCCTCAGGAATGTAATCATTTCCCAATTGCTCCCCCCCCCCCACAGTCCAAGCCCTTCATTTATTTCACAGCCAAACCCATGACAGGTTTGAAATCACTGTTGAGTAATCAATGTCTGAGAGTTGTTTCTTTTCATCTATTTTTGGATGGCAATAGTTTTGAAGAGAGGTGGTTGAATTAATTGTCTTATGAACAGCCAGCGCTGTAAATCCTGACGATGTAATCCAGACCAGAGCAGTCTTCATAATTTATCATCGATTTCTACTTCTTCACTCCAAAAGACCCACAAAGCCAAAAACGCTGTTTGTCAGCAAACTCTCATCACTTAATTCCTCACTCTATGACTGTTATATTTTGTTTATTTCCAAGCAATGATGCCGACTTTCAGCCTCATTGGCTGCCCCGCCTAAAAGATTATTTTCTGCCTTGTGTCACTTGTCAGTCTGAAAGCCTTCAAAGGCGAGGCTGAATTATGTGCTTTGAGGTTTGAGGGGTATTTAGTGGTTTGGCCTGTTTAGTTTTTAACCACACACTGTTCAGCCCAGAGTGAAAAATTACAGTCTCAAAGGAATCTGTTCATTTCGGCTCATTGCATCCAAATGAGTGTTTAATGTGTTTAAATGTCAAAGCAAATTTTGATGAAAAGAAGCTACAAATACAATCAACATGCTGGTTTCTACTGTGCATTAATTCAATACATTAAGCGATGCTGTTTGACTGCAGGAACAGATGTTGTTTGGTTGTTTTGCTTTGAATGTTAATTTTGTTATGCACTCTGAATCTTTGGCCAACATTTGCCTCACATCACAGCAGGCATCAGAGTAGGTGAGTGAAGAACAAGAACAACTCCATTGTAGGGCTGGGCGATAAATCAAAAATTTACCGATACCAAAATTAACAACAATAACCAACGTCATTTTGCCCATATCGGTTCATTCGGTGTCAAAAAAATAAATAAATAGATAAAAGTTGATTTTGGATGTGTGTAGGTAGGCTATGGTCTCATGTCCCTTTTGACTTGACTCCACTTCATCCAATCCACAACAAAGAAGGAAACACAGGTGAGGAGATGGAGGACGGTTCAAAAGGTTGTAGCGGCTGGAGCGGCGGCTGAAGTAGACAAAGTTAATGTGGGAGGGGGTGAGCAGCTCGTGGTGTAGTTATCGTCTGTTAATCGTTATCGAACTGCTCAATACATGATGATATTGATTTGAGGTCATATCACCCAGCCCTACGCTTTTCAAAGTAATAGTTTGGAGTTCATCACAATAGCGGCGTGTCCCTACCTCTGTCAGGCCAACCCAGGCGCCACTGCTAAATCCCATCTTCGCAGTGGCATTTACAAGGTTGAATATAGCGCTGTCATTTCAGATTTTTACCTCGCAGCTATAGCGACCAAAAACATTTACAATATTATCATGATATGTATAGAAAGATTAGGGAAAAACACCATCATTCATATTAAGCAAAGGCAGAGACAAGGGTGGAATGACACGTTACTTCATACATTTTCCTAATTAATGCGATGATGTAACAAGTTATGTTTTATCCCTGTAATGAAGGCCAACTAGCTAGCTGTTCCTTAGTCTCCTTCTTCTTCTGCTTCTTCTTGATCTTTTCTTTATTTCATAGCCGGTGGTTCGGGTGACCAGTGGTTGTTCGGCTTTGTCCGGGGAGTTTTATAAAATCCTTTAAATGTCTGTGGTTTAGTACGTAAGTTTCGATTTTGTGGACTTACTGAGTTAGAAGCGCATAAAAGACACTCGATCCAACCCGAAAAAACCTCAAAATAAACTTTGTACGACTCCGAGACTCCACCCCTGCGTAGTCATGTCCTCTTTTTGGGGAGTCAGAATATGGTCACCCTACCAGTGGTGACCAGAGTAAAGAACTGGTGCTACCCTCTGCTGTTTTATATGTTTTATACACATATTTTTAGTGATCATCAGTACTGGTACACTAGGTCATCGTCTTCTTGGAAATATCTCCGTAGCTTTTGCAGACATGATTGTTTTGAGTCTTCATACAATTAAACAAGTATGCTGCCACTATTCTGGTCATTATTAGGGTTTAAGTACCTCTTTCTTAGAATGTAACAACATGATACTTGGATTTTAGTAATTAAGTAAATATTGGAAACCCAAAAGGTAAGTGAATACTAACTGTGTGCACACACATATTTTATGCTAGCCCTGGGGTTAAAACGTCAGCACACCACTGCCTCTCCTCTCAATCACACCAGCACGCAGACTTCTCCTCACTTTTATCTCTATTGCCTACTTCCTGTGACTCAGCTCCTGCTGCTGCCCTTATCTCTGCAGCTTAAGTGAATACTTGTGCCGTTTGCCCGCCTTATCAGACAAAAGAAAACTCCTTTAAAGTGTGTGTATCTATTAGTACCTTTATCAGACCAATCCGTCACCGCTTTCATTGTTAAGTTGTGTCTAGCAGAGCGGGAGAAAAAGCACACACACACACACACACAAATACAAGCATGGTTTCAAGAAGCTCAATGAACAGCGTGGAGGCCAGTGCGGCACGTCTTCAGGCCTGTAGATTTATGAACACGTCAGAGGAGTTTGAGGCTCAGGAGGGCAAAGAGCGTTCCTGGTTGGAGCTTCAGAGAGTTCAGTTTATATATCTAAGAGCGCCTGCCTGGTAACCACAGCTCTGAGACGAAAGCTCGCCAGTAAATCAAGGTGCACAGCAGCACATGGTCTACAGGTGGGAAACACTCAGAAGCCTCCCCTTCTCTGCATTATGCCCTCTGTTTCGACTCAAAGGCTGACTGAGCCTTACCCCGCTGTCCTGCCGGATGACAAATAGTCTGAACCCCTGTCTGGATGACCCACCTGTCAGGTTAAGGGCAGATCCACCGCGGCGGGTGCGAGTGAGAGTCTCTGGTTTAAGTGTGTGTCCACTTAGTGGTTAAGTGGCTACTACAGATCTCCAAGAAAGATATGAGGACGGCAGAGGACGAAAGTGTGGTGGTCTCTCTCTTGGCAATATAGAACAAAATCTAATCCTGTATAGCTGTCATGTTTAACGATGAAGACAGATTTCCTCACGCTGAAAAGGCTCTTGGCGCCCGTCGCTGTGATTGAAAAACTGAAAAGTATTCTCGGTTAATGGGGAGGGGTTGAAAGCTTTTTCAAAAGGCGGGCCTCAGTCTGAGATTGCACAATGTGAGAATTTTCAACTCTGCCAATCGTTTACCATAAAGCTGCCGTTTGAAGTCTGAACTCTGCTCCCACCGCTCATTCATTTGGTTTGTGTGTTCTGTGCCAATAAGAATAATTTGTTGGCCCTGAAGTGAAGCCAAGCTACCCGAGTCTGTCTTCTATTATAATTAGGTTTCTGCTCCACCACAAGTATCTTTGCAGAGCAGTAAGAGATGGTGTTGTTCAGTTGTTTCGGTCTGCATAAACAGCTCTCTAAAAGATGTGTTGATTTATTAGAGGGTGGGTCTTACTTGTGTTGGTGTTTGGTGGTTTTATTGATCAGATTAATAGGTTCAATTGGCTGAATTCTCTCAGTTTTCTTGAATAGAAACCAAGACGAGCCTTGTGCTTTGGCAACAGGCAGAAGATCTGAGCTTATCTGAACAGAGTTAGTTGGGTGATGCGGCATGTGTGTTATTCTTATTAAAAGCAGAGAGAGCAGTACTTGTAGTCTTGTAGTCATGAAATCAATATTTTCATATCTGAAGAGGAAAACATATTTTTAACAGAAATTATGTGGCCAATAAAAAGCCCTGAAATGTCAATGGAAGACATATGTCAAAGCATGAGAGTTTTTCAAGCTTGTTACTGTAATCGAAATAGATCATCCCTCAGTCGGAGCCTAATTTTCCTTTTAATGCGAAATATGTTTCTCATCAGCCCACTGACCGATGTAATTCCACGATGGTTGATGTTCGGATACCAATGTGGAGGCCTAAATTTGATCAATCAGTCACAGAGACCAGCGCCAAACCTGCAGCATCTTGATTTTATTAAGTTTAGATGGAGGACTTAAAGCTAGTGTGAGGATCTGTTTGTGTCAGTTTAGGTTCCCCCTGGATAAAGTGATATTTCTCTGCTGATCATATGTGGTATGTTGTGTTTTCTGGTCAAACATAAGACTCACAGTGGATAAGTATACCTTCTAAAACTGCAGTTTAGCCAAATATAATTTTTGTTTTGAATTGAGATCCCTACATACATTACCTTCTAGTCATATCTTTATCCTCTAAGCCAGTTCCCACGCAATCATTACATTTCCTTTCATTCAATCAAAGAGCAAGGCCAAGTTGGTTATAACTATAACTTCTGTTGAATAAGATCTGATTGAAGGGAAAGACCATTAATGGAAGTGTGAATGCTCCTATTTGGAAACCAGACTGCCCATCAACAAAGGCATTTAGAAATGATGTTCATGTAACTGATGTAACTTTGATAAATGGCATTTAAAGTCATAAACAGTGTGGCAACACAGCTGATCAAACTCTGCATCAAATTATCACGTTGTTGCTACAGCTGTTATCTCATCATATATCAGAGGTGATGAAAGACCACCAAGAGTGCTGCTTCTCTCAGTCTTATTGCCTTTTTGTGTTAAAGGGATATTCAGGTGTAAATTTAAGTTAGGGTCAAACGCACCATAACACCAAGTTGAGTCAGTCCATTAAGAAATGATCATAAATGTTCTTCCTTGAGCTGCGAAACTCCACAGCACTCGGTAATCGACTCATCAGGGCTCCCCCACAAACAAGCAGCTGCTGGAAGAGAGTGGGTGAGCTGTGTTTAGTCTCCTTGCTAAAGGAACCAGGTTAAGCTAAAAAGATGTTTTGTGGCTTGTGCTGTGGCTGGGACCCTGTATGTACTGTTGATGAAGTTAGGTGCTGTTCTGAGCATTTTTTTTGGTTATAGAGTGGGGTTTTGGTTGGTATAACAAGAGAAGCAAACGGTCGGCAACATTCATCTCTCCAGGGGCTGTCTAACTCGGTGTTACAGTGTGTGTGTGACCCTTACTTAATTTTATGCCATAATATCTCTTTAACCTCATAATCTTTTAGTTCAGATACACCCTTCCAGTTTTATGCGGTCAAAGATACAAACAAAAACAAGAACATTGAGGGCTGAAGTTGTACAGTTTGGTAAGCAAATGTGGCCGCCAGGCACAGCTCACCCTCCTATGGAAATGAGCCGCTTTTTTCAGAGGAGTGGATTGTGTTTCGCATACAAAAGTAAACTTCGGTGCTCCTCGACCTGCGCTCTTGCTCCCTCTCTTTCTTTCTTTTACAGTTGAGTAAATAACCAACCTCTTAATTGCTGTCACTTTAAGGAGTGGACAGTAATTGGTTCTGCAGTTCGAGTTTCACTGAATTATCTTGAGTTATGGTGTGGGCAAGGTGAGAGAATTCGGCCGGGAAACACTTGACATTGGGAAAAAGCTGTGTATGTTAACAAAACTCCAGACTATGTAACATGGCAACAAAAAACATGTGAAAAATTTTCATCTGTTACTCTCCAAATACAGTTTGCAGGAGTGTTTTAATTGGCGAAAGAAAGAGTTCATGCACGGTATCATTTGTCAGCTTGCGGTAATCACCATGCATCCTTTATTGTGAGCCTGTTTTGTCGTAACTGAACACCTCAGTGGAGCTCGGACTGTGTTTGCATATCATTTCACAGGACTGGGAGAGGTGGGTAGTGCACAACCTCTGGTGAATTTCATGGATTAAATTGAACAAAACGGTTTAGGTGAGCTGACAGTATTGTAAATAATGATGAAATGTGTTTATGTTGTTGTGCAGCGAGAGGCAGAATGGGAAGGAGTCTGTTTGAAGTGAGGGATGACTTTGAGACACAGATGTAATGAGGAAATGACAAGACTGTACCTCTGCTTTGAGTTTATGGGGCTGTGATTAGCTTTCAAAACGATTAATCTATTATTCTATATATTGTTGTCAGTCCATCTGAGGATGCATGGAGGAACAAAACTCTCTCTTCATGTATTTTTGAGCTGTAAGTTAATTAATTCTACATATCAGAGCTGAAGGGATGAATTCATTAGTTTTAACAGAGGAATATATTCAATTCTGATTTATCCCTCAATTATTTCAAAATAGTTAATCTATATTTTACTGCAGCAAGAATCTGAGAGCGGGGAAAGTTTTGAGTTTCTTTGTTTAACTTAAAGAAAAGTCAAAATAAGACTCAACATTATTTAATCTTTGTGAAGCTCAGAAGAAAAAAAGTTCTCTGTAGTGTGATGACTGATAGTTCTCAGATTTTATATAAACTTTGAGTAATCCTGAGGATGAAATAGGGACATGTTGCATGTTTGTTGCATTGGCAATGTATTCCCCTCAGACAGGGCAAGAAGGCAGCGCAAAAAAGATGTGAAAAGCAGCGTGCGCATGCTGAGTTCATGCAAGAGGGACAGATAAAGAGAAAGTTTGTGTCGGGCTTCGTACCGGTAACACATAAATGTAGATGCATGTATGAAATCAGTGCGATCCAGACACCCAGGGCCCACACCAGGTGCATTTTTCACAGCTTTCAGCGCACTGTTTTGACTTTCCTTTCATGACTCATTTATCCAAAGTTTCCTCACATTAAGTTAGTCATCATCAAATGAGAACATATTTCCACAACAGTGGAATCTTTTTATTTTCTGTAAGGAGGCTGTTTTTACTTTTGGTTAAGACTATTTTATCATGATCAAGCTGAGGTTTTCTTCTCCTTTTTATTTTTTTTATTATTGCTTTATTTTAGTTTTGCAATAAAAGGAGATTATGATGAATCTGTTTTCCTCTGGTGGAGTAAATGTTGCATACTTTCTTCAAAGGACACTCAGTTTAGAGGCATTAAAAAAGAGAGTAAAGCAGTCTGTGAGCATCAGACATTTCCTTAATATTCTTTTTTTAATTCTAATCTAAAATGCTCAAGTCTTTATTTTCTTTAATATTAGCACTAAAGTTTATCACAGTCTAGGGCTGGGCGATAAACCGAGAATTTACTGATACCGAAATTTATGACAATAACCAACATCATTTTGCCTATATCGGTATAATCGATGTCAAAAAAATACATATAAATAAAAGTTGGTTTTGGATGTGTGTAGGTAGGCTATGGTCTCATGACCCTTTAAGACACTGTCCTACATTGGTGACATTACTCTACCCCATCCAGGAAGGAAAGACAGGTGAGGAAATGGAGGATGGTTCAAAAGTTTGAGTGGCTGGATCGGTGGCTGAAGTAGATGAAGTTAATATGGGAGGGGGTGAGCTGCTTGTGGAGTAGTTACCGTCCATTTATCGTTATCGAGGTGAACTGCTCAATATATCGTGATATTGATTTGAGGCCATATTGCCCAGCCCCAACACAGTCAATCCCTAATTCAAACATTAGACACATAAAAATAAAATGTTTTGGCATATATCTCAATCTAGGTCTTGTTTTGCTCTTCTATTTAATAAAATGTGTCTGAAACTACATTAAACATTTCCATGTTTTAATACACAGAAGACCTCTGAGGCTTTTTTCGTGAAGAAAAACAAACCCCCATGAGAGTGAGTTATGGGATGCTGAAAGAATCAAGTCTGAGACACATGAGAAGAGATGTAAAAACAACAACACAAAAAAAGAGGTTAAATCTGCACAATTAGCCTGGCTGGCAGACACAGCAGAGGATAGGGGTTAATGATACACAACATCCCATCTTGATGAATGTGTGTTTGCATTCCTGCTCGACAGAAAAATGGGCCCAAAGCCACGGAAGGTGTTAACGTTGGAGCGGGAATATCACTCACGAGCAGATGAGGAGAGGTGAAAAATGGATAGAGGCAGTTTTTTAGAGAGCTTTGGTATTTTTTCCAGGGAGTTTTTGTTCATGCAGAAGATGATTCAACACATCATGTCACAGTATTTTGCACTGACTGCTTTTGTATCAGCATGTGTTTATTACTAATGAAGAGGAAAACGATAAAAATTAGGAGCTACAAGGTCAGATTTAAGGGAAGATATTTCTTGAATCTGCTGAGGAGGCAGTGTCGTGAATCATTTCCTTCTCTTCCGCAGATGTTTCACCCTTCAGACATGCCTTCTGTCAAACTGACCGATTGGTTGGTTTATTTATTTACTTCCTGGTGACTGATGTGAGAAAACTGCAGCTTAAACTGTCAGCGGGCGGCTAATATTTCCTCGCAGACCACCTTCAGAAGTGGTGCTTAAAAACCTTCCAACTATGCGTGTGTTTCTGTGTGCGCATTGCTGCATGTATATGGAGCGACGGTGAGGTGTCTGTGGGCTTGTTTGCACAGGGATTCAGCTCCTGTTATCTTTCCCTGCAGCTATAGACGAGGTGAGAAAACATACCCTCTGTCTTTTTTTCAACCCCCACCCTCCTCTTCCTCCTCATTCTCCTCTCTTTCTTTGACCCTTATTAGCTACGCTGTGGGCTGATGGCAGCCGATTCATCCAGCACTTAATCGTGAGCACACCTGGGGGTTAGAGGAGGGGGGTTCCTCCTCTCCTCTCTTCTTCCTCTCTCCAATCTTTCACTCTCTTGCCAACCTTTTTTTTTTTTTTTCTCCTCTGCATATAACTTATTTTTCTCTTGCATGTTCCTCCGATCTTCCCTGTTTCTCATTCGTCTCCGACCTGCACCGGGGATCACTTCACACCTCAGCTCTGTTTGTTTTGCTTGTCCTGTCATCTCCTCACCCACTCCCCTTCCCTCCCCGAACGAAGTCAAATAACTCAAATGTCGATGAGGGAACACCCAACCCGACATGCCCATACTTCCACAGCCTCCACAATCCCAACAGACCCCCAGTTCATCTCTGCTGACGGAGGAAGATGAGGGCGAGACAGAGTCAGGACTGAAGACACCCGCTGTCCTCTGCAAACTTTCTTAAACTATTGCAAATCAGATCTAAATAATCTCAATAAACTCTGGTATTGAATCTGTCGCTGATGCTCAAAATGTCTCTAAATAATTTAACGATGATTTCTGCAGAATTACTGGAGAGGGAAAGCGTGTGATGGCTGCAAAGAGCAGACTAAAGAAGATCTCTGTACCTTTGCAGGCCTTTCTGTGTGAGATGGGTTTGGACAGGTCTCTGTAGTAGCCCTCCTTGCAGTAGTGGCAGTGGCGTCCGGCTGTGTTGTGGCGACAATTGAGGCAGACTCCTCCGCTCTTCCTCCCTGACAGCTTGTACAGCTCCATGTTGAAGCGACACCGTCGGGCGTGCAGGTTACAGCTGCAGGCTGAGGAGGAAAAATGAAACAATGATTACAACAAAATCTGATCAAGTTACAGACACACTAAACTGAGAGTTGATGAAAGTTTTTTGAATCTGTATTAAGTATGTTTTACTGAAATCTTTGCAACACAGGAAATAATCCCAAAAGCATGTGTTTGCTCGCTCTAGTTAAAGTCCTTTTGCACTTTTGTAACACAAACATTTTGAAAGTAAGACTCTTATTTCTTTAGCCTTTTTTACCTACATTTAATAACAATACAATAATAAATAACCTGAAGAAGGTGAAAGTTGACATGGGTTGGAGTTGGCGTTTTAAAAAAAGACAAGACCAGACGAGCGAGCATCAGAAGAAAATTTGTGGTGCGCACTGAACGTGGTGGTTAAAGACTAACAAATAAACATCTTTATTTGCGTCTTTATTTAATCGACTGTCACTCTTTTTTTTTTTTAAACCTGCTTTGTTAAATGATTTCAAATGCTGTTTTTAATTATTGTTAAATGTTTTTCTGACCTCTGTAATGAAGCCTCTCACTCAATTTAACCATCAGACTAAACCCGTGTCACCTGTAACACAAACCTCAAGGCATTAACGCTTTAAATTCTCCCTTTTCCTTACTCTAAATTACACCTGACAGTACCAACATTATAAATACTATATGGTAGAATTACAGCTAGGTAATTCTTTAAATTGTCATTGCTGTAAAAAACATTTATTCACTATTACTTCAAAAAACCACAAGAAAAAGTATCTTGGAGTAAAATTAGTTTGAATACAAAAAACATTAAATATCAGTGAAATACAAACAACATGATTTATAGTAAAACACAACACAAGAAGACATGATATAATTCAACACAGCATGCTATATAATACATTTACTTAAGATAGGACAATATAATATGACACGCTGGGACACATAAGGACAAATACAACATATAAGACATAGAATATGATGTATACTTATTGAATGATTTGAATTGGAGTAAAAAAAATGAGAAAAAAAATTCAAACAGACTATAGTCGACCTGTGAACTGAGAAGCGATTAGCAATATAATATAAAAACACTCCATACTACAACGATTATGAGAGTAAATCTATATTTTACAGTGAGGTTAAACAGCTAATGTTAACCTAATTTACTGAATCCTGTATATCTTTGCTATAATCTGTAACTTTATACCACTATTTTAAATGAACATCTTATCTGACCAATTGATAGTACTTTTTTAAACTTAAAATTAGGGCTGGGCAATAAAACGATAACAATATATATCAAAAATGAATTTCCCTCAGCCCCATGGCGCCTGTGCAGCTGAATAGCCAATTATTCAGTCCGCTTTCTCTAGCGTAACGCCTTACGACAAAACGTTGAAGAGACACAAAGACCTCACAGATGCAGTAGCTTATGTTACTGCAAAAGACATGCTACCAATAAGCACTGTTAAATTTCATTTAAGAGTAACAGGGAACATTAAAGATTGACAAGTGACAAAAATATATTGTGATAAACTTTTTCCCATATTGCCCAGCCCTACTTGAAATACATTATCTTGTTTGTTTGACTGATATCTGCCTGTATTCAAAGCTGAGAGTCTGCACAACTTTAAGCTTCTCTTTCATTCGAGTCAAACACTTCCATCCTCTCTCTGCCCCTCTTTAGTCGTCTTTTTAAGTCTCTTGCTCTCTGCTCCTCGCGGTCCTTTTCTGTTCTCACGAGAGCAAACTGTATCAAGCGGCGAGTGAAGGTCTGGTTTGATTATTTCCTCTGTGAATCCCTGTGTGAGCATGTGCGAGACCCCTCACCACCGCTTGTTTACTGATCAGTATAGTTGCCCGTGCTGAGTTTAATTAGCCGGCTGATGTTTATTCATGACTCTCTGGCAGCCGAGTGAGGCCAGCGTGCCCAACTTCATTAAAGACCGGCAGTCCGAGACACCGGTCCTCCACCAGCACCACATACATTATTTACAGCAACGCTTCTGATACAGTTTGTGGCTTGGGCTGTGTGAGAGAACATACTGTACTTTATGAGTGTGTGTGGAGATGGGGGTTATCTGGGTCCACATCGGGTCTCCTAGGTTGGTTCATGTGTCAGCTCATCATCCTTTCATCATTATGGAGGAAGACTGAAGCGAGCATCACTCAGCTTCCTTTAACCCAGCATTTCACAAGATATGTGTGTATGTTGACGTGTGTGCAAGTCAAAGTGCATTTGTGTACTCTCTTTTGTGTGTATATGTGAGCACTTTATCTGGATGTGTGTATTTGAGACTCTTGGGATTTTCCCTCTCTGCTCAGAGGACCTAATTACAATATCTTTCTAAAACACACACACACTCACACACATACATTAGCAGCTCTGTGTCTTATCAGTCCCTGCAGGACAGCAGGAATTTAATTAGTGAAATGTCTCAGCGTCAGACTGGTAAGCCTCAGTATTTAATGCAATGTAAATAAAACATGACTTTTAATGTCATGAGACCACGAGATGATGATACCTTCACAGTGTGACTTCAAACTGCTTCTTAAACTTATCTGAAACCGAACCGAAGCTGTTTATATCTTTATTCACAGATCATTTTGAAAATAAGGAAATACAGTGAGGTAGGGCTGGGCGATATGGCCTCAAATCAATATCATGGTATATGAAGCAGTTCACCTTGATAACGATAAATGGACGATAACTACTCCACAAGCTGCTCACCCCCTCCCACATTAACTTCGTCTACTTCAGCCGCTACGACTTTTGAACCGTCCTCCATCTCCTCACCTGTCTTTCCCGCTTTGTTACAGACTGGGTGGGTTGGAGTCATGTCTCTGACAGCGTCTTAAAGGGACATGAAACCATAGCCTACCTACACACATTCAAAACTAACTTTTAATTCATTTTTTTTGGACACCGAATATATTGACATGGGCAAAATGACATCTGCTTATTGCCGTAAATTTCGGTATCTGTAAGTTTTCGGTTTATCGCCCAGCCCTAGTACATTCACATCTTGTTGGATTATCATAGCTCACATAATGCATTAAAAAGCATCTTGGTTAGCTTTTGTTTTATTACTTTAAAGTTTTCAGGGGTTTAACATAAAAAAAATGTACTCCAATTGTGTTTTAAAGCACCGTTCATAAGTGTTAAATAAAAAATATCATCTGACCTGTACCTTGTGACTGAACTAGAATTATCAAAGACAGAAAAGACTCCTTTTTTTTTTTTTTGACACCGAATATACCAATGTGGGCAGAATGACGTCGGTAATTGTCGTAAATTTCAGTATCTGTAAATTTTCAGTTTATCACCCAGCCCTACAGTGGGGCTATTGTCTTATGCAAGCACTGTGGTTTTTCTTAGGGAAATCTCACTGGAGAGAATCCAGGTTAAACTGATCATCTTTACTCCTGTGTGGACTCGCCTCCTTTCCTCAAACTGACACAGATCTGATGTTTGCATTGTTATCTGGAGCTACATTTACACCTGTGTTCAACTCATGCTGGCGGCCTTTCACACTGCTAAGCGGATGCTTTTCTTCTCCTGACTCCGCTGGAAAACCCCCTACTTTTTTACACCGACTGCCACAAGCTTGGTTGTATTTGTCGCAGCACAAATGTGTTTGAAATGAAACAGATAAAGCTTACTGAAATGCTTTTTTTCTTCACACACAAATAGTCCCTGTAGTAAATTATTAGAGCAACAGAAATGCATAAATAACGCAAAGTTTAGAGACTTATCACTGAGAGAGGATGTGTGTCACTGTGCTGAAAACCTGAGCCAGCTGTCAATCAAACCCAAAAGCAGGTTGAGTCCCTCCGTGTTTCCAGCTCTGAGCCACAGTTTAAATGAAATCTATCCCCAACAGAGCAGAGATCAGTGTGAGAGGAGTTCAGTGGGCCTCAGAGCTGCAGACATGTCTCAGTTACACAACAAAGATTGTTTCACACCCTCCTTTTAAAAAACACAGAGGAACACTAGACCACAGGACCACAATGAGAATAAAGCTACGGCCCTGCAGGGCATACAGGATATTTCAGTCAGAAGGTGGATGTGAAGGTGTGGGGCAGGAGCCTACATTGTGTTTGACAGTATCATGCTTCGTTAGGTATTATGTCAGATAAAGGGGACGAGTGAGAGGCACTTTATCTAAACTTGCTGACACCAGGCATGATGCGAGACGTCTCATATAATACACCTTACATAAAAAAAAAACGACTCTGAAATGTTATCTTTTTCTAACACACACTCTTTGAAGGAATGACATCGCCGCCACCTTTTCAAAATAAATGACTTTTAATTAAAAAAGACTGAAGACAAGTTAGTAGTTGATCTACTGTGATTTTATCAGGTTAAAATACAAAATAAACTTGTGAATAGAGAAAACATTGCATCATTACCTTTTTCTTTCAACAAGACTCCTTTAAAGCTGACATCTTTTTATTTTTAAGCATACAGGGATGTTGTTACTGAAGTGATTGAGAGTCAAAATGACTAGATTTTCTATTATAGTTTTACATTTTGACGAAAATCTGAAAACAGGGAATCTGAGGATCAAATAAAAATCATTCTGAGCTATAAAATTTGAAATATTTTAAAACAAAAGCACATGCTTGAGCTCTCACTGAAATTCCAATAGTAAATTAGTTGAAACCATTCAAATTCATATCGAAATAACAATTCATTCAAATGTTGTTACGACATGTAAAGGAAATACTTTTTACAAATTCTGTAGGCTGAATAGAGGATTAAAAAATGATGAATTTTGCGCTATATGTGCTGTTTGATGTCTACAAGAAAGTCCAGAGATATGTTTTGTGGGAGTCAGGGAGTTGAGAATTGGGTTTTGATTTTGGTACAGACAGGTAAAGGGTGTTCTTTTGTAGTTAGATTTGGGGGTTTTGTTTTTTACTTCGGCCTTTGAGTTCACTGAAGTCACTCCTGTTTGAGGTTTTCACCAGACTATTCTTTAATAGCCAACTCTGTCCTTTGTTCAACTTGATTGACTGGTTTAGTTTTGTTATCACCTAGTTTCATCAAAAATAAATTCTCAAAATTCTTGGTGTCCTACTTTGAGTGTTTTTTATATTAGCTTTACCTGTTTAATTCTAAAGCTTATTGTGTTACACCTTTTAATGACCCCTAGATTTTAAGACGGTCGTAACAAATATATATAAAAAGAGCATTGTTAAGGGCCTCCTTCGTAAAAAAAAAGACTGCACATGCTCAGGTACTGAGGCTGAAGCTCCAACAGTGAAGGTCTAGAGACACCTGGATGCTGAGATATTTACCTGATACCTGATTGTAAAACTGAATAAGCGCAATGACTAACCATATAAGGACAAAAAGGCCTGAATCGACACGGGTGTGAAACTATAACCAGCTCCAGTCTATTAATTACTGTATGTTTGCATTTTAGCTGTAAATATACTGTATTATAAGATAGGACTCGATGAGTTTAACAGATTTTTTGTTGAAATCTGGTTATAACAAAGACTGTGATCGATATATTTAAACAGATGTTGAATTAAGTTTTAACTTATCTTAATCTGTGGCCTTCTGATGACTTTTAAACAAATTTTCAAAGAGAAAAGTGATGTATGACACTTTTTACACAGGTTTTAAGCTAATTTATCAAAAGTAAATACTGTACATCAACACTAAATTCATCCCAGATATACTAAGTTTAATTTGAACTACATTTATTTTTAATTTCCATCTTTACCTACAACACACTGAGTCACCCAGATACACAGTTCACATACCTGCCGTCTCTTTCCAGACCTGCTGTTGTAATAACTTCCGCACACATACACACAGAGGCACACACAACATGCCTGCTCTTTACAAGCAGCAGGATTCAGGGTTTCTGCCCTTCAGTGGAGACACAAAAGCTGAGCTCTGGTGTATTTCAGCCAAGCGATGAGCTCAAACACCTTCAGTGCAAACAAAAGCTACCGCTGCCATTCACGCCGACTTTCACACACACACTCGATGAACCCAGGTGGAGTTTGAAAACATTCTAGTTCCTAGAATCAACATCAAAATAACCGCTGACAAATATCTCAATAAATAAACTATAACTGATCCAAATGAGGCAAAACTAAACTAAACTAAGCTAATTTTTTACAGCATATCTTACTTGTATAGTTGGGTACCTAAAATTCTTGATGGGTAAATTTACGTCAACAAAGACTACATTTCCCTCACAGGACGGCCTAAATGTCTGGCCTGTTTTCACTCAGGTTAACTGCTTCAGGCTGGATTAGCGGCTCACTGTGCTCCTGTAACCACCCCCAGGTGAGCAGTAAAAAGAAGTGTGAAGTGATACCTTTAACGCAGCAGTAATTGAATTAACTGGATGAAGCTAAGCTTTTCAACACCTCCTGTAATGGGGACCACAGTCGTCTGAAATGACAAAAAGCTGCTCCGGCGTCTGTTTTAAAATCCAACTGCTAAATCTAACAGGAAGCTGATTTGTTTATCAGGCTTTGCAGTTTTCCCGCACATCCCTCTGCAGGACACACAGCGCCTCAGCTCAGCTCCGTGTCTGAGTGTGTTTTGGAAAGCCGGCTAATTAGTTTCTCTGAGTGGTTCCCAGCCTCTATCTCCTGACCTCAGCCGTGTAGCAGAGGCTGCACAGAGCTGCGGCTCGGCTAATTAGAGGGAGAATTCAAGAACAGAGCAGGAGGTTGAGGTTAAGCTCATTGTACGTACGATAAGCAGGGTAATTGAGTGATGTCGGTCACAGCCTCAATTTGCTCTGAAGAACACTTGAGCAACTGATCTCTGCCACTTTTACGCTAAATCCCCACTTTAGTTTGTGTTTGCTGCTGCAGCTGTTGGCTGCTCACTATCAGTGCGTAAAATATATTCATCCACAAAAAAAACTGTTTGTTTGGTGATCAGTGCTTCACAAAAATAAATATTATCATTTCTATTTGTGAGGTCTTTCAGGTGTTTCCTTCCAGCCTTCCTGCTGCCATCGTCCTCACGGCTCCCAACAAGGACAGAAAACCAGAACCCAACACCAGTGCCTTCAAGCAGGGGAGCAGCAGGAGCTCTGCTATTTTGTCCCGTGCTTTTAAACAAACACCGAGGAGAGTCGATACACTGAGAGTTGACTTTTAATCCTATGGGTGCTCCAAAAAGTAATCAGATTAACTTCTGAGACCCCCCTCAAGAGAAACTTTAAAAACACACTCAGCGCAGGTTCACTATGACTTATTTTTGTGCCCAGAAGTATGTGGAAAAACTTGAAACCACCGTGTACCATATGGTGCATAAATTGAATCACCGCAGTGAGTAAAGCATCCCTCTTTCTGCAAACACACTGACAGCCTGCTGTCTGCCATCTCTGCCACTTTCTCTCTCTCTTTCCCTGGAAACATGACACACACGCTGGGAAAGTTTGAGAGGTTGGACTGTGTGAAATGACTAATCATTGGATCAGATGTGTATCAAACAACACATTTCCAATAATTCCATTGGAATTATTTCAGAGCTCCCATGACTGTGATCCTCTGCCATTAAGCAGATATTACAACTGAACAGATCGTGATTTTTTAGGAAATGATCATTTTCAGTTTGGTCTTAACTGAATTAAAGAAACATCAAAAAAGTAGTCTCTTCACTTCACCTAGCTGTTGTTCTTAGCAAACACGACATTGCATATTTGAGGGCTCAAGAAAAGACATAAAGGGTGATTACGTAGTAGATGTAGGGAGCAACAGAAACACAATGTTGTCCTTCATAATGGAGGTTAAATGATGGAAATTTGGCTTCCATTTTTTAAGTATGGGTGAAAAAGTTTTACCCTTACGTTTACCCGTGGCTTCCTGTCAAGTTTACTTTATTATCAAAAGCCCACAATGTAGAAAAACAGCCAATCTGAATTTAGTTTTTCCTAGGGCTGGGCGATATGGCCTTAAAGCAATATCACGATATATATCGAGCAGTTCACCTCCTCCCACATTAACTTCGTCTTCTTCAGCCGCTACAACTTTTGAACCGTCCTCCATCTCCTCACTTGTCTTTCCCTCTTTGTTACTGACTGGATGGGGTGGAGTGACATCTCTGACGTAGGACAGTGTCTTAAAGGGACATGAGACCATAGCCTACCTACACACATCCAAAACCAACTTTTATTTATTCCTTGTTTTAAACCGAATATATTGACATTGGTTATTGTCTTAAATTTGGGTATCAGTAAGTTTTTGGTTTATCGCCCAGCCCTAGTATATTCACATCTTGTTGGATTATCATTGATCACATAATGCATAAAAAAAACATCTGGGTTAGCTTTTGTTTTCTTTCTTTACCATAAAAAAAGTCTTTCAATTATGTTTTAAAGCACTGTTCATAAGTGTTAAATAAAAAATATCATCCGACCTGTACCTTGTGATTGAACTAGACTTATTGAAGATGGAAAAGACTCAAAAGTTCTCTTTTAAACTGCATCTGTAGAAGCAAACCGTGGATTCATGTTTGTTTTGATCAAATTATATTGCTTGTGTTTTATACTGTGAAAGGATGACTGGTGGTAAATGAGCTCAGGTATTTATACAGTGATTTATTGACTGTAAACAGACCGCACAAATTAGAGGAATAACTTCTTAACATTTGACACAGAGTGACATAAAACAATACTGGCATTATTACCCTTTAATCTCTGGGATATTTTCCAGAGCGCAGACCTCCCAAACAATCATTTTGCGGCTGGATTAATTCAGTGTTGATATTCTTCTCGGGGGAGGAGTGATTTAAAACATCACCTTGGTTACACAGGTAACAGTAAAGCCTCATGTCAGGATGATGTCGGACCACACGAATGAGGAAAATGTGATTCACCCGCCGTGGAATTTCAATAATCTCCAGTTCCTGATAATGACTGTTTCTCCCAAAACAAATGGACTTTTTTAAGCTGCTGTAATAACTGTTGAACCAAAACATACAGCGATGTGACATGAAAGAAATATTTATCAATCGTAACAGTCTGGTGTCTGTTTAAAATCAAGCTTTAAATGTCGATGACTGTTTATTTAGACTCTTATAAATTAAAACAATACTGCGTTTTGTCTTGCGTCTGGTGACAAGATAAAGGCGGGGATTTCCACGTCTAATAAAAGCTCACTGGAGACACTGAGATGATAGATGAAATGATTTGGGACAATTAAAGACAATTAAAGTTTTATACTCATGTTATCTATCATTGCCAGTTCATTTAATCCTCTAAAACAAGCTCGTCTTTTCCTGCCTGTTTTTAAATATCTGTTTCCATAGTACAAAAAAAAACATGACTTCTTTTTTTTTTTTTAATCTGTCTTATTGCCTCCACATTTTCATGTCATCGGAACACGAGTTAGAGCTTTTCTGTGACATATTTTCATGAGCAGTTACTGTATTCAACAGTTTCATTTTTGCTGCTTCATTTATGCCACAAAACTACAAACTATACTTCACTACAACTTATAATGCTTCAGAGAAATTCAGACGGGGCAAAGAGTGTGAAAGTCAGGATAATACTTCTAGGTGTGATGTGCGGAGGCCCTGAGGTGCAAAACACAACGCAAAAAGAGATAACTAATGGCAAATCAGAAAATACGACAGCAAATCAGAAAACACGACACAAAAAGAGAAAACCAAATGGAAAAAGAGAAAACACAACAACATTAAACATTGTTTTTTCTCTTTTTGTGTTGTGTTTTTTGATTTGCTCTTGCGTTTCACACCTCAGGGCCACCATAGATAGAGCTTCTCAATACTTGTTGGACTATTACTTACAATACTTCTAGGTGTGACATACGGTGGCCCTGAGGTGCAAAACACAACGGCAAATCAGAAATCACAAAAACAAAACAGAAAACACAACACAAAAACAGAAAACACAACACAAAAACAACACAAAAAATGAAAAATGAACACAAAAAAGAGAATACAAAACTGCTAATCAGAAAACCCAACGGAAAAAGAGAAAATACAACATTAACCATTGTGTTTTCTCTTCTGGTGTCGTTTCCTCTTTTGTCATTGTGTTTTCTTTTTTTTGTTTTTGTGTTTACAGATTTGTTGTTGTGTTTTTGTGTTGTGTTTTCCTATTTGCCGTTTTGTTGTCTTATTTGTCGCTGTGTTTTCTATTTTTATGTTATGTTTTCTGATTTTTCGTTGTGTTTTGCACCTCAGCGCCACCGTAGTTAAAGCTTTTTAGTAAATTTTTTTCATGAACAGTTACTGTATTCAACAGTTTCAGTTTCGCTGCTTCATTTGTGCCACAAAACTACAAACTAAACTTCACCACAACTAGTCATGCTTCAGAGAAATTCAGAGACGGGGGCAAAGAGTGTGAAAGTCAGGACAATGCTTCTTGGTGTGATGACCTGGTCAGCATGTACTGGGAGGCACCCTGGGAATGTCATCAAACCACTGTGTGCTGGTGGGTGTGAAAAGGCGAGTGAGAGAGAGCGCGCTGCAGAGATTATATCAGGCTAATTTAATTCCTTTATTGCAGCCAATTAGCCGCAGCACTTTAGCCCCCCTGTGAGTCCTCTCGCCCCCTTCACTCTGTCTCTAATGACCCCGACTAAACTCTGAATCCCGGTCGCTCCCAAAGAAGGCAAAGAAGTCTCACTCCAACTCTATTTTTAAGAAGCAGTTTGAAAGTGCCAGAGGGTGGGGAAAAATGGAGGGGATGTAGAGAAAGATAAGGGGAAAAAATGAAATGATGAGGTGCTTGTTAAGTCCCAGGTCTGCTCACGGAGACTTGGCTAACTGAGATGTATTCACATGGAATATTCATCAGCTCTGCAGGGTTATCAAAGCAACACTGAACATGAGATGAGGGATGATTTCCTGTGGATTGATTCCATTTGCTGTCAGGCGATCATATTTATTCCTCCGTCTGTATTTCATAATTTAACTCTGAAATGTTTTCTCATATTTGCTCAAATTATGCATTCCCTAGTGTAGACGGGCAGGCTTTTTTTATTTACAGTGAACATCCTGTCAGTGGGTGATAAAATGCTGTCTGATAATGTGGCCGACGCAATTAAAGAGCTGTGAGAACCGCTCTGCTTCAGAGTGTGGAGGGATCCCTCATGACGCTATTAGTGATGGAGCCAAGGTTGATGTTGAGCAGTGGATTTACAGTGGATAAACAGCAAAGCACAGCTCTATATTTATACGGCATGTACAAGCATACAGTATTTAAGTATGTGGGGTACAGTGTGTGCAGAAAATATGAATTAAAGTCCTTTATCTTCTCTTTTAGTTTTAAGCATCTTTTACGTTTTATTCTTGCTCTGCCTGATGTGATTTAAATCCTTCTTTTCTTAATCACAGGTTTTAAGGAAGCAAATTATGTTAAATAAAGGATAGCACAAATAAAACTGTTGTCAGTTTGTTAAGACAACAGAATCCTTTGATAAATTCATCGGTTTTTGTTTGTGGTCCTTGACTATTTAAAAGATGATACTTTCAATCATCAACTCATCTCCCAGTTTGCTGAAACTTGATTGTAAAATCTCTTATCGCTGAATTCTGATCTAGCTCAGAGGTTAAGGCGTGTATCTGCCATATAGAGGCTGTAACGCTCTGGGTATGTTAGTCAAAGTCAAGGTATCTCTATTAGAGGCATTCTATGGTATTTGTCCTTCTGTTCTTACCATAGAAGAATAGATAGAATAGAATGCTCTATATTGTCATTACACAAACATTGTACAACAAGATTGGAGAGGGTCTCCCATCCAGTGCAAGTAAAAAGTAAAAGTAAAGGTTTAAAATATAAAATATGTACACAAATAAGATGCAATAGAGTGTCAACACACTGTTGTTAAATAGATTGCACGGGTGTAATGGATTCCACACAGTGGACAGCGGCAGCGATGATAAAAAACTTATTGCACAGTAAGTATGGCTATGTATATACACACATTGTGATAAACCTTTTCCCATATCGCCCAGCCCTAGTTGGCAGAGATGACGTCATAGAGCAGGAGAAAGTTAGTACAACAAATTTATAGTATATGAGGTTTGCAAGATGTGCTACATGAAAATAAAATACAGCGTAAACAAGATAAACATAAAGGAACGACAAATGCTAAATTTGCTAAACAGTTGAAAAAATTGTACAGATCGGAATATCTTGTATCGCAATACTCAATGTATTGCAAAATTTTAAAAATCGCAATAATATCATATCATGGCCCGAGCTGTCCAAACTGTAAAGCATCTGTATGCAAGAGAAGAGAGAAAAAAGTCCTTATGCACACGTTCTACCAATTTGATACAGACTTACACACACACGCATGTGCGATTGGAAAGGCCTTCGACACATTAACACTGCTCATAATGTGTATTCCTCTTGTGTGCACTCCCTGCAGCAGCCCTCAACAGCAGGCTGGCCTGCTCCATGCAGAGCTAAATGGCCCATATATTCTCTCTCTTTCTCCATGTGAGGGCTAATAAGGCCTTTCCTTTTTCAAGAGTCTAACCAGCCACACAGAGGCACAACAACAAAGACAGGCCTAATGGCCTCCAATTTCCCGCATTAGTGCCCATTTAATGGCTGACCTGCCCTCTCGTTAGGCAGCACAGCATGGGAGCACTTCTCAGCCTTAGCTCGTGCACACACACATCCACATCCACACACACACACACGCCTGCAGCTACACTGCCTTGGGCCCCTGCAACACTTCCACCCCACGCTGAGACCGCATAATAGGCCAGTTTGTAAAAGGGCCAGCCTGTGATCAGTGGTGCATCCATTTGCTGAGTAATCACGGCTCTTTTGTCTGAGTGGTGTGTGTGTGTGAGAGTGTGTTAGAAGGTGTGTGTGAAAGCACCTGCGTGAAAGAGTAAGCGTAGAGAGAGGGAAGGAGGCCGCGTTTGCTCTCTACCCATCTGTCTTTGTGTGTGTGTGAGTAATTCCGAGATAAAGTGTCCCTGTCTGGAAAAGATCTCCTCCAACTCACATCTTTGGGAAAACACCAGCTGACATACAGTGTGAGGGATAAAAAAGACCCCAGCAAGAGGCACAGAGGGGCTGACGAGAGTGCGTTGTGCGTATGTCAGCTATGCCATAAAAATGCCATGGGTGGAGGATGACATTGGCAGGTCCTATTCAGGGTGTTAAGAGTGAAAAGGCCTTTAGGATGAAAAAAAAAAAGATTCCTTAGGCCTGTCAGGTCGCCATAGCTCCTTGCCGAACAATACACAGTGAGAGCAGCTGTCTTAATAGCGTGCGGGACTGACACACAAACTTTTCAAATGATGCTCCGCTGTGTGACAACATAATACGATCTCACAGGAGAGCTGCCAGACAGTGAACGCATCCTGTACATTTCTATTAGACACAAGCCTCCAAGGGAAGGATCTCTGACAGCACTGGCAGAGACGCATCACATTCAGGAAACTTTACGTGTGAATGGATGTTTAAAGATTCATCCTGAGAGTGATGAAGATTGGAACAAACCGGGTAGCTCTCGTTGCGTGAAAACCAAACTCATTTTCACTTAGAAGAGTTGTCTGGGTTTGACTGGAGGGCTACGTGTGGGAAAGCTGTGTAAGTTGGGTTTTTTGTTTTAGCTAATTGAGCAATGTTTCCTTTCAAAATAAAGGCAGATTGCTGGAACAAGTGCATGACTTTTCCCTGCCAGCAATGTCTGATCTGATGATCACGGTGTGAAATATCTCAGACGTACACAGAGTACATCAATTGTGCAATGCCTAGCTGTCAGATGAAGTCTAAAGAAGTTTCCTCCATGGCTTGAGCTCTCTATTATATTACACCTCCATCTAGACCCTCATGCATCCACCAACACCGTGGAGACATCGGAAGCAAGACTCGTCTCCAAATCTTTTCCCAAACAAGGGCTCTCCCTGCTCATGTCAAACATCACCTCCAGTCTGTTTACTCGCTGAGTTTGGTTTCTATGGGACCGGCGCTTTCTCAGTGTTTGGGGTTAAGCTATCTCCTGGCAGGTCATCTGGTTGTGTCGGTGGCCCTGGGGCTGACAGGGACGAGCCGGTGCGGCGCTGTCAGTACTCGACAAAAAAGACGGAGCCAACACTCGCGCTGCTCTGTAAGCCAAAGCCACCGCAATTAAGACAATCACTCCATTGCCAACAATGTCAGCTAAAGATTTTAAACCGGTGTATTATAACAGAATACAGGCAGCCAACTCTGATTGGCGGCTGTGAGCTGAGAAAATAAACAGTGTTTGAAGATTAGATGGTTAGAAGATTAGGTGGGTTAATTTGGCCCTTGGCGGAGAGTGTTTCCTAATTTCATGATTCTGAGAAAGCAGCGAAGAGACACTGGATATAATCATCATCATCAACCGTCTTCTTTCTTTTTTCTACCTACAGTATACGGGAAGAGGAGTCCTCGGGGAAAAGGCGCTCCTACCTTGCCTTGGAAAGATTTCCCATGGCAGACTGAGTCAGCTTTAAGGATAAGCAGATGAGTCGTCTTGGATAAGGGATGAGACAGGAATGCTCTCTTGGACTTCTTATTTCTGGGTAAACATTTACTGTTTCTACTCCCCAATAAAATAAACTCTGGACAAGTGGATTCTTCTCTGAGGAGTCTGAAACATGATGGAATTATTGACACAGGTAGTTCCCTGGAAGTCTTTCCCATTAAGCTATACGTCTTGTTGGAAAAAGTTTCATTTTTGTCTGGGGATCAGAAGTTTACCCAAATATCTGAAAAAGTTCACACTGTCATAGATGGAGTTTCAACAACAGGTGATGCTTTTTTGGAGTCCTGTTTTCATATTTTAAGACCAAACAAATCTTAAAGAGCATGGGGTAGATAAATCAAATTAGTGTAAACATCTTGAGGCCTTCAATGTAATCACATGATATTCTTCTTTGGATATCTTGGAAGTCTTAAAGTTTAAAGCTCATGTGTGTCGTTGTTATAGTTTGTCAAGAAGCAGACTGAAATTTTTTATAGATCCCTATTTGTGACCCGAAAGCTTACAGGAATATCAGCAAAAGATTACAATCGCAAAATCAGAAGACACAACACAAAAAGAGAAACACCACGGTAAATCAGAAAACACGACATTAACCAAAACCGGAAAACGTAGGTAGGTAGGTGTTTTCTCTTTTTGTGTTGTATTTTCTGATTTGCCTTTGTGTTTTGCACCTCAGGGCCACCGTACTTTAGGGGGGAAAAACAGTCATGGTTTCAAGAATTAAGTCAAAAGTCAATAAAAACTCTTAAAACTCTTAAATACATACAAAAGCAAAATAGACTGTGAGTATCTCTATGTAACCTTTCTAAATGTGAGAAAATGCTGCTCAGGGATACGTGTCAACTGCCTTTATTTGCCAATTGTCTCTGCAAAGACTCTTGATAAGTATTAAATTTGACTTTTGAAATATAGCAGGGTCAAAATTTTACCAAACACAGAAAACCAGTACCTTCAGGGCACTGGTTGGCCTACTGGTTTAAGTGAGCACCCCACATGCTGAGGGTAACAACCTTGTTGCAGAGGTCTTTGACTTGCCTCTGCAGCTACAATCCTTGTTTCAAGTCATCGTCCTCTCTCTACAGCCCACTTTTCCTGTTCCTCACCAGCTGTTGGGCTGTCTTGGAGCCCTGAACTGAAACACTCTCTTCAGCAGATGCTTTCCTGTCTTTGAAATCATAACTAAATATAAGTCCTTGAAGAGTTGTATCCTGATCATGTGGCCCTAATCGCGCCGGGCAGGACTTGCTTAATTGAAACTCTGCTCGACTGTTTTATTGTGCGCTCATTAACAACCACAGCACCGTGGCCGTGCTTAGCAGGTGGGAAACCTTTGACCTTCACACGTATCCCCTACATTCCTTTGTCAAGTCCCCATCACCGAGTTAGCACTTCTCCGAAATGGGCCGTGACCCTCCTCCTCCTCCTCCAGCTCTCCTCGCTCCTCTGGGGTCCTCCCTGCTGCAGATGTCATTAGCGATGCTACTTTGACCGCTGAGACAAATTTCTCTATAAAATTTATAAGCCATGAAACCGGCTTCAGTTGGGCAGTTAGAGAGGGAGGAGAGGTGAATTATTGACGACACAAGCTAATCCAGTGACAAAAAGGAATGGAGGAGTAGTAGGATGGAACGGAAAAGGAATAAATCTCAACCAGATTGACTTTTTTTTACTTACCAAGAAAGAAAAAAAAGAGCACTGCCTCCTATCCTGCTCATCCCTCTGTGTCTCTCCCACAATGACTCTAAGGTTCATGATGCTACTGACCTTTTTTTGGCTCTTTTACAACCTGACACGGACTATTAACACACAGGGGCAGGTCTAGGGCAAGACCAGGTCGCTATAAAAGCTTGTTTGAATCTGAAACTGTGTGCAGAAAATATAATGATTTAAGACAAAGACACAAATACACCACAAAACACAATTTTATATGGCATGGAATAAAAGCGAGACACTTCAGCTATTTAAAGGGATATTCCGGCGTAAAATTAACTTAGGGTCAAACACACCATAACACCGAGTTAGACACCCCGTCGAGAGATGAATGTTGACAACCGCTTGCTTCTCTAGTTATACAAACTTTAGTAACGACTGCAGATAGCAATAGAGAGCCACACACTCAACCAAAACACCACTCTATAGCCACAAATAATGCTCAGAACAGCACCTAACTTCATCAACAGGACATATAGGGTCCCAGCCATAGCACTAGCCATCAAACATCTTTTTAGCTTTGCCTGATTTCTTTAGCAAATAGACTAAACAAAACTCACCTACTCTCTTCCAGCAGCCGCTTGTTTGTACAGAGACCTCTGATCATTTCTTTATAATGTCCTTGAAGTAACAATCACCATATTAATCATTTTGCACTGCAGACGCAGTAGTTCTTCTGCCTTAGCGTCTCAGGCTGATTGTATTTCCATGAAGAAATGATCATAAATGTTCTTCCTTGAGCTGCGAAACTCCGCTGCAGTCGATGGACTCGCCCGGAGGTCTCTGTACAAACAAGTGGCTGCTGAAAGAGAGTAGGTGAGTTGTGCTTAGTCCTTTTGCTAAAGAAATCAGGCAAAGTTAAAAAAATGTTTGGTGGCTAGTGCTATGGCTGGGATCCTATATGTACTGTTGATGAAGTTAGGTGCTGTTCTGAGCATTATTTGTGGCTATAAAGTCGTTACTAAAGTTGATATAACTAGAGAAGCAAGCGGTTGGCAACATTTATCTCTCGACGGGGTGTCCAACTCGGTGTTACAGTGTGTTTTACCCTGAATTAATTACGCCGGAATATCCCTTTAAGAGAGAAGATAAACAGAAAGTAAGTCATAGCTGTGTACTATCTCTTTTTTTTACTCTACCAGTCAAGATAAATCACAATCTGGCTGAGTCTGGGCGAGTTGCAGCCTTCTTGCAGACAGCAGCATGAGGGGGAATGATGGTCTGAGCGCAGCTGAAGACGTCTGTGTTTTTTCATTTGATGTGTGTGTGTGCGTGTGTGTGTGTGTCTGCACTGTACATTTTTGACTACTTGCCGCCAAGTCAAGCAGTCTCCTCTACAGAGCAGGGCCGTAAATCTGAAACCCCACTGCACAGTTTCTTCACTCCTGTGACACATTTATTGTCCCGGTTTCATTTTTCCTTGTCTCCTGGTATATTGTTCTCAGCTCTCATCCATTCCTGAAACCTTAATTCCTCAGTGTCCTACCTTTTCTTTCTTTCCCCTCAGTGAGTGCACCTCTTAGCATGTGTATGAGTTGAAGGGTGGGGGGTAAATCGTCGCTTTATCTGATGCTTGTGTTTACTACCGCTGCTGTTTCTGGGGTAGTCTATATGCCTTGGTCACAAATGGAGTGTGAAGCCAGCAGCGGGCACAGCATCAGTCAAAGCTCAGGCATTTTTCTTGGAAGAGGCGTCAGAGAGCAGGGCTGCATGAGGAGAGGAGCTCACCAGAAACAGGTTTTTGATGTAGCAGGAAAGCTCAAAATACTTCAGCTGATTTCATATGCAGTTTTCAGTAAAGTGTGATTTTGTAATAGTCAAGTAGCACCAGTAAGTGGCAAAAAACAGCACATTTTTACTGATGCCGCACCTATATATTGAAGAACTTAACTTAATGACTGATTCTCTCTCAAACAGTTAAGTTTAATCCTAAGTTTTAAACAGATACGGCTGTATTATGAAACTATGGGGAGAGCATGCATGGTAATAGTAAGCTCAGGGGAGCAAAGAGGGCAAACAGTTCAAAGAGAAGGAGAGGATCAAAAGGATCAAAATATGGCAAGACCGTACCCATGCATATGCATCACTTTTTACAGCTCATGTTGTCTTTGGGCTTAAAAAAGGATCTTCGCTGTGTATCAAGCTCCAACATCATGAGTCATTACCCGGGATTGTGGTGTTTTCAACTTCTTCTTTGGTCTATTTACAAAGTGAAATGAATTTTGAGACCGATAACAGTTACAACATCTAGTCTTGATCACCTTAAAGTCCCACTCTGATGTTTTTTTTACTACTTTAAGTATTATCAGTGGTATTTAAATTCTGATTATGAAGTTTTTAGCCAAAATCACGTTACCCGTGTCATTCTTAAGAGCTTTTCTCCTGCAGAGCTCCAGTAGCTCATTAGCAATTCTCCTCTGAGTTGTGGGCAGAGACAGCACGTTTCTCTTCATGCTAGCTTGTAGCCTAACATTGCCGGTGAAGTAGAAGTGGCAGGTAACATAGGAGCTATTCATCTCTCAGACACTAATGTCTTTTGGGGGAATGATGAAAGTTAATATCATAATTAACTTTCTTACAAGCATTGCAATCTGCTAACACATACGCTTGTTCCGCAATCATTCTCTCTATTTCACCAAGTGTGGACTGCATAGCGGGACTCCAGGGGCGGAGCTTGGATTTGTTATGTCAGAAATCTCACTGAATCTGAACCTGCTATTTGAGTCTGTGAGATATTCACTGCAAGTTGAATGCAGAAATGCAATTTCGCACTTAGTTTTCTCATGATATGTCCTGGAGCATCAGAAAAATGTCATATGTAGACAACAAGAAAAACATGATTTTTATCGGAGTAGGCCTTAAATTGATCAGCTTTTACAGATACAGATACCTATATATATCAATCAGATAACACAATAGTATCAGGAGTAAAAAATACCAATAACAGCTGCTCTCATTTTCTTGTTAACAAGCATTCACATTAGATCACAGTCGGTAGCAGTAGGCCACCCGCACTTACATAAATAGAGACAGAAGAAGAAGAACAAGAACAAGCGTGGGCTCATGATACAAGTATTAGCCAACAAAATCAGGTTACTGTAAGTGATTGGAATTGGCTTTAAATGATGTTACTGCTTTCACTAAAACATCTTTACTCCAGCGCAAAAAGTTCCATTAAGAAACAGCGTTGAAGCCATTTAACAGAATGGAAGTAACTTTGTGCAGTTCTGCTGTTGTTTAGTATAAATGCAAATCCACCAGGAGTGTGCCGCCATCCTGCAGCAGCTCCGACTGCCTGTTTCTTTGCGCTGAGGCAGTGTGGCAGCTGGTTTGGTCCATGCAGATTGTTTCTGACAGTGATGAAGCAGATATGTTTTTATTGTACACACTCCAGAACTACATTCACTGGACTGACTCCACTGCTGCACAATGCTCACTGCTCTGAGCAAATCAGGCCCTCATGCACACGAGCGTGCATCCATGCTGGTATGCATACACACCCATGTATATACATTCACTGGACTGACTGCACTGATGGAACAGTAGCCCTTCAAGGTTTTATTTTTTCATGGGGTAGTTGTTCTCTAGCCATAATCCCGCAGTTTAATATCCACGCTAACCAAAGGTGACACTTCGACAGGAAGGATACAGCTGTGGAAGTGGAGGAGGTGGAAAAGAGACCCTGATGATCCAGAAACTGAAACTCTTAGAGCAATTTAGTCATCGGTGGAAGGTAATTAGTGAAGAAAGGACTGGTCTTTGCCAGAGCAAGCAAACGTGACACATGCTGAGAGTAAACTCTTAGTTCAGCAATGACAGCATAATTCTGCTGTGCTAATAATGTGACAACAGACAATGCTTGTTATTTTAAAGCTGATGGCAAGTGCAAGTTGAGACTGAGACAGAAAGAACAAAGAGAGTTTTTATCTCACTCAAAAGAAAAGCAAACAGGCGCTTAACATCATTTTCTGAGTAATAAGCTTTCAACGCTTGTCTAATGGGGGAGAAATGAACTGAGGATCTATTGATGCCCTCTCTCACAGAGAGAGATTAAAGGCAGAAGGTGAAACACCTCTGTTTTTGTTTCATGTCTCATTCAAAATGAGACAAGGCTAGGCCAAAAGTTCAATTTGGAGAGGACTGCAGCAGCCAAATAAAACAATACACATAACACAGGGAGGCAGCGTGACACCTTTTTTCCCCAGCTGATCATAGAGTGAGTATGAAAGGGATGTTTGGCAGTCGTGATTAAAAGTGACTCATATCAGGATGAAGTGTCCAAAAGGAACACCTGCATGAAAAAACATTCAGTTAAGATTTAATAAAACGTCTAAAAAGGGGAACAGGATACACTATTGCATAATACTCAAATGATGCAGTACGATTTGGTTTATTGACAAAAAGTCCTTTTCAATTTAATTCACATGTTGTCACTGAGTTGCTCTATAGTAAATGTCCAAAAGAAATTTTGGTTATGCCGCACAAGTATCAGTCAGGGGTTTCTTCAGGGATAAGCAACTTCAGTGCTTCAATCTGGACCGCTGAGAGTCAACATAGATGAAAAACTTGTCTTCACCGTCTCCTGATGTAGTTTTACATATTAAAAGTCCCTGACAACCTCTAAACAAGAGTGAGAGTCAGTGAAACTAAGTATCAGCTATTTTCTTTTTCTTATCAGGTTTGAAGTTTGACCAATTTCCATATAGCTAACATAGAGGAGGACAGGCTTATGAGCCCAATAACCGGGTTTTACAAAGTTGCATTGTGAGAGCGTGAAATTCAGATTGAGAGCAGGAAGTGTTTATTTACTGAAGATTCGTTTGAGTAAATGCCGATGTTTTGTCTGGTTTACAACTGCTTGAATCGCTCGAACTGCGAGAAGGAAGAGATTTTATCGAGTGCCTAAGATCTTCGCGCACAAAGGTTAGAAATGGAAAAAATTCACAGAACAACGCCATAAGAGTGGATTTTAAACCTACATCTACGGTCCGGAGGAGCAGAGTCTGCAAATGCCGGTGTCTCCAGCAACCACTTCGTTCGAGGCATGTTAGCTCACTAACTTGGTTTTTGTAGCTGTAGTTATATAGCATTAGATTGTCGTTAAATGCTCGTTTACATAGTAATCATTATGATTCAGTTACTAGTAGTCTAATATGGACTTCATCTGGACTTTTTAGGCTAGCGCCTTGGGTGACGTTGAGTCAGTAGACTGGGCTCCCACGGTAAACCTCAGTTACCAAAAAAAAAATAATGTTTTGTACTGAGGTTGTGGACCCAACTGCTGACAAAAATGCCTCCAGACTTATAAAGGCTTTCATCTGCTGTTTGGTGTAGTAGGGTGTCTGAAGGACCAGATAGCTGGTGATCAAAAACTCACTAATCTAATGAGTCACGTCCAACATATTAGCGAATTAATTGCTCGTATCTTTGTCTTGAAACTTGATCTAAATCTGTACAATACCAACTCACTGCACGGTTTGTTCCATAGACGTATTCTCCACATTTACTTCCTGCCCTCCATCCGCCCTCTTGCGCCATCACAATCATGTGACTGAAATCCAGATATTGAGGGGTACCAACCATCATTAATATAGTCTAGATCTGATTAGTTGTTGAAGACTTTGGTATGGTCAATGGTAGGAAATCAACAAAGGGGTTTCTGCCTGATATTTAGACCCTATGCACAACCAACGACATCTCTGAGTGCAGCTGCAATTTATGTATCTTTAAAAGCAGATCACTGCACTTCATGCATGGTTCATCGAATAATTCACAAAAGTACGATATATATATAATATAAGGCTTGACCAGAAGGACTTAAATTACTGCAGAAAAAGAGGCTGAGACTCTCCTTTTGAGGATTTTAAATTCAACATCTGCATAACTATTGATAAGACTAACTCCTGTTTCATGTTTCAATGTTTCAACAGGAATATAAAGACTCAAACTTTGTGATTAAATCTGTTAAAATCTCTTCATATTTACTCTGGCAGGAGGTCCAATCACACTACAAGATGACTGCTCTGCTTGGCATGCCAGGACATTTAACTATAATTATCAAATAGGCCACTTAGAGCTAATCTAATGAAAATGACTTTGGAAAAAAGGTTTGACCCAATTACAGCAGTTCTTTTTCTTTTGTCTTGACTTGTTGCAGCTCATAAATGAGTGAAAACATAATTTATTCATTTGACCTTTTCTTTAAGTGTAAAGTATTAATAAAAACACTTGTTCTAAAATCTCCATCTGCACAAATACCCTCTTGTCAACACATTCACAACTTGCCCATTACACCGTAATCTAAACTGTTGTGTCTAAAATATGAAATGCTGGCAAAAAGAGGTGTTATTTCCGGTGAGGTCACGGACTGAAGCACTACCAACATTAAACTCTGTTATTCTTTTCCCCAAGTCCAAATATTCCATTTCTTTTTTTTCATCCTATCTTTGTTTGTCATCGCTCCGTGCTTTATTTTTACACTGACCTTGTTTGTTATTGGGGCTCAGGGTTTAATTTAATTTCCCGACCCCACTGCTAGGGAGAGCGCTCGCAGAAACCCAATACTGTCTTTCTTTCTCAAAGTAGAAGCTGTGCGGCTGGATGCTACTGAGTAAAGCAACAGTGGCTGCAGCAGAAGGTGGGACAAAACCTCAGGCTTCAAGGATAATAGTTATTCTTATTTTCACAGATTGCCTCTGAAATTATATTGCAAATAGAAATATGAGTGTATGATATCAAAATTGAGAATTCCATTAAGCATCCACTAGAAATAAATAACTGGATAACTTTTGGAAAAACTTCATCACAAAACTGCATTTTGGCAATTTTTAAGACAGTGTGGGTTGTGGCCGATCAGACTTCAATAAGCTTTTCCCATAGACTGTACGCCTTCGGTCTTTATACGAATTTAAAGCTGAATTGCTCTTGGTATTTCCGGGATTTTTTCCAATTCCTGGAACCACCACTTGCGCAGTAGCATTGTAAGCATTCGGCAGGACAATCGCAGAGAGTCGCTGTGATGTTGCTCGGCTCAAACAGCGTATCCCCCGGGTGAGCTACGCAATCTTCGTACGCCCATGGGCTGTATCAGGTGTCAATCATAGAAAACATGAACCTCCTAATAACTTTTGAAAATAGAGCTGTACAGAAAAAAGAGGACTTGAGCACAAACCAGTCTTACAATAACTACATGTCAACATCGCAAGCAGGGGGGAGAAAAATTTATATTCTGTGTAACAAATTTCTAAAGTTTGTCCACAGCTCCATAGGGATTGCTGGAGGAGGTGGAATTTATGACCTATACTGCAGCCCGTCACCAGAGGGCGCTGTTCTAACGGTGGCTTCACCCAGCGAGGAGGCAGACGGGATCTATTTTATATACACTCTATGGATTTCCCTGGGTCATATTGGAATTGCAGAAACTTAATTAAAAGAGTTGGATTAATACTTTTTCGACGTTTAAGACATACATAAGCCCTAAATTGTAGAGTAAAGGCATCATTGAGAATTTGGGTTATTGGGAGCTTTAATATTTAAACAAAAATACTCAGACTCAATTTTTTACAATGCTACAAATTACTGACAAGAACCAGGTCTGCACTGGCTTCTATCTATCCATGGACCTTCCCAAGAGACTCCAGGAGACAAGAGAATTGTCTTTAATTGATTAATTTACTCAACTTTCATCTCCAGCCAGTGACCTGACCTGACCATACAGAGGAGAATATATGACGAGGAAAATACAATCAGAACAGAGGGAGAAGAAAACGAAAAGGACGGGAGAGGAGGGGTGAAATTCATTCTCCAGGTTCTTTTTGTTCTTGAGATGGACATCTGGAGATCTACAGAGACCTGGTACATAATTATTTCAGTATCTCCAAGTGTCTCCTGAGGTTAGGGAGCAGGAGACAGACAGAGAGAACGAGTCGAGGCCAAGTTTCCCTCCCCCCTCTGTGTCATACAGGTCTAGGTCTTAGCTTTAGAGAAAACAAAGAGGGGCCTCTTTTGGAAATGAATTTTAGCCATGAACTATCATCTCATAACACAAATATTACCATTAATGACTCAATTTCCTTATAATTTCCTTATCTACCCCCTTAATTAGGCCCATTTGTTTGCTTTGTCATCCTCCAGTGATATGGGTCTTTTGTTATGAGAAGTGAGGGGTGTGTGTGTGCGTGTGTGTGTGTGTGTGTGTGTGTGTGTGTGTGTGTGTGTGTGTGTGAGGGGGGGATCTGATGACTTATTCTGCTACAGGAAGAGGGGTCCCTCCAGCTGCTCCGGACGCTTTTTTTCACACACACACGCAGACACACACTTGCCCACATATTAGGCAGAGGTAACCCACATCCTGCAACACCTCTACGCAGCAGCAGAGGCTCTTTAAATAGCTCTTACTGGTCGCACCCTGAGTCAAGAGGCTCTCTCTTTATCTTTAACTACATCCTCTTTTTCTTCACTCTCTCTCTCCCCGAGATCCTTTATGTCTTTTTTTCTCTCTCCTCTAAAACGCGCTTTCTCCACAAGAGTTAAATCAGCTGAGCTTGGCTCTTTTCTGCTCTTGGCTGGACACCGAGCCTAATTAATTGGCTGTACAGGGAACATAGGGGTAGCACAGGGAACACGAAGAAAGGGTTAATAAGGAGGGAAACGAGAATGAGAGCATGGCTTCTATTCAATCAGATTCTTCTCATTTCTTTTGTTTGGTCTCTTCTGAAAGTCGGTAAAGGAGAACATTGTGTGTCCTCAAGTAGGGGTTAGAGTCTCTGAGAGAAAGTGTTGACTCGCAGCCCCTCACCCCTCTGTCTGTCTGTCTGTATGTGTGTGTGTGTGTCTTATCTTTGGGAGCTAATGAGTGATGGATTAACCCTGGATCACCCCCGGCAAATTGAGATGACCCCCACAAACTTTACTCTTTAATCGCACTCCCAGAAGTCAGCATTCCAGTTCACACACACCAACAAATACAAAACTATGACGACAATCCTTAAAGGTAGGGTTACAGGAGGAATATCTGAGTCAACTTTAAGACAAAAACAGTGAATTTGATTTTCCAAAGAGCGTGGTTTTTTAACGACTTTCAGTGGGTGGAGATTTTTAAGAGCAAGTAATTAAAAATCTACTCATTAAGAACATGCGAGTGATCTCTTTTCTCATTGTAAATCAGTCTACTTTAGACTGACCTCTGCTGACAGAGATGTCTTTGTGCAACCATGTCAACTCGCCGCCTGCACACACAACTTTTTTTTTCACCAGCTTGTTTGGTCCAACAACAGACTGACATGTCCTGAGATAAAAAGCTGATGTATGACTCTGAGCTGCCTGTATTACTACTGGTCACACAGACAATCACAGGCCCACACACACACACACACACATACAGAGTACTGTGACCAGCAGGCATCCATGACAACCGGGTGCAACAAACCTCTGGTGACCTGTTGGCTGCCACACACACAAACAGACAGACGCACACACCGTCACGAAGCCTGTGCCATGACTTATATGGGAAAGACAAAGGCATCGGTTATAAATCTCCGTCAGCTATTCGGCGACGAGCACACACACACACAACCCCCACACACACATTGACACGCATTGACACACACACACACACACACACACACACACAGGAGGAATTCCAAGGAAAGTTTTGCAGCAGCATGTGAGCATGTTTGACGCACAATGAAATTGTTTAACTCTGCTTGATCTGTCACAGGTGCCTTTTTCTGGCTCTTTGTGTTTGTGTGTGTGGGTGTGAGTGAGAGAGAGTGACAGAGAGAAAGACGGATAGATAAAGAATAACACATGGAAACAAACTCCAACCTTTAACAGTTGCGGCTTAATGAACATACAAAGCCTAGATGTGAACATAACCAACTACTGCTGATGTATTAAGCTTAAAATGCAGATTCCAGCTGTTTCTATTTCACTCACAGGACAACTAAAGTGTTTCTTTGCAACAGCAGGGGACGCTCTAATCTACTCAACAAGCTGCTGTGTCATGGTGAAGCTGTGTCCAGCCGTTAATCATCTTTAGCTGCAAGTGTTAAGGACCCCTGCGTCAGGCCTGATGTGCTCACACTCGCACTAGGTGGTCCTGTCGGCGAGAGGCGCGACTGTTGCCAGAGAAGTTTGTGCCAGGACTTTCACCTTGAATCAAACGCTGAGCTGCTGAAAACACAAAAGCCTCCTTCTCTTTCATTTCTCTCTTTCCCACACACACACACACACACACACACATACGAGTCAGTATCTGTTTTTTATTGTTGTTGTTGATGCTTTTAGAGCCCCTACCAGCAACAAGGAGATTTGTGAAGGAGTCATAACAAGCTGTGCCAAGGCTTTCATTTTAAAGTGTGAACAGACTCCGGTAATTGTAACATAATGAAACAACACATGCTGCACTGGTGTCGGTGCTTGTTGTGATGTGTTTCCTCTACCTGGAGGTATGAGAAGGAATGCAGCACACATAGATGTGACTTATACCTTCATTCATATTGCATTAGCTAATTCCTGCAAGGCACAGCCCAGGGCACACCGCTTGCTTCCTTCCTTGCGCACTTTGTTGATGCCAACAGTCCACATTATATATTTTCATTGGCTGCAAACCTTTGCCCTCCTCTTGGTAACCGTGCAGTAACCCGCTGCCACACAGAGCTGCTGAGGTCATCAGTCCTGATCTTCTACAGCTCTGCTGGCCCCGCTCTCGGGATCAGGTCTCACATTTACGCACACACTCATCGCTTTAACTCTTACAAGCTGCCAGTTTCTACAAATACATCATCCCACACACATGCTCGCAGAACCAGGCGCTCTCTCTCGTAGACTCTCGCTCTCAGTGTTTTCCTACTCTGTGTACTTGGCCCTTTATGACCTCCTTTTAACAAGTGAGGCCGCTCTGCTCTGTCTCTGCTGATGGCAGTGAATCATTATGGTGCTACCAGCATGTTTCAGATGTGATGACTGCATGAATTACTAAAGCTGGCCTCTGTATAAACCAGGATGCTGAAAACGGGACTTTACCAGGGGCTTGTCAAGAAGGGTGCCAAAGGGTGCCATGCCCCATTAAAAACACACCCCTGGACTCCACTATTGATTTGATAATATATAAAAATTGAGGAAAGTTCAGGCAAGGCTGCTTGAAATCTGATTAACAATCTAAAGTGATGTCACTCAAGTCGGCCCCAGTCTCGGCTCAAACTACAAGTTTGCTCGTCAAAAAGTCTGACTAGTGGGGTTAGAAATAAAAGTGTGATTTATAAGCTTTTGTAGCCTGTTCTTCATCTTTGTGGCTAAAGGCTATTTATTCTGCTACAAGCATAACGCAACCAAAAGCCCGTACTAATACAATTTCCATGGCTGTTAAACTCTGATTAGCTCTGGGAAAATCCCAAGTGACAATGTTCCTATTGTCTCATGATTGTTCCCCAAATTTTATCGAATTGTTTTGGTATCTACTCCTCATCAAAAATACTATTTATGTCATGAAATGTTTGCAGCTTATTCAGGTTTAGACAAAAGTGTAACAGGGTTTAGCCACCTCCTGGCTAACGTGGTGTTTTAGCTCAGAGGTAACCAACCACCAGGCCCCAGACCAGTACAGGTCCATGGATCAGTTAGTACCAGGCCACAAAAAAATAACGATTATTAAAAATTTTTCTTTTCTTTTCATCCGTCCTCCCAATATCTTATTTTGAAAGAGCACCACTTCAGCCATCGCCTCACTTTCGCGCTTGACTCTTCGGCACGTCATTTTCCTGCTTCAGCAACACAAGCTAGCCTTTGCAAAAATGAGCCAGAAACAGAGTTCACTGGAGAGAGAAAGGGTTGATTCTGCATTATGGTGAGTTGATGTCAAAGTGTAATGAAAAGTGCCTAATATAATTTGTAATTGTTGTATCTAGATTACATGCTTTGTATATACTATGAACTGATTAAGGTTTTTGTTATTGGAACCTCCACGCCCCTACCTGGTCCTTGGAAAAAGTTTCCTGCATGGTCCCTGGTACAAAAAAGGTTGGGGGACCACCGTTTTAGCTAATAAATATGGGGAAAAAAGTGGCTGACTGCTGTCATTAGCTATCATCTAACCATTATCAAATATATTGCGTTGATATTAAATATGTTCTGGTTACCTTCAGGATTCATTCAATGACCAACTGAAGAGACCATGAACAAGTGCAATCAAGGGGGACATCAGCCTATGGTAGTGTTAGCTGATGATTCACGTCCTAGCTAATGCTAACATTAGATGCTGTTGGACTGAATCCCAAAACCTAAACTATGCGATGCTCCCAATACGTTCCGATATCCCTAGCTTTCTAAAATAGAGAGAAAACACCATCTTTTAGTGCATTCTTTGGTGAATAGTGTCTTGGCTGTTATAGGAGTTTAATGCGTAATTAGCAAAGCACTCTTTTAAAGACATAAATTAGTGGCAGTAGCTGTGTAGTCATCTCATTAGCTTCATGTTTGACTAACCATATTTTTATTAGTACCCACTGTATATGGTCAAGTCTCGGTTTTTGTTCCTATGGTGTAAAAAAGTGGAGATTAAAAGCTTTTCTGAACCAACAGCCTGCAAAAGTTTCCTTTGTGTCTTCAAATTAAGACAATATTTGAGTTTCCCAAGCAGTTCCTCTGAGGATGAATCACAAACTCTCCTCTGATCTGTAAAGTCAGTCTCATTTATTGTAATAACGAGTAAAACTCTGCATGTTGTTTATATGCAGATTGTGTCCAGCTGTTTGTTAGCTGTCCAGCTAAACCCAATAAAGTCAGAACAAAGATTTTTTTTTCTTTTCTTTTTTTTTATAACACAACCTCAAATCCCAGAATGGATCGAACTCCCCAGACAGGGAGTTAGAACAATGTAAGAACATTTCCTACGATTAATTCCCAGTAAAACTGCACAGATTATGTCCTGCCATATTAGCATCTGTCATCTCATGTGGGACATTGGTTAGTTTGGTGTACGTGCTTGGTCTGTACGAGAGCCCTGCAGGCTGTGATTCACAAAGACTCTGGCAGGTTTTGTGTCTAAATGTGTGATCACATGCTGATGTTGTCGGCTGTTGTTTTTGATTATCCTTAATCATGTGGTACCTGCTCAAACCAAACCAAACCAAACCTTTCCGCTGCACACAAGCACCTCTGTTTCTCTCTTTCTCAATCTCTCATGATGTCCTTTTGTCTGCCTTACACACACAAACACACACAAACACACTTAACCCTGTGGTTTCTGCCAAACCCACAACACACACACAGATCCTCCTTGGGCTGAGACGAGCTTTCACTGTGGCATCAAGTCACCAATTAATTCATTAACAGACGTCTCCTCGGGCGCTGAAGGGCCGCTCACATCCCTGACAGAATTACAGTTAGTGTAAACACCCACAGGCGGACAATCCACTCGCATAAGTTGCACAATCTATTCTCCGTCACATGCAAATAAATTCACCGTATAATGTCAAACACACATATTGATAACTGGCAGACAGCTGCAGCAGGTATCAACAGCATGTTTCTGTCTCTGCAGGAATTAGGACGACGAAAAGTTGTTGAGTACATAACTGTTTATGTTGCCTGCATCCCTTGTGTCCTTCAAACCCTCTTTTTGCACATATCTGCGAAACATTCTAGTCATGTTCTAACACCGTTTTGGTGAATTTGTAATGCATTTAACTTTTTGCCCCGAGGAAACCAGCTCGGATCAAACTCTCAGCGCTGTCAAAGAGCACGCCTTCCAATGAAAATAATGAAACAGCTGTCATCGCTGTAAAAGAAAACCTACTTCATGTCTGTGGTTTGAAAAAGATTAATAAGATTGCTGAAAATCGTTGGTGTGCGGCGTGCCAAAGTTTCTCTCTGGAGGCTCTACCTGACAGCGTAAAAACAAAGTGCGGAAGTGAGCTACTCCTGCAGCTGATACTGTAAGTGGAGTTTTGTGTTGGAAGGATGGAGGGAAGGGGGAAAAGATCGACTTTAAATCTCATAGGCCGGACCAATTATCACCAGCTGCTGGAAGAGCGCGCTGGAGATTGGATGGAAAGATTCTGAATAGGAGGCACACAAAGAGCGCATGTTTTCACCCACAGGTGTGCGGTGGTGATATTTCTGATCCAAACAAATCTCCAAAATGAAAACAATATGATGATGACAATCTGACATCCTGGCCTTGCCTGTATGTTGTGATAAACCAGCCACAGTCCACAGTGAGTTCAAGCACCAGTGACGGTGACAAGAGGAAGTGAGTCCAGGCCAGGAGCCAGCAGAGTAACACAATATGGTTTTCTTTTGGAGTCAATATGGCTCCCGACCAAACCGTTTCTCAAAAACAAGGTTGAGGTTCCATTTCTGGTACGAGTGTGCGCACTACCTCCTCACTCACACACACACACAGGCCGACAATCACCCTACGAGCAGGATCTGTGTTGCATTAAGTGTCGTAGCCAAAGCAGCCGCAGAAATGTTCACTTTGCCCAAAGGAGCCTGAATTCAACAGCAGACACCGAGGCTGTGAAATTTCAGAGTAGGTTTTGTCTTTTCTGACAAGTGAATACATTCCTTGACCCCCGAGCTGTGCAACCTGGGCTTTGTCAGAGGCAGTAAAACTGGCCGCAGTGAAAATGATCTCTTTTCACTTGAGACTAATACAAAGCAACGTGCGGATAGCTCCAGAAAAACACACTTACAGATGTATTTGGGTTTAATTTTTACTTTTATGAAAAGTGGCAGCCTTCCTTGTAGTTCTCTCAGCACAAACACTTTCTAATTGATGCTTTGTGTGCTAACAGCCTGTCCAATCTGTATATTATTCTCAAACTCCTTTTATGTAAACTCATTTCTTCTCTTCAAAGGCTTGTCAGATTGTATTATCTGTGCAAGTGGAGCTCCATCAAAATGTAATTGTTTCTTGAACAGGCTTCATGACAGGCAACAACTAGCTCCAAAAATTCCAGCTCAAAGGGGGCTGCAGCCAAAAACACTGACATTAATAGCTTCAAGATCCGCCATGCTTCGACATACTCCACAGAATCTACATCATGTGTTACAACTACGGCGTCGATTTAAACCTAAGTCATTGTGATTATAAACCCTCTTACGCCTGGGATTGTACGCTCTCTTTCTGAAATGTTTGAAACAGAAACTTTGACAGCTCTCTGGAACCTGAAAATCAAGAACCTTTGACCCAGGTCTGGGGGCTATCTGCGGTGCAAAATGACTGACACAAAGGACAGAAACAGGATTTATCAACTGTAATAGAGTTCAGTGCTTTAAATATCTGGCCAGTTCATATATTGACTGTATATAAGAAAGAGGACATGGCGAAAATACCCCATATGTGAGGCTCTGCCTGCGTAAGTTAAAACAAATTAGAGGTGGGTTCAATTCATCAATGTGTCGATACATCGTGAAGCTTCACGTGACGATTCGGCATTGATTAATTAAAGTCATTGCTTAAAAAAATTCATAAATTGATAATAGAGTTGATACTTTGCCGCAAGGCTGGAACAAAAAACACGTAACTGGAACCTTAACGCACGCGCCGCTCGGACTGTTTAGTGACAGACAGAGCATGTTTGTTTCTTTGCAAAATGGCAACAGCTTCAGCAGCCTCCAAAGAGCGTCCGATTCTCTCGTCATCGGGGTTGACTGCAACCGTGTGGAAGTACTTTGGATTTTATGAGAGAGCAGGGCTATTCATTTACAAAGACATCAAATCTTCTATGGAAAAAAGCATTAAAAATGGCAGTAATCGAAGAATCATGACACCAATAATCGAATCGAATCGAGAATCGAAGCTCCTAAGATCGAAAGAAATCGTGAGGTACCCTTGTTGGAACATCCCTAACACAAATGGACTTAACAGGTGGAGCCAATGCACTAATGCTTTTCTACAAACAAATGCACATATTTAACTTAACAATAAAACAACAAGATCCATGATCATGACATCCGGCAGGTCTTCAACGTAACATATTCTTGAGTTGCAAACTTGGAAGGTTAAAATAACTTGTCATTTTTCCTCCGTTGCACTGGTAGCCTGTTTTTACACGGTGCAGTAGGAGCTGCATTAGTCAGCAGTGCTGTTTATCATGGCTCCATAAACCCATTTTTACAGCCAATTCAAACTGGACTTATCTGAAAAACTGACATTGTGGAAAAACAGCATGAAAAGAAGTAACTAAAATGTCAGAAACCATGTTTTATGAGATAAATAATTGTTTGTATATTGATGTTATAGTTTGACACACATCCTGTCTGTTAACAAAGAAGTGATGGGCTTTGTGACCTAAATTGCAGCCTACCAGAAGGGGGAGCCCAAACTTTCTTGCTTTACTTTTGGAGAGGAGCCGTGTCATCCATCTTTTCAGACAGTCTATGGTACAAACATAAACATTGCTTCTCTCTGGAAAACTCACCTGCCTTCACTCAAAAGTTACAAGACAGAATCATAATGGCTGCATGTTTTTCTCTCAAACTGTCTCCTTAAAGTCTGATTAATAAATCTTGTGTTTTTAACATTTGTACTCAAATGACTGAAGGCTTCTTCCTCTAAAATACTGTCTCAATTTGCCGCAGGTGTGTCTGGCCTTTCACCTGAAATCCCCTCTTGGACACACAATAAATCACACACTCTCTGCACACGCAATACACAAGGTGCGTTGGCAGCACATGAACTCATGCAAACACACACATGTAAACCTACAAGATCTCCTGTTTACTGAACGGGCTGCAGAGAGTTTTCCCCATTACTGATTCCTTATTGCACGCTTGTGTGTGCAGATGTGTGTCTCTCCTGGCTGTCTCTTCCTGTCTTTGGTTGCAGCACTTGATATACTGAACCATCAGCCTTGCTTACAGTGTGCCCTGGCTCAGTGGCCATGTTTCTGTCTGTTTGAGAGATACAACAGGTCCTGAAAATATAAAACAGAAGGCCGAGCCAGTCGTCTGGAACAAGAGCAACTTATTTTTTGCAGTGGGTTTACAAAGCGAGTCATAAACAGTGATAAGAGCTCAGTCTCGGAGAGAGAGAGAGACCATTCCCCTCCTCTTGATGGAACAAGCAGCTAAAGACTTGAAGAAATCTGTGTGGATTTGATGAGGAAAGAGGTAAATGCTGTTCCAAAAAAATAGAGTTTACGATAGTAAGACTTGCTTCATTGCCAGCTTTGTTTTTTGTGCACAGAACTAACAACACATTCTGCCTGCACCTTTGAAGACGAAGCACGCCGGTTTACAGCAACATGGTAAGATTCTTTAACATGACCCAGACCTGTGGTTGTGTCTGACAGGTACCAAACAGACATGACAGCAAGGAAACATCTGAGGATACGCCTGCAGAACATCTTTGTTCCATATCTGGCATGACGTATGTTACCTGGAAAATTACACTATTTTATGCAGAAAAAGGTCAAAAGATGCATCTTATACTTGGAAATGACATCAGTTTCATTATTGGGCTTCTCACTATCAACCTGGTTAAGCTGATAGGGGGCTAGCAGATTATGTTAAGTTCATTTATAAATCTCTACCTACATTTGTTTCCGACAGCATCGATAGATAACATGGAGACTATTTCTAATAGCCCCCTAAGTTTGTGGAAAACAAGAGCTTTAAAATCCTGTTTAATGACTGATGATGAGCCCGCAGAAGAGAAAGAAAGACGAGGAAGAAAATACCTGTGAGACTAGCGATAGATGTCAAACCACACAAGGATAAGAGTGAAAGAGCCTTCAAACAAATTAAAGAAAACAGTCACAACTACAAACTAGGGCTGGGCGATATGGCCTCGAATCAATATCACAATATTGGACGATAACTACTCCACAAGCTGCTCACCCCCTTTCACATTAACTTTGTCTACTTCAGCCGGTTCAACTTTTGAACCGTCCTCCATCTCCTCACCTGTCTTTCCCTCTTTGTTACAGACTGGATGGGGTGGAGTCACATCTCTGATGTAGGACAGCGTCTTAAAGGGACATGAGACCATAGACTACCTACACACATCCAAAACCAACTTTTATTAATTTTTTATTTTTTTGACACCGAATATATTGACATGGGCAAAATGACGTCAGTTAATTTTGGTATCGGTAAATTTTCATTTTATCGCCCAGCCCTACTACAAACTGCAGCATGGTATGAGCTTTGGTAGTGTGACAGGACTGGTTGGCTTTGCTGTCAATTTGATCTGTAAGTGAACCAATAACTCTACTGCTGCCATGGAAGCGCCACCGACTGTTGAATCTGAGTGACTATTTTCGTAGCTGCAAAAGTAAACGGTTTTTGAACCAATTAAACCATCGTCAACAACAACCCAACAATCTTTAGTTTGTGGTAGGGTTACAGACATGATTTTTTATAGGTGGGTGAATCTGGCTTCACTTTAGGGTGCTATGATGATCTCTGTTGTCTTTTCCTGGTATAAGACGTATACACTCTAACTATGTCAACGAAAGAAATTCACCCTCTGACATTTTGAAAGCAGGTTTTCTAACTGTTTATTGTGATACAAAAAGTTAATCAATATCCAATTTAGACATCATTACTAGAACCTGCAGTAAAACAAAACCTATTCCCACTTCACTGAATTTCAGTTCATTCAAGGTCACTTTTCATTTCTGTATGCAAAATTTTTGGCATGTCTGAGAGTTGTTGACGTAACTACTTTTTCTCTATGAAACTGCTCAATAACATGGAATTGATTAATGCTAACTCTGTTGATCGAACAAACAGTCCTTTAAAGTTGTTGTGAATGTGTCACATAATAAAAGTTTGTCAGGTTAATCCATTGACAGCCAAGTGATCGTATAGACAAAGGTCTTAATTGTCAACATGTATGACTGAATTTTCAGTTTTGGTGAACTTTCACTTCCAGTCAGGGCACTTTTCCTTCATTTAGATTTTTTTTCTTTTTTTTTTGGCTTCTAAGCATTTCAAGGTCAATACACACCCACATTTCAAAAGGCATGAGAACAGCTTGTCTTCTGTACAAGTGGTTGTTGCCTCAAAAGGCAATTATTCTAATGGGAATAAATCAGTCATGTCAACTATCCTGTACTTTTGTCAGCACCTGGGAACGTTTGACAGCTGTGTGATTTCTGTAGTTTTGAAAAAGTGGGGGGAAAAACTGCAGGTAAGTAAAAGTCAGCCAGCTGATACTGTGTGGAAGGAGTGGAAACAAAACAGCAGCCAGTTCGAGAGGATCAAAAATAGAGAGTTGGATCATCTAGAGAAAACAGTTTTTTACACCATGACCACACAGACAGAACTCTGAATATCTAAACGGGAGGAAAAAGGAAAGGCTCACTCCTGTCCCCTGACATTCTGATTTCCAGATGAGCAGCGCAAAGAAAAATAAGCAAATTGTTAAGATGTACTGCTGGCCTGCAGGCCCTGGAAATGTCACCTTTATTCCTCTGCTCCCCCTCTCTCGCACATTTCCCTCATCATACATCTCTTTTATTTTCACTATTGTCATCCTCCACCCCTCCCTGCGGCTCTGCTCCTCTCTGAGCTGCAGAGTCGGTCTCCCTCATCCTGCATGCCTCCAAGCTTCTTTTCTAATCTCCCTGAATAATTCAAGACACCTTCTCTTCTTCTTTTTTTCCTTCTTTTTCACTCAACACGTCAACCAAACTGCACAATCCTAAAAAAAAATTACATTTACAGTAAATTTGCATTGAAAGAATTTATCTCCGGAGGGGAATTTCAGACTGCAGCCAGTTTTCGTCATACAGCAATTAGCTGACACAGTTCCGCCTCCTTTACTCTCCAAGTGGAGGAGTGTTCTGGTAGGCCATGGTGCATCCGTAAAGTTCATGGCAGACAATTCAGCAATTTTGATGAATCCCTCTGAATAGAGGATGTTGCATTAGGAGTTTTTCTTTGCTCTGTGAATCATAACTCAAACGGATGGAAGAGCACATCCAGGAAGATTAAAGTGACCACTGTGGTCCTGATGGAAGTAATCAACAAAGCGCACTTAAGAGTAAAACACAGATTCACACACACACCTGTCTATGAGTTCAGTGTGCTTTTGGGATTTTTCTCTGTTTCCAGACTTGTTTTATTTTCCCTCTTTTTCGCTTTTTCTTCTGGAGGATCAGAAACTATCAGGGGTGCCAAGAACTTGCAACACTCCTGCCTGCACACACACAAACACAGCTCCAGAAAGTTCACTGCACAAAGAAACACGTCCTCCTAAAAGTCCTGTGACACAGCACGCTGTCAAGTATGAGGATGCACCAACAAACCCTCATTTTGATAACATGCACATTCGTGATTTTCTGCAAGACTTGGCGCAAAACTCTGCTAAATTATGGTTTCAGTGAGTCAAGTTTGGATGTTCTGGCTGAGAAAAAAGCGCCAAAAAAAATCCGTTTGTATATTGTCAGTTTCTTCAAGTGCCAAGAGTTGTGACTATAAAGTTCTTTAATTTTTTCCACAACTTTATCGCATCACTTCATGAATTAAAATCTGCCCTTGCTTTCTATAGACTTCATCTGAAACCTCAATGTTGCTTCTGAACATAATGAAGTTCCTTTTTTTGAAGTTTACCTTTTTTTTCTAATTTTTTTCATTCTAGTGAAGTTTCTTTTAATCACCACACATATTTTTTTCTGGAAAAAAAATGTATGAAGACTAGAAAAAAAATACAGAAAAATAAAAACTGCCTCCACATAAAAAAGGCATACAGATTGCCATTAGTACTTGACACCCATGATTGAAACAGTAAAAACCAAAACTTCATTGCTCTCTTTTCTGCATTGCAAAGTGTTTACAGATCGAAGGCACTTCAACAAAACTACCCTTGTGAAATTAAGATTATCTTCATGCCTGCTGCTGAGAGATGTTCGAGCTTTAGAAACAGAAAACACACATCACACAAAAAGCTCTTAAAAAACTGTCAGAGTGTGTGACGTGCTGCAACTGTCAGAGAGTACAGAGGCTTACTCGCAGCAGTGGGGGAAATATCAGGGTTTTTAACATCATTTAAGGTGATTAGTGGAGTTACGCTGGAATTGTAAGCCTCTGTTAGCAGAATCTTTCTATTCCTCTGTCCGACTTTCTTCACTGCAGACCTCATAATCAGAAGCAGCCGCACCATGAGAGCAACAAGTCACTACAAGTCTGATTCTCTACATATTCACAATTTAAAAAAAAAACATGTCAATTTATATTCGAAGTAGGTGAAACCAACTGGTACGCTTTAAAAAAGGAAATGCCACAAACAGACACCGAACTAGGCTTAAGTTTTGGTAAAACCAATCAACACGAAAACTTAAAGCACACTCAAATCTTTGTGATGCAAACTTCACTTGGACTTTAACAGTCGTTTTGTAAATTTGTACAATCTTCCACATTCTCAAACTCTTTCTTTCCAACATCATCTTGAATACTTCATTTTAAAGTACACAAACCTGGCAGATTACCTTGGATTATTTATAGTTTACACAGAAACAGGATTGTGGTGAAACATGACTTTGGCTCTCAGCAACATGTGGCATCTGCTTTCATTACTGTGTTAAGTTTATTTAGACTGTTATTTTGTGATATATTTAAATGTCTGTGTCTCTGCTTATTGATATGAAGTAAATCATGCTTAAAAATAATTATTAAAATTTCAACCTCTTTTTAAAACTTAGAAAAGGTAAAGGAAATCAAAAGAGAGTGAAAAGATTGAATTTATGGTTTGACAATGCTTCTGCTCATGTAACTAAATTAAAAGGACTACGTTAAAGTGATGAAAAATAAAACCCTTTTGATACAGTCCTTAACAAAAAAATAAGAGCATAGATATTGTAATTAGATCTCTGTGTTTCATTATCACTGCGGTGTGTTTGTTGCAGATTTTTTTCCGATGAATTAAATGCATCGCTTTATTGCAGCGGTGGAGAAACGTTCCTGCCTGTGGATGACTGGGTTCCTGTGGTCTGTTAGAGGAGGTTTAAGAGATCCATTATGGCCTGTAGCAAGCTAAATGAACTGTCAAATTACATTTACATGTTGCATGTGACTTCAGTGCAATTTGATGCTGGTGGTGCGCCAAAATGTGGTGGAAAAATGCGCCTTTGCTGCGGTCGTATTTTTAAGGAAATGGTGAATTCTGGGGGGAAATGACCTCAAGCTGCAAAAATTTTCATATATTTGCAATTATTATTATGACCATTATTATAATTATTAATATTAATATTATGATGTCTGTATTACGCGGCCATTACGCAGAAGATTTAGAGATATTTGAGGTATTTCGTTGATTTATCGATGTCATTTTTCCTTCAATATTCACACCATGGCTGGCTAAAATACACCTCAATAAAAAGCAGCTCAGAAAGCCTCCACGGAAACAGAGAAACAGTGAGGTTGGACTTACCCACGCACTCGTTGGCCTCCCGCGCTGTGGCTCTCTGCCACGGTCTGTCATAGTGGAAAGGTTTGCACCTGTCGCACTCGGGCCCGGCGGTGTTATGTTTGCACTCACACACCAGATTCCCGTCCCGGTCCTTTACGCACCGGGACGCGTGCCCGTTGCATTTGCATCTCCCTCCAACCTGCAGGTCCGATACGGAGTAGAAGTACGAGTCCCGGGCCAGCTCCGAGTCGTCTTCGTTCTCGTCTCCGAAAGTGTGCAACCTGCTGAAGATGACTTTAATGTCCGTGGCCGTGACCCAATCCTGCAGCACCGGGGAGTTGTCGAAGTCGTGCGCGGAGGGTCTCCCGTCCAGCGTGCTGAAAGCGATGAGGCCGCCGGTCAGAGGGTACATGTCGGTGTGCGAGTCCGTGCACACGGCCTCCTGCTCGTTCTGCTTGGTGATCACGGCCCTGTTCGGTTTGTTGTACATCTTCCTGCACTGCGTGGAGTAAAACTGGAAGGGGACCCACGTTTTCCCGTAGTCCATGGATTTATAAATCACCATGGATTCAGGCCGAGGAGAACAAAACTGAAGGCTCACGTAAGTCACCTCAAACTTCTTCCCCAGGGACAGAGTCAGGGTGACATTTTGCGGGTACTGGATGAAGTTCTCGGACTGCCAGCACGTGAGGTTGTGCGGGTTGTTGAGGTCCGTCAGGTAGGCTGGAGGGTGGTACTTCTTGGGGTCCGAGGCGTCGCAGGTGTGACAGTTCCTGGTCCTCTCGTCACCTTTCTCCGCTGAGGTGACCACGCAGTACCGGCTCGGCGCTTTGCCGCAGGTGCTGGAAACCTTCACCTCCTTCCCGAAGGCGGAGTTGACGAAGTCCGGGATGCAGCGCCGCGGGTTGCCGTGCTCGTCGTAGCAGGGGTCCGGAGGGGAGGTCTGCGCCGCGAACAAGCTCATCCCGTAACCGCCGCGGACGCTCCGGCACGAGAGGACCACGGCGAGGAGAAGAGTCAGGGGAGCATCCAGCACAACCCGCGTCATGGTAAAGGTCCTGCTGGTCCTGCCCGAGTGTGTGTGCCGCTGAGGAGGAGAGGAAGGAGCGTGAAGGAGAAAGAGAGAGACAGATGAGTTTGGAGATGATGGAAAATGTAGTTTTCAAACTAATAATACAGAGGGAGTCATTGATCGTCAATCATTTGAAAGTAACCCTCCCTCTCCTGAATTTGTTGAAAGCTCACTGTACCTGAGAAGTTAGTTTGAAAGATGTGGAAATAGCGGCGGTGCAGAGGAGACTTTCCCTTCAGTCCCTGCTCCTCCTGTTTAGATGTTTGTTTCTTCAAATCTGCTGCGTAAAAACAGAGCAGCGGCTGGATTTCAGGAGACGTTTGTGTCCTTATAGCAAGTCCCACTCCTCCTGCCGGTCTTTACACCATCTCTCTCTCTCTCTCTCTCTCTCTCTCTCTCTCTCTCTCTCTCTCTCTCTCTCATAAAATCTTGAGGGGTGGACGAGGTGTCGTTGGGAGGAACAACGACATCCACTGGTGACGCTTTTGATTGTTTGTCTCGCAGATTGAGGCGAATTAGAGAGAAACAGCTGGAAACGAGGATCGATTCATTGTTATCAGACTGAAACAGCCATCGTTCAGATTTCTACCGATCATTAAGTTATGCAGATGAAATACTTTAAGCAAAAAAAAAGTTGGAGAGAGTGGGGTAAGTTGAGTCACCCCTGTTGCTTGGAAATGGTAAAAGAAATTGATCATGTGACCAAATATTTAGGAGATGGGCATCAATTCATGGAGTCTGTGAAGGTTAGAAGCACATGGGTGAAGAGGTTAGACATTTATTTACGAAAAAACACATTTTTCACTCTTAAAGTGAATTTAGTCTGTCATAAGTTTGATTAGAATTGTGTTCAGACCAAAAAAGATCATTTAAAATTTGTTTTATACATCAATTGTGGTATCTATGAGCTACAACATGAGGTCAAAAACCTAGCATAAAAGTCCACTATTTTAACTTAGAGCACTAATAAAGTCATAATAGTAGTTCTGGGGTTGGTTGAGCCAGTGGCTCAACTGAGAAAGTAAAGGAGTCTGATGAGAGGATCAGAGTTTCAGTTCAGACTTTTTCTTTTTCTTTTGAAAAATACAGCTGTGAATGTTCTGAATCACTTAAAGACATTCTCATGTTAAAATGGCTTTTTACAAAACAGCTTTTTAGCAGTCATATGCAATAAGATTAATATTAAAAAGAATTATTGTACCAATTGAATAGTGTATAATAGATAAAAATAAACATGAATGTGAAGAAGTGACTGTTATTTAGGGAGAGAAAAGGTGAGGGAGGGCTGGGGTGGAGAGTGGGGGGATAGTAGGGATACGGTTCAACTTACCCCGCCCCTATGGTCAACTTACCCCATACAACATCTTGAAATATATGCAGATTCACTAGTTAGATACAAAACTATGATTGTCTTGATGTAGTGATCCGAAACATGGGCAATGGCTCATCTTACCCCACTCTTCCCTACTCGTTTTTGTCACCACTTCTGTCATTTACGTGGGTCATATTTTTATCCTTGTAGTAGATCTAAAAACCTGATTAATGCATTTATTTCACGCCTGAACAAGGATTATGCATGGCTGCTATAGTGGCCCAAAAGAAACCATGATCACAATGTTATACTAATAAAAAACTGAGATTTCTTTGAAGGCTACATGGTCAGGTGAAGCTTTTTCAAACTTTCCCCTAATTGGTTAAAAATCAGTGCAAAGATATATTATATATCTATTGACACATTTGTCTTATTTGAACAATTTTCAAAAGTTTTTAATGATCAAGCATATGATTTGACTTCTTAAATAACTTTAAAAAATTACTTTTCAGTCTAGAAAAGTCTTCAAGACATAACTTTCATTTGATTAGGCTATGAAACAAAAATCCAACCTGCACTCAGGAAAGAAGTGGTCTTCACCGGTTAAAGAAAAAAAAGAAAAGTTCGGGAAAAAACCCTCTACTCCTCTATGTTGTCTCTCTCTCCTGTGTGGTAAGATGCATCTTTGCCTCACTGAACCTGTTGCATGTTCACGGCAGAGGAAACTGCGCCATCTTGTGGCCATGAAAATACACATGCTGAGCAAGCAGTGATGTTGAGTAATCCCAGGTGGTGGAGACATAACACCATTTATCCACTGAGAGAGAATACGTTTGGATACAGAGCTCAATCCTGGGATACTGTTAGTGCTTCGATTTCACAGTTCTTTTACAGTCATAAAACCTAAACCCTAAAGGTAATAAGGTAGACATTGCAGAGATCCTACCAGAGATATTGGAAACAGAACACAGCGACATTATTAAAGGATTGGTGCATGAAATATGATAAACAGAAACTCAAGAAGCTTTATCATCATGAACTACTAGAGGGGTTTTAGGTAATCACATTTCAGACTGAGAGATTAACAGGACAAACAATTCTCTTCACACTTGTAGCTGCACCTCTGGTCACCAGTCTATCAAGCTCATCCCCCCCTTATTGGTGGATGAGTCCACCTACAGGTGGGATGTTGACCATCTGGTGACCAGGTGTGGTGAGAACGGCTTGAAGCTTAATGCTTTGCAGACAGCAAAGCAGATGGTTGTAGATTTCAGGGAAACCCATCCTCTGATGCACCCACCCAAATCCCACACTGAAGCTCTTCAGTTGAGTCCTTCCACTTCTTGGGGACTACCATCACTCAGAGGAAAAACATCTCGTACCAAAAGAAGCACTGCAGAGAGGGTACTTCCTGTGCAAGCTTTGGAAGTCAACCTGGTAAAGTCAACGATGGTACAATACACTTCAACCACTGAGCTCATCCTCACCCTCTTCATCACAGTCTGGTGGGTTACAGTCACTGCCACTGCCATAGAAAACGTACCATTTGCTCAACAGGAAAAGGGTCAACCTGCCATCTCTGAAGGACCTGTATGCTTCTAGGATTAATGGCCAACCCATCTCACCCCAGACACAGATTCTTTGAGACCCTTCCCTCAGCAAGAAGCTGTGGTCCTTATTTTTTGGTAAATATTTGTAATTAAATATAACAAAAAAATGGACATCCTGCAGCTTCTCAGACTGTAGTTCTCTGCTTTCTCCTGCATGGAAGCAAGAGTTCTTTCATTCAGCCACACTGCCAACTTTAAGAGCCAGAAAGAAGAATAAAACCACTTTCATTTTTGACAGCTACGACACTGATTACATCAATCTGTAGAGCCAGGATTACAGTAATAAAATCCCCCTCAAACAGAAGTGCTTTGTTCAAAGTGCAAAGAACATGAAGTAAAATTATCCAAATTCTTGTTAGAATAAATCAATTTCAACCACCACAGGTAACTTATGTTGACAGGAAGGAATGTTTGAAAAAAAAACATTCCCCTAAAAAATCTTGGCGGCAAAACACACTTTCAGTCATGTTTTTATGCAGTCAAGGTGTACTTTATTATCTCAATTAACTTTTCAAAAGGAATTATGAGGTACTTGCTATGACTTGTAATTGGTAGCTTGGATCTGAAAACACAATGAAAACTTACTCAGCTCTTTGTTTTTAAGGATAAAGATTTGGCTTTTTTATTTTTTTAATAACAAGTCAATCATCTCATTCATTCAGAAAAACAGGACAGAATTTTTTTATCTATGGAAGTTATCTGGTAACTCCAGGATATAAGAAGAAGGATTGGGGCCACAAGTAAAGAAAAAATAATAAAAGGAGGAAGGTTTTTTTTATTTCCATTTCAGGATTTAAGTTGAAATTTCGAGACTAAAGTCAAAATTTTAAAAAAGTTGAAATGAAAAAAATGGAAATTTTGAGACTAAACTTGAAATTTCAAGATTTAAAAAAATAATATTACACAACTTAAGTTGAAATTTCAAGATTTTAATTTAGAAATTTAGTCATTATTCACGACATTTTTTAATCTTGGAATTTCAACTTTAATCTCAAAATTTTAATTTTTAAGGAATTTAAAGTTTAGCAGTTGGGAGGAGCGGGTCGTGCATGTGAGACAGTTACACTCCAATTAGTTTGATATGTAAAATGGGAGTTTGACGATGAGGGCCTTGAAAATAAACAAAAAACAATGATTATTAAATCTCTCCTCAAGAGGAGACCAACCAACCTTCTGATACAGGACACAATGATGAGTATCATACCCGTCACCGGTAATAAATCAAAGGGTGGAGTGATAGTCACAGTCTAGAGTTTATAAAGTTGAGGCTTCTGCATGTCTGTAAATTACATCACCATAGTCCATAACTGATAAAAACACAGCTTCAACATTTTTTCTTTTACAGGACTAAGGGAAATGGGATTTATTTCTGTACAAACACCCAACTTTCTGTCGCATTTGGCAAACTACTTCAAGGTTACTTGAGTTTGAACAGGTCATTGCTAGCCATAGCTAACCTTAGCTCAAGGCAAACAGAGAACTGAACAATAAGCTTACATTCAGCTCATGCTACCAACTCACTGTGCAAATGCGGCTCATTTAAACCATCTTTAATGTTCATCATCCTCACTATACTTTATACCTTTTTGTTGGCAATTAGCATCTTTCTGTGACCAAATGATCACCAATTCTCCCTGGTTCTATCCATCTTTGAGCCTTTCAAAGCAAAAATGTCAATTGGTATTCATACCTAAACATTGAATAAAATATTGTATTGACAGATACATGAATTCTAGTCTGGAATAGTCTAGACTTTCAGCAGGGGTTCAATGTTTCTCGGTGCTACCTCTGGTCTCGATGTGGTAGAATCGAGACTGGTAGAAACTGGTAGAAATTTGTTTAGAGAGCTTTATGAGCTACGAGGACTCGGTTAGTGCTCACTTTTACTGTTTGGTTTGGTTCACCGCTTCATCTTCCTTCTTTCAGGAGGGGAATTCACAGTTATACATGACATGTAAATGATATTAAAAGCAGGAGGGTTGAGTAAAGTTAGTGTTTCCCTACCTGACAGTGTTGATGCAGAGAAAGGGAAATACATGGGATATTTATGCTAGATACGGGAAAACAAAACACCTTTTTCCTAAGTGTTAATATACAATTTGATTAATCCCTATAAATCATATTCTGTTAGTTTGATTAAACTTATTTTTTGTCAAATGGCCACCCACACACACACACACTTTTGTTTATTGTTTCAAGACAGTTAAGTACAGCACTACAAATAGTCAACTTGCTTTTAAAAATAATGAACAAAGCCACAGCACTCCAACAAAGACACTTAGCTCCCAAGCATGAAAATAGTATGAAAACAAACACGTCAAACAGATGACTTCCTCCTTGGGGCCAACATCCCCTCAGAATCCACATGCAACCTCTGAGACATGTATGTTGAAACACACACGCGCACACACACACACAAACACACTTCCCACCTTCACACACCAGCAGGCGCTTTCATTGTGCTCTCATGCACCTCTATCATACACTTCCTGTTTGCGCTGTTTGTGAGCCGCAGTGTGTTGTGAGTGAAGTGTAGGCAGAAGCCTGTGAGCGCGGCAGAAAGATACAACAAACTACCAGCAGCTGGTTTCACTGTTTGTCTCACTGCACTGTGCTGTGCTGCCATGCCCAGGATGTGGGTTTATCTCTCTAACCGTGTTGTGCGTGATGAATGAATGGCAGAGGTGCGTAGTTTGACAGACTTTTATCTGGACTCTTTGGAATCTTTGAACTCAGACCCAAGCATGGATGCCGGACAATAAACTACAGGTAAGAAAACAAACCATTAATGTATACTCTTTTGAAAAGGCATCTGTTTCCTGCTCCGGGGGGCTTGTATGGATCAATGACTTGTCTCTTTTGATAATATGCCAAAGAGTAAAGTCTAGACCTGCTCTGAATATAAAGGACTTGGGACAACTTTAGGTGTGGTTGTGAGTTACACAGAAAATCGATTAGTTGATTGATTGATGGTAATAGTCCTACATGCTAAGAGTTGGAGAGCAAAATGACTTCACGCCTTACAGTTGCCTTGTAGCATCTAAAGAAGCACGGGCACAAAAGCTGTCAGCTGTGTACCATCTGAGAGAAGCCGATTTTGCCGGTCATCTCATGTTGATTTACTTTATAATACTAGACTTTGTAAAAACCTCACGTGCTTTGTTTTCGGTCAAATAGATAAGCCAATGGACAATGTCATTGCTGTAATGATGGATAAACTGATGGATCATTTCATATAGACAGCTCTTCTTGTCATTTGAACAAACTCTAACTGCGAGACCATTTAGAGGACTTCTGCTTTTCAAAGGCTCTGTATGATTCATGCTTTTAATAAGCGCTGAGGAAGTAGCGAGGCAGAATCACGTGTTGGGCGCATGGACGTCTTCTGGCTTTAAATGTCTGTGGCTATACTTGTGTCTCTAAATGGAAACACACATGTAAGATATTGTGGTCTGACATCTGTGTCAGCACCTTAAACTGCATGTTAAAGCCATGTGTAGTCATGTTACGGGGTATTCTACACCAGCTGATGTCTGTCATGCTGCTAACATTCAGCTTTATACCAAGAGGGATCTTCATATGTGGACTTGGTGAATTTCACTGCAGAGTGACAACCAAGGATGCTAGGAAAACCATGTGAGCCATTCCAGACTCAAAAGTTCAATCTGACACAAAACAGTCTGTAAGTGGTCTCTGACAACTCCAACTGATAAAATCACTGACTGAACTCAACATCCTCCATGAACTGACCACCTATCAGCTAGCGTATGATTTCTCTTTAGTGATACTATGATTCAGGTTACATAGAAAACTGACAGTGATCTAGAGTTCATGAACTTCAGTCCATATAATCAGATCAAAACTGACCTGTGGTTCAACAATTAAATGTTGCAGTTGAGTGGAAACGCAGGATTTACCAAGTCTCATGTTTAACTTCAAATCTCTGCAGCTCTGATGTGACTGAAAGATTCAAACTGACAAGTGGGTCAATTTTTCATCAAGACTTAACTTGATTCTTAACTAGCATGACATTTTTTTTTACCATCATGAACAAAAAGCATTTCATGTACTGTCTCCTTGTCAAATAATGTCAGACTCCGCCAAAGGAAGAGATCAACACTTCTCAGAAATTCTCCAATTACACAATCACTTTGAGGACAGAAATCACCTCCTGTTGGGAAACATAAACTGTCAAAGTTCATCATGTTTTGAGCTTGAACACAGATTGATGACCTTGATTGGAGGTGGCAGATGTTGGCGTCTTTTTTTTTTTAACCGCTCATATAAAGAGAATATAGGATGTCACAATGTGGTGTTTTTCTCACATTTGGCGGAGTTTGACAGCAATATCCCGCTGCAGAGCTTTGTTATTCACAGCAGGGCTTCCTGTTTGTCTCTTTTTTGCCTTTTGAATCACTCAAACCTTCGATTACATCTCTACTAACACACATTTTGAGGTCAACACCCCCCTTCTGTATGTACATTCGCATCTCTGCATGTGCACAACCCACTTGATTTGACAAAGATAAATCTGATGATGTGAAGCTGAAATCACACGATGAAAATCTGTATCTCCAACATTTTCTGCATGGTAAAACTCTGCACTCCACATAGGGAAACTGAGTAGACAAAGACCTAGTCCTGTTTAAGGAATGGAGTCTAAACTGATAAAACACCCTCTATTTTTGCATTAGCGCTAGTTTCTGCATCTGTTTATCTTTGTCAATTGAGGAAGTAAAGACCAAAGTTTGTATAAAGAGGCTTTCTGTTGTCTAAGTGACAAACAACACTGTATTTTCCTCACAGTAGTTACATGTAGTTGGGTAGGTTTTTGCAATCTTGTTTGATTTTAAAAAAACTTTTTTTTTAAGATGCACAGAAATCATCACCAAATCTAACCCAAAATATGCTTGTGTTACATTATATGACAAACAGTCAGATTTTATGGTTCTTCTGTAAACAGTAGATGACCAAAGAGGTGACACGTGAGACTACAGACAATTGAATTTCCCTTCAGGGATCTATAAACTTCTTCTTCTTCTTCAAACATAAACAAGAACTCCTGAAACTGCTCTAAAACAGACCACTTCCACATCATGAACTCGATGAAAACAGCTTTCAAAAACCATTTCAGTCACCCAATTTTGTCCTGCCGTTGGGCGCTACCAAACTCAACTGTTTCATACAATAGCTTGTTTGATTTGACTCGTGTTTTCTCACCGGTTACAGTTGTTTGAACGAAAGGAAACACTTAGTTACAGTACGGCTTTAGAGTTGGACCGCTGTTGTTTCCTAAAGTCATAAGAGGCCGGTTCACATCCAGTAGGTCAGTGGAGAAAAGAGAGGGTGGGGGATATAAGAGCTCTGTGGGCCAACAGAGGAAGACTGGATGTGAATATCAGACTCTATTAATCACGAGGGGTTTGTATGAATGACAGACCTGTATACTGTACACACACACATACAAACAAAGACTCATAAACACACACACCAGCTCTTGTGGTCCCTGGTCTGTGGGAGTATATCTGTGGGCCTGATCACACAGCAACAATAGGGAGGCACCTGCTTCCTCAGCTGTGCAGGGAAGCTTTCTTCCTTTTAGGAAGCAGTTGGTAATGGGATCAGTGGGAGAGATGGGAAGCGGCCTGTGAGGATGGTGTTGAGGAGAGGAAGAGGAGGACAGCATGAGAAAGACACAGGTAAAGGTGCAGGGCTGGCACTCTTGACTTTGTCTGGGAACCAGTCATGAGACATATTCTGCTGCAGACAGACACACTTCTTCATCCTTTCCTCTGATAAAATAGAGATTTGTGGGCAGCTGAAGATCTTGCCATGATAAAAACAGTCACAACTCTGGCTCTGAAGATGTTCTTTACAGTTTATTGCCGTTCAACTCTTTAAAATACATTACTATTGTCAAGGACGAAGAGTTATGAAATAGTTTTCATTGTTAAGGATGACTGGTTCTTCTCTCTTTTGGCAATCAGCTGACGAGGCTATTGTCCTTTTAGTGTTGCATAACAGGTTATTTTGTCATCATAACATCACCTTCTAGCCAGCAGTGCTGTTTATCGCTGTGGGCTTTTGACATACACGTCCCCTTATGAGAAAGACCTTGCCTGCTATACTTTGATCACTGTTTTAATGTACGCGTCAATCATTTTCTTTTGATGATCTGATAAAACCATCTCTGCGAATCCAGTGAGAATCTCATGCTCTCGAGTCTCGTTTCTCCCTCCACCATACTACTTGTTATTGTCTGCCTGTTATGAGCTACAACCCACTAAAAAGTGGAAGTGACCTTGTTGACTCGTAGGGATGTGCTGCATACATCCTCTTATAAAACACCACATACTCACACGTTTGCAACACAACAGGCCAGCTCTACGTAAACAACTAGGCCTGTGATGACACTCTGGAGTTGGGGCATGTCTATGAAAATCCCAGTATTTGCATTTTCAAGCACCGGCTGCCTGATGTTACTTTTTCAGATGTAATGTTTTATTGCTGAAATACATTCATAAAGTTTGAGTAATGAATAACAGTAGCCAAACTATATTTTGTCTATGTTCAGTGTCTGATAATACAACCCTCAGGACTGTTACTAGGCCTACTGTTAGGTATGTATAAAACCATTTTCACTCAGCTTACATGATAGCCACTACATGTTAAATTCTTAGACTTAATTCATGTATTAGCCTACCTCTGCACGTCCTTATTGAGCCCCATCCTGGATGCAGGGGTCATCATGAGTCTGACCTGGTAGTTCCTTCCACTCTCACCGGGCTCCTCTCCAGCTCTGTCCAACCCTCACAATGGCCGGAGCCCCTCGGCTTATGTGTCCAACACGGGCGGCTGCAATCTCCCGCTTCCTGCCACTCGGCCTCGTCTTAGACACAATATATCCCTTGGGAAGAGGGACTGCTGAGAAGAAAGGGGTCACACTGCCGCGTTTACAAAGGCTCAATACCTGCTGGTTTTGTTTGTTTCCTAATGGTAACGATAGGAAGACGGAGTGAGGTGAGCTTCAATCCCCTGCATGGACTTCCTGGTCTCTTCTTCGGCGTTGGTTCGCCGGTCGAGTGTAGGAAAACCTGCGTGTGTTTCAACGGCTCTATGAGCAGGTATTAATCGGTGAAAATAGTTTAATTTTGGAGTATTATGCTAGTCTTACACCCGTTTTCATAAGCGCGTTTGTCCACGACGTTTTGGTCCCAACTCATGAATTTGTTTGTCTTTAACGAACTGGGTTTTAAAACATTGTAGAAGGCGCGCGCAATCTTCCTGGCTAGCAGTGCCTTAGTTCTTGGTAACAAACAGTTTTTAGCTAACATGACAGAAGGTTTTTAAAAGTTGCTCCATTAACTCTAACTTTATAAAAAATATTTTTTTAGTAGACAGAGAGATTGAAATCAACAGCTAGTGTAACAGTAATTGTGTATTTGTACTATCTAAGACATGCGTAGTAGCTTTCTGTCGCCCTTAGGTAGACCGATGGCAACATAGACATTTATAAGAAAGGCTAGATGACTCGAGGCGGAGCTACCGGCGTCCCTCGGCGGCCATCTTACTCCAGTATACCATTCTGGTACACTCTATGGTAGCTGACAGGAGGTGAGTATTCTACATGATCAAAAATACTCTTAACTCGCTGAAATCTTGACAGATTTACAAATGGTTTTGTTTATTGACCTCAATAAACCGTGGCTATGAGTCGGGATGCTTGGACGTACTGAAATGGCAGCTTTCAGACATAATCAACATTAATTAAGTTGCACATGATTTCCAAGCTGTTTGGTTTGTTAAAAACATCTAAAATGGCAACATGAGGCAGAAATTTATGTTGAAAATAAATATTTGTATATGTTATTGCTATATGTTATTATAATTATCCCTGTCATAAAAATATAACTAATATAACTTAAAAGGAATGATTGAATGAAATGATTTAATATAACTGCTTTGTGTGTATAGGCCCATAGCTAAATTGCTCTACCTATCTGCTTAATGTTTATTTATGAAAATCCATGGTTAAAATTATTCTCGAGTATGCAGGAACATAACCAAAACTCTGAGGTTTGTTACGAACCAAACCGTTCGAAAATCAGTTTAAAATTAAGCAATCTATGGTTATTTAAATGCTACATGCACCCTAGACTGTAATGGTATGAGTGGGCGAGCGTCCCGTAGCAAGATGGCTGCCATGCGTGGACATTGGTCTTCATTGGCTAACAGCGTGCATAAGCCATCTAGCTTCATATATATATATATATATATATATATATATATATATATATATATATGGATAGCAGTAGCTATGAGGGGCAGGTCTAAAGAGTGCATACAAACAAGATGGTAGTTGATTTCCTTAAATGTGCTGCTGGTTTTGAACTATAGCTAAAACACTTTGGTAATCTAATGCAACTCAATAAAACAGCTTCAAATCCCAATTCTACAAAACTTGGTTTCAGGAGGTGTAAGTGGTTTACTGGACTGCACTAATTTTAATTTGGTTCCCTTTTTGTTTTTTAATGAAGTGCACAAAACAACAGGGATCCTTGCAGCACACACAAGTATTCCGACACTACCATGCCCTCAGAAAAAAAGAAAGTAAAGTGGCATGGCTGGCCGAAAGGGTATATAAACGAGATGGTTGATGAAGTTCATATGCCCTGATGCATACCTACATTAAAATACATTCAGATCTGATGCTTAATTAAACCAGCTGGTTGTGGTTGTAACATATTTAAAAGACAGAATTTGAAAGTGACAGACCTGGAGGTAACATTGATTCCTTTAAAATACTAAAAACTGACAAATTAGCACGTTTTCAGAGCGTCAATCTTGTGTGTCAGGTCTGTTGTTTGTTACATAGGGTTATTAGGTGAGTGGGTGTGTGAGTAATTTGTTGACTCCATAGACATGATGTCTCCAGTTATTTCTAGCTTTCATGCGAAATGGGGAATTTGTCATAGCCTCTGGGGAAATTTTGAGGAGATGTAATCAGACAAAACCAGTGTTTGATGTCATTGCCCTTTTCTGTCACTGTGCTGACTGAAATGTTTTTATTACTCTATTTCACAAACTCTTAAGTTCATGAAAAATTTAACACTTGTTGGTAGGATTTATGTCAATGGGATTTTAATCTTCTGATGGCTACATGTGCCACAATAACAAAAAATATAAAAGGTTGATCTATGAAAAGTGTTGTTGTCCTCACTTAAGGAAACTTCATGTTTTGCCCCCCTCCCTAAAGAAAAATCTATTCTAAGATAAGGGAAGCTTTAGCTATTTTGGCTTGCTACAAAGTGCAGTATCAGCAATAGTTTCACTTCTCCTTGACCCATATCTCAATAAATAATCAGCAAATGTTCTAAAATTAAATATTGTTTTGGTGTTTATGTAAAACAGAAAATCATCGTGTTCTCATAATAAATCCATTGCTTAAAACAAAACTTTACAGACTGATGCAGTCATTGGATTTCAACATTCATGTCCTTGTCTACATCTTATCTATTATTTTAATGTAACTCACTCAATTAGATGTTAATTAAGGCTAGTGGTTAATTTTTAATGCTGTAAACCACCCTTTTCTAGACAGACAGAGGATGAAAATCCTATTAAAATTATCTTTTTACTTCGTTCACTAATAACAAAAGCTGAAAATTGGCAAGCCGGCTCGGTCAGTGAGTTTTTTTTAATAACTTATTTTGACAATTCTCATCGGAAAGCAAGAGGGGTTGAGTATGTTTCCAAAACAGGCACTAAAGTAACTTCAAAATGTATGTACTGAAAGTATAAGGTTCAAAGGTGGCAACTGGAGTTGCTTGGTAAACAAAGGAATGAAGTGTCTTCAAATGATCTCAAATGTAAAATCATATTTATATATATATTTTATATTATCATCTCCTTCTTCTCAATCCACTAGATTTAGATTAAGAAATTAGATCCTATTTAGATCTGTAAATCAGAGGTGAAATGGTTGATTGGGGACAGCGACTGCTGAAGTAGAACATCTCTTACAACACCAAAGATCTTGATAGGGCGAGGTTTCCCCTCCTAGCAGAGATGAAGCAGTAAGACACAATTTGTGCACATGGTGTTGATTACCAAATGTTTCTTTCTGAGGGTAACTTTGTGACTGAGGGGTATTTGTATAAAGCAACAACCCCACAAAAAAACACTTGCAGAGCTACATCGCTGTAGTTACCATTAAAAAAGTGGTTGCTGACCATATAACACGTTTCAAGTTTGGGTTGCAGTCATGGTTGACTTTTGGTTTCGGTTGGTTAGTGGCAGCTTTCAAACCGTGTCATCAAACACCTGTCGCTTTAAATGTTGTTTACTACCCAAAGAGGATTAACAAATTTGGCACTCAGCTCCTCTCAGTCTGCCATGGGACGTCCCCCTGTATTTTATGATGCATGCGACGTCTGATGAGATGATAATAACAGAACTGAAACATCTCGCCACACCTGATTTATCCTCAGATGCTGCATGAAAAACAGCCGAGTGTTTTGACAGACGGTTAGTAAAAGTAAAGCTCAGCACATACCCTGTGAGTCATGTGCTGACTGATTTCAACGTTAAATTATACGGCTGCTTTTCTTTCACCCTATCAGAAATGTCATAGCGTAGAAACGATGGGCTTGTCTTGGTTGCCTTTTTTTGTTTCTAATAATGTTGAAGTTTTATCAAACCTTCAGTTAAACCTACGTCAAATGTTTAAAGAGACATAACGGATGTGAAGTTGGAGGTTGTTGTTTTTGTTCATTACACATAGATCTTCACAACACAAAAACTGATCTGGCTCTTGTCAGCCCACTCAGAAGGCGTCATAAACTGGAATTTGTCAGATCAGGTGTCACATCATAATTGTTGAATTATTAAAGCTACCATGGCAACAGAATAGCAAAACAAGTAACACTGCATGTGTTTTCCTTACATTTGAATGTCCCTCTATGGTTTATGTATCTTCTCAGACTGCTTTTCATGCTTCATGGGTGATCCGCCTTCATGCAAAACAGATATGATAACATACTGTTCATAAAAAGAAATGAGCATACATACGTGTATGCATGTCAATATTATGGAACCACAAAAAGGATTCCACAGATAAGATAGATGGAACCGTAGTTATGCGTTATGCTGGGTTTTTTGATATCGCTCCGTCTCTTTTCCCTCCACAGATCCTGAGTGGTAAAGATGCAGCACACGTCGTGCACGGAGGACAGGATCCAGCACGCTCTGGACAGGTGTCTGGACGGGCTGAGACAGAGTCCCACAGCTGCACAGCACTGGAACGGTAAGAACCAAGAAGCTTTGGAGGTGTTAATGACAGCAAATGAGATTTAGGTGTTCTTACTTGAGTTTAACTAGTGGGTCTGGCAGTCAGTATGATTTAAGAGTAAAAAAAATGAAGGTTAAAAATCAAGTAAAAACCTTTGACCTGCTCTGTCTTCTCACTCACCGAGTACCGTACCAAAGCTGAAGCTTTTACTTTGCTGCAGTTTGAGATCGCTACTTGTCTGTTTTCTTCAATTATAGTGATGTCTCTCTCGCTCAAACATGCCAGATCAGCTGTAAACAGCCAAACTAAGATCAACAAAGAGTTCAGATTTCATGTTTTTTACACACAGGGCGCCAAAACCCACAGTTAAAAAAAAGTTCCTTACATTGTCTTTAAAGAAAACAGTAGATATCTGCCTCTATAAATTACACTGAGCAGTTATCCCTTTGCTGATACAGTCTTGTGTTTATAAAGTGTGTGTAATGTTCTCTCCTCTGCCATTTTTGCATTCGCTTCCTTTTCAATACCAAAGGTCATTGGCCTCAATCTTTTGCCCCCTAGATTAACTGATGTCTTCCTCAAAAGCTTGTGGCAGATAAAGACGATCAAACCCTGAAACCTTCACTTCCTAGTTCACAGCAGCAGCTCTTCTCAGTAATACAGACCCCAGTACGTGTGTATTTGGATGTGATAACTGCCATTTGCGGTGTTGTTATGGTCAGAGAGCAGTTGTTTGTTCTCACCTTCACCACATATAGTTAGCATGTGACAGTCGACTTGCAGGGTTCACGTACAAAGGCACGTTAAGCTTGTTGTTTACACTGTTGCTGTGAGATCATTAGAAGACATGCTTTGGTGATACAGGAAGCTGTGTGAACGTAGAGCCAGGAGGAAGTGGTGGCAGGGACCACGGTGGTTAAAAGTGGCATTGTGAGGCTTGGGCTCTTGTGGTACGGATGGAGTGTCAGAATACGTCAGATCAGCCTGACAAGCATTCAAACAAATGTGACTTTTGCGTCAGAGTTTGTGATGTTGTGAGGAGCTTCCTTTTACATTTCATTTATTTTTAAATCTTTATAACTCTGCTGTCACAAAAGCTCCGGAAACATAAAATTATTGTCTATATTATTAAATAGAAGGTGAACTTTCACTCATACCCAAGCATCAATACTCATAATGCAGCCATACCTAATTTGTCTCTCTCTAGTAGCAACACATTTCCCTCCTGTAAATCCTAAATTTTTGACCTAAAAATGAATGTTTCCAGTTTGCATTTAAAGAATAGAAAAAAGGCGTTTTGGTCTCACTTCATACAACCTAGATAATGGATCATTCCTCTTTTAGTTAGTCTGTGATTGACATTTTCTCCAATCAACTCATCATGATTGGAGAAAATGAGAACTAACTGAGAGAGTAACTGTCTGGTTCTCCATGAAAAAATCAACCAATCACAAAGACCTATTTGGTCTGTGCGCTCAAACTTGATGACAAATGTTGCTTCTTAGTGCAGACTAAACTAAAAAATTACTTCCATCATCCAAAATACAAAATATCCAGAAGCTGTCGAGTATCATTACTGGTTCTTTGTTTTTTTACAAAAGCGCTGTGGGATTCATTTCTATATTAATATCGTTATCCTTTGCGTGTTTTGGAAAATAAGGTGAAAGCGTATGTTATCGCGCTTATTTTTTTGGTACGTTCTAGTCTTTGGTTTCCACCTGCCAACCTACCTACCAACCTACATTCTCCCTGCCTTCATAGCTTGCTACCTACATACCTGCTCTACCTCCCTTGGTAACAACTTTCTTACACACTAGGGCTGGACGATTCTCACGTTTTAATTTCAATTACTTGGCTTTCCTTGATTATGAAAGATGATTGAGAATGAGCGATTACCATGCTGCCTGGTGTGTTGTGCTTATTTTGTTGTATGTAATAAATAAAACACACACTCCTCTTACCCCAAAGCAGAGAAATCCTTTCAGACAGCTCTCACCTTTACTTCATTAGATACACGTGCAATAAAGTTCAGGAGCATGAGGAAGTGCAGATGCCGTAAAAGTTCATTGTAGACTACCGTATCCTCAACATGTTGTGTTGTAGCAGTAAAAACAATCATGCAGTCATCGATGGAGAGAGGGGGAGCTAGAGAGATACCTACAGGAGGTGGCAGGTGTGTGTGGATGTGCGTGTTTGTGTAAAAAGAGCTGAAAGATAGAATGAGCACGAAAAGAGAGACTGGCGAATATGAGTATGAATGGGCATGAATAAACTATATAAGGCAGCATTGTTCATATCTTCATAAAATGTAAGCTAAAGCTTCAACAAAATGAACATAAATAATGTTCTACAACACCCTTCTATCCAGCTATCTGTCTGACTACCTTTCTACATCACCTCCTTCCTCCGTACTTAATATGTCAATATATATAATATAAGATGGATTTTTTTGTGCACTAATCTTCGATGGATCCCAGACTGATTATACCTCCTCAAAAAAAGAAGAAAGAAAAACGAATTGCATTCTTAAAATAAAAATTTAATACTTTGTTTTTAAAAATTGTCATATTTTGAATAAACTGGCATTTAAGGGGTTAATATGACAATATTTTCACAATTTAACCCCTGGCACATTAAGAGGACAGGAGTTAAGGACCAAAAAAAAAAGGAAAAAGAATCTTTTTCCATTTATTTTTTTATGTATATCTATATGTCAACAGATTCATGGACAAAAGTGTCTGCTAAGCCACTAATGTGATTTTTTAAAGGGGGGCCTGAGGGTTAAGCTAACCTCTTACATGGTTTGCCAACCACCGCAATCCATATCTTTTCATCAACCTTCTTCTTTCCTTATTTTTAAGTCCAAGGTAACAAAAAAAGTCATGTCATAAAACTTACAGGCACTCAAAGAAGATACTGAACTTGGTTGAAAGTATTTAATAATGATTTATGTCTGTGTTTATGTGACATCTGTTCCTCTCTGGGTACGTATCAAATTTGTGCATTACAGTAACCTAAATCCACCTTTTTGTGTTTCAGTGCTGATGTGCTCAGCAGGTCAGTCCATGAACCGCTGGAGTCTGGAGGAGCTGGTGAAAAGGGACCCTGAGAACTTCCTCATCCTCTTACAACAGATCATCAGAAAGACCAAAAAGGTGAGACCACAGAGGTCACAAGGGACACATGTGAGCATGGAGCCTCCCTCACACATCGTAGGCCTAACTTGGCAAAACACCAGTTATGAGAGGTGCCCACTTGGTACTGGCTGTTCCTGCCCATATGTATCTTCATGTTTAAGATACAAGGGATTTAACGGGTGGTGTATGAGGTGATGTAACTCAGAAGTACAGCATAAACATTGGGATGAGGGTGTGATGGTATAGCATGAGTACAGTGAGTGCTGTTTGAGCACTGTTTGGACAAATTGTTCATTCTGATCACTGTCTGTCTTTATCTATGTGTGTTCAGGCTCAGGAGCAGTGTCAGTATGAACTGGTGGCTCCCCTGGCGATTATGTTCTCTTCCACTCTGCTTCAGGTAGGATTTCACACGACCCTCTCAGACAGGTCTATCTCGCTCCTTAAAGAAACCACACGAGGATACCTAATGTGTGATTTGGTTGCAGACGCCGTACTGTCCACCTGACACAGAGCTGTTGGAGGAAGCTATTGCTGTGTTTCGCTGTTTCATCACCTGGCCTGAACCGTACAGCAGCGTGTGCAGAAACCTCCTGTCCACTCTACAGCTGGAGATCAAGGCTCCAGGTAAACACAGATAAGTTCATTTGGTTTGGGGCTTCTTTATGCACATATGTACTCTCGTTATCTGGTCTGCTTCGAGTTGCTGTCTTTGAAACTTTGTGATTGGCTTCCCCCTAGTGTCAGGTTGGAGAAATGCATGTAGGATGATGCAACTTAAACCGTATTACAAACAACAGTACCTGAATCTGTCAGTCTGCAATGACAGGAAGATTAAAGACTTCAGCATGAATTTGAACTTTCTCCTATTAATGTAAATTTGTTTGAAAGAGAAAGAAGCTTCAGCATTTACAAAACTAAAAAGGAAAACTATGGACACCCACACTGAAATGAACAGGAAGAAGAAAGGAAGCGCTAAAAATTCAACAACAGGCTGGATGAAACATTTAAATTTGCTAAATAAAAACTGTGTATTGATTTAATTTTTCATATATATCACAAACATGAATTTGTTTGACATTGTAAAGGTGCTCTGGGATATTTTTTAAAACATTTTCTTTTACCCTGGGCCACTTTTGACCCATATTCATAGGAAAACAGCCTGTAGTAGTAACGGTAACAATATTATAAGAAGCTGCCTCACAAACAGATATGTCTGTGATCTTTGAAGAACTCTTCCTGCCTGTGGGCAGCTCTCCAGCGACTGAAAGTGTCACTTTATATCCCAAAAAACACAGAGTTCTTGTCAAGTTGTAAAGTTAAAAACCATCAACAGAAAACATAAAAGGTTTCTCTTTTCTCCCTCTAAGGAATTTCCTTTCAGAGGTTAGTAAGAGAGGAACAGGGTCTCATCGCCTCCAGCCAGCACTCCAAGACCATGTAAGTCCACATTATTGAAGACATGTACTTTCTGCTAAACTGTAGAAAATACCGTATTTACTCCAGGTTTGTACAATTTAGGAGTCAGTGTTTAATGAAACCTCTTTGATTCATCAAATCCCATCTTTGTTTTCTCTCCCATGACTAGCTCTAGTTGTACGTAGACATTTGTTCTTCTATGAGGACTATTTTTTTTGGAGAGAGCACATAAAACTTGTGTTTTTGCCTGAAATGTTGAGTCTTCTGTTTTTTTCAGTTTAAGTGTGTAGGGGGTTACTTTTGCAATCTTGTACCATCTGCTTTCCTGTTAAAAAAGCATTTTCCAGTCATCAGAGGTGTAGGTATCTGATCTGACAAAAAACTGCTCTAGTACACAGCTTCACTTAAGTATTGCACTGTGGAAAGCCCCTTTATGTTCCCTTTTCCACAGTAACCAGCACTACTATAACATCCTGTTGCATCTTCCTCTGATATGAGTTTGAGAACATGTTCTCATGTTATAACTGACACCATCTGTGCGCTTCCTGCAGGACCGTGCTTCTGATGAATCCAGGCGAGGTGCCGTCTGACTTTGTCTCAGTGGCCGAACAGCTCAGTAGCATCCAGCACTCAGAGGGAGAAACCTACATCACACTGATCAAGCACGCCTTCCAATCTACATTGGGGACCAAGTACCCACTGCAAAGCATCCAACAAGCCCTGCGGGTTTGTACTCAGAGCTGTGGTTCTGATTCTTCAGATTATGGACCAGAATTTCAATTCATATTATACAGTATATTTTTTTGATTTGTGATACAACTTTTGTGAGGTATTTTGGATTAATTTGTTATCTGATTACAACACAAAAGAAAAATATGAAGCCAGAATTTTGAGGAGGAATTTTGTAAAAAAAAAAAAAAAAAAAAACATACGTAAAAGAACAAAACTTTTATAATATACTTTATACTTTTTGCAGGAAAAGAATGTGGATGAACTTGGGGAGATCTACTCCGTCATAAGTAATCTTTTAGAAACAGCTGCCGCCATGAGTGACCCCCTGAAGGGACGCAGCCATGTGATCCAGGGACTTGAGCAGCTACGGGAGAGTATGAGAATCCCAGCATCCAATGGAAGGAAGTCTGACGGTAAAAAGATGAGCGTCATGGGGATATTCACACATACAGAATTAGGATATTTTATTTTCTGATGAGTATTGTTCTGATTTTCTCTTCTTTTTTTTTTTACAGGAATGTTGCAAACTCTACCACTGCCTACAGCCAAGTGTTACATGTTTCACTGGGAAAATGACAATTTTGGTAAAGTGCTCTACAAGATTCTTCATTGATCAATATATAGCAAAGTTAAGCATTCTGCTATAGGCTAATAAAGATGTTACTTAAATGTTAAAGGGATATTCTGGCGTAAATTTAAGTTAGGGTCAAACACACCGTGACATCGAGTTAGACACCCCCTCGAGAGATGACCAAATACAACTCACCCACTCTCCTCCAGCAGCCCCTTGTTTGTGGGGGGAGCCCTGACGAGTCGATCACCGAGTGCAGTGGAAAATTTATGATTATAACTTCATGGAAATGCAACCAGTAATAATGAAGTAATAATCATAAATGTTCTTCCCTGAGCTGCGAAACTCCACTACACTCGGTGATCGACTTGTCAGGGTTCCCCCACAAACAAGCGGCTGCTGGAGGAGAGTGAGTGAGTTGTGTTTGGTCTCTTTGCTAAAGAAACCAGGCAAACTAAATGATGTTTGATGGCTAGTACAATGGCTGGGACCGTATATGTACTGTTGATGAAGTTAGGTGCTGTTCTGAACATTAATTGTGGCTATAGAGTGGCTTTTTGGTTGAGGTTTGCCCGTGGAGATTTAGACCACTGTCTATTGCTTTTATGCAGTCGTTACTAAAGTTGGTATAACTAGAGAAGTAAGCAGTCGGCAACATTCATCTGTCGAGGGGGTGTCTAACTCAGTGTTACGGTGTGTTTGACCATGACTTATATTTACTCCGGAATATCCCTTTAATACAAGCCCACATAGTAAAGTTTTGTTGAAGCTAAGCTGTGAAAAAATTGACGATCATCGCAGTTTTACTTGTTTTATGACGGTGACAGTAGAGTATCATCTGCATGCACTTAGAGTTTATGGGCTTTGTAACTGGACTTGGATCAAGGGGCATTTCGCCTCTTTGGTTCATCTGTGAAGGTGTCTTTAAACTAAGAAACAAAATCTTCAAAGTCTCTGAGAAGTCCAGTCGTCTTTTGGATGAAACTGTGATTAGATCGTGACATCTGGTTGATATTTGTCCATTTGGATTCCTGCAGATGTTCTCAACACCCTTTTGGAGCATGACTTGGATGACCTCCCCACCAACGGTCATGCTGAGGATGAAGAGGTGGTCATCAGTGACATTGAGGATCTGATGGGGATTGGAGAAGAAGAGGATGACGAAGACAAAGAAACAGAGGTGCATGGGGTAAAATTGCCTTTAATGTCTACGCATCGTGCCTCCACCATCTCCTCCCTGTCCACTGCCTCCAAAGACTCTATGTTCTCCACTTTATCTGTGACCTCAGGGTCCTATGCTCCGTCAATCTTCTCCATCACGTCTGGAATGGATAGTGACTTCTTTGACGATTTTGATGACTCTCCAATCTCTGGAAAATGTTCACCTAAGTCTGCTAATAAAGCTTCTGCCCGGTTCAGCCAGCATTTTTACCGGCTCTTCATCAAACCTAAAGGGTCTCGGGCACTGATCCGGGCTAAAAGCTTAGGAAACACAGAATCAAAGGACCTTTTATTGGTACGAGATAGGCGCTCAAACTCTCTACCCCAGCAAGTGAAGTTACGGAATCCTGAGCCTTTGCAACAGCCGCCAAATCAGACTCTCAAACATGTCTGCTTCCGGAGGAGGCCGATTCTCAGCAGCGATGAGGACATCAAGAGCACTACTCTGAGAGTGGTGGTGTTCGGTGCTGATCACGTTGTGGGGAAGGTGGCTCGGGCTTACAACAGTCTGAGGAGGAAGGAGAGTGAATGTCCCCTTCTCAGCAGGGCCTTCAAGCTTCGCTTCTACTTTATGCCTGTGAGGAGGAACTCTGCTGCAGGGCTGGGGAGTCTGAGGTCTCTGAGTCCTCTGGTCCAAACTGGAACTCCAAAGGGAGCAACCCTGTCAAATGTAAGCAGAAGTTTGTTTACAGAGTCAAATATACTGATATTTGCGTGGCTACAGCGAAAGAGCACAAAACATGCATGCAAAAATATGTAAATGAGAACCTCTTATAACTGTTCCTTTTGGCAGGGTCTTGCCCACTCCAGCACAGGGGACAGCACTCATGACATTGCCAATCTCTTGGGCATGTTGGACCCTTGGTATGAGAGAAACACCCTCAACTTGCTTAATTTGCCCACCAATGTCGTCTGCCAGGTACGGCTGGAATGAAACTTCTATTCTTGTCTTCTGGTCCACTAATACTGAAAGTTTTGTCTTAAAAATAGATAAAGCTTGGAGTATCACTGACTTATGACACTGTCTGATGTTATTTAAAGGCTACATCTGTTTAAATAATTGTACCAATGGTAAAAATGTTTTGTATCACCCTGCAGCAAACCTCAAAGACGGAGTCAGAATCATACAATAGTTCGTATGAGCAGCGTCTGCCCATCTTGGCAGATTTGGTTCTGTACTACTGCCGCTATGCCACCAGGCCAGCTCTGATCCAACTCTACCAGGCTGAAGTGAGACACAAATACACAGCACACTTAGTGAAAGCTTCATTATTCAGGTTATTTTCACCCAAAATGAAGTTGCTGATTGAAGATCTCTTGTTTTCCAGTTGACGTTAGCTTGTGGAGAGAAGAGGACTGAGGTGTTTGTCCACTCCCTGGAGCTCGGTCACACTGCAGGAACACGAGCCATCAAGGCCATGGGTGAGTGTGACTCATCCTACATCCCAAAAACATGTATCCAAGCAACCACAACACACACACACACACTATACACACACCCACACACAAATAACATCCTCTGCATGTTCTCTTTTAAATGCATCATCATCATCACCAGTGTTTTTGAGGTTGAGTCTAGACCAATTCATGGAAGAGGAACATCTGCTATTTCAATGTTTCCATTCAGTCTACTTCTACTTTTTGAGTTTCACTCATCACGACTTGCGTTGCACTTCTGATTTTTCATTTCCTGTGTGAAGTCAAAATTCAGGGGAAATTTAATGTCTGATATCTGTTGTTAGCATATGGATGACTTTTTTTTATCCTACTACCAAACAATATGTTTTACACTAAAGTCAGTTTGTAAAACTTGTGTAAGACAAGTTAGGTTTGAAATAAACAGTTTGACTGATAAATGTTTGTGTGTGTTAATCTCCCTTCTCACAGGTGCTGCCAGCAAACGATTTGGCATTGATGGTGACAGAGAGGCAGTGCCACTAATGTTGGAGATGCTGTACAGCAGGGTAAGACTCTTTGATGCTACTCACAGTTTTAAAAAAAGAGAGTAGATTTTTAAGTCCAGTCAACAGAAATACCTCTTATACAGACATCCCATCACCAGTATAAAAACATCCCACTATCTTTCCTGCTCACTCTATTTCACTTGGTTTTGATTACGATAACTCCTTCTCCCACAGACATGACACAAAACAGCAATGACCATGTCCCAGTGGTACATGACAGCCCTACTAAAGACTAATCCAACAAGCTACCATGAACTAACAATTGCCTAAAAAATCTGCTTGTTTAATGGAAGCTCCACCGAGAAGTGTTCAGTTTTTCTGCTTTAACCTTTGCTCTCCATGTATGTTACATAAGTTCAGACAAAAACGGACAATTTTAACTGGTTTTAAAGCCTTTACTTCATGAGGAGTAATCTATGTCTAATATAATAACTTTAAATGATGTTAGGATCATCTGATCGAGGTAACTTCATCAGCAGCCGTCTAAAAGTTGTAATCCAGCCACCCATACTGCTGTCACAGTCAGCAGTAGATGCTTAAATTGCTTCAACAGTATCGGCCCTGGAGCAAGATTGCACCATACACAAATTTCTCACCAGATTCATCTACAGTGCTGATGACCAACAATGACAAACAATAACAAACAATGTTTCCTCCTTTTGTGTTTATTGTTTTATTTCCTTCAGTAGTCCAGCAGTAGCTACGTTTTTTTACGTTTTTCCCCTCAACCAATATGTTGGACTTTTTTTAAAAGTCAGCAACAACATTATCTTGCTGCGTCTTTTTATCCAGGTGGTGATCAGTGGGAGAAGCCAGTGGAAGAAAGACACCAAAGTCTGCACATCAGTGAACTTGATCAAAGCATGCAAGAACCCTGAGGAACTAGGTACACTGGCAAACACAGAATCCAGCTGCTCAGTATTAACCCTACCAAAAAAAAAAAAAAAAAAAGAGTGAAACTGATTGATGAACTATGGAAGTGTATTGCATTCACCAAAAAAAAGCTCTGTTTTTCAGTGTAATCTTTTTTTGTTCTTTTCTTCGGACTAATTTTTTTTTTCTGTTTTTAAAAGTAATTTTTTGTTTGTTTGTTTTGTTTTTAAGACTAATTGATTTTCCTATTGGGATCATGTTTAGTTTGATCAAGTTTGACTTTCTTTTGGGTTTGAGTCACTGGGAGATCCTCCTTTCTTTCAGTCAGATAGATGAAATTGTTATAAGTTTGTCTACTTTGCGCAGACACCTCAGGATTTGCATACCCTATGTTTACCTAATAACATGCTTTACTCTCATTGACTATGTCGTCGCAGTTATCTAGGAGCTGAAGAATCTGCTGATTTGGAGCAGCCACGGTGGTTAACGTTATCTGAAGTATCTCGCTGAGTTAGGGGAAAAAAATAGTCAGAAAAACAGAAAGATGAAAAAAAACAAGAGTATGAAAGACAAAATAAAAATTTGTCTGAAAAACAGAAAGAGGGGAAGAAAATATTACTACAAAAAAAACAGAAGAAAAAAATAGTCAGAAAAACAGAAAGAAGAAAAAATTTAGTTTGAACAACAGCAAAGAAAAAAATTGCTCAACAAAACAGTCTCCTTTTTTCGTAAGTGAATGCAATACGCTTCCACAGTGAACTGATTAAACTGTTTTTTAAAAAAAATACATAGTCACTGTTGTTTAAGCTTTATGTAAATGACAGTTTCATTTTCAATGTCTTCTTGTAATGCATATTTGAGGCCATGGTGAAGAAATACATATTCTTAATTTCACTAAAATTATCTCCATTAGACTCCAAGATGGAATATCTGCTTCTCACAATGACTGAGGTCCTGAAAAGACAGAGCGGCAAAAGCAAGAAGAGCTACAACCAGGTGAGTTCAACGTGACAAAACCTGTGGCGGTGACTTGTGGTTAAAAATGCAGCAGCAGCACACTCACTCAAACCACTCTGCAAATGCATTTACAGTTTGAGACAGAGACCTCAAAGTGCTCTTGATAGCATCTTCTATTCAACTGAATCTCAAATAGAGTGTAGTGAAAACAAAGTTTCTCTCGCAGGCGTCTAAATAGGACAACAAGCCACAACACAGACAAGACTCACGCGTGTTTGCAGGTGTTTTGCCTTTGATAAACTTTACTCAACGCTGCAGCTTAATCTCTAGATTTGAAGCTTTAATCTGAGATAGTCATTACACCCTCAATCAGATTGTGGAGCAAACAATGGTTTATAACCTCAAGGCTCTCTTCTCAGCCTCTTCAGGCAAATGTGAAAAACGAAATGTGCAAATAAATATTTGCCCCACATTCAGATTTCTAATGTATCATCTTTCCTCTCTTTTTCCCCACTGTAGCAGCTGAGTGTGACTGAATTGAAGGTGGACAAGGTCCAGATCAGTGGTGCAGGAGAAACAACTTTTGCTGTTTGTCTCGACCAGGATGAGAAGAAAATATTGCAGAGTGTCACCAGGTGTGAAGTTTAAATGAGTTAACACACACACCCACATAAACATATGCGTGTTGATTGCCAACTGGTGTTATAAAGAATTTTACTACCTTGTCAAAAAATGCAAATCATGAGGTGGAGACACGACTCCACAAAGAAATCTGAGCTTTGTAAACATCAAATTTGGTTTTTCACCACAATTTTCGTGATCAGCATGCTAATTATAATTTACATTGTCCTCTCAATGTAGTCATAAAAATTACAGTCAAGGAAACTTTTTGTTGACAAAACAAACACTAAATTTAAACCTTCTCTAAATTGAGAGATCAAATAATCCCCGGGGGAAAGACAAGATTTCAGTATTGGAAGTGTTTCTGTTGGGTTTGTTGTCACACTTGTATTGACTTGTAGTTAGTAGTGACTGATGGGGCTGATAGGGCTTTGGCTTGAACGGGTTAAAGTTATTTTTCAACCGTCAAACAGTCCCTTGAAGTAGTGCGACTTAAAATGTCAGTGCAATGACGAATTTTCATGCTACTGTGGTTTAAAACTGGATAAAGTCCCTACAAAGATAGCAATATGAGTCACATAAACAGTACCAAGAAAACGGTGCAGAAATAAACAGCGTTTCCAAAGATGCGCTACAACGATTCTTTTGTGATGATACTTCCTCTGAACAAGTCCGCATTTTCACCAACTTTCAGAAGTTTAATGACACAAATAGGTAAATATTTTTCTAAACGGTTCACCAGATAAGCTTGAACCTGTTTTTTTATTCTCATCTGCATCCTCTCCACAACCCACTTCCTCTCTGAGAGCTTACAGTAATAGAGAGAAAGATTAAAACTCTTACAGCATTCGCTTACAACCCACAAAGTCTCCAAGTGTTGTACTTGAATTAACCCGTGTGTTTCCTTCTATCCCTCACAGATGTGACATATCAGTGTGCTGCAAACCTGACAGCTCCACTGACTGGAGGTTAAGGGAATCCCTGCCCTCTGCACAAATCCAACCTCTGCACCCCACTTTCTGCTCCCTCCTATGCCTGCCTATTGTTACTTTCAGTGGGGCCCTCCCCTGAAACTGCTGACCGCAGGGTGGTTTGCTGAAAAGAAAAGATCTCTGCACTGAAATAAACACGCTGTAAGAATCAGGCAGTGATTTCAGACGGAGGTGGTTGAATTTAAAGGATAGCAGCCTCAGCGGGGTGGTGCTGTGAGAATTAGTAAAAGCACTGATCAGGAAACTGTGTCCCTAACTAGCTTGAAAACTTTAATACAAATATATGCAAAGGAACCTGTGAAACAGAGAATAAATAGAGAATAAGTAGTTTGAATGATGCTCAGGTATTTGCACTGTAAAGAAAACTGCTCAGGTTTCCATCCAGAGTTTCCATCCAGCATGAAGAGGAGTGACCAAACCCACAGTAGCTCGGGAATACCGTTTGGTCAAACAGGGTGAATGCACACTACCAGATTCTAGGTGAGAGGGCAGCTAATGAGCCAGGGTGCTACCGAGGACTTATCTCTGAAAATGTCAACTCTATCCTGGAGTCAGAGGTGAAGAACTTTTCATCCTGCGTAACATGGAGCAACATACAGACACTTCCCTTTTTCTGAGCGTACTGAACCATGTAAAGCCTCAGCTGGGGGTGGATACTGAACTTAAGGACTCTGTCTACAACTGGACACTTTCACTGTGTGTAAATTTTGTGTTTGTAAAATATTAACTGTATGAAATAATGAATATCACATCTTTGTTATGTCTTTGTTTAATCTGTGATTACGTTCCTCCTAAGGAGTTACTATGGAGTCACTGTTGAACTGGTGTTTAAATGTAGCCAGCAGGGGGCTCTGTTGATCTTTTTTTACTTCTGTTGAAGTATAGATAACTAACATACAGTGATGTTAGTGTAAGTGCAGTTGAGTCTCAGTCTAATGCAATGGACCTTGTAGTTGATGACAGCACCTGCACTTGCAAATGTATAACCTTTAAAGATAGAACTTATAGATTTGTGATTTTGGTGCTAAATCATCTGAATGCACACAACTCTTTATAGTCCATATAATATAATTCATCACTCCTTTCATACTGTAAACTAGGATATGTAAAAAAAAAAGCACTGTACAGAAATAGTCCTGTGGAACTGAAGCACTTGATAATTAGATCAAGAAAATGAGGTACTGAGGTTTGCCATGCATCACTGCCCTCTCCTGACATGTCTGTTTTGAATGTGTGTTTTTTTATCCCTGTGTGTGTACATTTCGGTTGCAATATTGTTCTTATGTGTATCAAAGGGAGAGTGATGTAAAGCAATGGAAACATGTTGAATATTATTTTCATTAAATATCTCTTCAACTTGACAATGTGTTTGGATACTTGACTTCAGATTGACCAAATATTTAGGAGATGGGCATCAATTCATGGAGTCTGTGAAGGTTAGACAATAACCTAGAATAAAAGTCCACCATTATAGCTTAGAGGACTAATAAAGTCAAAACAGCTTTTTAGCAGTTATATGAAATAATACTAAAAAGAATTATTTTACCAGTTGAGTAGCATAAATTGATAAAAATACACATGAATGTGAAGAAGTGACTGTTATTTAGGGAGAGAGAAGGTGAGGGAGGGCTGGTGTGGGGAGTGGGGGGGTAATAGGGACAGAGCCGGCCCAAGGTATAAGCGAACCAAGCGCCTGCTTAGGGCCCTACGGCCAGTAGGGGTCCCCCAAGAGCAATAAAATTTTTTTATTATTTTTATTTTTTTGCATGTATGTGTGATGCTTTCTGTATGATCTAATATATATTATTGCAAAAATTAAATCAAATAATATAAAAGCATTTGCTGCTGCTGATGTAGACCTATGATTCTTACTGCCGATATGTCAAAGCTCCGCTACCGTTATGCTACCGTGCAATATGCACTGAGCATCCTGAATGTGTTACATGTTGAGATTAAAAACCATATGTGGCACCCTGAACATCATTCATCAGTCATTCATTGGTATTATTTGTATGGTTGCATTGGTATTATTTATGTTATCACCTAGGTGTATTAAATTTATACTGTAGTAGGTGTGTGAATGATCAACAATCAATATTTTTGGCAGAAATAGAGGGCCCAAAAATCAAATTTTGCTTAGGGCCCCATTGAGGCTTGGGCTGGCTCTGCCTGCTCCTATGGTGCGGTATGTTGACCATAGGAGACCACTTTTTTTTGGCATGCTATATTATCAAGACAGTTCTGTTTACACTCATTCTTTAGGTTTGTAGGGATGCATATCTTGAAATATATGCAGATACACTAGTTAGAGACAAAACTATGATTGTCTTGATGTAGTGATCCAAAATATGAAAAATGGCTCATCTTACCCCACTCTCCCCTACTGTAAAAGAAGAGCTTCAATGCATACGTGTTCTGATTGGTCAACAATCTCTATCTGAAATATAATTGGTCAATCCCTTTCGTAGGCGTGGCCAGAATCCTTCACTTTACTTTACTGCTGATAGTTTGTCAGAGTTGACAGAAGTCACACTGACAGGCAGAGAGAGTCGACTTTGTGAGCTAATGGAGGTGTGTGAACCGCTCAAATACAGGTAAGTTTCTTCATATACAAAGATATTAGCTGTGTTAAGAGTTCTCAGACAGTTTTACGTCTGCTTTTCGGTCGACTGTCATTAAACTTGCGAAAGAGTTTAAATGGATGAAAGTACTGACAGTCAGCCTACCGTAGAAATACATGTACCTGTCGCTTTGATTTATTTTACTGAAAACAAATCACTGTAACCAGATTTAACCTGCAATTTACTTGTAATGCAGACAAGATTCAGTCAAGTTAATTTTAAGACTTGAATATGGTGTCTATTTGTGCCCTATAATTTCTGAATGGACTCTCTGAGCTTAAATCAGGCTATAAAAAGGTCCTGCTGACACGGGAAGTCAAGGATGAAGGTTGGTTTATTTTTTCCCTCCTGAGATAATAAGGGAGGTTTGATTCCAGTGCCTGATCTGATTGAAGCTCAGTCTCTCTGTTGTTGTGTCTGTATGGAGTCTAAGAGCACAGCTGTATTTCCCCTCAGCTTCCGTGTTTTAGATCTGAGCTTCCTGATACCTCTCTATGGTGATGCTTGGTGGCCCCCAGTCTCTCAGTGTGTCCCTTCATATCTGGAAATGCGGTTCATCAGACATGCAAATAATACTTTCTTTAAAGGACACTGTACTTGGAAATGAGGCACACATTCATGTTAATCTCTTTATCTTACAAGTAGTGCCATTGAAACCATACACTGTATACAACCTCTTTCCAGAAACCCTATCTCTGACCAAGATCTCAATCAGTTGTTTACAGTGATGTCAACTTTTTGGCTGGAGTTACTCAGAAACACAGTGACACAGTGTTTTTAAAATAGTCTATTAGCTAAATGCTTTTTCATCCAGACTTGAACGCAGTTTTAGAGGTAATTAGTTGGAGGGGGACTAACAATAATAACATTTACAATTAGATGTTGTGATCATCATGTCAGAATCTAAACAACTGTCAGCAGCCTGTGCGATTTCCTGGATGATAAAAACAGCTTGTTTTTCAGAGTTTTTGGGGTAATTGATGACTGGAGGGGGATAACGATAAAAAAACTGTGTTGGAGAAAGACAACATCACAACATTAATAGAAATGAAAAGACCCTGTTTGTTACAATTATAGATATACTTCAACATCAAACACATACAACACACACACTGCACAAAATCAAGTCACTGTACTGTCTTTACCTTATTTTTGGTCGTTACAACATGAAGCAAAGTCAATACTCGGTTTGAATTAAACATTTGGATAAATGTTTATTTCCTTTTTTCGCTCTCTTTCTTTTGCCTCAAGTTTCTTATTACAAACATTTCGACCATCTGATCATGAATGAAACAAGAGAGTTTGGGGGGTAGTGTTGCGTCGTTTAAAAGAACCAAATCTTTTAAGTGAACGTACTGAGCTGAATCACTTCCTCAAGTGATTCGTTCGTTTCTCACTTCAGTTGAGCTGTCAGCAGGGCAGATGGTAAAGCACGCAGCATTGCCAGGTGAGCAGCCGGTGAGCGAGGGACTGCATGCACCAACACCTGAATCACTTGGTGAACGAATCACGCATTGAACTACATTTTCTGGAATGATTTTTGTCGGACAACACTACATTTTTTTTTTACTGCTGAATTGCCACCACAACAACTTGCATACATTGGGACACAGCATGTAACAAGTAGTAGATAAAACCTGCAGCATCCTATCATTACAGCGGTTTGCGAAGGAACGGTGCATGTTCAGTGTGAATTTCTCTTAACGTTCAGTGAATGAATCACTCATTGAGTCCAATTTACCGAGCAGACCTGATAAATAGCATACGTAGGACAGTACACTTAAAACATCATGACTTATAAACAAGTTAATTTTTACAAATCTGTTTGCCAAAGTAACACAGACAAACACTCTCGTCTCCCGGTCCCAGAAGCTATGAACTGAACTGAATCCCGAATTGTTCAGCTGTGTATCAGTTTAGCAGGTCGGAGTCACAGGCAACTCCCACCAACCACTGAATGATTCGGTGATTCAATGAATGAATCTTTTGAACAAAACTTTTTAGTGATTCTAGTGATTCAGTACATCTAAAAGAACTGCCGTGCCCATCACTACTGGGGGGTTTTCAAATGATGTCAAATTTAAAAAGATGCAGCTGCTGCCAGTGAAGCAAACACACATAATAGTTCATCTCACTTTATTTCCTTGTTTACAGTTGCAACAGAAGGTATTCAGGACAATCTGGTTTACCAGATTACACTCCCTGATGCTCCATCAAAACAATATGAATTGACCTATATGTGGCAAGGAGGGACTGGAGGTGCAACTGATGCCATGAGGGATAACATCATGAGACTGTGAACGTTGTATACAAAAGCCTTACAGTCATCTGTAAGATGTTTGGACAAATGTTTAGAGAAGTATCTTAGCTGCATCTAACACTGGATTAGTCCTTTCTCTTATTGTTCACGTGTAAATCCAATTAAATCCAATCCATCAAAACAAACAGACTCCAAGCTTAGTCTTTGTGTTTAGATGGTTTCAACCTCGAGGGATCATGAAGTCGTTTTTCCTGCTTCAAGAGAAAAGAAGGAGTCTTTTCATCCCCTTTGTAGTCGTTTGACCCTGTGGTGTTTTTTACAGACAGTGTAATATACGTTAGTCAGGTCAGAAAAGACGCCGCCATGCCCTCAAGCTGTGATGACAAAAGACTTATTGACCTCTCTAAAGCTTTGATCGCTTCAGCTCGGTCAGCTGATCTCACTCAGTTAAGCTATCATTCAGTCACTTGACACGGTGCCTAAAAACAAAATGTAAAAAAGTCAAACGTAATAATGAGGGGGGGTCGTGGAAAAAAGGCACAGTGCACTGCTTTGAATGCAGTCTGAATCTGTCAGTGTAGATGCAATGGATCACAGCTGGCCTGTTGTACAGACAACCCTGGAATCCCACCTTTGCATGTTCTGACTGTGTAAGTGAAGGGAAGCAAGGAACAGACTATTCCATATTAGTTCTCGCTTCCTCTTGGTCGCCGGTCAGACAAAGCATCACTCCTCTTAGTTGCAGTAAGAGCAAGAATAACAATGCCCTATGATAATAAAAGTCCCGTTAAGTGAGCAGAGCAGGTATACAAAAGCATTTAGACACAGCAATTTGAGGACAGGAGCACTGCACTTGACCCACAGTGCACACAGCTGGCTGGCTGACACATAAGCACATAAAAGCAAAGTTGGTTCCTGATTTAAGTCAAGTGCTCTCTTTGTTTTGTTTCGCGTAATTTTCCAAATAGTTAGTCGTAAAAGTAATCTTGAAATAGCCCTTTATCTTTGCTGGAGGGGGCTTTTGTGAAATAGTGTTAGTGGAGAGCCTTTTATTCAGATACACAGTGACACATTGTGACCCTTTTTGCCATAAAATGCAGTTAGATGAAAAGTTAGATATACTTTACAAACAACTGTCTTCTTCTTTTGGTCTATATTTGATCCGTAAACCAAACTGACCCCTGAGATGATCAGTTCCTCCCTATAGGCGATTCATTTTAAACACTAATAACCTGCGTTTTGGGAATTTGTCAAACTGATGGAAACAGTCAGCTGTCAAACTATGAAACTGCTACTATTCCAATAAGGTAGTTAAATTGTTTTCAGCCAAAAACAAATAGTATAGTCAGGTTTAGAGGTTGCTACTTTTGCAGATCTTTGTACATGGTTAATTCAATATGTTAGGGTTGAATGGATGTAAGTGAATACGATATGTAGGGCTGGGCGATATGGCCTCAAATCAGTATCACGATATATTGAGCAGTTCACCTCGATAACGATAAATGGATAATAACTACTCCACAAGCTGCTCACCCCCTCCCACATTAACTTCGTCTACTTCAGCCGCTACAACTTTTGAACCGTCCTCCATCTCCTCACCTGTCTTTCCCTCTTTGTTACGAACTGGATGGGGTGGGGTCATGTCTCTGACATAGGACAGCGTCTTAAAACGACATGAGACCATAGCTGCAGACCATATTTTGACACCGAATATTACTGAAATGGGCAAAATGAAGTTGTTATTGTCGTAAATTTCTGTTATCGGTAAATATTCGGTTGATCACCCAGCCCTACGTTATGGTATATTATGATTCAATCGATCAATATAATATGATTTGGTACAAAATGATAAGTTATGACATGATGTTGTCACTCACAATTATGATACTGGGACATGATAATGATTACATGATGCAGGGATTCTTTGATAACTGATAAACATCACAATATTTGATGAAAGAATATAATTAACCTCTAGAGGTAAAAGCGATAGATTGATGTCTCTAACACCACTACTGTTGTATCTGTCTCTTGCCCCACCTCTATTTTGCACTCAAGCAAAGCATGAGGCTTTATGATGTAAATATTCTGCGGTTTAATCAGCTAAAAAGATTAACACTCTTTGGCATCTCACTGCTTAAGATTTCCAGGTGTAGCCCTGGGGTGATGGGAAATTCTAAGCCAACACGACTGTTGGCCTTTCCAAAATCTTGACCTAACATTTTAAGAGATCCTCGCCCACAGTCATCACGAAACACTCTTAAATCCACTCACCACAACTGTTAAAATGCAGACCGCCACAGCTGTCTTTAGCTCGTGGTACCGCCCTCGTGTTTGCCCTGAGAGGGATAGGAAAACAGATAGCAACACTTCTTGGCACATTCGTGTGCCCGTGGGCTCCTTGGAAAGCAGTCTCTACTGGGGTAAAGTGTTTTATGACAGTTGTGTAACGTAAATCTATTAGTGTCAATGAGCATGTCTATGTGACGCACTTTGTGTGTCCCGTGCTTGTAGCAGTTGGATCACTTTACAGTAAATGACCTACTTTGACCTCTTGTGATCCGTTAATTATACCCATGGTGTTTTTATGAAGTCTACTGCTCAGGGAGACTGAACATCCTTATAATTTTAAGTTTGTCTGGTGACAGTGTTTGTTTTTTCTCCACAGACCTAGCTGCAGAAAGTCTCAAATGTCGCAAATGTCATGCCTGAATTGTCTCAGAATATGATCATTGTTGAGGGAGGTAGGATAGGTTTAATTGAACAGGTGAATGGAAAAAGCAGGGAAACCCCAAAGCAGACATTTTCTTGAAGACTCCAAAATCAGGCAACTGGACTGTGTAGAGTTGAGAAGACATTTTGCCTCTTATCCAAGAAGCTTGTTTAGTTCTAAATGTCTTCTTGGATAAGAGGCGAAACGTCTTCTCAACTCTACACAGTCCAGTTGCCTGATTTTGGAGTCTTCAAGATAACCATGACCTGGATGAATGAGAATCTACAAGGACACATTGGATCCCAAAGCAGACAGTCATATTAGCTGTTTGCAAACCACAAGGCAGTTTCTTGTAAAGGGGATCTGTAGATCCGTGTCTAAAATGGCAATTAAAATACTTGCGAAACTCTGGGGTTGTAAAGTCCTAGTCGACTGGTCGACTTGTTGGTCGATACGTGCTGAGTCAACTGAAATTCTGATTAGTCGACTCAGTTTTTTTCCACGTCAATTTACAGTCTATGATTAATTTCATCAGAAGGAACGTACCAAGTGCTAATGGGGGTGTTTTCAGAGCACCCCTTTATTTACAGGTAACAGCTTGTCTCAGAACACCCCCCTTGTTTTCACCATTTTGGATTCGCCCAATCAACTGGAGACTGGCTGGAGATAAGAAGATCGAAGAGCATCCACTTCAATCAATGTTCGGTGGTTTGCTGAATATAATATTAGCCAAGCCAGGCTCCAGTAAGCCGCGTCCCCCGCCACAGAATGGTTTGCCTAAGATTTCTCCAATGAAATCCAGGGGCATCAAGGGGAGGACTGTGTGCAACATGCTCACTTGCGCTTCCTACCTACTTGGCTACCGTGATAACTATTGTTCTAGTCTACCCGCAACATTTTTTTTCTTATTCGTGAAACGCTTAAACTGGGGACATCTCTGGGGAGAGTCTTAACTGAGGACAGGTCATCCAAAACTGGGACCGTCCCCAGAAATCGGGGACATCTGGTCACCTTAGATTTGCCGTCAGAGTCGGAACTCTCATCCCTGATTAGTCAAGTTTTGTTTGAAAATTTCAGGGTTTTAGTCGACCAAGAATTTCTTTGGTTGATAACAGCCCTAAAACTCACAACGTCTTTCCTAAATTGTCCAGACAGACCAACCCTGAGATTAAAAAGTCAAAGTCTTAACAGCAGCACCAAACTATGTCTGCATCTATTTCCATAAATGGATTACTGTCCATCAAGAGTTTTATTAAAAAGAAATTAATCACTCTCAGATTTCCACCCTCTGTTTTCTGTCGAAGACCACAGATATCTACAATAACAACATGCTCTTTTGAAGTATTCCAGGCATGAGTAATGGATCTAATTATTATCTCAAACACTTCTGTAATGATCAGCTATTCCAGTGACCATAGCTAACAGGATATACCAGTGCATTATGACACTCAGTAGACCTCATATTTAAGTGGTATTTGTCAATAACAAGTGTGTTAACCACTCAACGCTTTGGCTTCAGGTGAAGTAACACATCCACAGATCGTGTGAAAACTAACAGGTTTTTTCTGAAGTAGTGAAGCACTAAGAAACTTCAAACAGAGCGTAGACTTATCCTGACATAAATGCTTCGGTTTGGACAGGTTTTCTGTCAGCAGCGATTTACAGTCTAGTGCCTCCCTGGTTCCCCAGCTGCTTTCTCAACTCAGGGATTGAGCTGACCGGCATCCCCTGAGGGTAATTACTAACAATCAAGAAGTACTCGTGCAACTGAGGATTCAACAAGTGGAGATTTAAAAACAATGTTTTCTGATTCACTGGATTTGATGAGACCCTCTCTCTTTCTTTCTCTTTCACACAAACCATCTTGGGAAAACCCTTTTCATCTCTACCTCTTCCTATCTGCTTTCCTCTCGCCTGATGGATTTAGCACATTAACCCCAGCTGCGTAAATCTCCCCTCTGTCAGGTCCATTCTGACCTGGATACAGTTGGATGATTGAAACACACCGACCTCTCTAATCATCTTTGTCTTTTTGAGGTTATATCTGCGTGATTGTCAGAGTTTTCGAGCGCTATTTTGGATGTTGTTGCAGGCCTGTGGGAGGAAACAATCCGTGGTCAGTTGGGTCAGGCAGGTTTACTGACACACTTACACACATACGCACATTTAACCGGTCCAAGAGGACTTCCTTGTATTGTCCAGCATGTTGATACAGGAAATCACCTTGATTGATATCCCCCATGGCTCTCCCTGGATTAACTGTTCACTGTTTCAGGGGCTTCTTCCAAATACATTTGTGTTTGTTTGTTTCTGCTTGTGTTTGCTTTCCACCGTTCAGTTTTGATGATGCCTCAAAATCTTAAAATATTGCCTGTTAAATAAAGAGCAAGTTGAGAAGCTGTTGCTCCTCTTTAGATGCAACATTAATAGACCAGGACAGTGACCATTCAGCTTCCCTCTCCACATTTTCATGCTGCCAAATCGACCATCTTTAGAGGAAGTGAAAGAGCTATCACTCTGCATTGTGTCAGGGTATTTTGTGTTAAATGCATGTGCATATTTTATACTAGATAACAAACTCTGCAGAAGCTTGCTTCTCTTCCACTGTCCATCAAAGTCTGCATGCAGACGATGAGACCCATCTGTGCAAATAGACCCCATGCAATCCGAGGTTGGGGATTTCCAATTTAAGCAAGCCCACACACATGTACAAACCACACACACACGTACACAAGCCCACCCGCACTACAGCACCTTAGCGCCACCTCTTTCATGTTCTATGAACGTACTTCCACACATCGCCATCGGGTCCTTCCTGTTTTCTGAGACGTCTGCAGTGTGCCTGAGCGGAAACCAAAGCTCCTGTTTTCTGTTTTGCCACATTGTTTAAAGCCTCAGCTGCCCGCTGTAGCGTGTGCTGATGTGAAATTTACCCCTTACTCAGATTAGGAACTAATTCAGCGAAGTCCACAGTCCAAGGAGGAAGTTTGTCTCACTGGCTTGTGGACTTGGCAGCATTTAAGCTTGAGCCCCACAAGGACTTTTCTAGGTCGTGTGACGTGTTCAATTGGCGTTCAGTTGGCTGAGAAACTGTGTGCTGATGCTTGGCTAAAATATGAAATGTGTAAATGTGTAAGATTGTAATACTGGCCTCGATTGTAGCATTTGGAGCTGTGGTATCACATTTTAGGTAACATGCAGTATTTGCAACTCTGAAACCACACAATTGGACACTGCAATAGATGCAGTTGAGGAATATTTTTGCAATGATTTTCAGTGCATCTGCAGCTTTTAACAAATTGTGTTTTTAGAGTTTACCACATCTATATCAGCCCTTTTGATGAAAGAAAGAAATCTAATTGAATGCATTTGTTCTCGAAGAATTTAGGATCTTGTCTTTGAACAACTTCAGTTGTCTGGTGTTTTTTGTTTTGCAAGGAAAACCACTTTTGCAGACTTTCTGCAGACTGTGGTATTTCCAAACTAGTGATTTGGAAAGTTTATGAATGATGCGGTGAAGCTATTTTTAACTTTTTTTGTGAGTCTTTTTCTTTGTCTGTCTTTTTGTTGCATCCGTGTCTAAATATAGGGTGTTGTCTGCCCACTCATTCTGACAGAGGGGAAGTGTGGCACACGTCTTTGCGCCTACATTGCAGTGAGAGTTTGTGCAATTGAGTTGGGTGCATAAGATTGCTTTTTTGCATGCGTGTGTTAATAAACTATGGCTTTCTGGAAACGGCATGTTTGTGTGTTTCTAGGATGAAAAAAAAAACAAAGATAGGGGAAATGAATCATCATTATAGTAGGGCTGTAAAGTCCTAGTCGATTGGTCGACTTATTGGTCGATACGTGCTGAGTCGACTGAAATTCTGATTAGTCGACTTGATTTTTTTCCACGTCAATTTACAGTCTATGGTTCATTTCATCAGGAGGAACATACCAAGTACGAATGGGGGTATTTTCAAAGCTACCCCGTTTCACAGGTAACAGCCTGTCTTAGAACACCCCCCTTGTTTTCATTATTTTGAATTTGGGCAACCAACTGGAGATCGGCTTGAGACAGGAAGATTGAACACCGTCCATGTTAATCGACGTCCAGTGGGCGAAATTTTTTTTTTTTGTAGAATGGTAGGGAAAAGTCCCACCTCCTTCGCCTCTGATTGGCTAGAAAAGCTGGAAACATCATCACACGCTCGAGCCAAACGCAGGATATTGGCTCTGTACATCAAACAGAACATTATCGCACATCTGAATCTCCTAACCCTAACCCGACAGACAGGGTAGTAACCTAGAAGCAATAACCAATCGGAGCCCAGCACTTTTAGCCAATCAGAGGCGAAGGAGGGCGGGACCTCCCCCTACCATCCTACAAAGAAAAAAAATAATTCGCGGGGGATACGCTGTTTGAGCCGAGCGTCATCACAGCGACTCTTGGCGACTCTCCTGCCGAATTTGCACGATGCTACTGCGCAAGTGGTGGGGTGCGTACAGAGCTACTGCGCAATGTTGGTTTCAGGAAATGGAGAGAAAATGTGGAATTAACGAGAGCTTTTCGGCTTCAAATCTGTGTACTGGTGGAAGGTGGAACCAAGTTGTCCAAAGTATATAAAGGCTATGTTCACAGATAACAGCCTCTCTCAGAACACCCCCCGTGTTTTCACCATTTTGGATTCGCCCAACCAACTCGAGATCAGCTGGAGACTGGAAAACTGAACAGCATCCATGTTAATCAAAGTCTGGTAGTTTGCTGAATATGATATTTGTTATTAATTGCCTTCTTGTATTGATACTTTTTTTTTTTTCACCCCGCCGATTAGTCGATTTTTGGTCGAAATTTCAGGGTTTTAGTCTAATAATATCTTTGGTTTATTACAGCCCCACATTATAGACATGTGATATGTAACAGATGCTAGACTGAAGTTGTAAACAGAGAGATGGAGGACAGAGAGAGGGGATGGAGGATAGGGCACACTAGAGGCAACCGGAAGTCTGTGGTTAGACAGGCAACATTCAGTTGCTGACTGTGAGGTAGTGCCGTTAACACATAGTTTTTCAAAGAACTGCTTTTCTTAGAGGGATCAGGGCTAAATCACATTTCACTAATGCGTTCCATTGAGCACATACCTTGTGGATTGACTGCTGCACACTGTGAGAGTGTTTGCCTTTTAGGGAGAGAAAGAGGAAGAAAGAGAAAAGGGGTTAAAAGTTAGAAAAATGAACATGAGACGAGGAGTTTGGAAATAGTGAGTAGACCTGTCGTGAGTCAGACTCCAGAAATAGAGAGAAATCTACCCAAATTAAGACCTGAGCAAAACAAACATGACTCAAACGTGTCGAACACCTCCACCTCCAACACCTCCAAAGAAATGCACTATCTTTGACCCTCTTTCTTTCTTTCACCCACGTCCATCTTTAACTCTGCTCACAAACTCTCACAGTCACGAACGGCTTATCCCTGCACCTCTAACAAATGCTGTCACAAGAGGAAATACGCTCAGCAAAAGTCGCTGTGCTCTCTCTCGCTCTCTCTCTCTCTCTCTCACTCTCACACACACACACTCTCTCTGCGTGTGTCACTAACTTAGTTTCCGTACAGACAGCCTAGTGTGTGGAAGTAAGAGACCTGCAGAAATGCTTGGTTTGTGCCTTTAAAGACCGGGTAAGTTTATGTTTTTCCACATCCACAGTGTGCTTGTTAGGCTTTGACTGGTTAGCTGTTGGGGAATGGATAGAGATGGTTTTACTCGCAGTTATATTGCTTTATACGCTGCTTTGTTGAAGTATATCATATTTAGCTGGTTGCTGTTGTCTCTTTGGTCCAGGTCTTGTTTCTGTAACTAAAGGATCCTGAAATAATCCAAGCTTTTTGGTGATTCTCCCACCAAAGATTGTAATCATCTTCAAAAGCTGTCTTTGAATGCAAATAAGCGCACATCTTTGTTTTTGTTTGTTTTGATAGCCTCATACTTGTGCAACTAAAATGATCTGTAGCGTCATATTTCTATATTTGGGCACCTTAAGTTTTGGTAATAAGGAGGTTTCAGGAGTGACTCAAACTTGTGGTTTCTTTGGAGCACCTAAGCTTGTCAAAAGTTCAAGTAGGTGGACATTATAGGAACACTTTTTCGCGTTGTTGGGTGGATAAGTGTTTGCCACTGGTATGTTTTAGGAATTATTGTTGTTAGACTTCACACACACCACTTTGAATCTAAGCCATTGGCAGTACCTGTACTTGTTAAATGTTAATTATAGGCAGCTCGTCTATGAACAGAGGAACTTCCAGTTATTGTATTTGTGTAGCGAGCGTGCTGATACCGAAACACAGAGAGGTTTCATTGCTTAAAATATGACTGATAGTATCTGTCTGTGTCTTCTTTACCACAGCTGAAAGACCCACAATGCATGTGAGACATGACCAACAAGGCCCCGTAGGATAACTCGAGCAGAATGTGCAGCATGGAGCCGACAGGTTCGTATGAAAACCACACTAACCCGCTCTCACACCACACTCCTGTTTCAATAACCTTCAATAATCCTGTCCTTAACATTTAAACCAAACCTCTTGACTTTACCGACAGCTGGCAGTTCCCCCGCAGTCTCAGAGGCTGAGCTCTACCGCAGCATCCAGGCCGTGTTGCCGAGGGAAACAGGCAGACAACAGCCGCCAGACTGTTTCAACAAAGGTACAAAGTAATCATAGCCATGCACTCGCATAAAGAGGAGATTGTTTACTTCTTCAGCACAGCTAAGTTTTATCTGTTCTTGCTGTCGGCTTTGCGCACACAAGCATCACCCTACTTAATCAGTGATTTCATACTGTGTCATTTTGCAAAGCGGTGACACCCAAAAAACAACTGTATGATCATCGCGTAAAACATCATTTGACTCCACAATAGTTCAGTGTTTTAAAAATGCAGAAAGGACGTCATAACACTAATTTAATTCTGGGTTGACTTGTTTCTGTTTTTCTGTATCCACAACTATTCCGCCCTGCAAGGTTTTCCAGCCTGAGCAGATAATTATAAAACCTGCCTGCGTGAGTTTATGACACAGTGGAATAGTTAGATGTGTCAGCAGTGTGAAGGCCGTCCGGCTCTTAGTCATCGAATATGTTTTGGATTAACAATGTGAGAAAAAACGGTGACACATTTAGCAGGTTTATGTTAGTCCTTTGGAAATATTTCACTCCTGTGTGTGTGTGTGCAGGCATGCTGAGATGGACGCTTCATAAGAAGGTTCAAAATAATCCTGCTAGCAGCTTGTCTTTGGTGTGGGTGCTGATTAAAGAGCTGGAGAAGGTAGGAAATCTTGTTAACAAATGTTCAAAAACTGTGTCTGCAAAGATGATAATTTTAATTTTTAGGGGTCAGTCCAGTGATTGATCATTTTTAACGCTCTGGTACCATTTTACAGACTCCACTCGAACTGAAGGAGTTTTCTGACATATTCTGTGTTTCTCCTGCAGGCTGATAGATGGGATTCTCGAACCTGCATCATTCCCCTGCTTCATACACTGATGTATGCCATCATTCAGGTATTGCCACATTGCCTCAGAATCACTTTTTCACACTCTATTGATTGTGCCCATGAAGGGAGAGTACCAGCCATACGGAAAAGATCGTGATTTTAAGTTCTTTTGACATGCAACAGAATTTTGGACATGACTGGACTAGGGCTGTAAAGTGCTAGTCGACTGGTTGATTTATTGGTTGATATGTGCTGAGGATACGCGTCAATATTCAGTCTATGGCTAACTTCATCAGGAGGATCATACCAAGTGCTAATGGGGGTGTTTTCAGAACACCCCGTTTCACAGGTAACAGCCCGTCTCAGAGCACCCCCCTTGTTTTCACCATTTTGGATTCGCCCAACCCGCTGGAGATTGACTGACCAGTTGTTTGTTAAATATTTATTTTTATTTTAAAGCGTTTCAACTTGCCTTTTGTTTTAAATTGCCTTCTTGAACAAAACAGGATTGGGGCCACATGAAGAGAAAAAAAATAATTACAGGAAGGAGATTAAAATTTGAAATTTCGAGATTAAAATTTGAAATTTCTTGATAAAAGTCAAAATTTCAAGATCCAAAATGTTGTGAAAAATGTCAAAATTTTAACATTAAAAAAAATAAAAATTTCGAGATTAAAGTCAAAATTTCGAGATTACATAATGTTGTGAAAATTTCAAAATTTTAACATTAATAAAATTTAAATTTTGAGATTACAGTCGAATATTCGAGGTTAGAGTTGACAAAGTCAAAATTTCTACTTTTTAAAATTTCGACTTTAATCTCCACTTCAATCTCTGAAATGGAAATGAAAAAAATCCCCCTTGTAATTTTTTTTTTGTCTTTTGACCCTAGTCCTCTTTCTTATTTGTTTTGCAGATATCAGTTTATTTTTTTACCCCGCCGAGCAGCCTCGTCCCCGTCTGCAAAAGCGTTAGCCGTCAGAGTCGGAAAACCCCACCACCACCACCCCGATTAGTCGATTTTTGGTTGAAAATTTAAAGGTTTTAGTCGACCAATAATTTCTTTGGTCTATTACAGCCCTAGCACTGGTTTTATCTTGCATTCTTGGCGCAGCCACAATACAAACATAAACCTCCAAGATGCCACACTGACATGATCTTGTTCGGATAGAAACTTATTGTCAGCGACTAAAAGTGTCATCAGCTAGAATGCTGTCCTGGGAATTTTAAATTTGCTGCTGTTGCATATAACACCAAACGAAAGAGAGGAAGTGATCCATCCCAGAGTGTACATCAACAAGGAAACAGGCATTTGAAAAAGACACCCTGAGAATCAAGATTTTTCCTTATTTTGGGGTTTTGTGATCATCGCCATCAACAAACCTCATAACAGATAGTTGTGTGTGTGTGTGTGTGTGTGTGTGTGTGTGTGTGTGTGTGTGTGTGTTTGTATTGATCTTCCAGGCAGCCTACATTCCAGACGAGCTGTATAAACGAGTTTATGAGTTTTGTCGGAGACTCCTGACCTTCCCTAATCCCTATGGCGCTATAGGCCTCAGCTACGCCAGACAGATCAGAACCGAAAGGGCCATTCCAGGTAATTTTCACCTCCGAGTCTGAAACTGCAAACATATCTTCAACATCACCATCAGGGCTGCTGAACCACCTGCTTGAGGAGCTTCTTAATCAGTGACATCTTCACAATTTTAACAGTTTGAAACTGTTTTCCATGTTATTCTTTGAGACAGGGACTCAAAGCAACCCTACCAATGAAACGATCAGCGTTCTTATTAGTTGTTTCTTCTTTTCTCAAACAATACAGGAAGTTGACTGAAAGACCAAAATGAAGTGAAGTAGATAATATACATAAACTGTGTCTGATAAATCGACCTTTGACATTAGAGTTTATCCAATAAACAAACTGAGAACAATGTGGAAACATAGAATTTTACTTAGACATCACTCTAAGAAAAAACAGCAGAGATCAATAACCTGTCCATCAATCAGTCATCTGTCTGTTGCATCATTATATTGTCACTGAACGCAGTTTCACCCTCAGGTCTGCTGTATCAGAGGATGGTCACAGCAGAGCAGGGACTTAAGAACCAGCACTATCCCTACCAGGAGAAGTGAGTCATATTTTAAGCATGTGTTACATGACTGAAGGTACAATTATTGCCTCGGGTTGTTTAAGTTCAACTAAATTTCCTCGTACTGCAGCTAATCGTCAAACTACCTCCATTTATGCCTGTTTTGTAAATCCCTGCAGGGTCTTTATTCTTGCGGACCCAGAAGTCTTCTCTGGCTCTCTGGGTGAAGTCCTGATGGGGGACATTGAAGCGTCGGCTTTTGGTGAATGTTTGAGTCCTGTGGATCACATGCGCAGCATGGTTCAACACACCATCCAGGCGGCTTTAGGAGCTGAGAAGTGTGACGGGCAGAGACTGGATCAAGCCCTAAGGGTCGGTAGAACTTCATCAAATACTATACTTACTTTTTGTTATTTAATTTCAGTCCTGTAATTGTCACTTGTAGACTATTGAGACGTTTGTTTCTTTGATTGCAGCTCTATTCTCTGATAAACTTTTCTTTACTCTGACAAATGGTCGGTTCAAGTGAATCTGATTTGTTTCTGGACATTTTCTTTCTCTCCTCAAATTTGTTTTATTGGTTTATTTCACAGGGACAGTTCCCCATTAATCAACAGAGGTAAAAGAAAAACTGTAAGTGAGCCAGAATTAGACAGTGAAGCTAGTTTTCGTCTGTTGTCCCTGGTCGGATGTTAAAGGCAACCTAAAAACCTAAAGGGGGCAACAATTTAGTACTTTAAAAACACAACTTTACATCACAATCTATCTAATAAAAGCTCATTAACAAGTAAAACAGGCAAGAAGTCTGACATATGGCATAAGAAAAGCTCATGGATAACACAAGCATGCAGACATAACATGTAGAAGAGTGAGAGAGGAAAATACAGCTAGAAACACGCAAGCACACAGAGCTAAGACATTAGCAAAAACTATATCAGACATTACGAGGCAGGACATAAAATGGCAAGTATAAGGCAAAAAAATAAACAAGCAAACAAACAGAAAAAAAATGCAGCATAGAATTCACTTTATTATTTTTTGAACTTAAGCATCTTTACCAAAATTGCTGGGCGAAAAGTAGACTTAGTCCTCTCTTTCACCGAAACCTCAATGCGATTCATTCACCTGCTTGTATTTCCTCAATTTCTAAGTTGTTTTTCATCCTTGTTCAGCTGCTCTGAAAAGGAAAAACAGTGTATTTAATATAAAATATAACCGTGGAAGCATGTTTGACAAGCTTGATTCAGTTCAACGATCAGCGTGACCTCGGGCTGCAGGCTCTACTCAAAATAAGATATGCTGCTGACTTAACTCTTTAACCTCATCCTCGCTCATGCTGACTTCTAGGATTCTGATGAGGAAAAGGTGAATATTTCTAAAAGGTAGATTGACAATAAACTGTGTAACATACCTTTAAATCATGGCAGAGGAGTTGCTAAAACATACGACTGGAAATTCATTTCCCAACTATAGTGGAGTCAGCCAGTCGCCTTAAATAGCTAAAAATAACTTTGTCAACGTTGTTTTTCCATGTAAATGCACAATCACAAATGCTGACTTTAACTTCTCTGAAAAGGGGTAAATAACCTCCACAGAGAAAAGTGTTTCTTGTTGAGCAAGTATGGACATTTGAACTAAAAGAACGAGTCATGTTGTTTTTGATGACGGCGGCAAAGTTTTCTGCTTTTCCTGCTTTGTCTAAAATAGCTTCAGAGTAGTCCCTGCTGTATCAGTACATGTCATGTGAAACATCCTGAATAAAGCTCTGTCATCTTTGAGCAGGGCGGTGGAAGTGTCTCCTGGCGATGAGCCTAAAGTAACACCTCAGCAGGACACACACGTAGGCAGACACACGCGTGTGATACCGACCCCTCACCTCTTTGCTATTAATACAGAATCTGTGTGTTTAATTAACTTCCTGTGCTCGTGTGTGATGTTCACCTACGTGTTTTTGTACGTGCCTCTGTTTCTCGGACAGGACATGGGCCAAGACGTTGAGACGTACTTTCAGGAAGTGTCGGCGACTGTCGAGCGGAGCGCCGAGGATGGCGGCAGAAAGGAGGGGGGTGCGCTGAAGAGCCGTCTCCTGCAGCTGTACAAAGAGATCATCTCTGAAGCAGACTCAGGTAGGAGCTCTCTGACAAGGAAGAGCAGCAGAGCTTTCTCTGCGACACAACAGCTCTATCTCGGTCTCCATCGAATGAGCGTTTAGGTTACCTCAGTGAGGCAACATACACATACACATAACCAGAAAAACCACATTCTCATCTATTTATGTAACAAGCTGGAGACCGAGTTTGACAAACACAAGCGAATAACAGATACTGGACTCCATCTTGTACAAAAATAGTGTCATAGATAGATTTTTCAAGTATTGCAAATATTCGCCCATTAGATCGGTAAAAACGGGACACAAGTTTATTCTTTTGTGCCTCCAGCTGTAAGACAACCACCTTCAGGTTTGTCAGTCAAGTGTCGGCTGAGAGCAAACTAGCACAGTTGCTGGGGAAATGTGGTTGATGAAGATCTTGTGGTGCAGAACTTCAGCTGCCTGGAAACATAAAACAACTGATGGTAGCCCAGCTGTTGCGCACATATTTACTGTCTTGAACTTGATAGAGTTAAAGGAGTTGAGTTGAGTTTAGTTTAGCTTGTCAGAGACCATGCACTGCATACGTTAATGTCATTTCGTAAGAGGGGATGTATTGCACAAGATCTGGCCGTTTAGCTTATCATCAATAGGCCATCCCCATAAGCAATGCAGGGCAGCATAAACAAAGTAAGCAGCATGAGCTATCTGAAAGCGATTTTAAAATATCACTTTAAGTCACTTTGGTGCTGTTCAGTGTTTTGTTTGTGTGTGTACAGTCTGCGACGGACAGTTTCTTCCATGCAAAGATCTGCAGAGTCAGTTGTTTGTATTTTTACAATCATCCGGATATCTATTTCCATGACTTCCACACAATTATCATGTCAGCGACCCACCCGATGAACCTGCTCTTCCCTCCTCCCAGCTGGGAGCCTGAGGGATAGACAGCAGTGCTCACAGAGAGGAAGTTGTATAGGCTGTTTTGTTTTGAGTGTCATTGTGACAGTTTTGGGCTCTTCCTCTCTGTCTTCCTCCTGTGTGTGCGTATGTATGTGTATGTATGTATGTGTGTGTGTTGTAGAGCCATTGTCTGTCGGTGGACCACCATGTGACTGCCCTCTTCCTAACCCCGAGATGAGCTTCTTCCTGTGGACAGAGGATTTGGATATATGTGAGTTTCTCCAAACTCTGTGGGGGATCTAGTGGAAGTTGTTGCAACCTGTCAGCTGCTTTGGAAGTGGAAATATGTATTTTCGGCCTAAAAAATGAGCTAAATAATGTGAAAAAACCTCTAACACCTTCAAAATGTCACCAAAAACACAATGGTTTTTCAACTTTTGTTCACAGGCAAAGGTTTTTCAAGCCTTCTGCATCTGACAATTAGCCTAAATTTAACTAAGTTGAGCTCTTAAGCTTTTGAAAGCCATTTTGACAATGAGTTTGGTTAAATTATTATACATTTATAGGTTTTTATATGTGCAAAAAGACTCACTCCCTGTGTAAGGGTGTCCAAACTGTAGAGAACTGGTTGAAACCAAACAGATCAGATTCAAAAACATGTGAATATCCACCATAGGGCTGTCATGTTCTTGTTATAGAAAGTCATATGTGGATGCGCAGTTCACTGAAGCTGTAATATCAATGAAAGCGATGGCTTCATGTGATCTTTGGGTGAAATTATATATACTATCTCTCACTACATTTCATCTTCAAAGAGATCTCTGTATTCAACTCACAAACCGTTTACTGGAAATAAAGGAGGGCATTTACAGTCCATGAAAGGCTCAGGGGTAACAGGAAGTTGCTGACTGACTAAATGTGTGTACTCTTGGCCGGAAGCACAGTGAAGTTTCTGGTAATCTTTAAATGCATAAAAGTGTAATTATGATATACAAATATTGATATACTTGAATTTAACGCCTTAAAATAACTAAAATTCTCTTAAAATTTCATAAAATGTCTGAAATGAAAGATCTTGAAAGGTCTAAAAAATGTATAAACTCTACTTACAAATAATGTTCCATAGGAATAAAGCTTGATTTGATTTTCAAGACAGATTTTTACCTTTATAGTTTTTGTACATTTTTTGTCAGTATGGATGTTAAATGGGTCTTAAATTGTATTCATGACTGTCTTTTAAAAAGTGTCTTAAACTTGACTTGCAGAGACCCTGTTATAGAAATATTATCCAGTAGTAGGGCTGAGCGATACGGCCTCACATCAATATCACAATATATTGAGCAGTTCACCTCAATAATGAGAAATGGACAATAACTACTCCACATGCTGCTCACCCCCTACCACATTAACTTCGTCTACTTCAGCCGCTACAACTTTTGAACCGTCCTCCATCTCCTCACCTGTCTTTCCATCTTTTTTAAGGACTGGATGGGGGGGAGTCACGTCTCTGTTGTAGCAGAGCGTCTTAAAGGAACATGAGACCATAACCTACCTAAACTCATCCAAAACCAACTTTTATTTATGTTCTTGACACAGAATATACCGATATGGGCAAAGTGACATCAGTTATTATTGTAAATTTCAGTATTGGTAAATTTTCGGTTTATCGCCCAGCCCTATCCAGCAGTGCTGCTGGATAACCTAACGAGAGCAAAACGCAACATTATCCCTTTCATTCACACTCCTTTATACCATGCAAATAATGCTTGTAGATTTATTAGACATTTTTGCACAATAGTTTTGTAAAATAAAGAAGTAGTAGTTTTGTTTAAAAGAGTAAATATTACACCAAGAACCCCCCCGACTGTGTATAATTAAAAGGATGAGTGGGTGTTTACACCCTGAGGCTCCCATAACAAAACCAGCAGGAAACTCCCGCTCATGCTGTGTTGATAATCAGGCAAATGATTTTAAAATTGTTGAGAGACTTAAATGTTAGTCTGTGATTAGGTTTGTGCTGTTTCCTCCATGAAAATGTTGAACATAAAGTGATTGATATTAAAAATGTTCAACAGGGCGAGTGCTGGCAAAGTGGTTTCGATCCAGCTCTACATCAGAGCAGTTCGCCCTCAGTCAGGAATCCGAGGACTTTGTGCTTGGAGAGTCGCCAAGTGAACTGACACCGTCTGACATGACTCGCTTCTCTGTCATGTCCAACGATAGCGGTATTGAAAGAGATCTGCCCCCCAGTGCTGATCCCTCATCATCGTCTTTTCTGGACCCCACCAGCATTAATGCACCATGGGAACAATGCAAAAGGTAAATGTAGTGATTGTTTTTTTTTGCACCCATCAAAGGCTTGCTGCTAATTTCTTTAAACCTTATATCCAAGAAAGTCTTCAAAATGTCAATCTTCAAGTGACTTTGACTTAAGATTTGACTTCTTTTCCTCTTAAGTGAGCAAGATTCATCGAGGCTGTCACGACGTCGAGCTTTCAAGATGAAGCCATCCGTGAAGGACAACATGCTGCTGATGCAGGACACTCTGGAGGACCAGGCAAACCTGGGAGGAGGAAGTGGATGTAGAGGAGTACAGGGAGAGGCAACTCTGCAGAGGAGGGCAGGAAGCACTGTGGTGCAGAGCCCCTTTAACAAGCAGCAGAGACAATTTACTGCCAGGATCGTCGCCATGGGAGACGACAGGGTACTTGGACGCCTGGCTAAGGCATACTACTTCTTCAGGTGAGTGTTGTATCATTTTTCTGAATTCAAACTCAAGAAGTGTCAGCTTCTGTGAGAGCGGGTGGAGATTTTTGTGTGAATTATCTAGTATAAGACATTGAGTTGTTAATTTTTTAGACCTTTGATGACTTCACTTGAACGGTTAAATCCCTACTTTCTCAGGTGTGGGAAGCGAAACAGTACTACTTCTTTTTTTTGCAAATGTCAAAAATGATATGATAAAATGGAAACCTTTTTTAACAGTGATTTTGTTAAAAGGAGCGATCCCACATATTTCACTTCTCACAGATCTTCGGTTTGTCTTTGCAGGAAAAGGGAAGCGCGGAGACTTTTTCTTACAATGAAAATCCACCTCCAGTTTTACTACATCCCTGTTTGCAGGCCCACTACTTCAATCTCCCCCATCAATGTAAGCCAACTTCCTCTTGTCCACACACCACTAGCTCGTGACTGCGTGAAGGTCACCACACCTATGAGGAAACAATCCGAATACATCGAGTTTTGTTTTCGTCACAGTGGGTCATAAGAAGTCACTAATAATAGCTGCAAATAGTATCAAGAATTGTCAAACTGTCTAACTCGCTCACTCTCCTCCAGCAGCCGCTTGTTTGTGGGGGAGCCCTGACGAGTCGATCACAGAGTGCAGCAAAAAATTTATGATTATTACTTCGTGGAAATGTAATCAAACAGAGACGCTAAGGCAGAGGAACTACGGCGTTGCATTTCCATCAAGTCATGATCATAAATGTTCTTCCTTGAGCTGCGAAACTCCGCTGCACCCGGTGATCAACTCACCAGGGCTCCCCCACAACCAAGCGGCTGCTGGAAGAGAGTAGGTGGGTTGTGTTTAGTCTCTTTGCTAAAGAAATCAGGCAAAGCTGAATGATGTTTAGTGGCTAGTGCTGTGGCTGGGACCCTATATGTACTGTTGATGAAGTTGGGTGCCGTTCTCAATATTTGTGGCTATAGAGTGGCGTTTTGGTTGAGGTTTGTGCATGAAGGCGTAAACCACTGTGTATTGCTATCGTGTGGTTGTTACTAAAGTTGGTATAACTAGAGAAGCAAGCAGTCAGCAACATCCATCTGTCAAAGAGGTGTCTAACTTGGTGTTAGGGTGTGTTATCCCTTTTAATGAAAGACAGAAACTGATAATAAAGCAGTCAACCAGGAGTGATCCAGCCAGAGTAAATGTGTGGAAAATTGTGCCCTTGTGCGGCCTCAGAGTGATGTTACCCGTGATATTGACAGAGTTTTGGTATAAATATATTGGCTTTAGGTCATCCAGTGGTGCAGTTGTCATGATCACTGAATATTTTAAACTTGCCACTCAGTATAAAAACTGAAAGTTAGCTAATATCATCTCGCAGTGGATCAACATGTAGCTGTCCGAGTTAGTATTTGTGAATTTGATGTAATTTGCAGTTCATTTTATGAATTTATTTTTAGGTTTCTGTGAATTTGACAGTTTTTTTTTGGTCTTGTTTGTGCAGGTTTAGTGGATGCAAAAACTGCACCGTGCTTTTATGAATTAGTATTTCTTTGACGAAATGATTTCACTCTAAATGTGTCAACTAACAAGGAACCCTGACTATCAAGACCAGGAATAGAAGTACAGATTTAAAGGGTGTGAGACTTGAGCTAAACTAGTTCTTCATTGAGGATATTTGTGGTGCTGTTGAACATTTTCTTCATGAGCTAAGATCTTACTTGTGGTCAAAAACCCTCTTGACATTTGATTACGAATCTGCGTCCATAGTAGTTTGTACTGAGGCATTTGACTTCCTGTTCTCTAAAAGATTTTTGATTCTACGTTCATGTTCATTTTTTTCTAGGAAAACCTCAACAGATCCAAGGAAAATCTCTGCGCCCTCGGCTCTTATTTGAGCACGGTGGACCCGTGGTACAACTCGAACATCAAGGGTTTAGGCTGCATGATCCCTAAACTGGCGGAGATGGTACAGTACAACACAAAATCCAATCATGACGACAAAAAGACTGCAGACACAGATTAACTAGATTTCAGCTCAGGGCTTGATCTTCTCACTTTCTCTGTCGAGCTCATCTTTGTCTGAATGATTTAAGACTCTATGAAAATGCCATCACATGACCTCATCCTCTTTAGTCAATGTGGCTACTGTTCTGTGCAAGAGTCGAAAGACAGGAAGTTACATAACATCTTCAACTGTGAGGAAAATAAACAAGTTAAATTCATGAAACCACAGCAACAGCGAGCTGAAGAGACAGACGGCTTCACACTGAACTGACTCCGCGAGCCTTTGACACAGGAAACACGCTCGATGCAAAGTGACATACCGGAACTGAAAGTTGTTACGAGGAAAATGTCAAAATTTGTTTTATGTGAGTTAGAAATACAGCTGTTACCTGAAGAGTCACTGAAGAGACTTATTTATGTTTCTTGAAATGAGACGCATAACCATGCACAGCTGCAGATAACTTGTCACACAGCCAGCGCAACCACTGAGTGACAGAAATAAGCCTGTGGTTACAGCCTCATTCAGATAGCAGTGGCTTCACACGGCTGTTTTTTGTCTCTAGCACAAAGCGAACCCAGGGGGGCCAAAAGACCCCTTCGTGTCTGATGTTATCTCCTACTATGTTCGCACCGGCCAGCAGCCTGTCTACTTCACCGTCTACTTTGTCAAGGTAGGGAAACACACTTCATGTCTGTCTGAAATTTAAAAGCAACACCAAGGCGTTTTTTTTTAATTGTTCTTTCTCTGTTAGATCGTGTTCAACAGCGCCACCAAGGATCCGGTTGAAGAAGTGTTTCTTACACATCTTGAAGTTGAGTTCCCTGAGTTCAGACAGATCTCGGCGGCGATGAAGGGTGAGTTCAGGACACAAATTCTTTCAAGTGCCTCCTGTGGTGTTTCTATCTATATGTGCAAAGCTCTGAATGTGTGAAACCAGGGTTGATGATGTGTGTGTGTCTCTTTAGAGAAGCAAAGGAAGAGTATTGGGGACATCTGCGGTGCTGTCGTGTCAATAAATTACAGAAAGGTATGTATTTTTGAGGTTAATAACTTCCTCATTCAGTTACAGGTAGAAACGCTTTATCACTCATAGATTTCCCTGTCAGATTCACAAACTAACACGCTGCGTTCTTATCTGTCTGTGTGTTTTCAGATAGTGCTAAGTGGCCGAGATGTCGACAAAGGAGTCTCAGTGAGGACGTCAGGCGCTCAGATCAGCGCCATTCCCCACAACGAAGCTGAAGGTTCGATGTTATCTCTCACACTCTCAGGGCTTGATTGTAACCCGACACAAACACTTGTGGCATGCAGCTTAAGTTAGTTAGTCACTGCATAAATAGGGAGTGAACTTGTGCCAACATTAGTGTCTATGGGTGTGTTGGTTTTTAGACTCAGGTGTCATGCACAAAGGTAGGTCAGTGCTTTCTTGAGAAAACAGGGAGTACCTGTGCTTTTGACCAGAAACCTGTTTCAAAGTCTGGAGCCTGTACTGCTGCATTTTTCTGCTATTAGTAAGATAAAAAGAAGGCTGTATGAGTTTAAAATGCAGGTCATTTTTTTCATGATACAAGAAAACTAGGTATTCAAGAGACATCTGTGTTTTTTTCTTGTCTCCATTCATTATAAAGTAGGGTGGTAGTCTCAGGATCCTAAACTAAGATTACCTCCTCACTGACCAGCTCGTACTGCAGACCAACACTGTCACCGAGCTCTCTGTCGTGTGCACGTTTAGAAATACGCAGAAACATACACACACAAACGCACTCACACACTACTGAAGGATATATTTATGCTTGCAGTGAAGACGTCAACCATTTAATCCAGCAGCAGAAACAAGTTAAATAAAGATTTAAAACTTCCCTTTCACTGATGGGAACTACACCGGACATAATCTGACTTTTAATAATGACCGATACTTAAAGGTGGGGTAGGCAGGATCTGAGGAAGCGCCAGTTTTGGGGAGAAATCTTGAATGTAAACACTTCCCCTTCCAAACAGTTATTTGCCTGTTATTCCGCCAGAGTCTCCGGTATTTAGTTCATTTTCTTGCTTGTGTTGGCAGTCATGGCCAAAGGAGGATTCAGACAATTTTCCGTACTTTCTGGTTGTTTCTACTGTCTCATATTGTAGCACGCTAACTTTGTTTGGGCTCCTGAATGACACGAGGTAGCAGCGTCTGCCTCACAACCAATCAGGGGGAGGCGGGATATGGCTTCGTTTACAGTCAGAAAGAGCGGAGCGCTCTGAAATTTTTAAAATGTTGACTACACAGACAAAACAAAACACAGCGATATCATTATATTACCAAATGTCATCAATAACAGCTTTTTGTATATACACCACATAAAAAGATGCTTCTTTAACAGATTCCTGCCTACCCCACCTTTTAAGTTGTGAGTTATTCATGAAGTTAATTCTGCTGTGTGTAAATGTACACGTGTCAGTTTGGAAAGACACTTTGATTTCTGCTGTTTAGAATAGATCAATGTGTGCATTAACTCATACAGTAATCTGTGGGTCCCAGTAGAAGGAGACGAGGTAAAATTGCCAACTTGAGCCTGGTGGTTTAAAACTAACGTGCACCTGTCTCTAAGAGGGATTGACAGCGGACACGATGATTGGTTTAAATCATGTTTGACTCAAAACACACATCTAAATGATCCAGAAACTTTAACCATCCTCCTTGCGCCCTGAGTCTCCCGTAGATTTTGCAGAAAAAGCTGCCATATTTTAGCTTGTGCCACATACATTAGACCGGAAGTCCCTCAGTTTTTGTCATCCATTCTATTTTGTTTTGATGTTCTTTGTTGTATGATTTTACCAACTCTAATACCTACTTTAATTTTCCCTCTTTGTCTCAGATCTGAACTGTTTGACACTGACACTCAATGATTCTTCAGCAAAATCTAAAAACAATGTTGTGGTGAGTCTGAACATTATAACCTCACTCTGAACACTCAGATATCGAGGGAATATATCAGGATACTGATATCAGGATATTTTCATTTTTTCCTTCTTTCTCCGCTCATTTTTTTATTTTTTGAAATTCAGCAAAGTTTCCGGACCAACAACATTAGGCTTCGCTCTTTGGAGAGTCGATCCTTCACTGTCACACTGGACAGGGATCATCGCAGGACATACAAAGACGTGCAGAGGTAAGAAAGTGCAGCCTCAGTCGTACCTTAGATGTATCTCTAGAGTGAAGAAATTTGTCATTAGTGAGGAGAATATCCTTCTGATACAAAAGTCACAGCAGAGAGGAGTCTTAAACTGGAACCCTGCTGTTACAAAGTCTTTGAATTTCCCTTTTTTGATGATGACTTATTGGTATTTTTGTAAATTACATTCACAGAACATGTCACAAACTCTTTTTTTAACTCTGTGCAACCCAAGCTGAACACTTTTTTTCACATGTCTGTGTAGTCTTGAGATCTCCCCGTGTCTTGATCCCGGATACTGCGTCCAGAAAACCATGAGGTCCAAATTAAACTTGGGTGAAGACTCAGAGTGTGGACTGAGCAAGTACATGAACAGAGGACTTCCTCTACCAATCAACACATTCGCCGGCATCATCACCTGACATGGAGTAACCTGACAGCGAGGACCATATAGTATGTGTTCGAGTGTGGAAATGATTCTTGCTTCCATGACAACAGACAATTAAAGGAATTACCTCAGAGTCACGCTGAAAATGTGACTCTCTACCAAAATGTTTCATCTCTATCAGTCAAGATGGTGAAAAAGAAAAAAGACATCCAAACAGTATCAGAGAGACTCAGTGCATCAGCAGAAGAACGTTCCTCTTAAAGCGACAAGAACAAAATGATACCACCCAGGAGGGGGAATTGAACTATCGGGCGTACTTGAAGAAAGTAAAGTGGAATATGCAGACTGTGATATGCCAAAATTCCCTGGAGACACTGGAAGACTCACTGGATGAAGAAATGAGCAAAGATGTTAACAGCGAGGATTCAGACGTAGGAGGATCACTAATCATCTGACTTTATCCTTCAAAGTCTGGGGTCTGAAAATTTGATGTGAAGTGAATTCCCATCATCGACACACTACCTTTTCACTGCCTTCCTGACACGCATACAGCAAACACGGATCAACACAAGTCAATTCATCAGACCAATTAGCCGTCATGGATCAAAAAACATTGGTGACTGTTGACAGATTACTAGTGCCTTTCTAAAATCGTTCATTGAGCTTGTTACACCTGTGTCTGTTTGATAATGCAGGCTATTGTGAAGACGCCAAAAAATGTTTATGATTATTGGCTTATTTAGGTATCAAATTATCCTGGAACAACAATGTCTGACATGCAAAAGCAAGAGCCGAATAACTGTGAGGAATGTTAACAGTGCAGAGGTAAACTTTTTGTTTTACTTTTAGTGTGGGTCACACTCAGACCCGAGTTACAAAAAAGACTTTGGTCTGCTGCTACTAAGAAGTTGTCAACTTGGAGACACTCAAAAGTGAAACTCACACATTTGCCAGTAAATGTCCGAGCTGTACCAGTACAAAGGTATGACAACCCCCTGTTACGCACTGTGTTTAAAAACAGGAACAATACTAAACTGCATCTGTTTGCACTAAAATAACAAGTCTTTCATTATTTCCCTTTTGGTGAGTGAAGCAAAATCAGAGTACATGTTATTACATCTGAAATGATGCCATTGCTTTACAACACTTAATGTTATATCTTTTCTTGAGCTCAATTTACAATAGAGCAGACTTACCAGTTTAAAAAGCAGATGTCTGATCTTCGGCAGTATTGGGTGCTTGGAATAAATTCAGACAGGAGTGTGTTTGTATGTGTGTGTATGTCTGCTTGTCTGGCAGAGCAAAATCATGAGAAAACCCATGATGAATTTTGCACAGTATTTTCATGAATTTAAAGATGGAATTACGATATAAATGTTGAGGTGTAAATAAATTATTTTGTTTTTTGTTTTTTACATGTTTTTGTATTTTTTGAAGTGAATCGTATATATTGTATCTATATCTTTAAAAAAACCTTGTCTGAGGAACTGTGTGGCAGGCTTTTAAATGAAACAGGCTTTTATGTGAGGCAGGCTTTTTTTGAAATTCCAGGTGTCATTTGTGAATATTTGCTGCAGTTCATGGAGTGTCCACTAGAGGTGGCATCACCAGTCACAGTTGATTTAAGATTATTTGCAGATTGATCCTGTATAGTATTATCTCTCCTGAATATACTCTACAAGTATATTTTCCAGCTCTAAAAACACTTTTAAATGTGTAGGTGGGCATATTTGCTTGCTTTTATCAAAAATTGTTCAATCTTTACAAAATCACGGCGTCGCTAGCTTCAACGTTGCACATTTTATGTTAGTAAGCGAGGTGTTTTGAGAGTTTTGGATTTGTCACTAAGAAGCTGAACTGTATAGCGGCCGAGAACCACCACTGCTGCAAATTAATAAAAAAATGTAAAAAAAAAAAAAAAAAGGAGTCACAATGGAAGTTACCAATGCAAAAAAAGAAATGATGCCGATAAAAAAAAAAAGCCACAAGGGAAGATAACAACACAAAAAAAAGTGGCGATGCAAAAAAAAAAAAAAAGTTACTTCATATGAAAATAAAAAGGATGCAAATAAAAAAGCCACATCGGAAGTGAGCTGCCGGGGACCAATAATGATGATGCACCGGTGTTTTACGATCTAGCCACAGACGACAACGGCGAGAAGACGAGCAAAGAAGAAAGTAGAAAGGTTATTGTTTAATTACGCCTCGTGTGCTTTTCAATGTGTCATTTGGTTAGGCCATGTAGCGCCTGAGTCGATATGGAGTTGAACTGAAGCTAACATGACACCGACATCCTCCAGTTTAATTTTTTTTTATTTTTGCATCACCCCTTTTTTGCATCATTAACTTCAGTTTTGTTTTTTGTTTTTTATCTGCACCGTTTCTTTTTTTATTTGCAGCGGGCTTTGGTGTCTTTTTTTTTTTTTTGCACCAGTAACTCCTGTTGTGGTTTCTTTTTTTGCAGCAATGGCGGTTTTTGGCCACCGTAGAATCGTTCATGTATTGTATATCTTGACAAAAAGCTTGTCTGAGGAACTTTCTGTGACTGACAATTCAGCATCTCTAGTGAGGAAACTGTTACTTCTTACCTTCTTACCCTTGACTGATTTTTTCAACAACCCGGTCTGACACTTAGCCCCTTAAGGGAAATCAAATTATAACACGTTGTTCGCCTTTATAGTGGGTCAGAAGTATCACTGATCATTTCTGTCTGCTTAACAACCAAACCAAAAGTGAGTCTCTGTCTACTGAAGTGCGGTAAGTGACCACTAGATCGCGCTGATTAACCTGCTCCAGCACTAGTTACTACAACAGGGAGGGTCTCACATAATCACACATGCTTCAGGCAGCAGGAGGAGCTGCGCACGCATCTCTCCTCTCTGACGCTACAGGTTGGTTGGTGACTGACTGAGAGGTGATGACTCAATGAATTACAGCAGCGAACTGACACCGCAGGACCCTCCCCTGTAGTTTTTTTTTTCTCTCGCTTTTTTCTCACTCACTGCAGCTGGAAGCGTGGAAAGAAAGAGGAGAAAAAGGAGAAGAAGAGCAGCTGCCGGACCAATGGAGGGGAAGGAAGGATCTCCACATCAGTACGGATCACTGGAGCGCACCGAATGGAGTAAAGACGCCAATAAACCAGGTGAACCAGTGGCAAACATTGCAATAATGTTTACGTGTTTAACTTCTTTAAATTGACTTTTTCTTTTATGGTGTGTATTTTCAACCTTGTCTAGATGTGTGACCACAGTAGATTATATTTAGTTTAGACATGCCACAGTCAAAGTTAGTGGTTTTCCTCTGTGATTTAAGAGATTTGTATCTCCTGTGGTTATTTTACCATCACAAGACGATACTTCAAAGTTGTAGATTTTCTCAGTAGTCTTTAAATTACAATTCTCAATCATATTTTATAGATATTGGAACTAATCAATATATTTTCTAGTTGTTGCACAGGCAGAAGCACTGAAATGTCAAGAATCCACAGGTGTCTGATCTACCTGTCTGTGTGTGTGTGTAGTGTGTTTGTGTGTGTGTGTCTTTGACTAACACATTTATAACTACTTAACATTTTATTGGGACAAATTGTGTCACTAATTTGAAAAAACAAACAGATCCCATGGTAAGGATTTGGCAATTAGTCGTACGCTACAACTGTAGGAAATTAATCAAAGTTTATCAAATGTGCTTTTTAAAATGTGTTTGGATATAGATGAAAAGTCCCTGTTAGTCATCAACCTCAATCCATTGATAGACATGAGATACTGCAGCATTATATCTATGAGTTAGTGAAACTGTTAATGTACTCTCTTTACAGCTTCAAATGACAAGATTTATTCATATGATTTTAATATTTGTGTTGAATATAGTGTAAACACTTATATATTATCTCTATATTTTTACTTATCTTACTTATTTTATCTATTTTCTCTATATTTTTACTTATCTTGTCTAGTATCTATCTCCTCTTTTACTGTATTTGTACTGTGACAAAAGCAATTTCCCCAGGGGATTATTAAATTATTTCTGATTGTGATTCTGATCTAATAGTGCATTAATTATTAAAAATATGTCTTTATTTATTTTTTTTACAAATTCACAAACCAGCCAAAATCTTCAATTTGAAAACCCAAGGTCTTTCAGGCATCCCACCAAGTCAGATCTACGGTCTAAAATAAGTTAACTTAAGAAGATTTAAAAGAGACACAATTTTTGATGTTTTCATCTAAAGTGAAATTATAATTTCATCAAAGTTTTTTCGAATGCTAAAAAAATCTTTGTTTTTTCTCATCAAATATTTCTCCTACATTTGAAGAGTTTGTTGTTTTATTTATCCGTCACACCCCTCCCTCACATCTCTTGTCTTCCTCCTCTGCCATGTAATCAGTCTGATCTGTCTGTCTGTCTGTCTGTCAGTGTGCTGCTCCACCTCATTACTGCACATTGTGGTGATGATGAGACAGAGAGGGATGCAGTCAAAGCAAAGACTGTAGCTAAACTCATCGCATCTCGGGGGGGTTTGGATAGAGCAAGGGGTCATGTTGGGGAGATGTGGAGTGAAATGAGGGAAAACAAGTGAATGGAGGAAGCTGAAGAGAAGGTGAAAAGAGGGGAGCATTCAGTGAGGTCTGGTGATGAGTCATAGCTGCAAAGAGACAAAATAACCTGTCCTAGAGAGCCTCTGCAGCACAGTATGGTGTCTCATGCAATGAGGAATATACTTAAAAAGCCTCATATCTCATGTCTTTAACTGGTCCAGCCCTGACAGCCCAATATTTGAATCAACTACAGAACTACAGCAAATGGGAATCCCTACTCAGGGTCATAGATGCTTGTCAGAGCTATTGGCAGGAAAACAAGCGTTGAATGAGCAATACTGAAGATCTATTTACTGCTGAAGCCAATGACACGTCAATACTGATGAATAATCACACCAGTGGTGTCAAGAGTAAGTGAGAGGCCCTTTCTGTCTTACACTTGTATATTCTAGTTCACAGGTTAAACTGTGACACAAACACTTGTGGGATTATTCCATCCAAGTATAACATATGTATGTGCATGAGTGCAGTGTATATGCTAGATTTCCATAATTAGCACCATATATTGTATTCGTGATTTGTTGTTAGAAAGGATATTTTAGATATTGTTTACTGTGTGAAGCCCCTACTATTTATTTACGTCACCAGGCTGTATCTGTTGTCGATGCTTTTTCACATACAAAGCAATTTATGAAAACAGATTTTATATGTATTTTTTTAATTATTAACACGTGAGCCTCTTTTCCAGCAGCACCATACTGCTATTTTTGGTTAAATTAGATATGCTCACAGAGCTGACAGTTGTGACAGTGTCACAGTTGTGGCCATGGTATAAATCTGAGGTGCACCAGTGTACCTAATGTCATTAATGAAGGCTTCTTTTTTTAAAGAGGTAGTTTTGGATTTGTTACGCCTCTGCTTGTCAGTCAAGAGTGCGTGGTATGAAAAGTGTTTTTGACTGTTTGTCAGGTCCATTTTTTTCAGTTATCAACTTATTTTTAGGCTTTTTAAGATAATGATGGGAGGTAGTTTAACCCTAATGTATCATATGTTATCTTATGTTACGTGCTGTTATGTTTTGTTTTGATATGTTATCTTATGTTATTTTATGTTAAGTTAGGTTGTGTTATGTTATCTCATGTTTTTTTTTTGTTTATTATCTAATGTTTCGATTTGTTTTGTTATGTTATGTCACGTCACGTTATGTTACGTTATTTTATGTTATGTTGTTATGTTATGTTATGTTATCTAATGTTTTGTTTTATGTTACGTTACATTATATTATGTTACGTTATATTATGTTACATTATCTTACATTATGTTACGTTACGTTATTTTATGTTATGTTGTGTTATGATAGCTTATGTTATCTTATGCTTTATCATGTCATGTCATGTCATACACATACAGTCTACACTCCTGTTTTCTGCAGTGGTATATTGTGCTGTGTTGTTCAGCACAGTTTCGAGTGCACTGCGCCGTTCCATAGGGTTACACACAGTTCAGTACTGAACTATATGGCACAGTTCTGTATTGTACAATATTGTACTGCACCATTGTGCACAGCATCTTTCCTTAGACTGTATATTAAAATTGTCATCACAAGTGTTCAGGTACAATAAAGCCAAATGATTAAAGATCTCCTTTCACATAAATAGATGGAACTTTGGTCAACGAGCTATGAAAAAAACAACATAAAATACAGATATAATGCCTGATTTTCAGCCATACTATCTATTATCCTCTATTGTGCTGCTTTTTAAAAAAAAAAAAATTGAAAATGATTATTTTATTGATTATCTTTCAGAATTAACTAGGAGGCTCAGAGTCTGTTTAATATGCAGTCAACATGCAGTCCTAGATCAAACTATATCATAACGTACTGTGCTGTACCACACACCGTATCAAAGTTTATTGTATCAAATCAAACATATAAAATCACATTGTATGTTTCCATGCTAAGCTAGGTTTTTGCCTCTGCAAAGATATGAGTAAAATGACAATAATTATCATACATGTTTAATGCTTTCCAGGGTGCGCTCACTGCCACCCTGCTGTCCTGAGTGTGAATTAGTTTTCACCTTTTTCTCTGCTCTGATTTCTTTATGCAGAAGACGTTTTGACAGCACTTTGAGCCAATGAGCTCTGCCTTAAGGCTATAAATAAGACTAGAATATAAAGAAAACACACCAGAATGGGTCTGAGTTAATGGAGTTAGAGAATATTAAGTGTATAAAAAGAAGATTCAAAGGCCTCAGGGTAGTAAGGGACTTGGTGTCAGTGTCGGTAATGGCGTGGATATGTTTATCTCACTCCCTGCGTTGTGTTGCTTACTGCAGGAAGACGACAGAAATCTAATATAACGATTGGAGAGCGGGCAGTGTGGTCAAGTCACCTGTTTTCTGTCAGGTGTTTGAAAAGGTTAACCATGTTCAGATGTTAGATTAAATTTAATGATGTGCACAGCAACAACTGAGTATGCTTCACTTTGGATCGAGGTGCAAATTTCCCGTCGCAAATTTGTCTTTAATTTTGAAAGAATTAATGACAGAAGCACAGGAAGTGGCGTGAGTAATACGACCCATCAAGACATCCTGTGTGCAGATTGATTAAAGGCTTAGAAGCAGGGCTGCAGTGTGAGACAGAATAATTGGACAGAGACCGCTCATAATTATTTTACTGTAGGACAGCAGAGTCTGTTTTTATTTGATGCACATATTTCAGGATGTGGTGGATCCTTGAGTCATTATATCATTTTTAATCTGTTGTTTTAAAGTTGTTTCTATAATCAATTTACCTTTTATTATGGGCAAGTTGAGCTGAAGGAGCAGATAAGTTGTGCTACAGGAAGAAAAATTGCTCCTCTCGCTTCGTTAAATCATAACCGAACATTTAAACCTCTTATACTGCAATATTGAATCAAGATAAATGCAAATACCTTTGAGGTTTTATGTAAAGGTAAAGCTTGGTTTTCTTTATCGAGTCCATTTTCAAGCTTGATCAATCGAGCTCAAACAAAAAAAGCCATTTGGATTTACTGCACAGAGGAGATGAAAACGTGTTTTCCCAACTTTAGCAACAGGCGATCACAACGGCTTCCCACATTTTGCTGTGATTAAAAAGCCAGCAATCTGCTTCTCCAACTACAAAGAGACAGTTTTTCCCAAAGACTGTCCCTTTAGATGAGCTGTACAGCAGTATCATAGCCAAACTGTGGTAACGGCAGGAGAGAGAGAGGAGAAAGTGCAAAATACAGACATGTGAGTCATGTCAGACGTTCTCCTCCTCAAGGAGTATTTTCAGAGGAGCATCAGCTGCTGCAGTTTATTAAGTTTGAAGGCAGATCCATAGGCAGCTTTTGTTCTGTGCTGGAAATGGGATCACTTCAACAGCTCCTGAGTGTGCGTGTTTCCTCCTGTCTCTGCACAATATCTGACAGTTGAAGCAGCAAAAACTCTTACATATTTGTTTTTTGAGAAAATTGAGCATGACTATAAACTGTCCTTTCTCTCTCTTTTAGAGGATGATGTGGTGTCAATGGCTGACTCCACCATCACCGTGGATGACATTGAAGGGGAGCTTTTCAAGATCGAGAGGATCAGAGATGTGCTGGTCAGGAGGGAGTCAGAGCTCAGATACATGTGAGTGAAATATCGCTTTGTTTGGTATCATGGATGCTCATTACACCAAGGGCTCGATTCATGAAAGGATTGCTCAGCTTTTATACTTGCTAACCCTGTGAAAAAAAGGATATTTTCTCCACAGACAAGGGGCAGAATAATGGATGGGATGGGATAGGCACATTGTAGAATAGAAGAGAATAGTATAGAATGGCTTTTATTGTCATTATGCAGATTTATACACAATGAAATTGGAGAGGCTTCTCTGCAGGTGTGTTATGATATAAACGTAAATATGTTTGTCTTGCAAACAATCTTAAAATCAACAAACGAGTTCTACAAGCAATCAGAACTACAACAACGGCATGAAATATTACGGGGAACAAACTTACCGAATTTATAATATTTGCAGTTAGGCTGTGGCATGAAGATTGCATACACATACATATTTGCAGTATTGCACATTAGGTGAGGTAGTGGGTCTGTCATGAGGGTTATTGCTATAGACTGTATATAGAATGGACGCCGTCTGCCTCTTCGCCGGGTGAAGCCACTGTGAGAACAGCACCCTCTGGTGACGGGCTGCAGTATAGGTCATAAATCCCGCCTCCTTTAGAAACTTTAGAAATTAATTGCACAGAATATTAATGTTTCTCTCCCCTGAATGTGATGTTGACATGTAGTTACAGTTAGACTGGTTTGTGCTCAAGTCCTCTTTTTTTCTACGAAGATTGCATAGCTTACCTAGGGGAAACGCTGTTTGAGCCGAGCGTCATCCCAGCGACTCTCTGGCTTTAAATGTGTATAATGATGGAAGGCGGAGCACATGAGAGTTCAGTCTAGTAACGGCTTGGATTGCATTACAGCATAAACTTTCAAAAAGCAGTTTAAAAAAAATCAGCTGAAAATACAAATTAGAAATCGAGGAATGCATGCCTGTTAAACTTTTGTAAACTTGGACTTTCCTTGAATACTAGATCGTAGGACCGGGGGATAAACCCAAAATTTACAGATGGCGAAATTTATGAAAAAAAACCAACGTCATTTCACCCATGTCAGTATATTTGGTGTCAAATGAATAAATAAATAAAAGTTGGTTTTGGATGAAAGTTGTAGCGGCTGGAGTGGCGGCTGAAGTTGACAAAGTTAATGTGGGAGGGGGTGAGTAGCTTGTGGAGTAGTTATCGTCCATGTATCGTTATCAGAGTGAACTGCTCAATATATTGTGATATTGATTGGAGGCCATATTTCCTAGCCCTACTAGATTGCATGTAATTGGTTCTGTAACATTTTTACAATGACTTCGGGACCGGGATTAGATTCAAATAATCAATCAATCAGCTATACTTCTTTCTCGATCAGTACACCAACATCAACCCCTCCTGCCATCACTGAAAACATTATTACACTCAAGGGTGTCATAGTTGCAGCTGAGCCTAACCACTCCTTCTCACCTCAGTATCAGAAACACATCTCTTTGCAGCATTGCTCTCTTCTCCCTTCACTCCCCTCCATTTGCATTCCAATCGGCCCCCATTAAAATTTCAATGGCTTTACCTCTGCTTCAACAAAGCAGGCTAATGCATGGATATTTATTCATCTACTCCTCTGAAAGATGGTCAGTATCACTGCTCAGACAGCAGGGGGAATATGAGTGGCACAGGAGTTGCAAGCAAGCATCAGGAGATGAGAGAGAGGGGAGGAGGAAGAGGGATAGAGAGAGGAGATGAAGTCGTGATTTGAAGTGCTTTTCCCTCCCAGCAGTCCGCAAACAAAACCCTGAATTTTCTTATCCTTGTAAGTTAAGAGCATCATTTGTATTTCACAGCCTCTTGTATGCGTACGTCTGTCAGTGTGTGTTAAGTTGCTGGGAAACTGGGTCACGTGAAGGCCTCTTGACCTGGCAGGGGAATGAGGCTCTCCATCTTTCTCCATCTTCAACTGTGGGTCTTCACCCCCGCCTCAGCATCAGTAATGATCCGCTGACTTGAGGGCCATTGAACAAGTAGCAGTGACACAGTTGGTGGCACGGTGAAAGCTATCGAACTCACAGCTGCTGCAGGGGGGCTCCTGCTCCTCAGAAAAGATTGCATCATCTCCTGTGTGAAATATAAGCTCAGAATCAATCTCCGCCTGTCTGGGTTTCATTTTCACAGAGCCAAGATTTCCCCTCTCATGAACCTTTAAATCAGATACCGAGTGTGATGTGTGTGTGTTTTCTTTCGCCTGTGCAGGATGGATGACATTCAGCTGTGCAAAGAGATCACGCGCCTGAAGAAGGAGCTGCACAAATTAGTGTCCATACCAGGTACAATATTTGTAAAGCCCAAATTTATCACAATGTTGATTTCTATCAGAAGTTGCAGCATTTTCAATATTGAACTTTGGCATCCTGGGATTTCAGTGACATTTTGATCAATTGTTCAGCCTTACTCTGGATGTTGAATTTTTGATTAAGAGGAGAAACACCAACAAGAAGAAAAAGACAATGGGATATTAGGGGTTGGAGAAAAAATTGACACAGCATAGTATCGCAATGTTTTGTCTGGTGATATAGCTGATCGTCTTATTTGCCAAATATCGATTTTTCAAATTAATTGCTAATATGCAGTCAAATCTCTGATAATGGGAAAATAAGATCAACTGTTTGTCCAGTGAGGCTGGCAGAGGTGAAATCACAGAGCAGGAGAAAGTTTGTACAACAAAAATATATATAAGGTTTGCAAGATGTGCTACATGAAACTAAAATACAGCGTAAATGAGACAAATATAAAGGAAGGCCAGTGCTAAATTAGCTTAACAGTTGAAAAAATATATCTAAATCGCAATATATTGTATCGCAATACTCACTGTATTGCAAAATGTTAACAATAATATCATATCACAGCCCAAAGTATGGTGATAATACTGTATACTGGTGATTCACACTCCTATGGGATACAAGCTTTGTCGTCACAAACATAGATGAATAAATTCAACACAGAGATCCATGGTCTTTACCGCTTATCACACTCCAGGTGGAGAGCAGATGAGGTGGGGAAGCAGATGAAGCTAATACCAGCTGTCACTGGAAAGGTTGAATGTCTAGAGAGCTGATGTATAGAGACAAACAACAATTCATGGGCTATTGAGAGAGACGAATCAACCTAACAAGCATGTTTTAAGGGGTGAGCCTGATTAGCTCCAAGAATCCACACATGCACAGAGAGAACAGGCAGACTCCACACAGAAAGGCCCCCGGGAACCTCTTTGCTCTGGGGCAACAGCGCTAAAAAAAGTTAACCTCTCAGCACCTCAAAGCATTTCTTGTTTGTTTAGGCTGAACAGAAATCTAAGTGCAGCTTTTTTTAAACTTTTTGAAAGTACAAAAAAAAGTTTAAAAAGTGCAGTCTTGAGTGTTCAGGTGAGACGGTCTCCAAAAGCCCAATGAATCCCAATAATTCTTTTTTCATATATATTTTTGAAATATCTGTAAATAACTTTAATTTTTAAAACAGGTAAATGTTACAGAAGAGGATTAGGTCCACTGGGGGGAAAAAAGGCCCGATATAACTTTTTAAAAATTATTACTCTGAGAAAAAAATCTGAACTCTGACTTTAAACTCAGAATAATAATTTTTAAAATTATATTGTACCTTTATTTTTTTTCCAGTGGCCCTAATCGTCTTCCATAAAATGTGGCCTGATACTCTGTCAAAGAAATGTCCACATTTAAAGTCAAATTTAAAATGTTTACTGACTGGTTAAAAAAGCCAATTTGTCTCTTCGTACATAATGCATGGGGAGTAAAACTTCATTGACTTGAAGCCTTAACTACAACAGAAATAAATGTGTACAAACTAGTACCGAAACTGTTTCTGGTTAGCTCTTAATCATGTAAACAGTTTTCAGAGAGGAGTTAAAACTTTTAACTCACAGGTGTGTTAAATCTGTTCTTCAGAGGGCTTATGATCTACCTGCACCATGTTTTTTTTTACCTCCATCACTGGGTTGTATACCACCTTTTCAGAAACCAATGAGTCATATCACTGTGACGAGCTGTTCCCCTATCTTCAGAGACGGTAATTCATGTCGTGTTTTAGCTCAGGGAAAAACAGGCTGAGTTGTTTTCCCCTCTTACTCCAGTTTTTCTGGATTGAACTGAGCATATGTTGTATTGATCATCTCATTTAACTCTCAGCAAGAAAACTAATGATTGAGTTTCCAAAATATGAATTATTTACTCGTGTCTTCCCTTTATGCACTTGTTTAGCACTGTATTACATTTGTAGTGTTTATACCTCAGATTAAAATCTAAATTTCTGTTTTTTAGATAAAGACAAGTCGAACGAGGACCGACAGAAGGAAGAGGAGCTGCTGCAGCAGATCCACAAGCTGGTGGAGACCAGAGATTTCCTCGTGGATGATGTGGAGTTTGAGCGGCTCAGGTGTGTTTGTACCTCTGTGGTTTCATTATAGCCAAGCAGGAGTCCTTTAATGTGTCTGTCACCATAGCCTGTTAATGAATAATTAAAAATGATAAAGAGCCCGTTCATTTACAGAAGCCATGCGGTCTTGCAGAGAAGGCTTCAGGGAATTCTGACTCTGAATTTTTCATGCACAGATGTTTGATAATGCAGATTTGTGAGTATGGTTTATTAACAGTTGTGTGATGGTTGACGGCTCTAAAGTGAAACCTCACCTGTTGTCAGTCCTGCAGTAAAATTGTGTTAAGTATTATCAGCGTATCACCTGTATGCTTAGTCAGAGCTGCTCTGTAATAAACACTAAAACATGTCCTGAGGCACTGCACTCTGAGACAGTGTAACACAGAGCCATTTCAGCTGAAGACGAGTCAGCTAGCAGTTAGACCGAACTGCTCGAGGAGCTGCTGTGGATTTAAGAAAACTGTAGGGCTGTAAAGTCCCAGTCGATTGGTCGATACGTGTTGTGTCGACCAAAGTTCTGATTGGTTGACTCAATTTTTTTCTGCATCAATTTACAGTCTATGGTTAACTTCATGAGGAGGGACGTACAGAGTGCTAATGAGGGTGTTTTCAGAGCACCCCCGTTTCACAGGTAACAGCCTGTGTCAGAACACCCCTCTTGTTTCCACCATTTTGGATTCACCCAACCCACTGGAGACCGACTGGAGACAGGAAGAGTGTTGGCGAATTTTTTTTGTAGGATGGAAGGGGAAGGTCCCGCCCTCTTTCACTTCTGATTGGCTAGAAGTGCTGGGCTCCGATTGGTTATTCCTTATGGCTGTGAAACGTCATCGTCTGTCGGGTTCAGATTAGGGTTAGGGTTAGGAGATTCAGAAGTGCGATAATGTTCTGTAATATTCTGTTCGATGTCAAGAGCCAACAGCCCGCGAATAGCTTGAGCGTGTGAAGATGGTTCCAGCTTTTCTTGCCAATCAGAGGCGAAGGAGGCGGGACTTACAAAAATAAATAACAAATAAATAATAACATGGTGGTTTGCTGAATATAATATTTGTGTTTAATTGCCTTCTTGTGTTGATATAGGTACATTTCCACCCCGCCAAGTCGCATCGTACCCCCCCATTAGTCGATTTTTGGTTGAAAATTTCAGGGTTTTACCCAGCCAAGAGTTTCTTTGAAAACTGTTTGCGTTTCTTAGCTTTTGTAAGCTGGTCATGTTTGGCTATTTTTCTCTTTGGACTTTGTTCAGTCTTGTTGTCTTGTTTTTAGAGGCAGCGGTCCTTGTAAATTGTGGCGACTGTCAACTCTGGACTATTCAGGCCATTACAGTTGTGCAAAATAGGCATTTTGCAACCTGTCCAGCCTCTGCTTTGGTTACGACTGATGGCGTAAGAGATATGCCAGATTACAAACGGGATTCTTGAACAGCCAACCTTAAAGACTCCTCAGCCTCAGACAACCTTACAGAGCAGGCAGAAATGAGCCCACTTCTTCAACACATTCACAGTGTTTATTCTCTCTAGTCTAAGGTTTAGAGGACTTATTTGATCTCTAATATCCTCATAGATTCTTGCATTTCCATGTGTTTTACATCAGTCTTTTCTCTACAGGGAGAATGAAGAAGACAAAGAAATGGCAGATTTTCTGAAGTCCAAATTCCCGAGACATCTGAAGAAGAAAGGTATTTAAGTTTAAAGAGAGTTGATTTTTTTCTGTGCTCTGTCAAAGCTGGAGTATCTGAGGAGGGAATAAGCTGCGGCAAGAAGTTTCATTGTACCAAAGTTTTTCTTGCTCAAGGTGCTTTTCTGCAGACGGCTTTGAATGATGAAGATTCACACGTACGCTGACTGATACTTCTCAGAACCAAAAAAATGGGAGTTTTGTGGCTGATGTTTCTTTTAGCTCATCCTGCCTTATCATGAATCATCTGAATCATTTCACGTGGAAAGTTAACCCCTTGCACACCTGAACATCACTGCTGTGTGTTCGTCTGTATGAATCACTTGTACCCGCTGTGTTTCGATTCATGCTCCAGGTTTACCAACCAGACGGGTGCCATCCAGAGCTCAGCAGGCCACCCCCTTCACCAAAACAGGCCTCACCCTGCTGAAAGAGTGCTGCGGCTTCACCTGCTCCATCATGTAGACTGAGGGCCCGACTGCAACAAAAAAAGCAGCCATTTCACAGGAGTCCACATTCCCAGTTTCAGCTTTTCAGTCCGACAAAGACTTTGAAGCGTGGATGGAGCAGAAGAGACGCTGAAGTTGACTTTTCCCAGGAGGAGGGGAGAGAAATTTGCCAAGACCGTGTGGTATGATTCTGAAGTGAAGACTCGACTCTGTCTTGTGTTGGATCTGTTTGTCCCTTTCACTGGATTCCATTTCTGAATGTCTTTTTATCCTTTTAGCCTCTCAACACACTAATTATCCCTGCCTGACCAGCTGCTCGAGTCCAAAAGAAAATAAACCAGCACATTGTATATGTTTCTTTCTTTGATACTGGCAGGAGTGGGTGTGAAGCACAGAAACAACATATCAGGCATGGATAGTGCACACGCTAATTGGATTCAGTCTCACTAAGCTGAACTGTCATCTCCTCGTTAGGAAAAGTAGCTGTTTCGCTGTAGTCACACAAAGCCAGTTCAGAGACTGCCGGAACTTTATAACCCTGGTGTGTTAGGATGATGATGGGGGCGGTTTGGTACAAATAAGTGTGACCTTTTTAGAGAGGGTGGCTTGATCGGTCGCATTAATCTTCAGTTTCCTCCAATAGATTCGGATAATTACTTCCTTGAAGGTGTAAGTCTCTTGTTTTTTAGTGCTTGTTTGTTTGTTTTAATGAGGAAGTGCATCAAACCAGATGGTCTAACTTTTAACATGATCTAACTTTGTCAGACACTTTTTAAATTCAGGTATCTCTAATGAACATGTAGAACATTTGAAGGTCCAGTTTAATGTGATATAACACCATGCTCACTGGCAATTCACATGAGGTCAGTACACTTCTGATATATCAGAATCGTCTTGATTAGGGTGACCGTATATCCTCTTTTGGGGGGCAGTCCAGGGGAGTTTATAAAATCCTTCAAATGTCCTGGGTTTTGTATGGAGGTTTTGAGTTTGTGTAGCATGGACAAATGAAGTTAGAAGCACATAAAAAACACGTAACCTGACCTGGAAAACCCTCAAAATTTGTGTGCGACTCCACCCCGCTTAGTATTGTCCTCTTTTGGGGGACACACCTAGCGCGAGTAAAACCATCTACTCGCTTAATTCACGCGAATCTAGACACATGAATGAATAGTATTGCTTAATTTGCACGTCAACGGTAATTTCAATGTTTTTTTTTACAATTTACCAGGTAATCCGACCTCCTCACTCACCTGCCTCCAGGCCAGCTTCTGTCGTGAACAATCGTCCATTTTCGTACGTCACCCGGCAACCTTGATGTCGAGTGCTTATCGTGGCGCGAATATCCGCTCAATTTGAGATTCGCCCAATTCACGTCATTCACACCGTCAGAGTCGTAGGAGCGTCTAGTCGCACCTTTGCATTGAATTAACATGTAACTCAACAGCACCCTCTGGTGACGGGCTGCGATGTAATTCATTGAAATCATTTTCCTCGTGCTTGGTGTGTGGAGACAGTTAGTTTTGATGAAGCAGTGATTTTTGCAGCCATTGTATTTATCCATGTCATTTATTTACTTAGGATAGTTATAACCATTGTAGCATCTATTCTTTTCAAGTTCCCAAACAGGATATTCAAGATCAAACAATGAATAAGATAACAGATATCACCAGAAGAAAAAAAGGCAAAAAAAGTACAAGAAAGACAGAAGAGAAAACATTTTCAGTTCTCGGATCGACACAAAACAAGATGATAAAAACTGTAAATAATTTACATCCTCATGCAAAGTGTTAAATGAAGCCCAAATCTTAACAACTCACTCTGTATTTGACTTTTTCCTTCAACTTTTCATTAAACATTTCTGGCGCTCACCTGATAAACAGCTGCCTGCTTGCAATCTTGTGATTTTGCTTATATGTATTGACAACTCGGTGTTATTGTAATGCTATACCTGTTGGCACGAATTGAGAATTCATTTGAGGACATGGAAGATCTTTGCACACACTGAGCCCGACATAAAAGTCAATTTTCAAATACAATGTTTGAAATACAATTTTTTTTTTTTTTACAAAATATACTTAAAGACAAATGTTTGGAAAGTTTGTCTCTTTTTTAAAATTATTTTCCAAATATCTAGACAGATATTGACAGCAGCAATCCACATGATGTACTGCTGACAATGGTAGAGATTATGATTATTCTAAAATAATTTTACACATTTATGCCAGGAGGATTAGATCATTATTGTAGTCCATGTGTGATCTGGTTTGTTTAAGTCACTAAAAGTTGAGGCTGAACCCTGCATAGACAGCAAATCTTTCCTGAAAGTTTTCCCCCTCCTGAACATGAAGTATTTACTTGTGTTTATTTCTCCTTGCCACCTAAAGTTAGCTCTACTCTTGTAGAAGGTAGAAAGCGAGAAACTGAGTGTGAGCATCCTTGGAAAGTAGAGGAAACAGTTAGTGTAGGATTCATGGTGGTTACAGCGTTATGCAGGGACTTTAGACTATTTTTACTCAAACAAGTAATTCCTTCAACTTGATTTTTCCACAAATGGTATTCCTGGGCACACAACAGCAGACCACTCGTCATAAGTCCATTCAACATACATCTATTAAGGTACCCTTAGCAGTGTTTTGAGTGGGTCAGCCTACTTCCACTATAAATATATTTATATATATATATATATATATATATATATATATATATATATATATATATATATATATATATATATATATATATATATTTTACCCCACCCTGTGATAATCACAATGTTTATCTAAAGGAGGTGTCTCCATGCCCACAACACTCAGCCAATCAAACCATGGTGCAGATCTCTGTTACTAAGGAGAATGGTCACCATAGCAACCTCATATACCCCCTTTTCTTTACCATAAGATAACAGATACAGCTGGACAAATCAGATAGGTTCATAGATGTGTCAAAAACAGGTATCACAGTGCTCTTGTTATCTAAGACGATGTAGGAACAAGTGGATGCATTAAGTTTTAATCTTAATGCTTGATTTGAAATAGACAGGTTGGAGATACAGTTTTTGATATTAATAACTGAAAGTCTCTTACATTTTCTAACTTAATACAGATGATACATTTGTGAGCAAATCTCTCATTGTGTTTCTGTTTTCCTCTCTTTTTCCTCTTTAATTTGGAGACATGATTGCAGATCTTTCCAAACTCTATTTACTTCTTCTTTCCCACCATCACTGTCGTAGAGGATGAACTCATACAGAAAACATGTCTGTTGTTGTCATGGAGGTTTGACAGGGGAAAAAAAGCCTTTAGATAATGTTAAGGTAAAAAATGTAACAGACATCTGAAAATAGCTGCATTTTGTTATGTGTGTGTCATAGTAACACGTGGGAAGAAGTAGTTACTCTGATGTAGATTGATGAAAAACCTCTGTGCCACACAGGACAGCTTATTATCTTTGAAGCACCTGAGAGGAAGTTTTAGATATTTAAAACATACATGAATTAATACTGATGCCTCTTTGTAGGCCGCAAAAGCAACTAAGACTATCATAAGAAAGACTTGTAGTGCGTTCGAGTTACCTCGGAAGTCAGACGTCACACCCAAGTTCCCAGTGTTTCAGTTACCAAATCGGAAAAAAGGAGGCAGAAACAAGATGGCTACATGTATGAAAGTTATTTTAGCGCTTGTTATTTTAGTTATTTTAAGTTATTTTAGCATCCACTTTCATAGATGTAGCCATGTTGTTTCTGATTTTGCTTTTTTCCGACTTGGTAACTGAAACGCTGGGAACTCGGATGTGACATCATTTCCAACTCCAAGATATCTTGAATGCAGCATTATTCCAATACAGATAACATTTATCACAGTTAACGCATAATCAGCAAAGAGGAATTATATTGCTTTGACCATAGGAGGCGCCAAAAGCAACACAATTCAAAGGTGTCTCTAAAAAGTTAGAATTAAAAAGGAATTTCAGGTCCACAGTGACTATTTTTGTGCTTGCTAAGATATTCATCAGATATCTATTTGTAGTGTCATGTTTGTGGACTGTTCCTGGCAGGTGTCATCTCCCTGGGTTCACATGAAGACATATAAACAACCGGGAGTGTGTAACATCCCCTGGTTCCCCCCCAGCTGTGTTCTGTGTTGAAAGAGGACTTGGGAACTTAGTGAGATCACGCAGCCTCTCAGGAAAGACTGTCAGAAGTGAAGCAGTCAGGGGGAGAAAATGATGCAGGAAGGAGATGGATAAAGTGGTCAAAGTTAGAGGCAGAAAGAGAGGAAGGGCACGGAGCTGGGGAGGGGGGTATCTTCATGAGCATGAGTCATCCTCAGTAACAACACTGAGATCCCTGGAGGCTGACTCTGAGTGATCGCTACTTGATGAAAAGGGCAGGACTGTCACTCAAACAGTGTGATCCTACACACCTTCTCTGTCCAGCCCACTGTGGCGGGAGACAGTTCAAATGTGTCGTGAACCTGCGCTTGTTTGTGTGACCCGGCACGCCCAAGTGATAACGAGAGGGACCGCTTTGTTACTATGGTTACTGGAACTGGACATTGTTTCGTTGGGTCGTGCTAATTAACACATCAAGTTGCCCGTGGTTGCCTGGAAACCTCACGGTGATTAGACTTGGGAAGTGAAGATACGACGATCATTAGTATATGAAGAAAAATACAAGTAATTGTGGAGCCTCTTTTTAAACTGTTTCATATCCCAATTCTCTGTATCATCAAAAAAGATCCACTGTAGCTGAAAAAATCTACTCAGTAAAATAAAGTGAGTTTAACTACTCTTTGTTTATTTGTTGCATGGCTCAGCGGTCAGCAAAATTTTATCACTCTGTGTTTCAGTCAGTGACTGTCTTCATAAAGACAGTTTTAACCAGATTTGATTCATAAAAGAGGTCAACTCTAAAATTTAATAAAACAGTGATACTGTTTCTTATTGTTTCCTGCTGCATCTGTTTTTTTTTTTTATATATATATATGGCTACTTCAAACTTTAAGACTCCTGAGGAGGCTTCCTTATTTACAACTCTTATTCAGAAAAAGTTTGGACTCCACGTAAAATGTTGATTATGACAGAATTTGACTGTTTCAAATCAGTTTAATCCTAATTTTATTTAGACAATTTGCAAAGACAAGTTGAGATCGACATTTTTCATGTTTTTTTCTAAAACAAACTAATTTAAAAATTACTAAAAAGTTTGCTATCACCTTTTCTTTTAACAACACTCTAAGACCACTCTGCAGATAAATTTCATTTCATCATTTTATGTTTGGAGCATGAAATGTTTTTACTTTTTTATTTTTCATTTTTATCAGATATAGGATTTCAGCTGCTCAACAGTTAGGTGTCTCCTTTATCATATCTTCAGTTTCAGGATATGTTAAATTTTTTAAGTGTGTTTTAAGTCCAGAGGCGGGCCAGTTTGGCACCAAGCTCTTCTACTATAGAGTTACACTGCCATATGCAGAATATGATTTGGCATTGTTTTGATGAAATATGTGAAAGGTCCTCCATGATCAAATTGGATTCTTGCTTTCAAATGTTGCTGAAAACTAGCCCCTGTTGTTGTCTTCAAGGCAGAGTAACTAGAGACCATGATTTCCAAAATTAATTTTGACATTTTTTCCCACATCATCATCATCATCATCATCATCATACACTTACTTCAAGAACTAAGTTTGACCTTAGTAGTGATTAACACTATGACCATGCCATTTTTCAGTCAGTGCTGCATCACAGCTAGTGGTGTCCCGATACAACTTTTTTACATCTGATTAAATACCGATATTGTAGCCTACAGTATCGTCCGATATTGGCACAAACTTGTGCATGACAAGTTTTGCACTCAGCTGCAATGTCTATTCTGGACTTTATTGGAAAAATACTGCCACAGGGCCAATATCGCTCCTACTCCTTGCTACTTTGTTTGTACCTTAGTACACACTGTTGTGATCACGTGGGCTTTACATGCTGGATCTGGGTGCTACTAGACAGAGGTGCTGAAGCGAAGTCTGGAATGGACTGCCTGTATCGGAGTGCTGATATCTAAGATTTTAGATGCAGGACGATTTAATCCGATATTTGGCTGATATCAGACCAATATCTGATATTAGTATCTTATCGGGACAGCCTTAATTACAGCCCTAAGATGATAGCCATTCCAGTGTTTAATAATAATAAAAATAATAATTCATCGGATTTTAAATAGCGCTTTATCAGTGACCCTCAAAGTGCTTTACATCAGATACATCAATCATTCGCTCACACAGTCACACTAGATCATCTGAATCTTTCATGATATTTTGAACTTTAGATGATACTAACTCCAAAGCCTTTTAAATTCTACAAATAGGAACATTATCTGATGTTGTTGAGCTTTTTACTCATGTCGTCTCACATAGAGTGGTACACCTCCTCCTATCTGTACTTCTGAGAGACTCAGCCTCTATGATATGCCCCTTTTTATGTCCAGTAATGATGCTGAATTATTGCAAATGCACCTAATTAGATGGTAGATGTTACTTTGGGTGTCTTTTTTTTCCAGCATTACATTTAATTCAGTGTTTGTCTGACGTTTTGACACACTGCCAAGTGACAAACCGCAGAAAATGTTGAAAAAGCTTTTAAAGTCATGCATATCAAAAGTAAATCAGTGCAATATAACATACACATGAATTTGGTTGATTCCACACCAATGCACGGTTACAAAAAGGACTTTATGCATGTAAGTCCTCTGGTCATTCACAGCCACCATCTCTCCAAAAACAGGGGAAAAAAACATCCTTGTGGTCTGCAGGTGTCCACACACTCACTGAGTCTGTGGTACTTTGGCATTTTCTCAGAGCAAACCCACATTAGCATGGTGCTGCTGACATAATTAGAAGGAGATAAGCAGAGAAACAGACCCTGGGCTTGACAACCTGCAGCACTGTAATCATTTGATTATTGGCAAAGACATTGTGGGGAATTAATATGAGGAGGAGTTGAGATAGGATGGACAGAAATGGAGGCAGAAAAGAGGGAGCGAGGGAAGCAAATGTGGAGGGATGAGTCACAGCTGCTCTTCAATGGAAAAAAGGAGGGAAAACAAGTGTTGTTCCCTGCATCGGTGACTTAAAGAGAGTGAAAGGACCTGGTGACCTTCCGCATACAGTGACAGTAATGATCACGCTCTCACTGCCTGTGACTGTGACACCGAGTGTTGCTCTCATTTAAAGTGGAGGAATATGTTCGACAGGATTAAAGCAGCTCGCTGAGCAGAAAAAAGAAAGCTATATGAAACGGGCTAAAAGAGGAGGACGGACAGAAAATGCTCTAAAATAAACTTTGCACACTGTGATTGTGAATTAAAATAATTACCATGATTACACATAACAGAATATAAAGCAGGACGGCTGCAGCTGCAGGCTGACCAGCAGCTGGCAGCAGCAGAGCTCGGACATCACTGGCTGTTAATGAGACAGGACACGGCGTCCTGGTCCAAACCGGATAAAAGAACTCCTACAGACAGACAGAGCCTCAGAGCAGATCGACCTCTACAGCAGAAGCAGGAAGAGTTTTTTCTCTCTGCTACAACCTGACAGCCTTTCAAAACTGCCTCCTCCTAGTCTCTGTTCAGCTGCAGCAGCTTTGAAGAAGCTTTTTCCTCCTTCAAAACTATATCTCACATTTCATAACAATAAAATTATTTGTGTTGCACTTGGCTGCATTCAAGACAGATCCTCTGCAGTTACATAACTTTAGAAAAACATTTCTGAATAATAGATGAGATCACATACTAGTTTAGACAAATAGTTACAGCATTTCCGTGAAGGGTGGATGGGTTGCTATGGGAGCTCCCAGGAAAGTGGGACACTCTTCGGTCCTTTTCCAGCAGGACTCAGGTTAGTGGCTTGGCCCCTAAGAGGGACAGGCTCCTATCATGAGGTCTACCAGAGCCTGTAGTGAGAACAATGCAGGAAGCCCAGGTACCATCTACCAGGGCTGCTTACTCCTACTGTTGGGGGGTATTGACAACCTGGTGTGAGGCCCATCATATAGACCCCTAACTGGCCACAGTCCAGAATGAGGTTCCTTAGAGTTGTCCAGATGCTTACCACACCTGGTCCTAAGCACACTTTGAACCTATAATGGATGTGGACCCAAAATGACTGTCCCTTAAAGCAGAATTTCAACTGACTGTAACATCTACCAGGCGGATCAGTCGAGCTCATGGGTCAAGCATGGTTCCCTTACCCAATCCAGCTTTTCTGACTGGGGTCCTGCCTGGGCTCCACCTGTCCCAGGCCGTTGAGCTGTGGTCCCTTTCCACTGCTTAGAAATATCAGGAAGATAAGGGGCACCAGTCTGTTTTGTGTCCACTCTGTAACAGTCTGCTCTGCCCCTCTCCTGCTCTGCTGCTCAGCCACACCCCTCATCAGCTAACTGCTTCCACCTGCTGCTCTCACCTGCTCATCATCTCCAATCAGGCCAGTATATATGCAGCTTCTTTCCCCTCACTCTTTGCCAGATTGTAGTGATGGCGAGATGAAGCCTCATGAAGCATCGAAGCTTTCCATCCAATTACTCGCCTCCTGGGCCGAAGCTTCATGGTCGTGCTTCATTTGCTCTATTGCGCCATCAAGTGGACAATAAATGTAAAACAGGCAGAGTGATAAACCAAAGACACCCCGAGGCTTTGGTGCGCGAAGCTTTGAATCCAATGAATGAATGAATGGATGTGATGCCGTGTGTTTGTGATACAATACAGAAATGATAAAGTTATAAATATGGTGTTTGTCTTTAAGACACAGTTGCAGTGTCAAAAAGGGGAAGAGGACATAAATTATCGAGAGGGTTGTGATGTGAATGTGTTACTTAGTTTGTTGTTAGTACTTTTGTTACGGGGACAACAAATAAAACATAAACATTTCATTTATATTTATTTATTTTTATTTAAAAACAACTTTTCAACAAGTCTCGAGTCTATGGATTGTGAGTGGGGCAGGACTCCATTGCGTTTCGCTGCCTGTGAAATCATCCGCCAAACCCGTGAACCGTTTCTTGAACCAGTCACGTGGTATAGCCGGGTAGCGAGGCTTCGGACGTCATCATTTTTGGCTCCACCCCTACATGAAGCAAGCCTCGATACGCGCTTCGCGGAAACGCCCCCTTCATTACTCGACACACGCTTCGAAGCCTCGGCACTGAAGGACACATCACTACCAGATTGTCTTCGCTCTCATGCCTGACTCTCCAGCGTTTATCCTCGGACTGCTTACCTGGTATCGACCTGATCTGCCCCTGACCTTTGCTTCTCGCCTCAGCCCCGGTAAACCTACCTGCCTTCTGTCCTGGACTACGAGCTTTGCCTGCCTGGTTCCTGCTATTCGTCTGCCTGCAGCTGAATGTCACTCAGCCTGTTCCTGCTCTGTTGAGATCCCCCTTCTCGTCAGCTTCACCTCGCCAACTCACCTCCTCTGCCGACGTTGGTTCTGCCAGCTCCTCTGCAAGCTCTGGATCCTCACCCAGTCCTCACCTGAACCACTCTCCAAGAAATCTTCCCCCAGCTGTGAGTTGAGCGTTTTCCCCTTCACTACACTCGTAGAGCAAATTAAGACTGTGGACAATTCCCTGCTCACGAGTTCAAAACTCTTGCCTGACCTGTGGTCCGCTGCTAATCTGCTCGCCTATCACCCTGAAGACCCGAGTTCGAATCCTGCCATACCCACCTGCTATACTCTGCTGCTTCATTGGATTTGGTGTTCAATAAAGACTGTTGTTAAAGTGAACCTGCTTGTTTGTGCTGCAATTGGGTCCAGTCAATACCCGTTACAGTACAATCTGGCCAAACTATGGACCCAGCACACAATCCCTCACCACTGGATCGCCTTGAGAGAATTGAAGGCGTTCTGCAGCAACATGAGGCCATGATGACTGCGGCTGCCGCTGAAGCCAGAGGAGCTGCTGAGACTCAGGGACAATCACTAGCAGCTTTAGCGGCACAGATGCAACAGCTAGCAGCTCAGCTAGCCCAGCTCCCCTCATCTGCTGGAATTGCCTCTTCTTCGGAAGCTTCACCTTCTGCTCCTGCACCTGTACCCGCCTCTTCTCTACCCAGCGATGCCCCTGAGCCACGGGTGGGAACCCCAGAGCGTTATGACGGAGATAGAGAGACTTGCAGCCCCTTCCTCACCAACTGTTCTCTCCTGTTTGCCCTACAGCTCCGCACCTTCGCCACAGAACCGGCAAAGGTAGCGTTTGTCATTAACCACCTGACGGGCAGAGCTAGACTATGGGGAACAGCTGAGTGGGAGAGGCGGTCTCGAGCCTGTGCTTCATTTGACCTGTTTGCTGCTGAGCTTCGGAAGGTTTTTGGGTTTGAGAATTCTGGTTCTGATTCGGCTAGGGGACTGATGGGACTGAAGCAAGGCGAACGAACAGTGGCTGACTATTCCATTGATTTCCGCACCAGAGCCAGCCATAGTGGTTGGAACAGTGCAGCTCTCCGTGATGCCTTTCTCCATGGGTTGGCAGATTACATTAAAGATGAACTGGTTTCACATGACACCTCCCTCACCTTGGACGGGGTGATTGACTTGGCCGTCCGCATCGATCTTCGTGTTCAGACTCGTCGACGAGAGAAGCGTCAAGGGGGAATCCAACATACTCGTCCACCTCGCTCCCGTGGGGGTGCTGCTGCAGCCAACTCCACCCCATTGGGTCAGCAGTTTGAGGATCCAGAGCCCATGCAGTTGGGCCGCACCTCTCTCTCCCTGGAAGAGAGAGAGCGTAGACGCAAGTCCAATCTCTGCCTCTATTGTGGGGCAGCGGGACACTACATCTCCGGCTGTCCAGCAAAAGCCAGAGCTCATCAGTAGTTGGGGAGACCCTGGTGAGCTCAACTACCCTGTCACCTCCCCAAAGCCAGCGACCCCTGCTCCAAGGCCTCCTCCTCCTTCCAGACAGCCCCCACACCTTGGCTATCTTTATTGACTCTGGGGCTGATGCCAGCATCATTAACGAGGAGGTGGTCCTTCAGCTGGGGCTTGAGCGGGTTCCTTTGCCTCACCCGGTTCCTGCTCGAGCCTTAGATGGACATGTCCTGGGCACCGTCACGCATCAGACCTCTCCGGTTCACCTGCTACTGTCTGGTAATCATCATGAAACCGTCCAGTTTCACATACTGAGCTCTTCCTGCCTGCCACTTATCCTGGGATATCCATGGCTCCGTCTTCACAATCCGCACATCGACTGGGCAACTGGGACCATCCGGGAGTGGAGTTCCTCCTGTCATCAGAGGTGCCTGCAGCAAGCCTCAGTTCCGCTTCATCCCTCCGAGCGTAGCTCCAGTTCATCACCTGACCTCAGTGGGGTGCCACCCGAGTACCATGACTTCCGCCAGGTCTTCAGTAAAGCCAGAGCCACCTCTCTGCCTCCACACCGACCCTATGACTGCGCCATTGATCTCCTGCCTGGTTCATCACCTCCCAAGGGTCGCCTGTACACCCTGTCTGAACCCGAAAGAAGGGCCATGGAGACATACATAAATGACTCCTTGGCCGCAGGCATCATTCGTCCCTCTTCATCCCCTGCTGGAGCGGGGTTTTTCTTTGTTGAGAAGAAGGACAAGACATTGAGACCTTGCATAGATTATAGAGGACTGAATGAGATCACGGTTAAGAACCGTTACCCACTGCCACTCATCTCCACTGCTTTTGAACTGCTCCAGGGGGCCACCATTTTCTCCAAACTCGATCTACGCAACGCCTACCACCTCGTCCGCATCAGAGAAGGAGATGAATGGAAGACGGCATTCAACACCCCTACTGGACACTACGAGTACCTCGTAATGCCGTTTGGCCTCACCAATGCCCCTGCCGTCTTCCAGGCTCTGATTAATGATGTTCTCCGAGACATGATCAACCAGTATGTCTTTGTGTACCTTGATGATATACTCATCTTCTCCCAGTCCAAAGAGCAACACATTCATCATGTCCAGTCCGTCCTTCAGCGCCTCTTGGAGAACTCCCTGTATGTTAAAGCAGAAAAGTGTGAGTTCCATGTTCCTTCAACATCTTTTCTCGGATACATTGTGGCACAAGGCAGCATCCAGATGGACCCAGCCAAGGTCTCAGCTGTTACCTCCTGGCCTGTTCCAGAGAACCGCAAGCAGCTTCAGCGCTTCCTTGGGTTTGCCAACTTCTACCGTCGCTTCATCCGCAACTACAGCTCAGTAGCAGCCCCTCTCACCATTCTGACCTCCCCCAAAGTGCCCTTCCAGTGGTCTTCTGCAGCTGCAGCGGCCTTCCAGTTCCTCAAAGATCGGTTCACCTCATCGTCCATCCTCCTGATGCCTGACTCTGAACGCCAGTTTGTGGTCGAGGTAGATGCCTCTGATGTTGGGGTGGGGGCCGTCTTGTCTCAACGCTCATGCACTGACCAGAAGTTCCATCCCTGTGCCTTCTTCTCCCGACGCCTGTCCTCTGCAGAAAGGAACTACGACATTGGTAACAGGGAACTCTTGGCAGTAAAGATGGCCTTAGAAGAGTGGCGCCATTGGTTGGAGGGCACGAAGGAACCTTTTCTTGTATGGACTGACCACAAGAATCTGGAGTACATACGCTCTGCAAAGAGAATGAACTCTCGCCAGGCCCGCTGGTCCCTGTTTTTCGCCCGTTTTAACTTCACCCTCTCTTACCGTCCTGGTTCCCGCAATGTCAAGCCTGATGCCCTGTCCCGACAGTTCCAGAGGACAGAGGATTCTGTTGTTGGAGCTGAGACCATCCTACCTACTTCCTGCCTTGTAGCCTTGTTGACCTGGGACATTGAGGAGAAGGTGAAGGCAGCCACAGAAGGACAGCCGGGCCCCAGCTCCTGCCCGTCTAACTGCCTCTTTGTGCCACCAGCCTTGAGGTCAGAGGTGTTACAATGGGCCCACTCCTCCAAGCTCTCCTGCCACCCTGGGATTCAACGGACACAGCATGCCCTCCTCCGACGTTTCTGGTGGCCCACTGTGCAAGAGGACGTCCGGGAATTCGTCAAGGCCTGTCCAACCTGCAGCCAACATAAGACCTCCCGTCGGCCTCCTGCTGGGCTACTACAACCTCTTCCTGTTCCTCACCGCCCATGGTCTCACATATCTTTGGACTCTGTAACCGGTCTTCCCACCTCTGATGGTCACACTGTCATCCTGACAATCGTGGACCGCTTCAGCAAGATGGTCCACTTCGTGCCTCTGCCCAAGCTTCCCACTGCTAAACAGACTGCCCAGTTGGTTCTTCTCCATGTTTTCCGTCTTCATGGTCTCCCTGTTGATGTGGTGTCGGACCGTGGTCCCCAGTTTTCTTCCGTGTTTTGGAGGGAGTTCTGCAGTCTACTGGGTGCTACCGCCAGTCTGTCCTCTGGATTCCATCCTCAGACCAATGGACAGACTGAGCGTATGAATCAAGAACTGGAAACAGCCCTGCGGTGCGTGGCCTCGCAGAACCCCTCTTCTTGGGCGTCACAACTTTTGTGGGTGGAATATGCCCACAACTCCCTCGTCTGCTCTGCTATTGGCCTCTCTCCAATCCAGTGTGCTTACGGCTATCAACCACCACTTTTTCCAGCCCAGGAGAAGGAGCTCTCCTGTCCGTCAGTCCAAGCCTTCATCCGTCGCTGCCGCAGAACATGGCTCCAGGCTCGCTCCACCCTCCTCCGTTCCGTGGGTCGTTACACTGCCAATGCCAATCGCCGCCGTACTGCTGCACCTACCTATCAAGCGGGTCAGCAGGTGTGGCTGTCCACCAAGGACTTACCTCTCCGGGTGGAATCCAAGAAGATGGCTCCGAGGTTCATTGGGCCTTTCAACATTCAGAGGGTCATCAACCCTGTGACAGTCAGTTTGAAACTCCCACGGTCCATGAGAGTACACCCTACCTTCCATGTCTCCAAGGTTAAGCCAGTCCACAACAGCCCCTTGGTCCCTGCGGCACCACTACCTCCCCCTCTACGAATGGTCGACGGCGGTCCGGTGTATGTAGTGCGCCGCTTAATTCGTTCTCGGCAGCGGGGTAGGGGTCTCCAGTACCTTGTGGACTGGGAGGGTTACGGTCCTGAGGAGAGATCTTGGGTTCCTGCTCGCCACATTTTGGACCCCAACCTCGTGGCCAACTTTCATCGGCAACATCCTGACCAGCCAGCCAATGAGTCAGCCCGTTGAGAAACCCTCCTCCAGACCCCCTCCACCCACCCTGCTGAAGAGATGACAAGGTCTTGCTCCCAGGAGTTTTAGGCCCACCCCCCCCCCACCCCCAGTTTAACCTTTGGGATGTCGGGAGCCATCCCTTGAGGGGGGGGTTCTGTAACAGTCTGCTCTGCCCCTCTCCTGCTCTGCTGCTCAGCCACACCCCTCATCAGCTAACTGCTTCCACCTGCTGCTCTCACCTGCTCATCATCTCCAATCAGGCCAGTATATATGCAGCTTCTTTCCCCTCACTCTTTGCCAGATTGTCTTCGCTCTCATGCCTGACTCTCCAGCGTTTATCCTCGGACTGCTTACCTGGTATCGACCTGATCTGCCCCTGACCTTTGCTTCTCGCCTCAGCCCCGGTAAACCTACCTGCCTTCTGTCCTGGACTACGAGCTTTGCCTGCCTGGTTCCTGCTATTCGTCTGCCTGCAGCTGAATGTCACTCAGCCTGTTCCTGCTCTGTTGAGATCCCCCTTCTCGTCAGCTTCACCTCGCCAACTCACCTCCTCTGCCGACGTTGGTTCTGCAAGCTCTGGATCCTCACCCAGTCCTCACCTGAACCACTCTCCAAGAAATCTTCCCCCAGCTGTGAGTTGAGCGTTTTCCCCTTCACTACACTTGTAGAGCAAATTAAGACTGTGGACAATTCCCTGCTCACGAGTTCAAAACTCTTGCCTGACCTGTGGTCCACTGCTAATCTGCTCGCCTATCACCCGGAAGACCCGAGTTCGAATCCTGCCATACCCACCTGCTATACTCTGCTGCTTCATTGGATTTGGTGTTCAATAAAGACTGTTGTTAAAGTGAACCTGCTTGTTTGTGCTGCAATTGGGTCCAGTCAATACCCGTTACACACTCAGGGCTTTGCAAGAATATATCTGGTGCATACAGGCCATCAGGAAGTCTGATCAGCTCTCCATCTGTTTTGACACTTATCCAAGTCCCGTCTTTCTCACTGGGTTGTGGATACTTCTCGTCAGGCATACACACTCTCAGGTGTGCAAGCTCCAACTGGGATTGGAGAACACTTCACTCATGGGTTTTGTGGCGGGGAGCCTCTCTTGCTGCAGCCGCATGGTCATCCAAATCTACATTTCGTAGGTTCTACAGCAGGTGCTGGGTGTGGCTCACTGGTAGATGAAGTAGCCTCTTTTGGTCAGCCTGGTTCATGGGCTTGGTGGAGCCTTTGCTCATGTTCTAGATCAGTTTTGCAGACCGACTTACACAGCCCCTCTGCCTCTCAGGCTTGGCTTTTGCTAATTGCAGGGTTTTGCTCTGGTTGGCATGTAAATAGCGTACATTTGTAAATAGATTGTTTGGTGAATTTTCTCCTCGCAGGGTGTCTTCAAGAGCAGATGATTATAACCTTGGCTCTCTAGGTGAAGAGACTCTCTCTCCAGCCTGCATGCCACTTGAAAACATGTTCAGATCAAAACAATCAATGATTGCACACCAGCAAAGCTGCTTTACATGTAGATAACCAGTGAGGCGAGACAGTGTGTCTTAAACTTATATGCACGGACCCTAACAAGCAGGAGATTATATCTCATGCATGTAATTATCGGGGTGGAGAAATTGTCTCTTCTGTCAGAGAAACAAGGTTACAATCTATCAGCTAACAACAAAAATGTGCACTGTTTAATTCAAAGTAATCCAGAAATCATCACAGGCTACTAATGATTTTTTTAAGGACTGGATCCAGATCGCCCCTGAATAGAAAGGCTAAAAGAAATCCACGATCATGTTGTTATATGTAAAGTATGTGCTTAATTGTATGTCAGCAAGTTTGATGAAATGTTGTCTAA